TATTTTCTTTACTTTCTTTTCTTATAATTAAAAGCTAAGATATCTTTTAATTAAAAAGGTAAGGTAAAGAAGTAATCTTAATTGCTTTTATATTATAAGATACCTTAAAACCTTAATGCTTTAATTTTAATAATTAAACTTATTAATTTAAGAAAGAATAATTTAACGTTAGTAATTATAAAACTTTCTTACTTTAATAACTTTAAAAACTTATTTAGCAAAATATTATAATTTTTAAATATTATAAATATTTAAAATTAATAAAACTTTGCTTAAAAAATAAATGCTAACTTCTTTAAAGATCCTTTTAAAATAAGAATTATTATAAATAGGGTTTACTTAAATAATATTTAGTAATTTTAAATTCTTAATTAGCTATTATTCTTTAATATAAAATAAATAACGTTTAATAATAAGCTTATAAAGATAATATAAGAATATTTCTTAAGTATTAATTTTTACCTTAAGCTAAGAAAATTAGCTAAGTTAATAAATTTAATGGGATAATATTAAGCCTTTCTTACCTTTAATTTTTTTAATATAAAAGGGATGTTTTATAAATATAAAGAATTAAGAACTTAGCATATTATGGCCCTTATAACTTAATAGCTTTTTAATTTTTAAGATATTATATTTTTACTTAAAGAATTTTTATATTATAATTATACCTTATTTAAGAAATATTAATAATATAAATTAATAAAGAATTATAAATTTATTATTATATTTATTTATATGCTTAATTATTAAATAGTAGCAATTTTTAATAAAATAAAGAGCTATTATTTATTATAAAATAATCTTGTATTAAAAAATGGAAAGAGTAAGATAAATAAAAATATTAAAGTATTTATTTATAAATATTTAATAGCTGCTTTAAAAAATAAAATATAAGATTTTAATAAAAAGTTTGCATTAAGATTAAGATAAATTAATAAAATATTTTATAAATGGTATATTATTAAGTTTATTAAAAATTACTTTAAAAAGAATTAAGGAAAGAATAATTAAAAAGTATAAGATTAAGCTAAGGCTTCTTTAATTAAAATTATATATTTTAAGATATTTAAAGCTGCTATTAGCATTATTACTTAAATATTTGCTATTTAATTAAAGCTTAATAAGATTAATAAAGCTATTTAAATATTTATATTAATTTTCCTTATTAAGATTAATAGTATAAAAGTAATTAAAGTAAAAAGTAAGCTTTTATTATAAAGGGATATTATTTAATAATAGCTATTTAAATTATAATATATTAAGATTATTATTAATTATAAAAAGGGTATAAAGGAAATAATACCTTTAATATAAATTAATTTAATAACTTAATTTTAAATATTTAATATATAATAAGGTATAAACTTTTGCATAACTTAAAATTAATTAAGCAAAACTTTAATTAAATAAGCCTTTAACTTAAGCATTATATTATAAAATATTTTAAAGTTAATAAGGAATACTTACTTTAGTATATATAAGGATTTTTCTTACTTATTTATCTTAATAATAAATATAAATAAAACCTAAAATGTATTAGTTAATTTAAAATAATTAAAATAATAATAAAGTTTGCTTAAGGATGATTTAAAAGGCTTATAAATAAGCTAGCTAAGTAATTAAATATAGGGCATAAATATTAAAAGTAAAAGTATTATAAAAAGTAAAAGTAAAAGTAAAAGCTTTGTAAAAAGTAAAAGTGAAAGTTAGCAAAGCTAGTATGTTATGCTTAATATAATAATTAAAAGAAAGAATAAATTTACTTTTTATTTTATAAAGGTATTTAAGTTTTTAATAGCTATGTTAATGCTAATTATTAAAGCAAACTTTAATAGCTAGGAGGATATAATTAATAAATATATTATTAAGTAAGTTTTAGGAATATTTAAAGCTTTTATAAAGAAGTAAAAGCTATAATAAGATAAGTAAGTAAGGGATTAAAAATAGTAATAATAATTAAGATTATAGTAAGGTAAATTTTAAAACTTAAAGGCTTAATTAAAAATAGTAAAGTTTTATTTTAATAGTTTTTGCAATACTTATTATAAAGTGCTTAAAAAGGGGTATATTAATAAATGCAAGGAATTATATAAAAAATAATATTACGCTAAATTTTAGCTAATTATAAAAAGCTAGCTTTTATGCTTATTTTAAATATTCTTTTAAGAAATTAACTCTTTTCTTTTCTTATATATTTAATACTTTAATTAAGCTTTTCTTATTTTTAAGAATTTCTAAAATATTTATCTTTTCCCTTTTTTTAACTCCCTTCTATTCCTATCTTCCTTCTTTATTGCGTTAAAGCTTCTCCTTAAGTTATCCTTAAGAGGGTTTAGCAGAACCTGTCCCCCATTTGTTTGGGTGGCTCGTTTTCACTATTAACATCATCACCTCCCCCTTCGGCGATTCAGAATAGACAAGATCAACTATAGAGGCATATCGTTACTGTGAAATTGAAAGCATTATGTGGTAGCTCATAAGCCACCTTCGTGTTTTCACAGGAATATCCCATCTCATCCAAAAGCACATACCCACGGCTCAACCTATCTCTTCCAATCCTTCCCATTATAATTGGGTGGCGGGACCTCCATGGGCTGAGTGACAGCCTGGTAACCTTGCGTGTTGACACCGTCTCGGGCCTGACGCCCCTTGACCTCGTTATCTTGCTGAATGAGTGCGCAACAAGGGCACCAGAATGAGGTGCAGCAGTCTCCACAGCTACTTCCCTCAATGCCAAACTTTTCTCGAATCTCTCCATTTCATCATGTTTAATCTGCAGTGAGTCAATTAAATAGCCACCCAGTTGATTGAGATGGGACGGAGAGTTTTATTGACTTACATCCAAGCGCTCAGAGTAAAGCTCTGAATACCGCAAAATAGCACGCATTCGCCATTGAGGTTTTCAGGATCAGTGCTAGGATCCCTCAAGCGGTGCGAGGTTCATCCAAAGACTGATTATCGTTGTCAGCGGCCGAGACTTAGCCGTGGCCTTTCACAATCACGGGGGTGACGTACGTATGCAGGGGAGGAACGTTGCTAAGAGACAAGAGCTAGACGGCGAACAGTCCGTAAGGCTGTTCTTCCAATCTATACTGCCCTGTGATGACGCCATTGCTCGAGGCTTGAGTTTGGTCGTTCTGACCGTGCCAGTGGAGAGAAGGTGCAAACTTGGAGGTTGTCACTTTGGAAATACGTGGTGTGACAGTGTCGGAACTGCGGGAATGCAACTCAAAAGCAAATGAGATATCCAAAGAGAATCGAGAATGAAAGGGAAGCTTAGAGAAGAACAGCTTTGGCCACACTGTGTTTTTTAAATCAACTGTCCATTGGTCTGTCTGCTGTTTACTTAGCTTTTCAACTGTCCCTCCCTAAGTTTATGCATAAAATTGCATATAGCTTTAAATATATTCTTGTTCTTTTTTAGCCAAGGAATATTATAATCTTTCTTTTTACCCTTATTTTTTAATTACCTTTTAATCCTTTCAAGAAATATTTAATTATTAATAATAAAGTAATAAATTTAGTAAAATGTTACATTCTTATATTTCTTTATATTATTTATTTTATTATTAATATTATCTTTATTTTTATTTAAGAGTTTTACAATAAATATATAAAAGTTTTCTTTATATGAAAATTAAATTTTTATTTTAACTTTTATTAAAGTTAGCAGCTTTAAGGTTAAGTATTAGCTGTAATAATAGCTTACTTAATAAAAATTTTCATAAGAAGTTATAGAATCTTTTGGTTTTTTTAAAGTTCCCTTAGGAAGATATATATTATGGCGGCGAGGACGGCGAGTATCAGGGTGACGCAAATCATCAGAATCTGTTTATCTGGCCCTACCAGCTCGAGGATGAGTTCACGGACGCTCTGCAGGGGAGAAACCAAGCAGCGTTAGTGATCCTGGCCCACTTTGCGGTGCTGCTCAAAGTATTCGGGTTTTCCATCTGGTTTCTGCAAGGATGGTCAGAGCATCTCATCGACGGCACTCAGAGGTTCCTTGATGAGTATCATCGAACCTGGTTAGAGTGGCCGGTTGAACAGACGGCAAGGATGGAAAGAGAGAGGGGGGGGGCGCAGAAGAAATAATTTCCAATTCAGCAGAGCTGAGATGATCCATCTCCGAGGAGAGGAGTTCGACATATCGTTTGTTAGTGCATACTAAAGATTTTCGCTTGGATGAGGAACTTTGCACTTGCACTGTCCCCCACCCTGTTTCCGTACCGCCACTTTCCGTATCAAACACTACGCTTGCTGACCCATGTGCCCACAGCCAACGTTAACCATCGCGCAGTCCCCCCTGTAGGTGCTTGACTCTTGAACTTGCGGAGATGAGCTTTGACGATGGGGGAATGTGACAGGCGTGTGTGATGGGAAGAGGATTGTTGTCATTTTGTGCAAGTGGGTTAACGTTCACACGGGTTCCAGTGCTGTCGCCCCAGTATCCGAAACCGAAAGCAGTGGTTTTCCGTATGCGTCTCCTGACGGTAGCAAGTCGCAAGGGCCGGGAGGCCCACCGACGTCCCCTGCTCCACAGGCCAAGACTTTTACTCTGGGCCACCCATGCGCTTGACCTATCCACTACGCAACACTCGTCCCGCAAGTGGGTGTAGGCCTAGTCTCAGTCCCTTCAAAAATCTAGATCGGGCCAATTCTTTTCCATTGATATCTTTCCGAGTGAATTTTGATTATCTTCAAGCTATTCAGGCCTATTCTGGCAGCTTTAGCTGGACGCCCCGAGATGACCGTAGGCATTGGAAGAAGTCCAGCCATGGAGCATTGGGGATCATGGGGTAGGAGTTCTTGACGTCTTACACGGTTACGGTTATTTACCGTTTTGGGATGACCACCCCAGAGAGAACCTCAGAGAGGGTCAACACCACCAAGTTGTAAATTCTATATAGATGTTGGTGATACTCGCCGCGTCAATGTAGCATTCTTTCCTGAGCAGACAACATCCCGGGCAATTTGTCCCTTCCCGTCACAGCTCGTTCAAGATGTCAAACTCTTCACTCGCTTCGCTCTGCTCCTCGGGGAATATCCCAAAGCCTACGCTCTTTGGCGCTGAGATCCTTTCGCTCACCAGCAATCTGGTCTCCAATTACAGCACTTACGTTCCGGTAAGCACAAGTATCCCCCTTTCATGGTGCGATGTCTGTCATGTTTTGGAATGTTACAGAATGCATCACTTCAGGCTCCGTAGCAGGTGATTAACGCACATGAAGGACACTTATAACTACAATCACCCGTCGGTCTTCGTCGATAATGTCGACTACTGCAACATTACTGTCACATACACCCATCCGGGGCAGAACGACAAGATCAATGTCGAGGCCTGGCTCCCCTTGGAATGGAACGAAAGACTGATGGCTGTGGGCGGTGGCGGTCTGGTCGCCGGCCGCTTCGTACTCTCCTACTTTTTCATGGCTGGGGCGATCGGCCAAGGATACGCAACGGTGACCGACGCTGGCACTTCGACTGATCCGGCGACTGGTCTGACCGAGCTGCTGCTGGAGCCGGGAAACATGGACTGGAATGCTGTACAGAACTTCGGCTCCAGAGCTTTGAACGACGAGGTAACGTGTCTCTAGCCTGGCCTCCACCGAAAGCAGAGCCCATGCTGACCGACAGGCGTAGTCCATTATCGCGAATGACTTGGTCGCGAGCTTCTACGGCCGCAAGCCCCAGTACTCGTACTGGAGCGGCTGCTCCCAGGGCAGGCGGCAGGGCCTCATGCTTGCCCAGAGCTGCCCGACCGCCTACGACGGCATCGTGGCCCCGGCGCCCGCCATCAACATCCCCCTATTCGCGCCCAGCCTGTACTGGCCGCAGCTGGTCATGAATCTGCACGGCGAGCACCTGCGCAACTGAGAGATCAACGCCCTCACGGACGCCGCCGTGGCCTACTGCGACGCCAAGGACGGGTTCGCCGACGGCGTCATCTCGGACACGGACGGCTGCGACTTTGACCCCTTCTCGGTGGTGGGCGAGTCCTTCGACTGCTCGGACACGGGCTCCGCGATGCAGATCAGCCATGGCGCTGCCCTTGTCGCGATCGCGACCTGGGCCGGGCCGTTTGCGGCTGATGGAACGCGGCTGTGGTACGGCCTTGAGAAGGGCACCTTTCTCGCCGGGGTGGCAGACAATGCGGCAGGGATTGCCACGACGGGATGCACGAGCAACGGGACTTGTGTTGGCATGACCGGCAACAGTGGCGAGGCGAGGGATGGCTGGCGTACGACGCTGTCAAGGATCCCTCCTTCGACTCGGCGAACCTGACCCTGGATCAATACTCCTGGTTGATGCATAACAGTGAGACCGAGTGGAAGTCCCTCTGGAGCACGAACGAGCCGGACCTGTCCGCGTACCGCAACGCAGGTGGCAAGATCATGACGTACCACGGACTCGTAAGTCTCGCCCTGATATCCTCTAGTCCTCGACGAAGAGAAAAGGGGCAGGTCCATTGAGCCAACCTGTCTTGCTTCAGGCCGACCCGAACATCCCGCCCAAGGGTATACGCGACTACTACGAGTCCGTCGCCAAGGTGCTCCCGGACGTCAACGACTTCTTCCGCGTCTTCGAGGTCCCCGGGCTCGAGCACTGCTCCGGCGGCACAGGCGGGCAGCCGACCACCATCTTCGACCAGATGCGCGCGCGCATCTGGTCGAGAACGGCACCGTGCCCGAGACGCTCCCTATCAGCTTCACGGACACCAAGAACGAGACGCAGAACCGGATCCTGTGCCCTCTCCCGCTCAAGACCACCTTCAACGCCACGTGTGGTGATGGAGCGAGGGCGGAGTGCTTTAACTGTGCCGAGAAGTAATTCACGGCGCTTTTGTATTGGCTGTGGCTTGGTACATTATTCCATGTCTACACAAACCTCTCTTGTGCACTGATCTGTGTCTTTTCCATAGACTTGGACTTTGTTTTTCGATTCTTGTATTATCTTTCCAAATATACTTTGAGCATGCCGCTCACATGTGCTTCTTACCCCAGCGTTGACCTACTCATGACGTGTCAAGGTGTAGGAGTCCAGCAAAACACCAGTAGGAACAGTACTTAAGTGTATGCGAATGCAAATTTTTGAATTTTGTTGCGCGAGGGACGACGTATTAATTAAAGTATTTTGACAAAACTACTTTTGCAACATACGCAACATCGCCTGCAACGAAGTTACGATGACATCAAGGCGTATCTCACAGCCAGCCCTTTATTGGATTGCTGATAGTCCACTAATTATCCAATGCGAAATATCTAAGGTTCAGTTCAACTCGTGAGCTGACTTGATAGCCTTAGACTTTCCAGTGTCGAGGATCACAGCTGGATCTTCGGCGTCCCCCTTCCGAGTAACCTCGTTGCCTCGCTTGGTTGTGATGGTTGCTCTGAATCGTGGTCAGTATTTTGGGGAAAACAACACTCGGTCGGGGGGGACAAGGACACTTACTCATCTTCCTTCACATCAAGCACCTTGCCCTCGGGATTGCCACTGCCCCAGTTCCAGCTCACCGTCTCACCCTTTTTGGGTCCGTTCTTAGAGGGCTTCTTCCCACCAGACTCGTCGCCCCCGTCTTCCCCTTCCTGTTCACCATTTTCGCCATCCTCTTCGGCGTCCTCTTCGTCCTGATCCGCTCCATCCTCGCCGTTCTTCTTCGATGAAGCTCCCTGCCGGGTCTCCCTCTTCTTGTTGGACCCATTTTGCTGACCAGACTTCTTCCGCTTATCGCCAGCCTTCTTCTCATCCTCCTCTGCCTCCTCACCATTCCCTTCTTCGCCCTCTTCTCCTTTTTGGTCTTGATCCTCTTGTTCGTCATCCTCGACTTTTTCCTTGGAGCTGGACTTGCTCCCGTTCTTGCCGGAAGCCTTATTTCCGCCCTGTCCTTTGAGCGGATCATGGCCCCAGTTCTTCAGGCTGATATAAGACTTGGTCTTCTTCGCATCCTCCGGGTCTTTTTCCTCGAGGCTTGCCGACTCCTGGGCCAGGTGGCGCTTACAGTACGAGGCGACCTTTCGCATGTGCTGTATCTGATCCTCGGTGTACTTCTCAGGGTCCTTCTTCGGGTTGGCCTTCAGGATCTCAATGATCTTCTCGCCCGATTCTTGGCCGACCGACTTGCCGTCGCCGCCGTCTTTGCGCCAGCCAGCCTCGCTGGATTCCTCGGACTTGAGCCACTTCTCCAGCTCCGAAGCCGTCATGTTGACGTACTCGTTGAACTCGGCAATGACATCCTTGTCGTCCTTGACCATTTTGGCGGTTTTGGTTCAGAATTGGTAGAATTCGTGGTTCAAAACGGATCAGTTGCAATTGAGCGTGCGGGCGGCGTCATGCTGAGTAGAATTCGGGCTGGGCCGAGCTGAAAGAGCTCCAAGGAGCGAGCTGGTCATTTATTAACCGACTAGACGATCCAGAGCCAGCCAGCTTGGCTTGTGGAACTGTCTGTGCCGTGTCGTCATGGAGTTGTCTTAGAAGTCATGTCGTCATACCAAGTTGAGGTCTCTAACACCCTTGCACGCTGCAGGCGTAGCCTTTGTCGAGCAGGTCCGGGGAAGCTAAGCGTCTGGCTGGAGCTAGTCAAGGCACGAATTTAGTGTGGCTTGCTTTTGACAGCAGTTTCATGTGAAAGAGCTGCTGCAATTGACCAATAACATGTTGGTAGAGCTCCATCATCTAGAAGGATCGAGTTCTCCATCGAAATGGGGTTTGATGGTGCCACCATAAAAGGACGCTGGTTTTCCGCCACAGTCCATCTTGCACATGCTAGACTTTTTACCAACGTCCGAATTCGACTGTTTGCGAAGAGAGATAACTGAAAAAGCGTGACAACACTTGATCTGGCGAGGGTTCTCATGCTGCTAAAGGACGCACCTCATTGTCCATGTCCATGGCGATATACACCCGAGTATATTCCCCCAGCAGCGCTGGGCAACTCGTCTCCGCTAAAGGCACCGGGGGCAGTCCTCTGTCCGACGCAGACCTGCTCGAGGAGTTTCGAAAACATGCTGATATAGAGAATCGAGAGCCCACGGCTCTGGTCTCCGTCAGCGAGCGGATAATCGACACGATGAAGCGTGCTCTTGACAAGTACTATCTCGATGGCGAGTCACCGGCCGACATATGGGTTGCTTTTGTCGAGTTTCCAGCAGACGACACACACGGAAGCCCTAGCAGACTCCATCCTGCGTCCAAACTAGCAAGAGATTGTGAGCTCTCCAATCCACAAGCCTTGCGCCACGAGACCGTTATCGAATGGGCTATACCGGAACGCAATGTGTTGCATCAAGTCTCCTTGCACACTTTGATGGATCGCGGGCTTCTTAAGGAAGCATACTTGCCTCACTGAGCCTTTCTCCACCAAGGATTTGCGGCGCTATGTCGCCAGAGCTCTTCAAAGTAAAAGTGATGACCCAATTGGTTTCGGCGTCTTTTTGGCATCCTTTGCAAAGAAATTTGGGGCCAGAGCACCGCTCAATTGGACCGCGCACCAGCTCTTCCACGATTGCATACGGTGCGGAATCCACGACATAGACCCTGTGAGACTTTACTACGCACATCAGAGAGGAGAACCCTCCCTTGTTCCTATCGAATTCTGTCTTGAAGTGGAAGATGCCATAGAGACAGCTCTGTATGAATGGTGGCTGGCGGACTTTGATTTTGTCCAAGCTTACAGGGACTACGAAGACTGGGAATCTGTGATGGAAGAACTCATCCTTGACAGACAAATTGGCTTCTGGGAAGCATGGCACTTTGGTGACCATGATGGAACAGCCAGAGCGCTTTCTGAGGAAGAGAAATTGGTGTATGACACAGCATATGATGATTTACTAGCTCACAATGAGCGTATCAGGGCAAATATTGAGGCAGAGGCTGTGAGAATAGGTTTATAAGCCAGGTCACAACATTTAAATGAAAAGTTTATTGCTGTTATCAATATTTGCGTTGGTCCTCCTATGCCTCCGAAGTAAGCAAGGATATGATACTGAAGGTACGTCTATCACATGGGATATAGATCAGCTGCAGGCATCCCCAGCAGCACAAGATGATTGTAACGATCCATATGTCAAGTCACTTGCCTCGAAGACCAATACTCGCTGTATCCTAGAATCACAGTGTAGACCAATCCTCAGCCAGGCCGCAGCTATTGTCCACAACAGCAGAAACCAAGAGGCGCCATGCAGATGGTAGCAAAGTTGATCAAGGTGATACAGAGGCACGAGAAACAATGCGGAGTTGCCACAATGCTAACTAAGGTGGGCCAGCATTGGATTGAACAACTATGTGTTACACTGTGCCAGAAGCCACCGGCCCACATAACTAGTATTCCCACCATAAAACTCAAGAATGAAGCCATGCCATGGTCGCCGTGGATACATCAAATCGAAAGAGGATCAACGGCCTATTGCTCTAACACGTATCGCCACCAGATCCCTTCAGGGTAAGATGTATTGCTCGAGCTCTGAGTCCTTGTAACCTACCGGTGGGCACGAGGGTTATCTTACTAGGCATCATGGCTGATAGACCTAGCGTGCAAATCCAGGAAGAATGCATCAATGCAGTTCGTGAACTGCGGTCTCGACGAGATGCAAACAAACCCTGCTACATCATCTACAAGATCTCCGATGACGGCCAAAATGTCGTCGTAGACGAAACCTCAACAACAGACAAAGACTACGAAGTGTTCCTCAACAAGCTAGCATCTGCCACAGACGACAAGGGTAAACCTGCCCCTCGGTATGCTGCCTCTGATGTCGAATATGACCTTGGCGAAGAGGGAAAGAGGTGAGTTCGGTGTTCAAAGTCGAGAAATGGTTGCAGCTGCTTATCCTGTAGAGTTCAAATTACCTTCATTTCTAGGGTTCCTGATGGTACATCCATTAAGGTATGTTCAACTGTCGATGATCTTTCCATCTCTTTCTGATAGAAAATCCAGTCCCGCATGCTGTACGCAAGTACTAGGGAGCAGCTGAACAAAGCACTCAACCTTCCCGTATCAATACACGCCGACGGCCTTGATGATATTGAGCGGGACAGTGTTGTCCGGCGTGTGAGTAGAGGAATGATTTAGATAGTGCGACGGCATTACTTACTTGTGGTACTGATGGTATCAACCGTTGGTGAAGATTCAGATAGATATGTGCAGGACGTATGATTCTGAAGTTCGGGGCATTGTGTATTAAGATGGAATTAGCTGCGATGCAGAGCCAAGTTGCGATGCATAATGAGGTGGTGGTATTGACGCAGAGAAATGTGTTGAGAGTTGCTAGCAGAGTTAAATAAATCCTCCTTGACGCTTTGAAGCGAGTTTTGTAAACAATTGCCTATGCCATCTTGTGAATATCCATCAAGCTGGTAACACTGAATAGACAGTCTTCGCCCTCATTCCCAATTCATCCTTCAAGAGCAATATTTTGTATGCCTACGACGGTGACCTCATATAATACTATTTAAATTCTCAAAGTCCTTGCTGACCATGTCCGATCAGGTTTGCACATGACTGTCTTCAGTAATCTTTACCATCATCTCGTGGTGCGTCCAATTCGCCCACGACTGCTCCTCCCACAGCTTGTTAGGATTAACTATCTGGAAGTCGAAGTGACGGAATAACTATGGCAATACGTCTCAGTATCTGCTTTTGATGCTGTCATATGGCGGCCTGGGTTGCAAGAACCTACCTCGAAAACCACCTTGTAAATCTCTGCGAGCGCAATGATTTTACCGGAGCACTGATATCGTCCAGCCCCGAACGCCATCTCAACAGTGCGTTCCCGCTCGGCTTTCGTCTTGTCACTGCATTCGAGGTAGCGCTCGGGACGGAACATGTCGGCGTCGTCCCCGAATATGTCTTTTCTCAGGAGCATCGCAATCCAGTTGACGTACACGGCAGTCTTCCCGGGAACGAAGAGACCTTCAATTGTCTCGCCCTCGGGCGGCACCACTTTAGGGTGCCCTAGGGTGCCAGCTGGACGCAGGCGAATGCCTTCATATATGACGGCCTATTTAAGAAGACCAGTGAGTAGCTGTACTAGAATGTCGCCTTCGTGTTTTCTTTTTTTTTTTTTTTTTTCTCTTTTTTCTTTTTTGTGAATAGGGACTCGGAGTGCCACTTACGGTTAGGTAAGGCATTTTTTTCGCTTGGGCAAGTGTGATTGGAGACGATATATCGCCGCTTGCCACAGCCTGCTGGATGGTTTGCTTGAGTCTCTGATATACACGCGGTGTCACCATGGTAAACATCAATATTCCTCGCAAAGAAGATGCGGTGGTATCTCCACCAGCGAAAAGGAAGATGAGGCACTGCCTATAGCACTCGTCCATGTCGAGGCCATTACGCATGAGAGATCCCTGGAAATAGTTAGATCCGTGGGCATTTAAAAAAAAAGTAAGCAGCAAGAAAAGCTAGTTGAGACTCATACCAATATGTCCGGCTTGTCAACTTCGCCCTTCTGGAAACGCTCTTCCAGAAGTTGTTTTGTGATACTGCGAGTATTATCAGTCCAGATCTCATGAAATTGGGAGCCTTGACGGACCCTTGTATTTTTCCAACACCGATCTCGTCTGTAGATCTGGGCTGGAGAAACAAGAGAAAACGTGATTGTATCACAGCACGCAGCAACGGAAGATCGCACAGCAGAGACATCAAGGCCATCACCTGGTCGTTCATCTTGGCCACGTCGTACAGATCATCCGCATCCATGAAGCCGAACTCTTTGCCGAACAGCAAGCACGTGAAAGCGTCCGCCGTGTAAAACCTTACCAGCGGGGCGAGATCCATGACCCGGTGCTGTTCCTTGGTCGCGAGGTGCTTGCCGCGGATGGTCCCCAACAGCCGGCCAACCTGAGCATCGATGGCCGAGTCCAAATCGACGCCGTCTTTGCCAGCCATAGCGTACGCAGTTTTTGCTTTTATCCTGTCATGCAAGGTAGGATCCAAGGTCGTGAAGATATTGTCCTTGCCGTTGTCCATTCGGAAGCCAGTGTACCAAGCATCCCTCCTATATGGACTGCGCGATATTCGCCGTACTACCTCAGGGTCGTCGGTAGCGACTGCATTGGGCCCCATACGAACAAGAGAGCCATAGCGGGCCAGATCTGCGCTGTTTGGTGAAGTCGCGCCGGTCACGGCATTCCTGATGAGCCATGAGGATCCGAGCCAGGATAGGGTCGGTCCAGGAATATGACGGAGGCGTCTCCAAGTGGTCAGGGTTGACAGAATCAATGCGAGGAACAGAGCGCCAAGCGCAGCCGCAATTGTGTGAGACTGGTCTAGGTGAAATTGAGTGATGTTCAGCATGATGAGCGATAGTTGACTGGCTTGTCTCCTAATCTGTCTGACAAAAGGAAAGGCCTGTATGGATTGCTAGAGTGGGTCGGAGACTTTTAAGCTACAGGAGAGCACTTGACCATCACTAAGCCAGTCTCAAAATCACGGAACTCTCTGCGATCACCTGCAGCAGTTCTGCGCTCTGTGCCGCCATTGCATATGTGATAATGCACTGTCAGCACAGGCAAGGCAGCATACTTAACAATAACAGAGTAAATAAGTGGCTCTTTCCCAGATCGTCAGGTCCAGACTTATGCATGCGACACTTGGCCACATTATCGAAAATGATTTATGGACTCGCTTATGGCCTTGCAGCAATTATGCTACGCAGTTTGCATGGCTCTCTTGGACGGCACATGATCAAGTACCATGATGGTGTGCTGATATCTTCTCTGTTCTCTGTTAACATGGGCTTGTATATCCCTCGCAAAATTTGAGTTTTGATCCCCTTCGTTAGTAGCACAAGACAACAAATCGGTAACGTTGTTACATAGTACCGAATGCGGAGTCCCAGATGAGTACGATATTTTGAATCCGCGATTTGGGGAGGACCTGGACCCCAACCTGTGCACAGAGCCCTTCCGAGGAGTTTTACGTGGCTAAACCTTCCCCACACTCCCATTGAACTACGTTATGCAGCATTCTTCCGATCAAAAGGAAGTATTCTCGAAATGCTATTCTTTACAACTCCGTGGAATGTGGGAATTTGTGACTAGGTCTGTAGTTCCAGTCCTCTACTGTGTACAAAGGAGCGTCCCACCCGCATTCCAAGAACTTGGAGGAGTCGGACATGGTGCTTTATCCGACCTGCCACACTCCATCCATCACACTGTGGCACGTATCAGCCACGTTCTGCTACACAGGTGGATTGAGCAGCACATTCAGTAGTGGTTGGGGCCCAGCCGTAAGAAGAAATATCCGGGACTAAATAACTCCATCCGACGGGATGACCACCTTTTTGTGTCAAGGACCCTCGCCCAGCTGCCCGGGTTACCAATACGGGTTACTCCCTCGACAGCAAAAGCTGGGGTAGTGTGGGGGAAGAGGCGGAGGAATCACCACCCAAGGGGCAGTGATGGGACCGACCGGTAGGTGCCATTATTACTATGGGGCCTTAATACCGTCAGCGTGGCCCTGCCTTGGTCTTGACTTTGCGGGGTGGCGGGTGGGTTGTGAGTCTGGGGTAAAAATGGAGAAAATGGCGACGGGATCATAAATGTGACGCCGCCCCAAGAAATCATCCTGGTTGGAAACTATCTCAGGCTCTACTTCCGCCTCGATTTGCTTTTTTGATACGCAAAGGTCGCCTGTTGCCGTTGGCAAATATCTCTGTTCACGTCGGGGTTCGTTTCGGTACAGCAGACTCCATTATGTCCGGCCAAGTTGAAACCAAGGAAGAACATCCGTCGACGTTCAACCACGTCGAAGATGGCCCACGGTCCGATACCGGTCAAGATGCCGAGGAACGCGCTCTGCTCCGCAAAATCGATATGCGACTGGTCCCTTGCGTCTGGATCATGTATCTGATGAGCTATGTGAGTACTGTCGGCGTATTACGGGCTGTTGCCCGCGGGACATCCGATCCAGCTTCCAAATATTTACTGACCGGCGATATTTGCAGCTCGATCGAAGTAACATCGGCAATGCGTACACAGTAAATATTTCTCCAACCCATATGTTCATATCAAGTGGAATAAGAATGGAACAAAATCTGATCCAGTGGCTGTGGCTTAGGGAGGCATGGGTGATGAGCTTGGGATGACCAGCACCGACTACTCCATCTCTCTGCTGGTGTTCTTTATCAGCTACGTGCTCTTCGAGACACCATCCAACATGATTCTCACCAGGGTCCGGCCCAGCATCTACATGCCAGTCAGTCTTTTCTCCCTTCTCCCACCAACAGAACCACCAGATCATTGACTTGTCAACGCAGACGCTCATGTTCCTCTGGGGTGGCCTGTCAATGTGCATGGCCGCCGCCCACAGCTGGCAAGTGGTCGCAGGGCTGCGCTTCATCCTCGGCATCCTCGAGGCCAGCTTCGCACCGGGCGTGCTCTTCCTCCTGTCGGCATGGTACAAGAAGGGCGAGCTCGGCCGCCGCTACAGCGTGTACTACACCGCCGTTGCGCTCTCCGGCATGTTCGGCGGCCTCATCGCCGGCGGCCTGCTGCAGACACTGGACGGTGCCCACGGGATAAGCGGGTGGCGCTGGCTCTTTATCGTCGAGGGTGCCGGGACCTGCCTCGTGTCGGTCGGCGCTCTTTTCGCCCTGCCCGACTTCCCCTCGACCACGCGCTGGCTTACGCCTGACGAGCGTGCGCTGGCCAGCAGGCGCCTTGCTGGGGACTCCCTTGGTGACACCCAAGACGGCGAGACGATTCACCACAAGGTTGCTCTGAAGATGGCTCTGACAGATTGGCGGACGTGGGCTTTCGTCTTGACGTACATGGCCACCACGGGTGCACAGACGATACAGTATTTCATCCCTGAGCTCGTCAAGGTGCGTCAGGCCGACTCCTGTGTGGTTTCGATCACCCACGACTAACCCGTGGCTCGCATCGCTCTCGTAGTCAATGGGATATACAGGTTTTGAAGTACAGTACTACACCGCGCCAATCTACGTCTGCGCGTTCGTGGCCATCCTAGCGTTCTGTTTCTCTTCCGACTACTTCAAAGAACGCGCCTTCCATCTTGCAACAGCCTCGGCGCTCGCCATTGTCTGTTTCGCGATCCTCACTGGCGTCTTGAATAACACAGGGAGATACGTTCTCTTATGCTTTGGCGTTGCAGGTGTTTACGCTGCCTGTGGGTCCCACACAAGACGCCCCTTCACGTCAGGTTTTCCTAGAACTGACCTGACCCAATCAAAGGTCCTCTTGTCAGCATATACGTCTCCAACTCCAGTAAGTCGCGTCGCCCCTCTGGTCGGTCTAACACGAGTAGGACTTAGATACTAACAAAGCTTGATACACAGTCCCTCATCCTTCAGAGAAGCGAGCGATTGTTCAAGCGACTGTCAATGCCCTTGGTAACAGCGCGTCGATCTGTAAGATAAATCTCCGTAACGCTAGACATCGAGGACTGTCTGAGCTAATGCATCATAGACGGCTCATTCCTCTTCCCGAGCAAAGACAAGAACCACAACCGCGTGGGCTTTGGCGTCACGATGGTTTTCATGGTTATCGCTCTGGTCATGGCTTTTGCTCTGCGGTATTTGCTTGCTAAACACCCCTACCCTGAGCTTGTCGTTCATGGACACGGGGCCGCAGCAGGGAAAGAGGATAAAGACGTGGAATGAGAGGCTGGATCAGCCAGCACGGGTGGCATATTGTTGATTTTATCAATTATCTACAAGAATTGACTCTGAGAGAGGCCTCATCGGTGAAAAACAGGCTGCGAGGTTCACGCCAATGACTTCTTGACCAGATACCCATCGCATGTATAATGACATACACTCCGGATCAACGTATCATGACTTCCACGTGAGCCACGAGAACAGGTCCTCATGGAACTGCTCAGGATCCTCCAGGTGTGGCGCATGGCCTTGCTCAGGGTAGTGGATGAGCGTGCAATCAGGGATCTTCGCCGCCGTCTCGGGCCCCAGCACGGAGTAGTTCCCCAGCTTGGCCGCGTCCGGAGGGGACCACTGCTTGCCGACGGCGGTGCTGTCCTTGTCCCCGACGACGAGCAGGGTGCGCGGCCGGATGAGGCCGAACGAGTGCGCGATGGGCTGCGTGAGCACCATGTCGACGACGCGCGCCTGGTTGACGAGGAAGTTGTGGCGCTCGCTGCCGTGGTAGATGTTGTCGGACATGGTCACCCACTCGTCGTAGGAGGGGTCCCAGTTGCCGACGTAGTAGGTCGCCTTCTCGTACGCCTTGATCGAGTCCCAGGTCGTGGAGTTCTCGGCCTGCCAGTTGTATTGGAGGCTTGGGTATGGGACGCCGATTCCCAGCCAGTCTTCCAGGCCCATTGGGTCGACGAGAACCAACTTGGACACGAGTTAGTCTGTTTTCGTGGGGTAGGAGGGCAGTCAGGGAGCTTACCTCAGTGACGTTGCCTGGGTACATCATGGAGTACCTGGCGGCCAGCATACCCCCCAGGGAGTGACCAATGACGGTCACCTCGTAGATTTCGAGGGCATTGAGAAGACTGCTCGTGCTAGAGGCGAACTGCTGGAGGCTGAACTGGTAGTTCTCGGGCTTGCTGGACTTGCAGAAGCCAACCTGGTCAACGGCAATGACGCGGTAGCCATGAGCCGTCAGCTCGTTGATGGTTTCTCTCCACGTCGGGCCGCAGAAGTTCTTGCTGCTAGATATTAGCGATGGTCAAAGGGGGAAGTGAACATCAGGTAGTCTCACCCGTGAAACACAACGGCAACCTGCCCATTGGATGTCACATTTGCTGCTGGAGGAACATCCATGAAAGCCATCTGTAGCTCCTGGAACTGGCTCTCGAAGTTGTACACGTGTACCGGGTACGGGTACGTGTAGTTGGATCCATTGAGATCGAACGGCTGTGGACTTGTGTCGATCGAGCCCTCTGCCTGACCAATGGATCCGATACCGTACGCCTCGGAGACGAGAAGCCCGAGGGCCAGGGACAGAATGGCGCCGGCTTTCATCGTGGCGTGGGTTGAAGGAGTGGCGCCCGTATGGGATTCTGCGTGCTAGCTGGCAGCACTAGGAAATTATTGTCATGCAGTGTGGCCTCTCCAAGCACGACGATCTGGGTTGGCAGCGATGGACTCGACGCCCCCAAATACTCCAGAGACGCAGGAGAGAGGATCCGGCCTTTGTCGGCCCGCCCGCCCCTTGTCATCCATTGCGGGCGAGTTCCTGCATTTCGGAGCTGCTCCAGCTGGGTTAGAGATGGCGCCAGCATGACCGTCTAGCCGGATGTGTCCCCACTACCGTCCGTGTACCCTGAACGATTTCAGTCATGGAAGTAGTCCGACGTGATCGCTCAGATCGGAAGGCCTCGGCTGACTTGCATTGTGCTTGCAATGTCTCGCGGAGAAGGATTCAGGCAAGGGCTTGAAATGGTTAAGGCATCGCACCGCGGGAAGATATTGCTGGGGCCGCGCTAATTCTCTCCGATTTGCTTTTTGCAGTGCGAAAAGTCTGCGATTGTGGTTGGATGGGGATTGATCCGGTTGTGGGTTGTTGGCTGGGTACAAAGTCCAAGTAGCCCACTTGGGCAGCTGAGAACTGAGGGAAAATTGACATCTCCAGGAGGCAGCGGGGAGTATTCACCCATTGGTTGGCTTGGCCGCAACGGTCCACATTCAGTACCTCCCTACTAGTAAGGGATCTGACAAGGAGCACAATGCAGTTGGCTTCCCGAACGGTATGAAGCGTTAACTCGTTGTGGCCTCGGTGGTCTGCTCGACTTCTACTGTAGCACAACCCTTCTAGATTTTGTAGCTTAATATGTTGTGGCAGCAGAATATGCATGCATTCAAGCAGTGTTGCGTCAGGGCTCATTCTTATTGATAACAAGTGCCGACAGAAGCAAGGACCGGATCAAATGCGTATCACGGTAAGGCCAATAAGCCACGACCTGTGCTTCATGGCGCGATGATAGCACATGTGATATATCATATATGCGAGGTGCAGTACAATTTCCGGAGAGGGTGGAGTTTCCGTGTTGCCCGGACTATCCATGGCCGTCACTTCTCTTAGCAGGCCCTGTTCTTTGGTAACAGACGGTGGGTGCTGTCGCTCGGCACGCCGTTGGCGCTGCGATTTTCCATGCAAGTGGCATCGGCCATCCTGGGGAGAAGAATTTCTGTTGGGGTCACATGGTGGGCCGGCCGATATCGTGATCGGTGATCTCGGATTGATACCCATAGATTGATTCAACATGGACGCGCAAATCGTGTGGGGTTTCCCCAGTCAAGCCACGTTCATGTGGGTTGCACCTTTTTTGCAAGTCGATCCCCTCTGTTCCACACAGCAATGCTCCCAATTACCCAAATCTTGACACATGACACTATCAGAACATCTGTAGACTGTTTTTGCTGGAACAGCAGAGAGGCATCGCCAGACTGCGATGTGGCCAGCTGCTCTCGCTCACTATTCCAGGAATTGCAGCAAGCTCGTACACTTGAAGCAGTATCGGAAGCCCGGCCGAGCAACGGGAAGGTCCCACCGGAGCTTTTCGACCATGTGGAGCATCGCCCCATCATGCAATGTCGACTGCCCTCAGCTCGCCGCTTGGCCACTCTCGCGTCCTGCAGCAAGGGGGGTCTCGTGCTTCTAAGTGCTCACACCGTCCCATGGAATGCAATCCCTTAGACTCCCCTAACATCAACAAGAGTCATGGCTGCCGTCCCTGGACGCCACTTCCGTCTGTTGTCTCCCATCTCACAGGGGTATCTGCATAACAAAAACCCTTTTGCGGTCCCAGATCACCCGCGAAGAAATGTTGCCATCCGAGGGGGCCGTCTCGGGAACGAAACCGGACCGAAACTGAAGACCGGGACCTGGATCTCCGATTTGACAGCGGGATCTGCAGAGACTCATATAATATACTGGCCTCCTTCCCCTGGCCGTTCGGTGGCCATAGACTCGGTTTACTTACCTGTGCGTGGGCCCGCCCGCTCAACCCGCGGCAGGTTTGCTCTTCAAAGTCGCGATGGCTGCAGGAAATATCCCCGGCGAGAGCAACGCGCTTGTGGTACAGATCCCCTGCGTTGTTTTCTTTGTTGTCACTCCGTGCTTCATTGCTGCACGGTTCTGGTCCCGGCACAAATCAAACTCGTCTGTTGGCTGGGATGATTGGTGCTGCCTTCTCTCCTGGGTATGGCCACGATCATTTCTCTGGACTTCCTTCTTGACTAATGGTCTTGTGATCAGATCTTCTGCGAGCTCGTGTCAGGTCTTATGCTTGGCTCTTGTGCCTATGGATTTGGCCAACACATCTATAATCTATCACCAGAGAATAAACTGAAGACTTTCAAGGTCAGACACCGTTTCTCTCATACCCAGTCGCCCCTTTGGTCTCTGACCGCGCTGACGCCGGCAATTCTTTTTCAGCTGTTCTACATTGCACAAATCTTTTATAAGCTTACGATGAACCTTACAAAAATTTCGATTTTGCTCCTTTACATGCGAATTTTCGCCGTCTTCACGTGGTTCCGTTTCATCGGTCGCGCCCTTATTGGCATAGTCACGGCATATATGATCGCGGCATTCTTTGCAGCGGTGTTTCAGTGTACCCCAGTGGAAAAAGCATGGGATAGGTCCGTCGCAGGGTCCTGCATTAGCATCGAGAAGAACTGGTATGCCAACGCGGGATTCTCCATCGCCACGGATGCAATCATTTTGCTGCTTCCGATCAAGCCAATACTGTCTCTCAAACTCCCAGTTGGTGAGAAGATCGCGCTTCTGGGCGTTTTCATTCTCGGCGCCTTGTAGGTTGCTCTTCAACGGGGGTCCAGTAGCCGTCAAGGACATCTGGAGACTGACAAAATATCTCGACTCCAGCGTCACATTGACAAGTATCCTCCGCATGCAAACCCTGAGTTTCTCTTCAACGAGCCCGGACATGACGTGTATGATACTCACAACGTTACCTTGATACTTTCGCCTTTGTGCTGACAGCCTCTAGACGACATTGCATCGTCCATGTGGACTATCATCGAAGACAACACAGCCATCATCTGCGCCTGTCTACCCATGTGCAAAAGAGCCCTGGCAGCCCTTTTCCCAAGCTTGGCTTCCGAGGGCCGTCGCAAGTGGAGCAACGAGCTATCTTACCGGAGCGGTAGCAATCGCAGCAGGTGGACGCAATTCTTCGACGGGCCTGCGAGCAAGGACCACTCAGCTCTGGTCCTGGATCCTCGCCAGGTCTCGACTCACTCACAGGTGCAGACCGGGTGCTACCCGAGCGAGGAGTTTATCATGTCACCCGTGCACGACGGGAAGCGCTCCGAGTCATTGGGCTCAGAAGAACCTGAAGGGGGTGCTATTCGGAAGGTCACGCGGTACGAGGTCGCTTATGACGATGCTCCGATGGCGCGGGCGAAGTGATAAATCATGTCTGTCGCACTCAAATGGAAACACATGCTCTTGTTGCCCTTCAATCTGAGACTCTCTTGCGAACCCAGGCGCTCATATCACGTCATGTGTCTCAGGCACAAGTAATCAGTGAACTCGTAAAACGCGAAACGCGGTTTTATTGCACTGGAATGCGAAACATGTCAACCCCCCCCCCCCCCTACGCCTACCGAGACGCCACCTTTACCCGGAATGAACAATGGACACGAGTGAAAACAGTGGTACCCCAATCACAGCCACATGCACGGATCAATGACCGGCTGCGCGCCCACCGGGCCGAAGAGGACGCTATACTCGTCCTCGTACGTGACGGCGTGGGTGTCGTAGTCGTACGGGTCCAGCTCGCTCCAGGCATGCCTCTTGAGGGCGATGGTCCAGCTCCAGCTGCTCTCCCAGATGCCGACGAAGCGGCTGGCGCGGAGCATGATGTCGAGGTCGACGAGGGCCATCTGGTCCCACGTGAGCTCGTCGAAGAGCATGACGTCGGCCTCGTCGAGTATGTCCCACTTCTGCAGCACCTGCACGCCCGTGGCCGTGTGCGTGTCGTTGGCGCGCACCCGCACGTCGGCCAGGTCCTCCCGCAGCCTGTCGACGTCGCTCGCCGTCCCCGTCGCCACGTACACGGCGCCCAGCTGGCTGGCCTCGACCTGCTGGCGGATGTTGGCGCTCTGCGTCGCGAACGAGGTCCACGCCTCGATCTGCGCGTCCGCCTCGGTGCGCACGTGCGCGCCCAGGAAGGCCGCCCTCGAGGGGCCCGCGGGGCTCTGGTCGACGCCGAGCTTCCTGTACAGATTGTACAGGGCCCGCGCCGACAGCTCGCGGATGTGCCGGGGGAACCGCGCGACGTGGCCGAAGTCGCTGCGGAACTCGTCGCCGTCGTACCGCACCGGCCACGAGAAGGCGACGTCGTCGAAGGTCATGCGGATCGGGTGCTCGCTCGTCGGCTGGGCGAGGTTGTTCTGCGCCACGATGTCCTCGATGCGCTGGTCGAGCGCGGGCCTCCACTGGGAGGCGTCGACGAGGACGTTGTTGTGCAACACTGGGATGAGCCTCTTCGGGCTGATGGCTTGGACCTCGCTCTTGGGCGGGATGTTGTGTGACGGGTCGTCCTCGTCGACTATGTGCAGCTGAGGACAGTCCTTGGCCAGCGTGTCGAAGAAGTGATCGCTGTCGAACATGTATGAGATGGGCAGGTCGGTGTCCCACCCAAAGCTATTCTCCATCTTCTCAAAGGCCTCCCTGCCGTGGAGGACCGGTGTTATGAGGATTCCTGCGGTCGGGTACGGTCAGTGAACGCTGCTCTGTGATGAACACGACTCTGGCCTCTTTCCTTACCCCCAGCCTCAATGGCGAACCTCACGCAGCCAAGCAAGTTGATCTTCAAGTTGCCAATGCCACCTGCGAGCCGATTACATTCAACTATCCTGTCGTCGCGCCATTTGGCCTCGCCGCACAGCTTCCGCACAGCTGCCCCGTCATAGTGAGTGGTGTAGATGTCGTTGGCCAACGCGCTCTTCACAAATTGCTTCCGCGTCTTCCAGCTGCCTTTCTGTCCGGGGAGAGCAAAATCGGTGAGCTGAGAGCGCAGCGTGTCGAGATCCGGGCCGGAATTACTAGTTATGAACAAGAACAGGACGATTGCCAGCACAGCGGCGGCTATGTATCGCTTGGTAAAGAGGTTGGGCCTGTTGGACGGGATATACATGATGGGCGATGGGTCACTGAGATTCCATGTCGGTTGGGCTTAAGGTGCAAAAAAGAATGTCCGAGAGTTTGGGGACGTAGAGGGGCTCCTGCGCCACCGCGTCAGATGCTGGCGTACATCTGGCAAGGGATAGCTCGAACCTTAGTCGATATTCCGGTAAAGGTCGGATATGCGTGGTATGTGGAGCTGACTGGGACTTCGACGCGTGTATCGGGGGCTCCCAACTTATTCTAATTGTGGAGAAAGCTTATCTGTCCGCTCTGTCCACTGTGTAGAAAGCTTATCGACGTTGGGTTCTGAGACGAAATGTTGATAGATTGCGTTGTCTCAACTCTGAGACATAATCGCATTTGTGCAAGGGAGCGAGCGGCCAATTGCTCCCTGGATCGGGTCGTACGGCTACTGTACTTAGACGTGCTAGACTACCTGAATCCGCAGCTGCTCAGGTAATCTGCGAAAGATGTACTATTGCCACCTAGACTGTCATCTGTGCACCCTTTCTTTGGCGCAAGTGCCGTGCCCAGGTCCAGTCACATGCAAGGAGTCCCCGATTTCAACGGTCCATAATTCTGCGGTCTGAGACATGTGCTCCTGCGCAGCGTGCTAGACACATCAATAATCTTGGAACATTCAGATCAGCAGACGTGACTCGCCATTCCACTATTACAGTGATACTAAGCTATGGATTGATAGCTGCTCTCCCGCTTGATTTTCAACTTCCCAGCAGTGGTAAGGCTGAGGCGGGCCCGACTCCCTGGGTCATGAGTCATACTGCTATCACATCATCTTCTTTTATACATCGCGATATCTTAAGAGGGATCTGGAGCACGTGGGTTCGTTGCTGTCTCCTCATAAGTTGGTTGCGGCATTGCGGGACTCGCCCAAGGCCAACGTTGTGTCTGAGGGTACCATGAGGAATATGTGTGTTGATCAATTCCTTGTGTAGACTGGACCCACGCAGTTTTGAGCGCTTCAATATTCCTGCAGGATCCTTTCTCAAACCAACATGTCTCTCAACGCTGCTGATCGAACTCTCCAGGCATTGCTGCTGTGCCGCACGACACTCCACTGGGCGCTCTCTCAAGTCCCGCTCAACTCCACCTAGCCACGTTTCCCCTGTCGTCTCCATGTTCCTCGAATCCTCCCTCCAACTCCCTACTGGCCGCCGACCATGAATACCGATGGGTCGGACTATCGCGGGACCAGCGCCACATAGACCTGCAAGTCAGTCACCACAAGACCGAGCCAACCTACCTCGCCAGACTCATCCACCAGACGCATCCCAGCGCGCCCCTTCACCTCCCAACCAGTGTTGAGAGACAACAAATGGACCGGGTGTTCTGCCCCCGGCGGACTTGCGCGCGGCTTGACCCACGACCTTGCCCCCGGACCCGGCGAGCAACGGTCACCACTCTTGTTTACCACCATCATCCGTCGTATTGACGGCCGGTTATTTTTTGACTAGGTACGGATGAAATGAAGGCGGGCACACACACGAAGTCGGCGGGTTGTCTTCTCTCCAGTGATGGCGGATGGCGTAGGGCAGGCCAGTTTCCTCGTCTTTGTCGGCGCCGAATTGTGACCTAAACAGTGTAGTCAGCCGTGAGAAAATAAAGGAGGGGGGGGGGGAGGAAAGAGGGCAGGGCAGAGAGGGGATTGGAGAAGACTCACCACGTTTTCCAATGATCTGAGCCGAGGAAACTGCCCGCGGCGGAGAGAAGAAAGACAATGTGGCGCGCATGCTGGCGGCGCCCTGTGTGTGTTTGTGTGTGCCCGCAATCCGTCTTCGGCCGATGGTGGTGGTGGATTTACGCCGTTGTTTCTCGCCAGGTCCGGAGGATCGTGAGCCCCGCGCGACAAGCCCCCCCGAGAACAGTCCACCAAGTCCATCTGCTGCCCCTCTCGCCTGGTTGGAGGGGTTCAGAGCTTACCAGTCAGAGCCATGGCTTCAGAGGAGGCGGGGCGGCTGGTCGGGTTGTGGCTCCTGGCCCGCAGGCTTTCTGTGTTGTTAGTCCGTTGATAGCCCTAGATGTGTGTATCAGTGTCCATGGCCCGCCTCCCGCCCATGCAGGGCAACCCCTGCTTTACCCTTCCTTCAGCCCTATCCACGTCTCCAAGCCTGTGGCCATGCTTTGCTTTTCCTGTATTTGGAATGGCTGTCTGTGTGTTAGGAACGTTCATCAGGCTGACCGATCAGAGGAAGGGCGCTCACATTGCAGCCTTGGCTTCAAGCTCATGAAGGTGTCTCGCATCCGAGAGAGTTTTCCACTGGCTGGGATTTGTTTTTGTCAGTGCATTGAACGTGGCTTGCTTCAGTGGAAAAGACTGACCTTGGATGTTTGAGACCAGATATCAAGCATCACACATGATACTGATGCCGATGATGCATCCACTCGAAATTTTATTCGTGACCCTCCAACTTCTGTGTTCAGGTCTGAGGCCCATGTGTTGGGACTGCCGGTGAGGAGTAGTAAAGGAGGTCTCACTGTTGAACGAGAGCCTTTGGACCTCCTGTTGCCATCGAGGTAGGATGTGGAAGACGTTTCATCCAGTGAAGCAGTCGTGGAGGTTGAAGTGATGAATTGATCATTAATGAAGCAGCTGCAGCAGGTGTTTTCTGCCGGAAGAAGTATGTGTCGCACGTGACGTGAGTTGTTGTACAAAATGGTGGTACAGGAAAAAGAAGAATCGAAAAGTCGTGCAGGTGCATCGGAAGAAACTCGTAGGAGTTGGAAGCGAACCATCGCCGCTGTCATTTTCCCTCCATGCGGGAAACAAGACGAAGTACTCGAATTAAAGGCGTCAAGAAACCTTCGTAAAGAAGCCGCCATGTCTCAGGGACAAGTAGCACAAGAAGAAGCTGGGGTGTACAAAGACCGCTTCGTTCCGTGCCAGCTCCCCGAACTATAAATCGCAAAGTAAAGTCAAGAGAAGTATCGCTCGATTCTCTCGTAATCTCTTGCATGGTATCGTCCTCGATTGTGCGGATGAGCCAAAGCCCTCCGTTGATTGCTCGACGGCCTAGTTCACCGCGACCTGTGGGGCTGGAGCAGGAAGACTCGAGCCGGTGTGAGCAGACAAATTTCCGATGCTCATCTTTGACAGCATAGAGTCCAGGGCGGTGGCTGGACCATCTTCAGTTGAGGAATTGTCGGCAGGAGTAGCAACAAAATCGGAAAGGCCACCGCCAACCTCGTCCTCGCCCATCGCCCAACCGGGAGGGAGGAGGTCGTCATCATCGTCGTTGGCCACACTCTCGGCAGTCTTGGCTGCGCCATCATCGCCACCAGACGCCGAAGGACCGGTCTGTTCCTTGCTGCTGGGCTTCACGGGAGTAATAGTAACAGCAGGGGCGCCGGCCGCAAGCCGTATCAAGGACGCGCTGCATGTAGTCATTGATCCAGGCGCTTGGCTTTGGGGCGGGTAGTCCAGTCGCCAGGCATGAAGCCCTCAAAATTCTTTGTGAAATCCACGAACGCCGTGGTGCTGATCGGCTTCTTCCTGGACAGGAGGCGCTTCTTGGCCTTCCTGTTGGCTTCCTTGAGGTCCTTAAGGGCCTCCTTCAGGCCGTATGCGACCTCCTCTGGCATCCACTTCATAGGGCCGCCGACGAGGATGTTGCGCTTTGCTCGGACGCGCCTGTGCGCTTTGAGGAGGTTGTTGTCGTCGTCTTCTTCGTCGTCGTCTTTGGCGGGAGGGGCGAGAGCAGGTGCCGGCACAGAAGGTGGCGCGGACAATGCGTTGGTGGGGTTAAGACCAGTCGCTCCGTCATGCGCGGAAGGAGGGAGAGTGTTTTCAAGTGGAGCGTTGACTGCAGTATCTCCGGCTGGTTGTTGCTTGAACGACTGGGGCCTGGGAGGTATGGCCTTCGCTGCGCCAAGCTGCGACGGATTGGCAGGCTGGGTAGACTCGTTGGGAGCCACAATCACAGTCGCAGGTGTGATCAGCTCTTGTGATGTGACAGGCACTGTTCTGGGCGGAGGAATCACTTCCGGATTCATAGCGTCCGTGAGTATGGTGGCTGCAGTTTGTGTCTGATCTGGTACAATAGTTGGAGCGGGAAGATCAAGTTCGGGCGCCTGGGGACTGCATGCCGGAGCAGCAGAACAGCGAGAAGCGAAAGCATCGAGTGTCGACTGTTGAGAGGCAAAAGACCGAGGGATCCAAGCGTGGGGTTGAGAAGAGAAAGCATTGAGGGCTGACTGTTCAGAGGCAGAGTACCGGGAGATGTAAGCGTGGGGTTGAGACGAGAAAGCCCGGAGAGCAGACTTCTCAGAGTCAGTGTACTCGAGAGAGTATCGACGGACGTAGACGTGAGGCTGACACGGCTGAGGAGAGACACGCCGCTTCGGGGCGTTGGGGTGAGTGTAGAAAGTCAGGATGGTAGACAGCTCAGGCGCGGACAGATCAGTAGAAAACCGGGGAACGTAGACGTAAGGCTGGGACGGCTGGGGACGAGGCCGCGATTTAGGAGCGTTGTGATGACTGTAGAACTTCAGGAGAGTAGACAATTCCGGGGCTGTCAGCTCAGTAGAGAATCGAGGGATGTAGACGTAAGGCTGGATATCGGCCACCAGACGAACGGGCTGCTGAGGAGGAAGACCAATAACCCCGAGAATAGGCGGACCAGGGACAGACGGCTTAGGAATAGTCGGCTCAAGGACAGGCGGCGCGGGGACGTCTGGTCCGGGAGTGGTATGAGGCTGCTGCGCGACAGGTTGACGGTTCGGCGGCTGAGGAAAGGCCTCGGATCCACTCGCCGGAGGAACGTCCTAGGTTCCATGGCTCGGAGGTTGCAGGCCAGAGGTGCCGTTCGCCGAAGGCGCAGGGACAAAGGTCGAAGATGGGGGGCCAAAGCCCGCAGCCGCAGGGGCGAAGACCAAAGGCGCAGGTGAGGCAACCGGAGACGTGGGCAGAGGAACCAGAGCCTCAGGGAGGGGAGCCGGAGATGTAGGGACGGGAACCGGGGACACAGGGAGAGGAACCAGAGCCTCAGGGACGGGCACCGGAGAGGCGGGGACGGAAGTCGGAGATGTAGGTAGAGGGACCAAAGTCGCAGGGATGGGAGCCGGAGACTCAGGAACGAGAACCGGGGACGCAGGGAGAGGAACCAGAGCCTCAGGGACGGAAGCCGGGGACGCGGGGACAGACGACAGCGGAGAGGAGACAGGCGTGGTCGGCAAGTTGGGAACCGGACCAGCAGCAGCATCATCGCCACACGAAGGCGCACCGGTGGTAGGAGGAGGGGTCGAAGGTTCACCAACGGGGCAAGGAGGCGCGCCGCTCGGCTCGTTGGCCGCGGTAGGGGGCTGCGCATCTCCTCCTTGGGGGGGTCCGCCGTTGGTGTTCCCGCCGTCGCCGCCATCGTCATTCGGCCCGCCAGGCGAGGCGCCACCGCAGCCACCACAGCAGCAGAACCGGCGGGCGTCGATGTAGCCGTTCAGGCGGGCGATTTCAGAGTCCTTGTCCCGGAGCTTCAGGTCCACGGCGCCGATGTGGGCAAAGAGGCTCGCCTGGGAGGAATCGCCCAGGTCGGCCGACGCGGTCTGGGCCAGGGCCTCCTTGCCCCTGGCGGAGATGATCTTGTCCTTGTCCGCGATGATCGTGTCCTTGTCCGCGATGATCGTGTCCTTTTCCGCGATGACCTTATCCTTGTCCGCAATGATCTTGTCCATCTCGTCAATGATCTTGTCCTTGGTCCTCTCCGCTTCCGCGCTGGATTCGACGAGGTCGTTGTGCGCTCCCGCGGCGTCGCCGAGCTTCTTTCCCATGTCCTTGATGTCGCGCATGAGGCGGTTGATCTTGGGCTTGCACCAGCGGCACACCCTGCTGTGGATGCGTTGGTCGCGCTTCTCCATGAGCCCCAGGATGATCGTGTCGCACTTGTCGGCCCGTGCCTTGTCGCTGGCGCTCGCTTTCTTGAAGAGGTCCCGCTCCGCCCTGGCATAGACAGCGTCCTCTTCGCGTGCCTTGACGTCCGCCTTGAGGGCCTCGGCCTCGTTCTCCAACTCGCGAACCTTATTCTGGGACTCCTCGTACATGGTTACGTATCGCATATACGTCTTGATTATAGACTTGGCGTCATTCAGTTGTTCCTGGAGGATCTTGATACATTGACTCTTGTTCGCCTCAGAGTTGATTGCATCTGGCGCTTGGGAGCGGCTGTCGGGCGGGATCAACTGGCGAGGTCTACTGAACCACTCCGAGATGGGCCTCGGGATCTCGCTGACGGGGAGTTTGGATGGGTCGGCGTAGAGGATGAGGGAGAGCCAGGAAAGGGGAGAGTGGGTGACGGTAGCGAAGAAGAGGATAAAGGTGAACACGACCACAGCGGAGGAGGACATCTCGATGTCCGCTGCGTCGCTGTAATAGATGACGCTCTGGACGAAGCAAAAAAAGCCGTAAATGTTGAGGAGGGCCCGGACATGATGGGGCTGGGTGATGAGGTAGCGGACCACGATGGCCGCGAGAGCCCAAAATAAGGCTAGCATAATACTCTCCATCTTGGGCGATCGTAAAGTATCGTCGGATTTTGAGGTAGGGGGATGGTTATGATGAGTAGGTTGGTCGTCGAAGAGGGTCAAAATGCACAATGTGCTCAAACGGAGGATAGTAAGCACCAAACAAATAGAAAGGCGCAGACGAGGTAATAGAAAGTAGACAGAGTTAAGAACGATTTGATCGTATTGCAATTGGCAAAGAATCAATCAAAAGTCGCCAGTGGGCAGAAGTCGTCGTCTCCGTCGCAGTTGTGGAAGGGAAGAAGGAAAGGTTCAAAAACGACAGTCAGGTTGGGAGAGGTCAGATACAAGCTGTGGCAGCGGTGGTAGGGTGGGTCCGTTGGGAGTGCTGCAGCTAGCTTGCATTCAATAGAGACAATTGGCATTCACTAGGTGGACGAGGTGAAGTAGAGGCAGTCCAGGATTCGAATTATCTGGAGTGCACCGGGGATGGCAAACAGAAGGTGGGGAAGCAGTGCACACAAACGGGCCCGGGTTGAGTGCTGAAGGTTGGACCAGACCCATCATCTACCGAGGACATCTAGAGTGACCTAAACGAGCAGTCAATTGTGGTTTACTCTTCGTAGATTGGCGGGACGTGACTGTGTACAGGGCCTCGCTGGTCAAGGACATGCCGTCATCACGGTGAGCACTCGAGCGCCGGTAAACCGTACATTTCTCTACTCTGACATCCCCACTCTATGATACTCCCAGCAGTGAGAACTCCAGCTGGTATGTATGTAAACCACCAGAGCTAAACCATATGGAAAATATGCGGGAGTGTTTGCGAGTGAAGTCGGATCATCGAATTTGGGTGGGTTGACTGTTTGTCTCGACCATGCCACTTCATTGCGGTAACCAGCACAATCAGTGCAAGGTATATCTTCAGAATGGTGCCGGGAAAGCTAGCCATACGGCAGGCATTGGTATCTTCGTAAAGTGATTCGAGAGCGAGTATAGGTTCATCGGGGAGGGTTCTGAACATTCACTCGACCGAGCGCGCTAACTAGTTCTACGCAGCCAGGCGGCCGCTTATTCATTTTTTCAGAGGCATGAATATGTCAACTGGAAAAGGTTACACGTCTGTTCTGATCAAACGCCAGGATGAAGCAGATTCAGAGCATGAAGAGTCGAGCTCCGAGGCTTGTTGCATCAAGGCTCGGTCGGGCCCGACTGTCTGGCATCAATGAGATTTGAGGACAAAGCCTGTCTGCCTGTATGGATTTGCTTATGTTGTGTACAACTTCGGCAATACAATTCGACATACGAGCGGCATTCAAAAGTGCCTGCAGCACTGGCGACGTTGCCTAGCCGGGCGCTTCAGAGAGCAGTTCTCTTGATAATAGCCTGCAAGCTGCTCAAAACCATGAAGACCAAGCCCTTGCCCAGGAAGGCTAAGTTCCTTCCTGAAATACGGCAACTAGAACGGTTAGCTAGGTAGGTATTTTGTTACAGGTCCCTCTGCCTTTGTCCAATGTTGACTTTGAGAGCACAAGCGAATTTGGCTTCAGGAGGCAACAAGTGACACTCCCAACTACGATTCCATTTCTCTCGCCCTGGTGTCCTTGTGCCGCTGCATAGGGGTCTTCCAGCCTCGTCCCGCCGTCAATCAGGCACGTCGAGCTCCTCGTCAGGCTCTGGCACCTCGTACATAATGTGTTGCTCCCACATTTTTTACTCAAGCTTCTGCGGAATCGCATTCGCCGTGCCCGTCTCGGCGGAGGAATACAGCCCCCCTTGCTCGACAGCATATTCGGTGCCAGGCTGCCCTCCGAGCCCTTTGTGGGCGGAAGTCTTGTGTGTGGTTAGACGAGCCAAACTCGGAAGACAAAGGTCACGCAAGACCCCTTGTCTGTTCCAGCAAGCTGGACTTGTCTGACCAATGTGTGCCGCCGTTGTACGCTTCCAACCAAGCATGCTTCAGTGAACACGTTTTGGTTCCATCATCCTGCTCGCTCGTCAATCGGTGTCCTCCATAGGACGGCATATTGACTTGTACCCAGGTGCGGTGTCAGCAGAGGCGTGTCACGATGTCAGCCACAGGGTCAGCCACGACGGGAACTGCTACTCCTTAAAAGAGGCCCCCTCCCTCCTGAACGGCCGGACTGAAATCTGAACGGCCCGTTTGGCGGCATTTTGACTGGATATTTCGTCCCCATCGCGAGGAACGACAAGTTGTCATGGCCTGGCGTGGCTTCAGTAAGCAGGACATCCGGGTGTTGCTGCTGAGGCTAAGAAAAGGACGACTGCTGCTGTCACAACAACACGAAGAGAAGCAGACGCAGACGCAGACGCCAATCGGGGACAGGCGTGAGGTTCTGGCTCTCGGCGCCGACTCCCTGCTCGCAAGCAACACTAGCGGCAGCGCTAAGCCGGCACTGAGTCAGTGGGCTGCTAAATTCAATCCCGCAGGGCAACGGTTCATCTGGAGAGATTTGCTCGCTGGGGCCGATGAGCGCCAAGCAGCGTCATAACCCGACAGGGATCTGGAGGGCTGCAGGCTCGGCTCCACGAGCGCTATGCTGGGGCCGGTCTAGTCTACCTCCAACGTCGACAGGGCCCTCACCTCGAGCGCGTGCATTGATACGCAAGAGGCTCTTGCTGCTTTCTTTTTTGACACCGACGATGCCGCCTCTTCTCCCTTTGACAGGTGCCAGTTGCTCTGCCCGACCTCCTCGATGGCCGAACTGAACTGCCAACCGTAATACCACAGCCTGTTCACCTCCGAATCGACCTCACATCGAAACCACGCCGCCAGCCTCGTAGCGCGCCGGCGCATCCGTCGCCCAACATGGCTGCTGCTGCTGCGGAGCCCGCGCAGCCAGTCCCAGAAGAGCAGCCCTCGGGACAGCAAACACAGTCGCAGGAGAAGCTGTCACGCGAGGGGCAGAACGGGACAGAATCCTCCCAGTCGCAAGGCTTGGACCCGGGGGAGGACCCTCTGCGCAATGCCCCGACCTTCAAGGACGAATTGGCCCCAGACCGCGAGGAGGAAGCGCCCGAAGAGAAGCCCAAGTCGCCTGGCTTTGTCGAGAAGACCATGCAGAAGCTGGGCCTCAACGATGTCCTCCTCAAGAGCATGTTCAAGTCTGTCTTCCCTTCCTGCCTGTCTGGCCCCAACTGCCTCGAGCCAGTGCTGACCAGTGGCCCTTGATTCTACCAACAGAGGCTCTGTTGCACCAGTAATTGGCCTCGCCATATACCAGGCGCCGTCAGTCATGCGGCAACTGACCACCCTGGGATACCTCGTCGGCGTCATCGCCGTCCTGGCCCTCGCTGTCCTGCCCCGCGGCAAGTTCATCCAGAACATGATCCTGAATTGCCTGGCCACCGCTGTTGGCTGCGCCATGGCCATGCTGATCAACTACACCGGCGTCCAGGCCCGCCTGAACACCTCGGATCTCCGCGAGATGGCTGCCTTCATCCAGGCTAATGGCTACGCCCCCTACAACTCGAGCCAGAGCGCTGTCTGTGGCGTCTGGCTGTTCTTCCAGATATGGCTAAGCAACGTCATCAGGGCCAAATACCCGGCCTTCAACGTCCCAGTCATCATCTACAGCATCGTGGTCAACATTTCCTGCACCTTCGGCCCCGAGTTTCCCACGTTGGCCACGGCCGAGGCTTTCATCCAGAGGCTCCTGACCGCCATCTTCATGGGTCTCGCTATCGCCACCGCAGTCTCCCTCGTTATCTTCCCCATCAGCAGCCGACAGGTCGTCGCGAAGCAGATGGCCGGTGTTCTTGGCCTCTTCAAGAAGTCCATCGTGCTTGAGAAACAGTACCTTCAGGGCCTGGAGAAAGAGGACATGTTCGCCCTCGAGATCACAGAGACCTCGGCCGGCCGCTCGGAGCCGGAGAGGAAGGGCGGCAAGAAGGACAAGGGCCCGAAGCTCACCAAGGAGCAGAAGAATGCCCTGGCTCTGCGGGGCACCATCGGGGCGATCAGGGAGCTAATGGGAAAGATCTACGGTGATATGAAGTTCGCAAAGCGTGATATCGCCTGGGGCCACTTAAGCGCCAAGGATTTTGGGGAGATGTTCAACCTGATCCGCATGTGTGTCATCCCAATGACTGGTATTGGCACAATAATGGACATTTTCCAGCGCGTGGGGAGGGAAAGGGGCTGGGACGGCGACGGCCCTGGCGACGGCGGCTTGTTCCAGCGCTTCCAGCCGATCGGCAAGGAAGAGAGCCAGCGGATCTGGAACGACATCATGAAGCAGCTGCACGAGCCCTTCGAGATCTTGTCCGAGGCCATCACCCAAGGAATCGACCACGCCGGTGTGCTGCTCAAGCTGTTTCCCCAGCCTAAGGCACAGAAGAAGGCGGCAGCCCAGAGCGCGGGCACAGATGCCGACGTCGAGGCTTCTGGCGGAGAGCTCCGTCCCGGCCAGGTCGGGTTCTCCAGCGTTATCAATGCGAAAATTGAGACGTTCAACTCCCGCAAGGGTGAGATTCTGCGGCTCTGGGCCAAGGATAAGGGGCTGTGCAGCGATGGGAACTTTGAGAACTGGACACAGGACAGCACCAGGTTGTTTGAGAAGAGGAGGAACGATCAGGCACAACTCTATGTGATCTTGTACCTGGAGAAGTTGGTGAGTGCCCGAACACCTGATGCCGCCCGGCTTTCCCATTCCTCGTAAAGGCTGACCACGGTCCCCAACCCCACAGATGCAAGCCACAGGCGAAGCTGTGCAAGACCTCGTAGCCTTCGCCGAATCAAAGGCAGAGGACGGGACAATGTCCAAGAAGCGCCTGATCTTCCCCAGCGGCCGCCGCCTACGCAAGTGGTTCCTCGGAATCTTCAGCAACGAGGACTCGACGGCCGAGGACTCGCCCGACATCATGGAGACGGGCACCAACGTCGTCTACCTCGGCCAGGGCTGGATGAACAAGAAGGACCCGGAGCACCTCCCCGCCGCCAACGCCTGGGAGCGCTTTGGCAACGGCGTGCGGCGCTTCTCGCGCTTCTTCGGCTCGCCCGAGTCCGTCTTTGGCTTCCGCGTCGCCTGTGCCACCATGACCATCGGCATCATTGCTTTCCTTGAGAGCTCGCAGCGCTTCTTCATACAGCAACGGTTGGTGTGGGCCATGATTATTATAGCCATCGGCATGACCCAGAGTAAGACGCCTTGACTGCCCCTTGAGCCTTAGTGGTCCCGTCATTCTCGAAGCTGACCAAAATTACTCCAGCGTCTGGCCAATCCACATTTGGCTTCCTCTTACGCATAGGCGGGACGTTTATCGCCATGGTCAACTGTTTCATCATTTACTACATAGTCGACCGCAAAGTACCGGGAATTTTCGTCTTCCTCTGGCTTTTCATCTTTGTCGAATATTATTTCTTCTTTAAATACCCGCAATTCATACCCGCCGCTATGATTTGCATCGTCACACAGGTCCGCCAACTCCCTGCACTCTCAGGGGATGATTATTCCGGATTGCGCACAGAGACTGACAGACTTTCCTGCAGGTTCTCATCCTCGGATACGAGCTGCAAACAGACCTTCTCGGAATCACAGCATCGGAGTCCAGTGGACAGCCATACTACCCGCTCTACACACTCGCTCCGTACCGACTGGCCACCGTCGCAGCGGGTGCCTTTGTTGCCTTCTTCTGGACTGTGTTCCCTAGTCCTTTCACAGATAGGACATGGCTTCGAAAGGACCTGTCCGCGGTGCTTTACCTGCTTGCCAACTATTCGAGCGTCGTACACACCACTATGAAGGCGACAATGAGTGGGACTGTCGGCGACATGGAGGTACCCGGAACTCCTGCGCACAGCCTGTTCAAGGTTCGGCGGAAGCTGTTTGGCAAATTGACGTTGCTTCTTCCCTCCCTTCAGATGCACGCAAACTTCCAGAAATTTGAGCCTAGTCTTGGGGGCAAGTTCCCTGAAGAGCAGTATCAAGACATAATATTACGGTCTACTCGGTGCGTTAAGCCACTTCTGAACCCATTATTCGTCGCAAATTCAGCATCTTGCTAACTTCTAGCCTCCATAACAGCATCATGAACTACTGCACCCTGATGTCCTACGTCCTCACCTACCTGGCTCCCAAAGGACCGGCCGAAAACTCCGACAAGGACTGGATGCACGTCCTCGGCGAGGTCTTCGAGGACGTCTCGCCCGTGCACAACCAGATCCTCTCCACGCTGACGCTGCTCTCCAACTCCCTCCTCTCGGGCCAGTCCCTTCCGCCGTACCTGCCCCTCCCCAAGCCATACGAAATGACGCGGCAGCTCCTCAGCATGCCCGCGGACGGGGACCACAAATCCGCCACCAGAGCCGCGCGACACTCATCTGCGTCCTCGGCGTCATCGTCGTCATCCTCCTCTTCATCCACACACTCAACCAACCCCGCACCCCAAAACGCAGACGCCGAGCCCTCGAACTCCAGCCCGAGCACCCAGCACGACGACAGGCAGCAGCAGCAGCACCGAAACCTCGAGGCCCGCAACCTGCTCGACGCCCGCAACATGGAGCAGAAGGGCTACACCGAGTTCGCGGTGCTGCAGGTGTGCTCGACGCTCATCGTCGGCGACCTGGAGAGCCTGATCGCCACCATCGCCGGGCTCGTGGGCACCGTCGACTTCAGTTTCCGGGTGGAGCATACCGAGTCTGATAGCTCCGTTAGTGACCTCGGCAGCGTGCGGAGGGTGGGCACGTGGGCTTCTCGGGCGGCTGAGGCGAGGGCTGCTGCTTCTTCTGGTGGTGGTGGTGAGAAGGGGAAGGGGAAGAAGGATTAGGGTCTTGTCACGCCCATTGTCTTCGGGTGGGCACCTCGTCCCATCAGCTCGAGACAGCTCTCTCCTCTAACCCTGACAGTATCAGCTTCCTCAGAAGTCTGGGCATGATGCTGCCCTTTCAGGCTCGGCAGTGATGTGTGTTTGTCTGTTGCATATTTGAGATACCACATACCGGTCTTCGTGCTGCTGAACGGTATCTAATGAAAAGTCCGAATAGTCGCTGGGACCTTCGGACAGATTTAGCAGGCCTTGCACCCGGTTGCAAATGCTGGCTGCTTTGATATCATATAAATGTTGAGTAGCTCTGTCTGGATATAACAAAACTTGTGTAGCAAGTCTGTGATCATACTGGGTCCCTCCCCTAGAACTCCTGAAAGAGATAGGCACTGCTTGACTACAATTTTGTGAAGTAGTCTTGAGCTTGGGTATGCTTTTGGGAACTGAGAGAATACGGGCCGCCAACCACAGTTTATATAAAAGGAATGACTATACCTAGCATGAATGAGTATCTAGATCCTGAAGGCGATAAGTGAACAGACAACCACCCTCTCTATCCCGAGAGGACTTATCAGTACCAATATCCAGTTACAGACATCATGATTGTACCAGGATAGGTTGGTCAAGCATCCTGCCATCCCTACCCGCTCCTATCCTCCAGTTCATATTACTGCTTGGTTTCGAACTGGGACCCAAAGCCAAGAAGGTCGTGCTTCATGCGATCTTCTCTCTTCTCATCACGGTATTCAGCCCTGCGTGGGGGCTGACGCTGTGAATGACCCTGAGGAGGGGTTCGTCTGCCAGTCGAGCCTTGCTGGGTGGTGGTGCTGGCGTGGTCACTGGAGGAGCCCTGGCTGAGGATGACATGCGTTATTAGCTAAGTGGTGACCAAGTGGTGTAAGGAGAAGCATGGACTGAAACGGATGGGATAAACTATTATCTTACACAGCGGACACCAAAGCAGAGGATATGGTGTAGGTGTAGGGCATCTTGACCTGAGAAGGGGAACTATGGGGATACCGGACAAGTGGATCGTGAAGGCCGTGAATATCAAAGCACCAAAATCGGGGCAATGAATGCAGTGTTTAGCCAGTAAAAAAGTGAAAGAATGAGGTCAGGTATGAATGTAACCACTCAGGATTGGTATTATGTGAAATTGGGATGAAGGTTGACCGTCGTCTACAGGTTCTCGACAAGTGCATGGAAATCATCATAATTTATATTCGAGTAAGAGCAGGTAGAAGAGGAAGGGAGAGACGCAAGTTGATTATCCGCCTTTGGTATACCCCAGGGACGATGCCCTGATGCCGTCCGTCTGTGTCCGAGTGCCATTGCCCTGCTAGAGGGAGGGACTGAAGCCATCAGGTCTGGTGCCATTGGACAGTCTCTTTTCGTGAGCTGCCATTCTTGCGTCTGCCACCAGATAATCTCGAAAGAGATTCAACCACTTCCTGATTGCCTGACTGAGACTCGATATGGTGCGATGTGGTTGGACAGTACCCTTTTGTGCTCGATGCTGAGGCTCAAGGATGCCATAGAACCGCCGCTGCGGTACTACCCACACATGAAACTAGTGCCCCCCAGTTCCCGTCTTACTCACAGGTCAGGCTCTGGAATCTAAACAGTGATTGGCTGCTCTCTTTTTGTTCTATGGGTCTCGCATGCCACAATTTACCTAGTTGTCGCCGTACCTCCTCAGCTGGCTGGTTCTGGCCGGCCGGCCCACTGCTGCATGCCAGTGTGCACCGACATTTGCGGATCTTCCCTGCCAAGCTCGCTGCCGCTTAGGCACGGGGCGGCCTGCCACATGAGCTCCATCCAGTCGTCCATATTCGTCCTGCCTGTCAGACTGTTTTACATCCAAAAAAGATCTTCGCAGGGAGCCTGCATATAACAACCTCTGACTGGCCATTCTCTTTTTGAGATCTCGCCCCCACAAGCACTCATGACGCGTTCCCATTGTTGCACAATGCTTCGGCAAGACAACGTGTTGGGTTGTCTTACACAGTGGTTCGCCAAAAGCTGGCCGCCTGGCCGGTTGAAGCGCTGTTTTTTTCTGCTGGTATTTAGGAGCAGCCGACAGCTGCAAAGTTTGATGCCCATCTGTTTCAGAGGGCAGCCTTTTTCTCTCTTTTATTCACTCCTCCTAGTCCTTCATCTTGTGCATGCGCAGCCGTGGGGCCACAATGGATCTTGCAGAGAGCCATTTGGACGTTCCCTATGAGCAAAGATGGGAACTTCTCAAACCAACTATTGTGAATATTTATCTGGAAGAGAGGGCCACCCTTGCACAACTTGCAGAGCGAATGGCGGATAGCTTCAGTTTCAAAGCGGAGTATGTAGCCCCCATGCCTTGAAGCACCTGCTCATCATCAACTGAGCCATGCCCCCTACCCCCAGCCTCCCCTCCCGCATCACCCACTGCCACAGGCTCTCTGTTATTATTCATTGAGTCTCATGTCATCATGTAGGATCCATCAGTACCGATATCACTTCAAGAAATGGAAGATCAAGAAGCGCATTACAACCGTTGAGAAAGATGATGTGATTACGGTCTTGGGCAATAGACGTCGACAGCATGGCATTGGAACATCCAATGTTCAACTTGAACAAGGGGGCTGGCGCAAACCGGTGGACAAGAAACAGCTCAAGCGGTATATCAACGACTCAATCCGCGCAGAGAAGCCCCTTTCTATTCGGCCTGGCCTGTACGTCGTCCATCGCCTTTCCAAGAAGCCACATCTGACAGCGGCTGGCTGACCACTATTTGTGCAGGTTTTTCAGTCGGACCTTACCGTATTCTGCCTTTTTTCGAAGACTTGGAGGTCATACTCACGACAATCCATCACCACGGAGTAATGGCCCTCCAACTCCGGCCTCTAGCTACCTTAGAGTATCCAGTCCCCAAGATCAGCGAGATGATGCTAGCCCTCAAGAAGGTTTATCACCTACGACACAATTATTGCACAAGAAGGTCCTGATGGACAGAGCCCAGCTCCTGCTGGATGGCCGTGATCTGGAACTAATGAAGCAGATGAGCAGAGATGAAAGAAGGTACGCAACAAGTTGACACTCCAAACATCCAATGCTACGTTTTTCTAATGTTGTTCTTTTCAGGGTCACTGCCGACTGGCTTCATGATTTTTGGATGTACTCTTTCATTACTACGAAATACTGGGGCAAGGGTCCAAAGATCTGGACCTTACCACTGATTACATTCAAGACACGGGCTGGTGTAATCAATGATTTGCCAGAAGACCATTCGAGTAGATCGCTGGAACTCGGCCTTGACCAGCCCCTATCCACGGCCACTGCAGAGATTGAGCCTCCAACGCAATTATGCAACTGGTCGATACACGTTGATTACGATAATATCCGGCACCAGCACATTGATTCACGGCCCGGCAACCCAGCAGATGATCATGAAGACCGGTTCGATGTAGAGGATGACTCAACCTGGAGAAAATGGGGCGAACAGCGTCGCCGAGACCTAACAAACACATTGACTGAAGGCCTCCAGGCCCATGCATTCACAATCCATCAGGCCGGAAACTTGCCACTGGCACTAGACCAAATAGCCAGCGCAGTGTCTGGTTCTAGGAATGGTGCAAATGTTGAAGCTGTCGGATTCACCATAATGACACGCAACGTCAATGCTTTATCCGGGCTTATGTATAACGAACTCATCAATCCGCAATCCCTCCGGGACATGAAGCCATTTCATCTGGCGGCAAAGTTTCTAGACGGCTCAAAGGCTTGTTGTGGAGTGATGTTCGAACTGCTTGTCCACTCGCAGAACAGGGCATCATCCATCGGTGTCAACTATACAGACAATCTAGGCCTGACTGTCCTAGATACACTTTTCGTAACGATATTGCGCTCACACAGCTCGGCCTCGCCTCCGGTTCTTGGGCGGTTTCTTTCCGTGCCCGACTCGAATTTCGAAGGGGTTGACGTTGATATCTGCGGGAGATGGGACGCAGGTTCGCCATGCGTTCGCCAGCTCCATGCAGCTGGAGAGGCAGCTATCCCGAAAGAGTGGAAACACATGTTTTACCATACTTCAGCGCAGGCAGTGTGTCATTGCTTGACAGCAATATTCATGGATGTATGGGTCCCCAACATCAATACGGCCAGCGGCTTGTTCCACAGACGTTGTCAGTCCTGCGACTCAGAGCTCAAACTTGGCCCGCTTCATTCCTTCGTGCTCGTGTGCTTTCACCTGGCGAGCACTGGCAGACCAGGAGAATCGCTTTTCGGAATGCTCGCCTGTCTGGTCTGTCTCCTGACAATCAGAGCTGACCCGTCTTCTTCTGCCGAGATCTCACTCCCAGCTATTCTTGGAGCCGGGGAGACAGAGGACTGCCAGCATCAACCTCTCAATGCAGCTGAGCTGGCTTCGGCTGTGCCAAGTTCTATTGTGGATGCATGGACACCCGAAGTCAAGCTGGGTTGGGAGGCTATTAGAGAGGTCTTAGACCACTGCGTTAGACAACGGCAAACCAGAACCTTCAACAAGAACGATGACTCGGTCAACCTGGCATCAAACCTACAACGTGCTGTGCACAATTACGATGAGGGTAGTGAAGGAGGCTCTGGCTCAGAGAGTGATGATGAGTCTTGTCCGCATTTTGTACACTTGGTGGAATTGGATGCTAAGAGACAGTGTGTAGAGTGCGGAGATGAGCGCCTGGGTATTATTTGGGCTGCCATACAAGTCGAGTTATTAACGTACCGACGACTCGAAGTGGGAGACCCATGGATGTCTTCGGTGTTTGACATGCATGATGTGGTCAAGGGCTTGCGAGCAAGGGAAGATTCAATTCTCATGCGTTTAGTGGAGCATCGAGGGAAGGACACTTTACAGCACTTCTCAACCTGTGGTCTGTTTCTGGAGGCGGCTCATCCCGGATGCGCCAAAAGAGAAGAAGCATGTGCTACGTACTTTGCGAATCTTGATGATCGGAAACGAACAACACTCATAGATAGTGGGATGCGCCTCGAATTTTGATATTAGCAAAGAATGGATACTGAGTCGATTGACCCTTCCTATGCCACTATCCTCTAAGAAAATCTTCATCAAATTCACGTCAGTAAAGGCATGGATCGCCAGTGTGACTCATTGTTTGCAAACAGGAAGAATCGACTTGAACATGACTTCCACCTAGGACTTGCAGCACAGTAAGAGCCATCCAAGGTCAGCGCACATGACAATCAACTTGAAGAGCTGGGGATGTATTCTTTGAAATGATATTTGTAGAAAGCAGCGGCATGATGAAGAGGATAGACAACCTGACTCGCAATGTTCATTTTGCGCCTTATGGCAGTCTCGTTTCCATATGCAGCTGGTACTAAATCTAACAGAGATGGGTTTACAGTTGTACGGGAGAAACGTTGATTTCAACCCTGGTCGAAGGACGCAGAGCTTCTTGTCCAACTAACATCGCTATCATATCACTCAGTGAACACCTGCCTCTCCGTTTCATTTCCAACATCAGTTAAGAAGTATCTTCAATGGCAATTGATTGTGGTGGCATTGTTACATGGCCTCTTTACATCTTGTCCGGGGAGGACTGGATGCATGACGAGGCACACCCTCCCAGCAGACTACTCAAGTCACCACTTCAGTTCAACACCGTCGATAAGTCCCGACTCGTAAACTTCAACAGTCATCTGGGTAGCCTGCCAACCAATCCCACAGCTTCCCAAAGCCGCGGTTCAGATCACAAGCACTGGCACATGCCTCAGCCCTCCCCAGCCGCAAGGCGAAAAGTCCACGTAACGCAGGAACGACTATCCCAAGCGCATAACAAGCCCCAATATTGACACCAAGACATACACACACACCGGCTGGGAATAGAGTTCAAACGCACCGTCATTACTCAAGCCGTCAACCACAGTTGTCCCCACCCAAATCACAAGCTTCAAACACTCACCCGAGATCGATCGGAGAAAAAGACAGAAAAAAGGGAAAAGCAGGAACACGAGGAACCCAAACACGAACATGCATATTGAACAAATCTCCCATATCTCACCTCATTATAGGCACGACAATGTTCATCGCCGATCTGCAAGTTCAAATTATTTAGAGTTCATCGTAGACCGAGTTGTCGGGACATGCGGCGCAGAGTATCCACGGCCACGGCCACGCCCGGACGAGCAATCCAGGCTCAGGTAAAGCAAGCACGCGCCTGTGTCTTTCTTCCGTCCTTGGAAGTAATCGTGGACGCATGGCCCTACCCAGTCCGTCGGCATTGAAGTCCCAAGGACTGGACCTGGTCTAGCAAGCAGTCAGGCTTCGCTGCTAAGCGCGATTGAGCAGTGGCCAGTCGTCTCGTGGTCGCCAATTGCAAAACAGGGGGCCCATGGGACACGGGCGACGGTACAAGTTCGGAGAGAACAGCAACTCTGGGAGGGCCCAGATATGTGAGACAGGCGCGTCCCAGCGGGCGTGGCGCTCATAGACTTCCGCGGGACGGCATGAAGCGTGCCAGATGGGCGCTAAGAAATGTGCTGGGCGAGCTGCCAACCCGCGGCAGGAATATCGCATGTCCCAGGTGAACGGCCATCCCTTGCCCAAGGTCTCAACCCGAGCCGAGCGCATAGTTCTGTTTGACGGCTGAACTACTGTTTAAGAAGGCGCTGCCAGCCTTGTTCTGTCAGGCTGTCGTCATCGCCTAGATGCGCCGACTTTCAGACGAGACCTAAGGCTCCATACGGGTATAGGACGCACTCGAGAAGACTTCTGGCCTCATTTCCTCCCAGCAGACGGCCGCTTGGCTCGGAAACGGGCTGTTAGCTTGGGTACTGGACGATCAGACGTCCCTACCGAACACCGACGCTTAATAAGCATGGATGAAATTCCGTCGGGGGAGATATTCGAGGCTCGATTATGGAGACCAGGAATTGGAACATGCACACGATCGTGAGCAAGGACGGCGAGTATCCGAGCCGGCAGCGACACCGCTCCTTCCCACCCCAGCTTTGCAGACTCCATTCAGCAGGCTGACTGTTTTCTCAGGGCACACGCGTTGGGTTGCGCTTGTGCCCAACATACCCAAGGATCGATTATGAGGCACCCAGTCGTCCGAGAGTAAACACAGCCCAACGGCTGACCGTATCCGTCTTCAGAACCGGCATCCGCGAGGAGATCGACACGGGGCTCTGGGATGTCTGCCGGCAGAAAGGAGGCTAGCCGGGTTCCGGAGGGCCGGCGAGTGCATTAAACATACCCTAGCGTGCATGGCGCTGACTGAGGCCTGAGGTGGCCGTTTTTGCGGCTCGCCCGATTATGAGCCGCTTGGCCCGCCCCATTTTGCAACTGTGCAACGCAGGCCACAGACGGGCAATAGCACGATCTCAGCATGACGACCATTGCTGGCGTCGCAGATAGGTTTTCAATGCTGGGAGATGGATTGGGTCGCGCTGTTCCTCTGTGTTGGTAACGATCGACAGTGACCGCAGCGCTGGCCGCTTTGTTTCAAGGGATCCCCGAAAAGCTTATCGGAGCACTGGCGTCGCACCAGCAACGACTGACGGGGGCGCCCATAGACCAGTCTGGCCGCCAAGATGCTGCTGCCGTTGGCTGCTGATGCGCGCCGCCAGGAACCAGTCCAAAGGGTCGTTTGAGACAATTATAGTTCCCGGGTTCGGGTTGCGAGTCTTGTGCCCAAATCCAGAGAGCGGACCCCTTATCCGCTGATGTCGGTGGCGCTTTTGGCGCCAGATCTTGCATTTGACTGTCCCCTGGCTTCAGGGCTGCAACAGCGCAGGACAGCGGGCGGGCTGGCAGGGCAGGGCAGCGGTGAAGTAGCCCCGATCCGGCGAAGTGCCCGACCAGTGGGACCGGGAAAGCTTGAGTTCGGCAGTGCAGATGAACTTGTTCGGATGAGATTTGTGATCGTCGGTGCCAAAGGCCGTTGTGGCTTGCGACAGAGTGTGCTGTGTTCAACACAGAACGGGATCAAGCAGGCGAGGAGCCTGCGGACTGGCGTCGCGAAATCGCGTGCTACCTGAAGTAATGAGATAGAGATGTGGCCTGCTGTGGCCGGCGGCCAACGGGCCGCTTGCTCGAGCTGGTCGAGCAGGCTTGGAAGTTGGAACAAACGAGTGTTGCTGACAGCATGACTGTCGACTACCCATGTCGTCGGAAATTTCTTGCCTCATGCTGTGGAGAAGCTGGGGAAGGATTGGCTGGTGGTGATTTGCTGCACCTCGAAACATTGTTGCTGACTGATGCAGCAGCTTTCCTTTTTGCCTCGATGCAGACGTGACGGTACACATGCAGGGCACACATCATGATGATAAGACTCGGATCAATCCATGATTCATGCGCCGGATGTGGCGATGGGCAGTCTGGCAGCCAGTCAATCAGTCAGTCACCACTCAGGTCTACATACTATCTCTCAATTTGGAGCCCTGGCCCTTGGACTGATCCGATGAGGCGGGACGTGTTCTCGAAGGCGGAGAATCATTCGATTGATCAGGGTTCTCCCTCGCCGGCTAGGATGAAATGGCAGGGCGGATAAATGCGATGTCGGGCTGGCAGGCTACATGAAGTGCAGCCAATCCCGGCGCTGCAAATGATGCCGCAGCTGTTGAAGAGAATTCAAGACGGAGGCCCTGGAGAGGAGAAAAATTCTTGCAGGTCCGCCTGTCAAGTGCATGACTCGGAAGAAGTAGATAACCTGCAGACTGATGATTCTGTGGCGAGCGTCACGTTGTTGTTCACCCCTGATTTACTCAGGAGATTTTTCTTTTTTTCTCTGGCCGCGAGACAAAGTCTGGAGGTGTGAGAGGGGAGGTGGGAGTGAGTGAGGGAGGGGGGCAGGCATTGTCCCAGGCAGTGGGCCGGTGCCGACTGCCGTCTGTGTGTGTAGGTGTGTGTGTGTGTCTGTGTCGGCTACCGTCCGTTCCTTCCTCGTTCAGAACCGAGCCGTCATCAGTCACGGCCGGCCAGGCCAGCAGCTGCTTGCCGTTCCCGTGCCAAGGAAATTGAGCCTCTGACGTGACGTGGACATGGGTCCAGACTGTCTTGGGGCCCTGGGCTGGGCTCAGCTCGACCTGGGCAACGTATTTGATCAACCACAAAGAGGGCCGTCGGAGTGCTGCGCTGCCTTGTGCCCAGCAGCGCCGGAGAAGAAGATGCTCAGAATCAGGTTTTACACTGGGAGAGGGCAAGCCTAGCCGTTTTGCTTGTAGGCTAATCCACAGATGAGTCTGCTGCTAGCTCACAGCGGCACTGCATCTCTAGCTGAGACACTGGCCCATTGGGTGACAGGCGTCGATGGTCCTCCAGCCGGCTCTTGCTTGGTTGGGCAGGCAGGCAGGCTGGCAGGCAGGTGTACATTCGACATGGTGATGAGGCGCCATCGTCAAGTCATCGTCAAGTCGACGCCGTTTACCCAACGGATTACTACTTGTAGACGTACCGTACGCTAGCTGGACTAGACATGTGCTGTGGAAACGGGCTGCACGTCTTCACATCTGCACATCTGCACACGCGCGGCCGTTAGCCGGGCCAGCCTGCAGATCCCCAGGTCATCAGACCTCACCACAGGGCAAGGCCGCCCACCATTGGAAGACACCAAAGGATATGGCACCATGCCATGCCCAGAAAGAGGAAAGAAAGAGGCACGGCAGCAGAATGGCGCTTTCCTCCTTGCCCTCGGCATGCATCCTCCCGTCCACACATAAGATGCGCCCATACGCCTTCCAGATCCAAACGGCCGGTGCTGCCCAAAAACCCAGAATCAGGAACAGTGGGAGGAGGGCCTTGCCAAAAGCAGCAGCCACACGCAAGCCTTATTGATGCAAGGAAGGTACCTTGCCGGGGTTGAGACTTGGCCAGCAGGGATATTGCCGGGTCCAACGCTCAAACGCATCATAGTGCCGGTGTCCAGCCAGGCGATCATTCATGGCAGACTGGGCAGTCAGTTATCGTAGTACAGAGTATGTTAGTTGCCTGCACCGTCTTGCTGCTGTTCTTGTATCTGGCTTCCAAGGTTGGTCTGGTTGGCTTGCCTTTGCCTTTGCCTTGTCTTCCATCTGCCCAGTCTGGTGGAAGTGCCTGCAGGCTGAGCTCCGCCTCCCGCCCGCCTCCTTCTCTTCCTCCTCTTGCATAGCGTCCACATATCCCCACATTCCCTCCTCCCACGGCTTTTGCTCGAGACCCTCACCCTCGATCACACACACGACCCTACTTTCACATCACTTTGCACGGATCAATTGGCAGTTCTTGCGAACCGTGACAATTCGCAAGTCCTCGTCATCTGGTCATCTGTTCCACCCTGCATCTGGTGTTGTGGGCTGTGGCCTGAGGCACCTCGGTGACGGTCTGGGGACTTCCTTACAACCCCACGCGGCCCTACTCTTCAACTCCCTGCCTCAGCACTCATAGCACAGCTTGCATGAGCGCAACAGTACAGTAGACAACACAGCATTCCACCTCGTACAGACGGACCAAACCTTCTCAGCGCCATCCATGCTCTGATGTCTGTCCATCTATGCGTGGGTACAACACGGACTTCATCCACTCGGCTGCTTCTCGCTCTCCTCGCCTCATCCACATGCCCCGAGTCTCCAGCATCGCAATAGCCGAACCTTATCGACGTGCCCCGATTCCCTGTAACATATCCACTAGGATTCTGTCCACCGTGCACTCTCTCTCTATTCGCCCTGACTACGCGCCCCGCAGGACATCCCGCAGAACCAGCATCAGCATCAGCATCCAGCACCAGCGACTGTTGCACGCCGGCATCTCTGGTCGACTCGAGGAGCAACCCCATTCGATCCTGTGGTGGGCGCTGCCGATCTGCCGGTAACTAAGCAACAAGACCCCGGCGAGCCAACTGCATCAATTCATTCGCTGGTCTCTGCTGCAGAAAGCCAGAGAAAAGGCACCCTGAAAGTCACTCGCGTTTCGGTTTCACACACCTACTCTGGTTGCAGCACGTCTGACCGCATACGCCCTCCGGCTCGGTCTTGCGCGGTGCGAATTAATCGCGTCTGATTCTGGCCTCTGCATCTGCTCTGCCTCTGCCTGTGCACCCCTGCCGAAGTCCACCACATACGGCATAGCCCATCCAAGCAAGGTTGGACGTTACTCCGCCCGAGCAGCATTCTTAAGGTGTCGCCGAGCAAGGTACCTCCAGACAGACCGAGGGACAATCTCCGTTCACTGTCCTGCGCGGCCGTCTCGCCTGGTCGTTCGCTCGCTCGTTCATCCGTTCGCAATTGTGCGCTGGCTGCTTGTCATCGGTCATCCAGGCCACACGCAGGAGCGCAAGATATTGCGAGACACCCAAAGCAAGGTCACGCCTGCGGCTCCTCCCTCCCCTACACGTCCCCGGAGTGACATCCGCCCTCCTGCACGATTCCACAGGGCGCCCACTCGGCCCCGGTTCCCAGACACATCGTTTCTCCCTCCCCCCTGTCTTCCTGCCAGCCCCGCTGGCCTGACCTGACCGTCGTCGTCTGCCGTCCGCATCATTATTCTCGCCCACGCGACTCGCAACACAGTCATTGCCGTACCAGTTGCCATCCACACGCCCCCCTCCACGGCTGCTCGTTGTGTTGTACTGTACATACCATACCACCACCGCCCTGTGCGCCTGCCGCCATCCGAAGCTCTGAACCTTGGGCCCTTCGTCCCGCCCGTCTGCTGTGCTCCAATGGTCGTGGTACATCCCGTGTAAAACATTCTCGGGAGCACATGCACATACTTCTCAATCTGCGACATACCTCGCTCCCACATATGACAGGTACGAACCGCGATCAGCGTGGTAATTAATTATGGCTTTGTGATTCACAGCCAGGGATCCCGTGAGTTTGCGTTTCCCTCCATTCTCGGCCTGCCCTGCCCTGCCTTGCCCTCACCTTGTGCTTGCTTGCTCGCTCGTCCATGCCCATTGCCCGCCCGCTTGCTTCACCCCTTCCATACATGTACCCATTCCTGACCGTCATTTTCACCTCCCCACCGCCCATCGTCAGTCCTTCTTCTGTTTATGCTTCAATGCTGCTGGGACTGTGCACCTCGCTACCCGCGTTCGTCCCCCTTGATCGATCCACCGCCTCGGGTTGTCGCAAGCCTCGCCCAGAGTCTAGGGAACTCAGGCGATCCCTTCCCATATCTCACCCCTTGATGCCTTACGCTTGCCAGCGCACCTCCCCGTACCCGTTCACCACAGCGTCTCCTTTGCAAATCTGGCAAACCCAATCGTATCGACACTGAGCATCGCTCCCTGCACCCTGGCTTGCCAGTTCGTCGTCATACGTTTGAGTCGCCATTATGTCGACCAGAGCCGGTCTGGACATACATAACTTATACTTGGATGCCTCCCGTGCTTCACCAAGTTGGTCACCACTGCCTCTCCCCCTGCGCAGAACACCATCCCTTCGTTTGGGAGCAAAGAGTTCTAACTAGTCATTCATGATGTCTGTAGCAACAGATACTCCCAGAAGACCTGAACCTTACTATTACTCGTCGCGAGGAGCAGTTTATTATACGCCTCGGACTTCTGCTGATAGGCGGGCCCGTCGCGCTGCCGCGCCCGCGCCCGCGAACCCGAGCCTCCCGGCACCTCACATTGGGCCCCGCCAACGCCGCCCCCACTCCATACATATCGTCTCATACCCCTCCGGATTCATTCCCCAAGAGCTAAGACCGAAAACAACGCCCCGAGACATCGAGAGGCAAAGGAAAAGAGAAGAGGAAAAGCGGAAGAAGGAGGAAGAGGACAGGAAGAAACAGGAAGAGAAGCAGAAGAGACAGCGTGAACAGGAGGACAAGAAGCGCAGGCTTCGAGAACAGGAAAAGAGGACCTCACTTGGCTCCTTCTCGGGCGACAAGCGAGTCGGCAGCCTCTTCAGCAAGCTCAAGTCTGCATTTCAGCCCCCTGAGCCACAAAAATACTCTGAAGGTCCTGACGGCACGACCACGCCAATTCCGCGGCCGCGACCCCAAGCGAGGACCAGGGTACGACCTGTCAGCTGGTTGAGTGTTACGAGCCGACTGTCCAGAGTAGAGGACACACCACCCGGCGACGACTCCTCGTCACCAACCTCCGAACTTCAACTGCAAGCGACAGCGGCATCTCAGGCCCCCGGACGACGATCCACGACTGTACCCCCGACAGAGGACCCCATCCCCGAGCACGAGCAAGAGCAAGAAGCCGCTGCGCCTAGCGATTCTCCCGTACCAGATACCCCGAGAACACGGAATCCGGTAGCTGCACCCGTCACTTCCGCACCGTCAGCACCCGCTGTCACAACACCGTCGTCATCCACAATGGTGGACGTTCCTCTCAGGGCGCCTCGCCTGTCAGCCGGACCAGCCATCCCAGCTGGCCACTCTCGCCGGAACAGCTTCATGTCTGTTAGGTCGGCAAAGAGCGCCATGAGCTCCTCGGTCCAGGAGATTCAACAACCTAAGCCAATAGCGTCTGGCAGTGGTTTATCGTGTACGATCATTTTGGCTGAGCCAAATGTCTTTTTGACAGGATTCGATCATGACGGCCACACGAGACACGAGAGCCACAACTCCACCGCACTGCTGCGCGGTAAACTGCAACTCAATGTCACCAAGAACACAAAGGTCAAATCTGTTACCTTGAAGCTCTTGGGCAAGGCGCGTACGGAATGGCCCGAAGGGATTCCTCCTCTCAAGGTTGACATGTACGAGGAGGAGTCGTTAAGAACCCAGGCTCTGACATTCTTCCACGCTATGCACGACGGCTGGGAGACCGAGTACGGGAACCAATGCACGTACAAGCTCAAGGGCACACCCATGAACCTGAATCTGAACCGGTCATCCCTAAACCCTGGGGACTCGGCGTCTGTTCTGCAAATGGGCAGTAGGCACCGGTCGAACATGTCTGCCAAGGAGCTGAAACGTCTGTCCCTCCGCTCTGTCGAATCGAGGAGTTTTGGTAAAGGCGAATCCCCAGTGGCAAATCAGGTTCAGGCAAGGGGTTTCAAAGTGTTCTTCCCAGGCATGTATGAATACTCGTTCGAACTACCCATCGATCACCACCAGCTGGAGACTATCAAGCTCCAATACGGCGCCGTCAAGTGGGAGCTCGAGGCAGCTGTCGAACGTGCCGGCGCCTTCAAACCCAATCTTCATGGCACCAAAGAGGTATCAATCGTCCGTGTTCCTGACCAGATGTCGCTTGAGACCTCGGAGCCGATTTCGATATCTCGACAATGGGAGGACCAGCTGCACTACGATATCATGATATCGGGCAAGTCATTCCCCATCGGTGCCAAGATCCCCATCGCCTTCAAACTCACACCGCTCGCGAAGGTGCAAGTGCACAAGCTTAAGGTCTTCGTCACTGAAGCGATCGAGTACTGGACCAACGACCGGAAAGTGACGAGAAAGGATCCTGGGCGGAAGATCTTGTTGCTCGAGAAGACCGCTGGAAAGCCCCTCGACAAGCAGTACGAATCTAGTCAACTGCGCATCCTCAGCGGCGGCGAGCTGTCCCCTGATGAGCGAGACGTCGCACGTCAAGCCGCACAGCGGAGAAGGACCATCGAAGCTCAGCGTACACATTCCTCGGCAGCGCCCCTCCCAGAGCCTACCGAGAACTTACTTGGTGACCTGGATCTTGGCCTGGAGACATACTGGGGTTCGACAGAGATGGAAATGAATGTGCAGATGCCAACATGCGAAATGATGGCCAAGGATAAGTCACTGAGACTGCATCCCGACTGCAGCTGGAAGAATGTCAACGTGTACCACTGGATGAAGATCGTGATGCGTATCTCTCGTATCGACCCAGACGATCCGGCTGGCAAACGAAGACGGCACTTTGAGATCAGCATCGACTCGCCTTTCACGGTACTGAACTGTCGCGCGACACAGGCTAACACAGCTTTGCCCGAGTACAACAGCCCAGACACCAGCGGAACGCGTCACCAGACCTCGTGTGGCTGCCCAGATGCACAGGTCTTCAACTCAGGCACCACGCCGGACAATTCCAGTGGAAGTCTTGTCGACACCGCACCTGTCAACGCCGCGCTGCCCATGCCACCGCAAGCGGCTCATCTGCACACGTCCTCGCAAGGGATCAATGGCAACTCAACTGCTGCATCCCCAACTGCCTCATCCCCAACGACGGCTACCGCAGGCGCTGCAGGACCAACTTCGAATCCGGTGTCCCCGAACCCCCTGCAAAGAGTACGAGACCAAGAGTGCAATCCTAGACCGATGCACCTGCTTCGTTACCCGTCCTTCGACCCGCCACCATTTGATTACGACCAGGCGCCTCCACCACTGCCCACTCCTCCACCCAACTACGATATAGTGGTTGGCACTCCTAGTGTCGACGGTTTGGCCGACTACTTCCAGCGCCTATCGCACTACGAAGACCCAACCCCGAGCCAGGTCGAGGATGACTATCTGGCTGCAGGCGCCGTTGGCTCAGGTGGCGATGGTACCGATGACATCACGCCTCCTGCGCGTCCGGTGGCAGACGAGGGTGAAGACACGGAGGTTGAGTCCGACTCTGACTCGGCTGACGAGCAAACACCGGCGAGAACCGTGAGCCGGGTTGGAACTGTCAACGTGGCCAACCCGCGGACACCTGGTGGAAGGCTCGTGCCGAGCAGGAGCTTCGAAATCGAAAGACCCGCAGCTGACTTCGCCTTGAGCATGGCTGGGGTAGTCAGGAGGAATGGAACCGACAACGCTTCTTAGGAGGAAGATTTTGTCGGTCACGTCTTACTCCTATTTATGATATTGGCAACACGAGCGACATTTAACGGACATTACACTACGGGATACCATTCTGAGGAGATCAAAAAGTGGGATTAGAGGCGGGAAGGGCAATGGTACCATCAGCCTCGATTTGGACACGAAGTTATTAGGCATCAGAAGTGTCTATACCACTCCTTTGGCGCTTTTCCCTTGCTGGAGGTTTCCAAACGGGGCACGATGAACACCAGAAGCAACTTTGGAGGCAGCGCCATTTGTAGGGACCTCGCAGAGCTCTGATGGCGATCACCTGCCTCACAAGATCGACGCGTTAGACTGGTTTGGAGAGGCACGACGCCACGGCAGATACCAATCACATAGGGGCGTTGGAATTAATTTCAAAAGGGCATGTACTTGAATAATGTCGCCCTCGTGTGTATATCCTTGTGTACATACACCTGCTATGCCTGACCTCAGGGGGCGTTCATGTATGCATTCGTGGTTTTTTCGACGAAAACATCTGGGGACACGGGGTTTCTTGGATGATTACGATGGTGAGCATCAGCGTCATTTTATTGTCGGCAGCATTGGATAGATTTTTGGATGTTCACACCATTTTGGGAATTGAATACGATACTGTTATGTGAGCTCTGCCGCGCGATGTGAATGTTGTCCACAGGCCCGCCTCTGGTTGGTGGACCACGGTCTTCCTGTGCACCGCTTGGAGTAAGCAATGTCCGAGAAGTAACATCAACTTATATCTGCCACCATTGACCGGGCTGAGTTTGGCAATGGCCGTCTGAACTGCCGTTGTGCGGTTTCCCCGGCTGAACAGGAAGGGGGTCAGAGAGTAAGCGGGTTTCGTTGCCTGTCCATGGTAGTGTTGACGGTAACAGATAGGGACAGAATTCTCATGTCAGTTCGTTTCCCAGTATGAGAAGTGGTATCAAATACATCATGCAGTGTCGCTCCAAATCAAGTCATCCGCCAACCGCTGCCCTCACGCCACAGAAGATGCCCCTTCGCCTGGCCCCTCCTCCCTCGGCAGACCATGATCGAACGGCTTCCTGCCATACACGAAATACACACCGCAGTACGAGTGTATCTTCCTGTTCATGAGGTCCTTCTTGACGTCGACGAGGAAGCTCAGCACGTCCTCGGAGCTCCACCCGAGCACGCGGGTGAAGAGCGCGAGCGACATGCTCTGGACGCCCTCGAGCAGGTTCTGGCAGCACATGGCGCCGAGCAGCTTGTTCTTGTCCCCCCGGGGCCACGTGTTGAAGGCGCAGGCGGCGTGCCTCTCGACGACGCCCTCGAAGCCGACCTCGCGCATGTACCGCCCCCACTCGAGGTTCCCGCGCAGGTCCTTGCCCGCGCGCAGCATCCCCTCGTCCATGAGGCGGTTCCACTCGCCCAGCGCGGTCCCGTCCATGGACCCGTCGTCGCACCGCAGCGGCATGCACGGGTCCTGCAGCTCGAAGAACCCGCCCGGGGCGAGGTTGTCCCAGATGCGCTGGACGATGGCGCGGCCGTCCCGGAAGCACGTCACCATGGCGCGCGCGTGGACGTAGTCGAAGGGCTCGTCGAAGCCCCACTCGGCCTCCTCGGCGTCGCCGATCTCGAAGCTGCAGTTGCCGGGCACCATGGCCGGCTGGATCGGCGACAGGTCCGTGCCGATCACGGTCGACCCGGGGTACTCGTGCGCCATCTCGATGGCCCAGATGCCCGTGCCGGTGCCGAGGTCCAGGACGCGGCGCGGGTAGACGAGCGGGGCGATGTGGAGCTTGCCGTCGAGGAAGATCTTGAAGGTGTGGTGCTGCAGGTCGAGGCGCTCCTGCTCGATCTCGTCGTTGGGCAGGAGGTATTCTGTGTGGTTTGGTCAGCAGAGTCCCTGGATGGCAGACAGGGAGGCTCCTTTTGCGAGCCGGGGAGCGTGGAGTGACTTTGGGTGGCTTACTATCTGAGTTGAAGGCATGATATGTGCGGCCGTTTTCTTGTATGAACCTGTAGAGGTTGGGCTCTAGGGATGTCGTCGAGTCCCTGCACGAGTCTCATCAGCACGCGGGCGGCCCAATGTCTTGCTTGCCTGCACGATCCCTCCCGCCGGTGCATGCTCGTCTGCGCACATGATCCTCAGCTGCGGCGGCTGGGCCTGCAAGGGCGCTGCTGCAACGGGAACAGCCAAGTTCAGGGGGGGCACAAGTGGATAGCGCATACGCAAATGAGAACCCCAGGCCGGAGTCATGATCCTCTCCCTGCGACGCAAACGAGGTCAGCCCTGTGCTCCACCATGAGAGATACGCTGCTGCGATGGGCGATGGGCACAGGACTTACGCCTGAGCCATCCGAGACGTCGAGATGGGCCGGCAGGTGGAAGTTGTGTTGGGTCTCCTCGGCCACGAGGCCGCTCTCGCCGGAGCCGACAGCTGCGTTTGACGATGATGACTCGGCGATGTCACCTTGTCCGGCCGAATCCTGCTGGCCCACGTTGGTGTCCTCCATGACAGCTCGGCGGAAGCACCCGGGGGCTGGGGCGGAGAGAGGGGGGGCCTCTGGGAGGCAGTCGCAGAATTCTCCGACGGTCACACTGTCTGACGAGATCCACTCGACCTGCATGCGAGGCTCCTCACGATATGTGCGCTGGACGGATGTATGTACAGAAGAATCCACTCCTCGCGGTATGTATGAATCAGGGTCAATCTCTTTTTTTTTTTTTTTTCCTCCTCACATCCTAGGGATCAGGCTATCTCTCAGACGTCATAAAGGCAGAGCCATCTCGGGAAGCGGGCACATGATTAATGCCAACGGGAGCGCGACGAAGGAAGGCTTGGGATGGGTTAGGCGGTCGCTCGGCAGTGGGACTCAGCCAAGGCGCCCCCCCGTTCCGAGGACACAACAACCTTGGAAGAACAACACGCGCACGGCAAGTGGGACTCGCGTTTCCCTTCCCCCCCATCAATCCTGTTCACCCGTCGGCTGAAATAAGGGGCTGACGATGGTCCGACCGGCCACTATCTAAGAGCCGTTTTCCCTCTTTTGCGTAAGGCGGGCGAGCTACAGTGAGCGGTTCCTGAGCGCCACAAGAGCAAACACCCCACTGGGCGCTGTGCCGCTTCGAAAGTTCCTTACCTTGGCGCGGTCACATGTGGGGGGGAAGGGGGGGGGGGGCAGCCCAACAGGTTTTTTGGCTCGGCCCGGGCTGGGCTCGGGCCCGAGCCGGTTGGGAAGGAAGCGGGTTCTGGCCTAAAACGGCTCGCACTGGGTAATCCAACCAATCCAACCACAACCCTGGTATCTAAAAGGGCAATATACTCCATATATTTCACATGGAAGCATCTAAATATTCAGATTTATGACATCAACCTCATAGACCATAAATCTACTTGATCAGGTCTGCCGCCTTCTCCGCAGCAGCATAAACCGTCGTCTGCGTGTTCGCCTGCGGGATCAGGGGCATTACGCTCGAGTCCACGACGCGCAGCCCCCTCGACCCCGTACACCCTCAGTCCCGCGGCGCCATGCAGCACGTGCCCACGGGGTGGGTTGTTGCTGAGCGCCGTGGCGCGGATGTAGTCCCTGGCGCGCTCGGCGGTGTCGGCCCTCGCCCCGTGCGGCCCGGGCTGCGCGCGCCGCCCGCCGGGCTTGAGCAGCGCGGCCAGCGGCTCCGTCGCCGCGAGAGCCTCGACCGCCATGAGGTGCCGCGCGTACACCTCGATGTCGAAGGGGTGGCTTAGGTAGCGGGGGTCGATGGCTGGTGGGCGTGGACGGGTCGGCGGATGTGTTGTGGCTGCTCCCGCGCGAGAGAGGGTGCACGAGGGCCGCGCCGATGCTGAGGTAGTTGCCCTGCACCGGGTCGGTCGTCATGCCGATCTGCTTGGGGCCGTTGTGCAGGTTCACTTGGACGGGGAGGGCGAAGAGCGCGCCTGTGCTCTCTGTCTTGGCCTGCAGGAGCTTGGTGAGATACTCGGCCGCGGAGCGCTGGTTGGCCGATGTGGAAGGGTCGTTGTTTGTGCTGTAAGTCCTCGATGGCCTGCTCGAGGCTCTTCTGAGCACCCGCGTCGAGTTTCTCGATCGTGCCCGCGAGGATGGGCGTGAAGGCGTAGCTCATCAGTGCGCCGCTTGCCAGGGGGTCCGGAGTGGTGCTCTTGGTACAGCTGCATGAACAGCTCGAGCACCCCGGGCTCCTGCCGGACGAGGGGGTCGCCCGTCATGACGCCGTCGGCCACTTTCGAAGCTGACACCCGTCATCAGGTGGTCCTGGAGGTTCTCGCCGACGCCGGGGTTGTCCACCTTGCAGGTGATGCCGAGCCTCTGGAGCAGGGACTTGTCGCCGATGCCCGAGAGCTCCAGCAACTTCGGGGTCTGGAACGCCCCGGCCGCGAGGATGACCTCGCGCTTCGCCTTGACTTGATGCTCGCCATCTTTGCCAGTGAACACAACGGCACGAGCCGTGGAGCCCTCCAGTACGATCTCCCTGGCATTGGCGCCGGTCGACACGTCCAGATTGGGGCGCTGAGACGCTGGTGCATAGTAGGCACTGGCAGAGTAGCTGCGCGTCTTTGTCGCTGGATCAATGCTCGCCGGGCAGCTGGAAGGCGCCCGTGGAGTGCCCGCTGAAGGGATCAGCAGTGACGCCGCCGCCGAGCCTCTCGAAAGCCTCGGCCCAGGCCTTGCCCAGGGGGTTCTCGGGCGAGTCGGTGAAGCTCGCCTGGACCGGGCCGCTGCTCGCCGTCACCTTGTCGTCGATCCGGCTGATGCCCACGTGCTCGCGCAGCTTGGCACCTGGTGGCACCAGGGTGTGGAACTTGCGGAAGTACGGGCCCAGAGAGTCCCAGCCCCAGCCGCGGTTCCCCAGGGCCTCCCACTCATTGAAGTCCTCCGCGGAGGGCGGGACAAACACCTCTGCGTTGAGGCCGCTTGATCCGCCTAGGAGGCGACCTTGCGGCTGGCCGATTTGACGCCCATTGAGGTTCTCCTGTTTGCAATATTAGTCTCTTGTATAAAACACCTTTCTCGGAATGAAAGAGTGTGTGACGGGAGAGGGGTGATGACGCACCCGGGGTGTCGTCAGGAAGTCCCAGTCGAGCTCGGTGCCCAAGATGGCGGACCACATCGCCGGGACAGCGATTCTGGGGTCCTGCAGAGCATTGCTGCCGGCCTCTAGGACAAGAACAGAGATATCTGGGTTCTCGGTCAGGCGTGCGGCCACAGCCAGGCCGGCAGTGCCACCGCCGACGACAACAAAGTCATACTCGTCCTGCTTTGGGGCCATGACGTCCTCGTTCCCTTTCGTTGTGGGGAATGATGAGTCGTGGGAGACGGTAAATGAATGGAAATACTTTACTGAGATGTCTGTTGCGATGGTCGAAGAAGAACCGAATTTTATGGAAGTTGGTAACAAGTGGTCCACCCTATCCGTACAAGCAGAAAGCAGTAATTAGACTAGAGCCAACAGCAGGGCTTCGGGAAACTCATTTGCTGAGCCGTAATGTTGGCTGTAGTCTATAGTTTCTCCCGAGATCCTAGTGTTGTGTGTTGGCCACCAACAGGTGCATTTGATACGTCGTGGAGAAGTGCTTCTTGTGCAGCATTACATCGCCGTACTCCACAATTCCAATCAAGCAACAGCCTCACAGTGGCCTGAGTAGGCTGAGAAGTGTTGTGCCGCAGCCGTGCATGTGGTTGCGCATCTTGGTGGACTTGCTAGTGGGGAACCTGTTACCAACAGGTGCTCGATTGATCCTCTTGCAAAGGTTTACATTTCCCTTGCCCTGTAAAAGCAACATCCATAATCGGCCCTGAAGACGGCCACGGCGCCTTCAAGCACTCAAATGATGTAGCTCCTTTTGTACTACTGCTTCTGTTCAGGCGGTAGGCTATTGCGAGAGGAATGAATTGCACGAGTGGGGTTAAAGATGTTCTCTTTGTTTCATTTCACAGAAGCGTGGCTGTGATGCGTCGGGTTCATCACAAATGGGAGGGCTGTTTCCAGGAATAGATCGAGTCATGGAAATGACCCAGGGATGACCCCGTGCCGGCGGGCATCTCGCTAAGCCTTTCCGCTCATCTAAGTGAATCGAGTCAAAAAGGCCCGGAGGCTGTGTTATATCGATTGCCAATATACACTAGATAACAAAAGTCTCGACAAGTGAAACGGGGGAGGGGATCACTGGCAGTGCGAGTGCTGGGGCCAGGGCCTTCGTTGAGCTCGGGTTTCGGTTTCCGTGTTGTCTCGAATTCATCGACGGGTTGCTGGACAGAAGATAATCCCAGTTACTGCAACCCCGAGCTCAAGCATGTTACGAACCGCGAACCAGCCTCACAACTCGTTCAATCCTCAATGAAGGACTGGCAGAGAGCGTGATATCTTTTGCGATGGGTCAATCCACAGTTTCTTTCCGACATTCTTGCCGCAGTAGCGCTTGTATGTACCATCTGCTTGTTGCTCTGCGAATATCCGTTTTCAATGATGAACCCCCCCCCCCCCCAACACAATTTCCCACACTACTACTTTTTATGATAGCTTGATCGATCAAGACGAAAAAAAGAGCCTTGATCTAACAGCCAGACTGAATTTGGCACGAGACCTTGCAAATCCCAGCCATCGAGATGCCTCCACCGGGACCTGCTTGAAATCCGTCACAGAGCTTGATACACTCTCTGTATCTGTCATTGCAGCGAGCGGCGAGCTCTACAAATATTTGTTAGCGATCAAGTAGTCTCTTTTTTGTTTTGATTAATCGAGCAAGGAGAGCTGCCCACACAGAGTTTCTGAGGGGCCATCTCATAAAGATGAAGAACGTACCAGCTGGTTTCTCAGCATCCGGAGTTGGAAGTGCGATGGCAGTGGCCATAATGGCAGCGGTAATAGCGGCGATGGAGAAGCGCATCTTGATAGTTGAGATGATGGTATTGTGTTAAAAGCAGAGTGTGGGATTTGGCTTGAGTGAATGTGGTGTTTGTGCCTGGAGTGGCTGACTTTGAAGAAACATCTAGACGGATATCAGGGCTCTCTTTACAGCTTTTCTCAAGCTGGACTTAAGCCCATTCTACTCCGACTTTCTCAACAATCCCCTCCCCCTTTATCCGCAAGGAAGATAGGATTTATTCGTGTTTTACATAGGTGAAACCAAGGAACGCCGTGTGACTACTTACGAGGCTGGGCATTTACATGCCTTCTACAAGCGACACCAATAATTCGCCGTGTGGTTGCTCATAAGGCTCAGCTGTAAGTCCAGGCCCAGTTGTAAGTCTGCAAGCCTGTGGAATGCCTTGAGAGACGCATAGTATAGTTCTTGGCAGCGAAGCTTTAGTTGGATCCTTCAACTCCTACCTCCCCATGGGGTGAAGGCTGGTGGGGTGTGGGGCCTGCGGCAATTGCTGCAGGCCTCTTGTATACCCCTTGTTTAACGAGGCTTACCACCCTAATGCTCTACGACTGCAGCCTAACAGGCTGCTGATCCTCCAAACATCTCCTTCCCTTTCTTTCTTAGGCCAGCCTGCTCTTCAGATCCACATCTTTCAGCCGGAGACCCGTATCCATCCATCTTCATTCCTCAACGTACCACGCACCGAGTGAGCAGGGGAACATCCTCCCAATAGCCGCCCTTGACAGACGGTGTCATTGATAATTCGTACGACGGCTTGAAAGACCCAGCCGCCCAGACCACGTATCCCAGGAAGACATCCGAGTTGTTGCTAGTAGAGCAAGGAATGTGAGCCAGCCCGGATCAAAACGCCCGAGCAACCTCGTCTGCGGGGGGCTTCGACTTACTCCAGATATCTCAGCTGCTGACAGAGATACTTCTCGCAAGAGGGTGTGTCGCCACCCCCAGTCTCAGTCACGACCGCCTGCCTCGCGTTTTCCCGCAGCCACTTGGCCAGCGGCGCCCAGTGCTCCTCAATGCCGCTCGTGACGCACTTCCTGCTCGTCCCGGAGCCGTCAGCATCGAGGTACAGATGCACGTCGAACACGAGGTTATCAGCCGTCCCATCCGGGTTGGTCACCTGCTTCAGGACATCCCCGTCGCCCTTGGCGATGAGGTAGCCCGGCGACTGGTGACCCCCGCCCGGAAGGGAGACGAGCTGCGTCGCGGCACCGGCCCCTCTTATCGCCGTGACGGCCGCCTGCACAGCACCCTTCCACTCCGGGAGCGAGCGCAGGTCGTAAGGCTCGTTCATGGCCCCGAACCAAACCCTGTCTTCGTCTCTGTACTTGGCCGCGACCCGGCCCCAGAGGTCTGCGAACTGGGCGACCGACGGGCCGTCGCCCTCCCCGATCCTCTTGCCGTCCCACCGCGCGTAGTTGTGTAGGTCGATCATGCAGTACGCGCCGGTCGCGAGGCACCCGCGGACAAGCTGGTCGTAGTGGCCGAAGTTGGTCGGGTCGAGGGGCCCGCCGAGGTCGTTGTTGACGAGGTACTGCCAGGAGACGGGGAGGCGGAAGATATTGAAGTTGTGGTTTGTGACGAAATGGGCCATCTGGGCGGTGCCGTTGTGGAGGGGGTCGTCTGGGTCGGTGTATGCCGGGGCGACATTGGGCAGTGGTGCGTCGATCTTGCTTAGGTCGCAGAAACCCTTTTGATTGCTGTATGACAAGGGGCGTTCGCAAAATTAGTGGCTGATTTGGTTGCGGTGATCCGCATGATGGTTACTCACCATCCGAAATCGAAGCCACAGATGTTTAAGCCAACAAATTTGGCCTTGCCTTCTTGGCGGGACACATCGTCCACGGTTTTGAGGTTGGCTGTGTCTGAGTCACTGGACCCAGCAAGGTCCTCGTTCTCTCCAAGCTCATGATCTCCGTAGGCAGACCCAGCAAGGAGTAGTGTCGCAGTCAAGAACCTTCGAAAGGCCATGATGGTAAATTCTCTTTGAGACAACTGCTGTCAGTGAAGACTTGTTGTTCTTTGATGGTCGGGATCCGAATTGGAGATGACCAGGGAGTACGGTTCGTTGACAAAGACGTCAGTCCTCGAGAGAGATGGAGACGAAAAACAAAGACTTGGATCGTGGCTGCTCGCCACAAACAGCGGAGTTCACCTAAAAATCATTCAATTGTTTCTGAGTGAATGGAAAATGATAAGATGCTTATTAATGCAATACCAAGGAAACCATAAGCACTCAATCTGCATTGGTACCCTGTCATGATCTACATGACCAACGCTCTGTATATTCCAATGATGCCATATTTGACCGGAGAAAACGTACTTCGTCTTGTTGTCAATTTATCAGACCTCCAATTTCTCAAAACATTTCATTGTGTTAATTCTACTACAGTCTTTACAGACACATAAATAGTACAATGGGGGTGCATGCGTGATCCCAAGATGTGGTCCATTGGGAATATCCATCTGAAACGCCCCTCACCATCAGCATCGAACGCAAGTGCTGAGGCTCCTTTTTTCCCGTTTGTTGAGTCGTGCATCAATTTGTCCCCCACCTCTGTTCCAAGGAATGCAGTGGTTAGGCATTCAAAGCTCCCGTTTAGTACCGTGTCAACAGTTTTTGCGCCTTTGACACACATGGTCCACTCATTACAGAAGTTCATGTACTGATGGTGCAATTCAGATGCTGTGCATTTCATGGGAGAACCATGGTTGGTATGATGAGATTCATGAATGGCCACGCTCATAACCTGTTGCAAATGGGTACTTTAGAATCACTAGGTTGTAGTATACCTTACTAGCTTATTAATAAATAAACTCATATTCTTAAAGTAGTATAAGTTATTGTCATGAATAGTTTTACTAATATAATTTATTAGAGTTTATGGCTTTCTTTTTAAAGAGAATGTATATGGGTTAAGAAACGAAACCAGCAAAACCAGTTAAAGAAATCAAGCACCTCCTGGGTGTCATTGAGTAGTAAGAAGGCATTTTTATCGTGACACTTCTTCCAGCGCGATACCATCGACAACTCTAGACCTCACGCCGCTACCATTACTGTGTCGAATCACATCAGCAGAAGCCATCAGACCGCCGGCTGACTCCCCACTGTCGTTGACTCCGCCTTTATTGTTCCCATCCTCCTCAAGGCCAAACTCGGTAGCGTTCTCCGTCCGCATCAGGACCTCATTTTCTAGGAACACCAGAAGCAGGCCAAGGCCGGCAAAAGCCACCAAGGCATAGAAGACGATGTGAATGGCGTGTTCAAAGATGGCAATAACGTGATCCCGGAGTCGGCTATCCGACGGCCCCAGGGAGTCTAGGAAGGCTTTGGTGGCGAGCCCGTAGGCCTGACCGTCGGCAAGGCGTGCGGCCAAGGTCGGGTTCGTGGCGAAAGCCGACGGATCGGCCGTAACTTGCTGCTTTACGGCGTTGTTGAAGATGACTGACGGAATGGTAACACCCCAGATGGCGCCGAATCCACGGAAGAAGCTGTACATGCCGGATAGAAGTTGCGGCGTAGCGCTCCTCGAGCGGCGCTTGCAGCGCTGGTATCAGTGAGACGCTGAGCGCACCTAGACCAGCGGCACCCAGTATTTCAAAGCATGCCCACGCCGCCGTCGAGGAATTGCGGTTGAGAGTACTGAATAGACCAACGGCAACAAGCATGGCAGACCAGCCGAAGATGTGGATCGGCCGATACTTGCCTACCTTGGATAGCAACGTGCCAGCAACGATGGCGAAGGGAATCACAGCGGCGGACATGGGAGCAAGGCCAATCCCGGAATTCAGTGGGGATTTCGCAAGCACGCCTTGAAAGTAGACAGGCAAGAAGTAGAAGGTGCCATACATGGTTATCGAGTTGACCAGGGTCATGGTAAGTACTGCTGCCGACGTGCGATTGGACACGATGACGCGCAGAAATGAGGGCTCTGGAGCAAGTCGAGGAGTCCACTCAAAGGCGATGAAGGCCAAGAGACCCAGTAGACCGATGACGAGGGGTGTAATAATCTGGGCGCTGTTCCACTGATACACAGGCCCGGCCCAGGTCATTGCCAACAGCACGGCGACGACGGCCCCGATAAAGATGGCGTTGCCGCCGAAGTCGAGCCGTCTGATCCTGGACCACAGGCTCTGACCACGCCGATGCTTAACGCGAAGGAAGAAGAAGAACATGACGAGCGCAACGCCGGAGAGGACGACATTGAGATAGAAGACCCATGGCCAGCCGAGGTCCACGACGACCAGGCCGCCGACGAAGGGTCCCCCAACGTAGCCGAGGGTGGTGCCTATTTGAACCAGGGCAATGTACTTGCCGCGTTCGCGCAGCGGCACCAGGTCCAGAATGACGGTCTCGGTGAGGGTGTCGACGCCGCCGCTGCCTATGCCTTGGATGGTGCGGGCCACGATGAGCATGGCCATGGAGCTGCTGGCGCCGCCCAGGGCGCAGCCGAGAACGAACAACGAGGCGGCACCCAGCAGCAAGTTCCGGCGGCCGAAGACGTCGCTTACTTGGGCAAACAGTGGGAGCACTGCGATGGAGGCTAGGAAGAAGGCGTTGGGCACCCAGAGGTACAGGTTGCCACCGCCCAAGGCTGCGACGATGGTGGGCAGGGCGTTCACGACGACGGTGGATTCGACAGAACCGCAGAGGGACAGGACCGCAATGGACAGCATGACGAGCCAGAAGGCTCGCGTGGGCTTGAAGGGTTTGGTTTCGGCGGGAGGAGAGGTGGTCGTGGCATCTTGGGCTTCCCTTGGGGAAACGCGCTGGTGGTGCTGATGCTGTTGCTGATGCGCGTCTGCAGCCTTGTCCAGGTCGATGCTGCTGCTGGTGACGACGTCCGATGGGTCTACGGTGGCGGTCTCGGTAGCCATAACGAGAAGCCAATCATCAGATGCAACCTGTGCTGATGAGGTAGAGAGCAGTGGTGTAGAAAGGGAAAATGGAATTGGGCATTGGAGAAAAGGTATGCTGACACCCTCCTTACGTTGATGTGCACAGGCCGCATGTACTGTGCGTGTAGCAGCGGCCAGGCACTCGAACAGGACATCGCAAGGCACTTCGTAGATGCGGGGTTAAATGCTTGGATTAATTCACCTTCAGGTACAATCATTCCCACGTAACTAATAAGAATACGGAGATTCGCAGAGCATAAAAGAGACGGTACAGAGGTGCATTGCCGACGCAGTGCATGGTTAATCTAGTGAAAAGCTCATGTAAGCTTTGACTTTATTCCCTATAACAAGTTATGTAAAGTTCTCTTTAAGGTCCCCAATTATAGCTATAAGCAATAGGAGTAGTAATCACAAAATATAACAATCTATAAGAATTTTACTACTTAACTCTACCATAAAATGGGATTGTGCTAAGTCTGTCTTCTTAGTATGTAAGGAAGTTTCTTATTGACACTCTGTAAACCTGCTGACTAAGCTATGATCACTACAGGTCCACAAGGGGGAGTGTTGCTGTCTAAAACCTGAAATTCGCCCGCGAATCACGCTTCACACCTCCTCGCATGTGCACCTCCACATCTCCACCTCTTCACACCCTCACGCCCTCACGCCCTCACGCCTTCACACCGTTTGTGGAGGGCTGGATAAGGCTTTCCATGGGGCGTCCCCGCGGGACTGCCTCCTGCAGGACGGCACTGGCGGCCTCGAGGATGGGGCGCGTCTCCAGCTGGGCCTGGACCTCGAGCTCCAGCGCCGCGTTGGAGCCGTCTGCCTCGGAGGCCGCGACGCGCAGCGCGGCGCGGGCCATGGCGTCGTTGTCCTGCAGCGTGACCGAGTTGACACCGGGCCTGACGCCAGCGGCCGTGACCCAGTGCACGCCCTCGGTGGGGACGCCGACGGCGAAGCGCCTCGCGTGCGGGCGGCCCCAGGCGTCGATGATGTGGTAGGGGCTCTCGGTGACGTCGAGGCCGCCCGTGTCGTAGCCGTCGAGGGTGTGGGCGCGGCACTGGCTGGTGCGCAGCAGGTGGGAGAGCAGCTCGTCGGCGGTGCGGGCGAGGTTGGGCTCGGCCAGGCGCGCCTCGATGAGGGTGGTGACGCGCACCGCCTCGCCGGGCACCAGCGGCGACCGCACCAGCCACGCGCCCTCGGGCCCGCGCACCTCGCGCACCTCGGGCCGCGGGCCCAGGACCTCGAGCACGCCCGCCTCCATCAGGGCCACCATCTGCTCGATGCGCTGCAGCGGCGGGCCGATGGACAGGAACCCGTTGAGGGGCGTGTACCAGCCGTCCAGGTGGTCGCGCCGCGACTCGCCGCCCAGCCCGGCGTGGTCGACCACCAGCCGCACCTCGTTGCGCAGGTCGCGCAGCACGTCCAGCGCCGCCTTGAGGGGCCCGTCGACGTTGTTGAGCGCCGCCTCCTCGGCGTCCTGGCGCAGGTACGTCTTCAGCCAGTCGCGCCACTCGTCGGCCGAGGCGAAGGTGCGCTTGCCCTGGGGCTTCGAGATCCGGTCCCAGGACCAGCGCTTCTCCGCGGGCACGCCGACCTCGTCGAGGATCTCCGTCTCCTGGGGGCTGGCGTACGGGACGGCGAGGTAGCGCTCCTGGAACCCGGCGTGCTCCTTGCCTTCCCGCTTCAGCAGGCACCTGTAGTAGACCGTCTCCACCTCCTTCGCGATGATCGGCCACACCTCGGCGAGGAAGTCAGGCGGGTTGCCCGACTCGGAACGCTTGCGGAAGGCGGCGATCACGTCCTCGGTGAGGAGCAGCGGGTAGTGGCGGCCGTATGGGCCTTTGGCGTTCGCGCCGCGGGACTGGTATGGGATGCCACGGCGGGAGCCTGCGAACATCTTCGGTTCGGTGCCCGAGGGGTGGTACTGCAGGCTGCCGGTAGACGTGTTGCGGCTGAAGCGGCCTCCGCGGCCCATGGTCAACTGGGCCATGTAGTCGAAGAAGTTCAGGCCCAGGCCGCGCAGGAAGACGGGCTCGCCGGGGGCGATGACCGAGAGCTCGACGTCGGCCGGGTTGGACGGCGCGATGTAGCGCAGGTTGTGCCGCGCCGCGTGGGTCGCCAGGCGCAGCTCCTCGGGGCTCTGGAGCAGCGGCAGGTGGCCGTGGGCGAGCATCACGGCGGCGAGGCCGTACAGGGACCGGCCGTTGGACAGGCTGAGCACCTGGCTGCCGCCGGGCCCGTCGTCGAGGCGGACCGCGCGCGCCGCGTGCACCTCGACCTCGATGCCCTCCGGCGCGTTGCGCACCGTCTCGGCAAAGACCCACTCGAGGTACCGGCCGTACAGGGCGCGGGTCGGGTAGTCGTCGGGCCCCAGCTCGGGCACGCCGCCGACCGAGACCGCCCACTCGTGCAGGCTCGGCCCGGGGCAGATGGGGCCCTCGACGGTCACGCTCTCGTCCGTGTACAGCGAGATCTGGGACGCGACCGTGTTCATCAGCAGGACCTGCGGCTGGTCGGTGCGCCAGACGCGCCCGGCGCCGGGGGGCGACGGGTCGACGACGTGGACCGTCAGCCGCGAGCCCGGCGCGAGGAAGTCCTTGGCGGAGGCGCAGAGGCGCTCCAGGGTGCTGGACCCTCGAGGACCTGCCCCGACGATGGCGACTTGGGCATCAGTGGCCCCGCAGGATGTCGTGCCAACTGCCTCTGCCAGAGAGGCAAGAGCACTGCTGCTGCTGGTGGTGTAATCCATGATGAAAAGACTTGGGTATAGATCTTTTTTGGGGTTTGGTCTGAGCTCGAGTTGCTCCTGAAGTCCTGGTCTGAACTAGGCTGCTCGAGAGGAGATGGTCAACTGAGGAAAGAAAAGCCATCGTAGAACGGACGGGCGAGGCTATCTATTTATGCTTGAACAGAGCTTAGTGTCGTGCTCGATTCTCTAGGCCTTGCTGAGGACAGCATCTGCCTCGGAACCATCTAGACACCAGGCGGACATGTGTTGATTCCGTACGAAGGGGTCCTGCATGTGGTGGTGTCGTGTGTTCGTCTCGCTTACGGCGGGGATATGTGGTGAACCATCATTCTGAGCCTCATGTCCGCTTTGGGATGCTGGTAGCCTCGGTGTTACAAATCAGGGCATAGTACACTGGGACTCAATTACCTAAATTCTACTACGCCAGCCCTTCTTGCGTGCTCCATGGTGCGCGTCTTTTCAGAATTCGAGTCAATATCCTTGATCCCATCCAGAAACGGCACTTATACCCTCCAAAACCTTTGTTCGACGACCTCCACGAGATCCTGTGGGTACTCCCTCCGTTTCCGGTCACCAGCGGGCCAATTGACCGTGATGGCCCCAAGGCCCACGATCTACGGGCTCTTCGGCGATGGAACTCTATCGTCAGCATCGATCGGAACCTTCACAACTATCCGTGGCCGAGAACGACGTCCCGCAGGGACGAGTACAGTATACTCAAAGGGGCCGTAGGTGGATATACACGCGTTGACCCGACTGTATCCATTTACGGGCTCCATTCCTGCATCTAGCCCAGACAGGACGGTAAACTGGTCTCTCTCTCCCCTCATTCGAGGGAAGCTTGCGGTTCCAGGCAGACAGCGGGTGGATGATCTGTTCCATTACAGCATCAGGAATCCCAGGGCTGGAGTAGTCGGACCCTGAATGATCATCCAACGGTCCCTGGCTATACTTCGGCCGGCTTTGATTTTGTTAGTTCAACATGAAGTGGATTGCGTGGAGCAGCAGAGAACTTCGACCTGCGCTCGAATTTGTGGGAGCAGGAGCTCTGCTGCTTATTCTCCATAAATATGCGAGGAAAAGAGGGTATTTTCAGAGGGTCAAGCAGGCGGGCGATCCAATCCAGCCCGATAGCGAGGACATGTGGATTCTCATGCCCAATTATAGCCGGTCGAGTGTAAGTGAAGTTGTCACCCGCTCTGCAAGCAGAGTCAGCTTTGAGACACATATCGGATGACTTAGGACCAGATCATGGTTCGCCAGCATCGTTGTGGTGGTAATCGAAGTGGTGCCTTTAAGCGTGGGCGTAGGCGCCGGGCATGCAGAGTATTCCCCTTTGAGTGATTCCGGTGTAGAGGAGGAAAGTCCAACACGAACCAGCCCACAACTCTGCTTGGAGGAACTTCCCGTCCCATTGGAATTCCCAGGCGCCGCTTGGTAATGAGGGTAGAGACCTATTGATTTTTCTACTCCTCTGGGTGATGTGGCGGTACACTGTGATGGCTGGACAGCGGCTCTATTGTTCTCTTCTGACGAGTTGTTTATCACAAAAGTCGTCGGCAATGTCGTTGACACTATGTCGTCATTGACGGTTTCTAGGTTCATTAAATCGACGAGATCAAATCTGATACCATGTAGTAGCCAGGTGTGTTACAAATCTCCACTTATCACCGACAACAGCGCATCTTCCTTGCGAAAATTATGCAGACGGCGGCTGGGGACATTAGCAGCAGGCATCCAAGTGGCCACGGGGGCATCTGAGTGGAAGTCGCCGATGGCTGGACCTGGCCTCCTCTGTGCTGCAGCTGACGACGATGCATCTACCTCTTGTTCACGCCGGGTAGCGCCTTGGCATGGAAGTCACCGTTGTATTTGGTTGTGGGGACGTTGTTCGGTGATCTGCCTTGGTGCAAAGCTTAGCAGCGTAAAGTTTAAATTAACGGCCGGCCCGCAAAGCGGCAGATCGCCTGTTTCGGCTGCAAGGTATACTGCAAGAGGCTGACTTGTGTCGGTTGCAATCCTCCTTACCCGGGCCTGGTTTGCGGGCCACGGGCGTGGGGCATATGCCGCTGTGGAGTATGCGATCGGTGGGGCTTGTACGTATTATGCTCGTTGATCACCACGAACCCGTGTGGATCTTCACGGATGAATGGAGGCATGCTGGAAGCTGGCTGGGCGGACCGCATTTGCCGCACGGCCCGCACCGGCGGCTGCTGGGAGGGACATCGAGTTAAATAGTAGATCTCACGATGCCTTCTCCAGGATCCCTGAGCCTCTCCATCTCAACCCGGCCTGTAAGGTGGCTGAGCACATATAAGAGACACAAGCCTCGCCACACCAGCATGGCAGAAGCGGTCACTGTCACCCATCGGGCACCCTGGCTTTCACCTCGAGACCAGAGCCAAAGCCACCTTCAACTCGTATCATCTGAACCCTGATTCGGGCCTCACTATTTTGATCCACTGGCTAAGATGTCCGCCACAGACCCAAACCTCGCCGAACTGCACAGCCGGCTCTTCGAAGAGGGGCTGGAGGTTCGCCGGGCTGTCCTCGGCCACGAGTACGTCGACAATGCTGTGAAGAACGCAACCCCGTTTACGCGGCCGGGGCAGGAGCTCATCACCGAGTGGGCCTGGGGCACCATCTGGAAGAGGCCGGGCCTGGATCGCAAGCAACGCAGCCTCCTGAGTAAGTGTAACCCACTCCCCCTACCCACACACACACGACGAACCACGGGTCATCATCAACCTGTGCTCCTACACCCTCCTTGTTATACCACCTCGCTACGGGCTCCTCCTACGGGGGGGCCAGGAGGGCCATCGTGGGACCAGTGGCGAATCGACAATTCCCCGGATTCTCTTTTCTGTTTACGCGGCCAGGGTGCCAAGTGGATGACGTCTGCTAACCAGTGCCTGGGTTGGTTGCTTGCCCCATACAGACCTGGGAATAATCATTGCCCAGAAGGCATGGCTTGAGCTTGTATTGCACACCCGCGGCGCCATCAACAACGGCCTCACGGAGGTCGAGATCAGGGAGGTCGTGCTGCAGGCGACCGTCTACTGCGGAACGCCCGCTGGTGTGGAGGCCATGCAGGTCACCGAGAGGACCATCAACGAGATGATAGCGAACGGCGAGTATAAGAGGCCCGAGACCGGAGCCTGGTGAGGGCATGCCCATCTCGTATTCGCAATCGGTATCGCGTGTTGGATGTGTCCGCAATAGTATTTGCGGGAGTGGGCCTAGATACTACTCTGCATCCATGTCCTCATTGGGTAAACGTGATCAGGGCTTGTCACAAAATATAGGTTAGCCAGTGTACTGCACACTGGCAGCTGCTTTTGCGCGTCACAGGGCTGTATGGTTTCAATAAGTTACGTTGAGGTTGGCAGAAGAGCAAGGATTCTCGGCGTCACAACGGCTCAAATAGGGGTTTGAGTGTCCGTCGTACTGTTCCATGGGAGCGGATGGGGGAGCCGTGATATAGGTACACACAGTGCAGCTTTGCTCTTTTGCAATTCATGCCACATCACATTCAACACTTGGGTTTGAAACCTTGCTCCTGCCGACTGAAATGTTCTACTGCAGTCCAAAGTCTACTTCTATGTTTATTCTGTTCTGTCCATACTCTGGAAGTGCGTCATTGTGGACTTTTGACTATTTCATTGCTTCTACCCATCGGTCTATGAGTTTTCCAGGACACTTTCAGTACGACGACAAATCTAGTTGTCATGACATTAGTGCCAGGGACGTCGCCATGTTAGACAATTCACACTAACCGCTTTGGGCGGAGAGCTCGATTATTTTGATCCTCAGTTGCTTCGCTCACCACATTGTCCCACAATTGTACATAAAATTGCCGACCCAATCGGCTCATGTCCATGTGCAGCCTCAGCACTTGGAAATTCAGTGGCATGCAGCTTAAACTGTCCACAGATGAGGTGTCTGGAATTTGGTCCCCCAAAGAGTTGGCGCACATCTCCGGTACGGGGCCATGCAATTCCAAGATAGCTAGCTACCTTGATCAAGTCCTGTCCCAACCATTGTGTCCGTTGATATACTACCAGAGGAGCTGGCTCTTCGTTTTCTGCGACACACCATATTGTAAATCTTGAAAGGCAAATGGGATCGGAATCGTGATCACGGATATTGCGGATAGCTGCGGGAGCCGAGTCATTGGAGGACGCAAGTCGAATAGTCGGTTGCCGCAAAACCCGGCGGCATTGTCGGAAAGGTTTGTTTGTGGGCCACGGCGGCTCTCCGGACGAACGCGCCCAAAAGGATGCATCACTGAAAGAACATTGTGCTTTGCCGTTTGCCCGGTCTTTTTATTACTGGTGTTACTTCGCTGGCCTCGACCCTTGCTCTTGTCTCAGCTCTCCACTATCTTCTCTCGTCTCACACAGTACAGTGCGATCCCCAGGACCGGTCATGGCTGCGGAACTGTTAGCACGCTACCCTTGGGTATCACGGCCCTTCATTGCCAGTGCCCCGATGCGCGTCATGTCGGGGCCAGCGCTGGCCGTCGCCGTGTCCCGCGCGGGCGGCTTGGGATTCATCGGGCCCGCAGCCAACACACAAGACATCAGTGTCAACCTCGAGGAGGCGTCTAGACTGGTCAACAACGCGCGCACGTCTTCGCCTTCGTCTATGTCAAACTTGTTTCCACCGGCGAGTTCTTGCCTCCCGGTCGGCATCGGCTTCCAGCTATGGGCAGACGACGTCAACGCAGCCGCCGCCAGCATCGAGAGGTTCAAGCCCTGCGCAGCCTGGCTCTTCGCACCACGAGGGGGCCCGGGGGAGCTTGAAGCATGGTCCCGCCAGATCCGCCGCGCATGCCCGGAGACCCAGATTTGGATCCAGATCGGGACGCTGGGGGAGGCAAGAGCGCTCCTGCAGCTCTCCGAGAGGCCGGACGTGGTCGTCGTGCAGGGCGCAGAGGCGGGTGGCCACGGCCGGGCAACGGATGGGATGGGTCTCGTGACACTGCTTCCAGAGGTTGCGGATGCGATGGCAGGCTCCCGGATCCCTCTGCTGGCTGCGGGGGGCATCGCCGACGGGCGGGGCGCTGCGGCGGCGCTTTGTCTGGGGGCCTCGGGTGCGGTGATGGGCACTCGATTCCTGGCTTCTAGTGAGGCACGCATCAGCAAGGGATATCAGAACGAGATTGTGCGTGCTTCGGATGGCGCGGTGGCGACCACGCGCACCCTGCTCTACAACCATCTCAGGGGCACTTTTGGCTGGCCGGCGGAATACGAACCAAGAACCATCATCAACAAATCGTTTCTGGAACACCAGGAAGGCGTCCCCTTCGATGAACTCAAAAGGCGCCATGACGAGGCTGCGAAGACGGGCGATAGTGGCTGGGGACCAGAGGGAAGGCTTGCAACCTACGCGGGGGCCTCGGTGGGACTGATCCATGGAGTGAAGGCTGCAGGTGATATCGTCCGAGAGGTGCAATCAGATGCTTTGGAGAAGCTCAGGTTGATGAATGCCAAGGGCAAGCTTTGAACGTCTGAGATGTGTTTGTGCGAGGCTCTAGTAATCCGTTTGCTCAAGTTTATAGCAATACAGAACTAGTAACGGCTAAAACAACCTTGGTACCTAGGCAGTGCATCAATTCAATACGACTTAACCTTTCCTGATATTCAAGGCTTAATTATTTCCATCTAGTCTATTTATCACCTTGGCCGCTTTTCTGGATTTCTTTGGATACCTGCACTCTTCGTGTGCTGGCACGTCGTGTGCTTCGCGCATCGTCAGAACCACTGCGATCTCCAGCTCGAGGAGCGCTAAAGTCTGCGGTATAGTTTTGATCTCTGGGCTCGTAAATACTCGAGGCTGCCCTAATTTCCTCTTGTACCGCCGGCAACCGAGGTACAAACGGTCCCCTGGGGATGGGGCTTCTTAGGTGGGCGAGGTATAAGTATGAGTAACTTTCTGAGTAATTCAGCTAAGAGTGTCTCTCCCCTTTGAACTCTTTCAAGTGCACTGGTCCCTTTCGACGTATTCTCAACAGCTGCCCTACATCATATTTAAGGGCTCCGTTTTCCAACAGTCTTACTCACAACGTTTGTCGAATAATACGTTAATTCTGCCACTACTACCTATTAGCTCAGATTCTGAGTAGCTGAGATCTTCTCTTAGCCTAGCCTCTCATAAAACTAAGACGCTACAAGTGGTAGAGCGAAAGGATCAGGCGACTCCGTACTCCGCTATAGCCCGAGCCACATACTGAAGTACCCAACGGCGCATTCTTTGCCGTGTCGGATGTCCTATCCTGAAACTCTCTAAAATCAGATCAACGCGTTCTCTCAACAATTACCTGTCTTTTAAAGCAATTTAAGTGTCCATGACGTGGCTAAGGAGCCTAGTTAGTGTTGACTTCGCTCAGAGGTGCCAAACCCCCGAAGCGACGCCGTTCAAAAATGCCTGTCCTGAGAACCTCAGTCGAACGTCCAGGAATGTTACCTTGGAAATTACTCATCCCAGGACCATTCAGAGGACACACGCTTGTCCATTTTCTGAACTCTCGTGTACGAGGCTTAAAAGCCATATTTTGTAGGCTTAACGCTCCGCATGTTACGGGCGCCGCCAGCCGTATCAATCTCACATTGGCGGGGATTGATCCTTCGCGAAACTCCCTACTACAACGTGAACATTTCCATTCTTTTTTTGTACTGGCATATGGAGGTAGTGAGTGGCTGGGTGATGTATTTATTGCAACGACGTGGTAGACATGGTCGGTCGGCTATGTCCCTGATGGTATTTAATCTCAGGACCCCACTGAAGTCACACAATCTGAATCTACCTGGGGAGTGTGATCACTGCCAAGCTGTCAATAAAATGATGATACAACCCCATTGGCAAGTGCTGCGCGGAAAATTGGGGCCCTTTGCTTGGAGGCATCTGGAAGCGCTGAAGCTTCTCGGATTAGCCCAGACGTCCTGTTATGCTGTCGGGTCAAGAAATGCAAGCTATTTCGCTCGTCCAAAGCAACGTTAATAGGACTGCACAGGCGAATAATTGCGTGTCCTAAAGAACCACAACGTCGTTCATCGTATTGATAAGACCCTCAAGACATTCATCGACGGAACGATCTTTTCCGGATTTTCCATCTTAGGACCCCATCTCCACATGGTGTGGTGTTGGCAGTCATCCTGGCTGCCACAAAAGGGGGAGCATGATTGGTGTTGAACAAAAGCGACGCCGCAATTGCCGTGCAATTGCGATACCTATATACTTTAACATACCCCCCATTTTAGGCAAAATCTAATTAACTAAAATATACCCTAAAATATAAATTATTATATATAAAGATTAAACTTAAAACCTTTTTATAAATTAATATTATTAAAGTAAAAAAATATAAAATTAATAAGTATAAAGAATCCTAGGGTTTTATATCGCTAGGCCAGCAAACCGGGCTTATAACTATTAACCAAAAGCGACGCCGCAATTGCCGTGCAATTGCGGTACCTATATACTTCAACAATTGGGGGATTTCAAATTTGACCGATTCTCAAGAGCCGGAGAATTGTCAACATTTGACATCCCTTTGACCTATTGAGATTTGCTGGCATGCTGAGTCGCTTGAAATTAGGGATTTGAAATGGGACTCGACGGGGGAGAAAATAGAGCACATAAACTACAAAACGTCTGTTACACCTAGGTCGGGTAGCTGGAGCCAGCGCTCCTTAGACATTGACAATATCAGACCCCTTTCGACCATGGCGCTAATCAAGGCTCTTCCGATTGCCCTCCTGGCCATCTTAAGCCGGGTCACAGCCCGCGACATTTTCGTGTCCCCGACTGGCACCGGCTCCGGCACCCAGGCGGCCCCGTACGGATCAATACAGTCGGCCGTCACTGCTGCCGCAGCCGGCGACACCATTTACCTCCGTCAGGGCACCTATGCTCCTTCTGCTAACATCCAGGTCTCTAAAAGCGTAACTGCCACGTCTCCCATTTCCGTGCGACCGTACCAGTCGGAGAAAGTTATCATCGTGACTGCGTCGGGCAACTCGTGGAACTCGGGAACCTGGTCCAACAGCTCTTTCGCGAGTGTTGATGCGTCTGCGTTGAAGGGGGCGCGGGGCTCGGACAAGAAGGTGCAGGGAAGCAGCTTTTTGATTCCTGTGTCCGGACGGGCTATTGGTGCTACGACTCTTGCTGAGGTCTAAAGTCGATATGAAGACGGTTGTCTATTTCTCTTATTTTCTGATCTTGGGTCTCATCGCTAGACTTGAATTTATTGCTTACTCAAGACTATAGAACTTGGTCCTGGGGGCTGTGACCTTCGCGTGGTATCTCCCGGGAACTATTAGTCGCACTGCTTCACGTGTTAGTCTGTGATAAACCTTTGTACGGTTTTGATTGGCGTGCAGTCAGCGCCTCAGCTATCTTAGGTGCAAATGGAGTTGGACAAACCAAGCAGCTATGACTTTTTGATCGCTGAGTATGACCATTGGTCTGCCTGGTCCATCGGCGAAGAGACACGAGGAAAAGAGGAGGGGGGGGGGGGGCAGACATAAGTTTTGACCATGCTCATCCGGAAGTTCTGCATGTGTCCTTACAACTCCAGACACGACAAGCCCACATGGGTAACCTTTTAAACCAGGAAAAGTCTGGCAGGAACCATTGAGCGGCACAACAACCTCTTAGTTTGGGAACGACCTCCCTGCCTACTGTATCATTCTATTGCTGTTCAATGCCATTATCTCCCCTGCACGTCGTTGTGGTGCCATTTGTATGTCGTGGTGTTCGCAGATTCAAGCCCACGGCCGAGGCTGTTCCCTCGCACAAGTTTGCCGAGCGACATCTGGATGGCTCGTTCGAGCAGTGTGGTTGAAATGATCGCCAGTTGCTCCCTCACTTTAACATGGTGAATGTGGTTATTACTGGGTCGTGGTGCGAGGTTTGCACTCCGGCTAGATCTGCTGACCGGGTGCCTGTCATCTGATATCGGACTGATAGAGCCGCGATCGACAGGATCCCTGCGCTTGTCAAGAGCCCCCGGAAAAGGTTTACTCCTTGCGAAAATCAATTTGACATCGTGCAAGGCTCAGGTGTACCGGAGACTCATCAGACACCCAGGGCTGCTCAAACGAAATTACAGGAGTTGATCCTGCTGGAAAACACGCGACTGGCCTGTTCCTTGAGAACGGAGCGCTTTTGCTCCCGATTAAGTTTAGCTTGGCCCGAGCTAGGCCGACTCAGGGATGCCTATTTAGAGCCGGTGGATCCTCTACCACTTTACTTGTTTCGAAACGATCACTATGGGGAAAGGGGCACATCATGCATACCTGCAAAGTATCCCGCCGTCGTCCTCAATCTCACAGAACCCTGGTTAAGCGCCCTGGATGATGCCATGCGACATGCGGAAAAATCACAAACGAGCCTCAATCAGGACAGGCTCCGAGCCGGCATCCAAGTTCGGTCGCTTTCTCCGGGCAAGCGGGTAGATCGGAGCACGCATGTGGTAGGTTCGTATCTGAGATATATTGGACGCTGCCCCTGGCCGCTGTCACCTGCGCTTCTTATATAACACGTCCAGTCGATGCTTGTGGCCTGCCAGTGAAGTTTCACTGAGTTCTTCCTTCGGTTCCCCCCTCTGTTCACCAACTGTCACTCTCTTTTCAGTCTTTCGTTTGAAGCCAGCCTTCGCACAATGCACTTCTCTTCTCAAGCAGCTCTGGCGCTGGCCGCCGCCACAGGTGCCAACGCCCAGCTCCACCAGCTCGCCGTGGCAGCCGGCTTGAAATATTTCGGCTCCGCCACCGACAACCCCGAGCTCACTGACACAGCTTACACTGCCATCCTCAATGATGCCACCGAGTTCGGCCAGATTACCCCTGGCAACGCTCAGAAATGGGACACGATCGAGCCTCAGAACGGCACCTTCTCCTTCACCAAGGGTGACGTGATCGCCGACCTTGCCAAGAAGAACTCTCAGCTCCTTCGATGCCACAACCTCGTCTGGTACAACCAGCTGCCTTCCTGGGTGTCCTCGGGCTCGTGGACCAACGAGACCCTCATCGACGTTCTCGAGGCCCACATTGCCGGCGAGGTCGAGCACTACAAGGGCCAGTGCTACGCCTGGGATGTCGTGAACGAGGCCATCAGCGACAATGGAGACGGTTCCTTCCGTGACAACGTATTCTACAAGACCATCGGCGAGGCCTACATCCCGATCGCCTTCAAGGCGGCGGCCGCCGCCGACCCGGACGCCAAGCTTTACTACAACGACTACTCGATCGAGTTCTCTGGAGCTAAAGCGACCGCAGCCCTCGGAATCGTCGACCTGGTCCAGAACGCCGGCGCCAAGATCGACGGCGTCGGCATGCAGGGCCACTTCATCGTCGGCAACACCCCCTCCGCCAAGGACCTCGCCGGCGTCCTGGAGCAGTTCACCGCCAAGGGCGTCGAGGTCGCCTACACGGAGCTCGACGTGCGCCACTCGTCCGTCCCCGCCGACGCCGCCGCCGTCCAGCAGCAGGCCACCGACTACACGAGCGTTGTCAACGCCTGCCTGCAGGTCGAGAACTGTGTCGGTGTCACCGTGTGGGACTTCTACGACAAGTTCTCCTGGGTCCCGTCCACCTTCGAGGGCGCCGGCGAAGCCTGCCTCTACGACGAGAACCTGTCCAAGAAGCCCGCATGGACCGCCGTCTCGTCCGCCCTGGCTGCCGCCGGCACGGGCGGCGTGGCCTCTTCCTCCGCGGCGAGCTCCGCCGCCGCTGTCGCCACTGGCGCTTCGCCCTCCGGCGTTGCGTCGGGCTCTGCTGCCCAGGCCGTCGCCAGCTCGTCTGCGCCGTCTACTGCCCCTGCTGCTGCCGTCACCCAGGTCTCTCCTACTTCCTCCGTTGAGGCTGCTGCCCCTACTTCCACTGGTAAGGTGTGCACCAAGAGGACCAAGACTGTCTACGTCACTGCGTCTGTGTAAGAGTGTTCAGGTGTAGGTGTCGATGGCAGGCGTGCATCGTGTTGGAGTAAGGCACGAGCTATGGGAATTCTTGTAAATAGCAAATTTGGATCTGCATGGTACATATGTCACCGCGGGTCACCGTCGGAGTGAGCGTCAGGCAAATACACTAAGAAGCCAGCCACCTTGAGCCCGTACCCTTTTTTTGAGTGAAGACCCTCATGGAGGAACAAAACAACCAAAAGAACCAATCCTCAGTCATGAAAGTAATAATCAAGGTGAACACAAGTTTGAACAGTCTTTGATATTAGTGAATTGTACTATATCAACGTGGCCGTTATAAGCGGCGATCTGCGTAGGCGTAGGACACAATTCTGGCCGATCATTGTGCCTGAGGATCTGTGGCCAGCACTTCGGCTCCTTCAAGCGTTTTGAGTACCGACAATCGTCTTTGAGCGGTCGCCACCAGAACTGTTCACCCACGTCGGGCTGGTAGTAACAAGAGAAAAATTAGTCCACTTCTTCCGCTGCAATTGCTTTTGAGGAAACTACAGCAGCAGTCAAGACAAAGGGAGGACCTTACAGGTGGGTCATCCATTCTACAGTTTGCTATCCACCCTCCCACATCGGCGAGTGTTGCTGCTCCCGGAAAGGAGTCCTCTTCCGATTCGATACTGGAGCGTGAATCCGTATCCAAGTAAGATTTGAGAAAGAAGGTGGGTATGAAACCACCACTCTGAGCAGGGCCTTGATCGGACTGGGTAAGCATCCGGAGTATGTCCATACGGCCAGCCCGCGCGGCCATCATCATAGCTGTGTTCTCCCAAAGTTCATCACTATTACTCGTGGCGCTTCGATAAAACAGCGAGCGAATGTCGGACATATCTGGATGTTGGGTTTCCACTTTATCAGGAAGCTTCTTCTGCGACCGGGGGAAATAATCTTTTGTTAGTAGGCGCGCAACGGCAAGACATAAATCCTCCGAATCGTATATTTCAGGCCATTGTTGAAGACGATATCCGAATGCGTCCCTGCATGACCGCTTGAGAATCAGCCGAAGGTTCGATCCCTTCATAGATTGCCAGTCAACACGAGGAACGGGCACGTTGTGTAGAAAACGGCGGCCCAAATTGGGGTGAGGCCGAGATCCGGGCCGAGATCCGGGCCGGGCAAGTTAACTTAACAGTAAGTGGGCAGCTGTCTCTCTAAATCTATCTCAACTGGCGCAGACCACGATCCCAACTGCTGAATTCAGGTTGTGAAACGTGGTATTATTGGTAATCATTCTCACCGCAGACGACTGTCTTATTTGTCTCGGGCTCTCAATCTGCCGCTTGCTTCTTACTTTCGCGTTCTTTAATTGATTGATTAATAATTGCTGTGTACTACTGTCAGGCTCTTTCACAGTAAAATAAAAGCCCCCCCACAAGGTCCATCTTCCGTCGCCAGCAGGCTCACCCCTGGCACTAGCAGCAGCTCACAACCCTCCACTCAATTTTTGAACCACCACCACCACCACCACCATGTCCTCCTACACGCTCGCAGACGGCACCCTCCCTCACGCCACCGCCGCCGTCAAGGTCCTCTCCCACCTGCTCGACCTGGTCGAAAGGTCCACCTCGCCGACCCCCGAGGCCCTCCTCGCCGCCCGCCTGCACCCGTCCATGCTCCCCCTGGCCTTCCAGTTCCACTTCGCCGCCGACTGCGCCATCAAGATGGTCGCCCGCCTCGAGGGCGTGGACCCGCAGGCCCTCGGCTCCTGGGAGGCCGTCAAGACCGTCGCCGACGCCCGCGCCCGCGTCGACGCCGCCGCCTCCAGGCTCGCCTCCGCCGACGCTGACAAGATCGCCAGCCGCAGGGACGAGACCGTCACCTACGGCAAGGGCCGTGGCGTGCCCGACGGCAAGCTCAGGGCGCGGGACTATGCTGCCGGGTTCAGCCTGCCCACCATCTTCTTCCACACGACGACCGCGTATAGCATACTGCGCAAGGAGGGCGTCGACCTAGGCAAGGCGGACTACATGGACTCCTTCATGGGTCCTTATGAGGAGTCGTGATAGACAAGAATGTAGGGTGTTAGAAAGTGGTTATTCTAGACCTTCAAGATACCTGTCAATTGCTCTTCTATAGAGAGATACTTGAGTGACTTTGCCGAGTTTATCAGACGCCACTTGGGCTTCATGGCAAGGTGCTTGAGCTTTATCGATACTAGTAAGGGCTGCTGGGGGCCACCCCCACTAACCCACAGCACCTGCTCTTCACTGCCCCATGTTCTCCAAGACTATCTCAACGACCGCAGACCACAACCCAGCCTCCCAATTCCCGTGGCCCAAGCTCGACAATTAGGTAATTGTGCTGCCTGGAACGACCTGCACTGCGTCTTGGGCGCTCCACCTCGTCCGCCATCATCACCACCATTGCAATTGCAGACCACACTCCATTAACACCGCTCCTCGCCCCACCTCAGCCAGCCCTAAGTAGTTCCAAAGCACCTGCTACAAAACAGCGGGTAACTATACACCACCTGTCTACGGCCCACAGCAGTCCCAGCAACCAGTATCTCGCAGCTGACACTTACTTTTTTAAACAGCCTTTTACTCAAGCACTCTATAGATAATGAAAGACCCTAGGTATAAATACTTTTTACACTTGCAACAGTGGAATTTACTACATAGAGAGTATTGGAGTTAGGCTGAGCATACAGGGATGAAATCGGCTAAAGCCTATGTCTTATCACCACTTGACTTGCTTAATTAACGGACCAAAGTTAATTCTAAACATCAGCACTCACATTGTAAGTACGTAACAAAACACCACAATAGCAGGGCGGGAAACGGGTGCCTCGTATTGAGCAATTCAAATCGTGCGAGGTTGAACCTGAACAATAACATCCTGCCCGACGGGTGATAAAATACCTCCGGTCGGAGTCGTCTCATCCAAGTCCGGAAATTCCGGCTTGCTGCCATTGCTGCAAGGAAGCAGACCCGGCTCGAAACGCCCGAGAACAGTGGCAACAAAACATGAAGACCTCTCGACGTGCCAGAAACCGGCCTGGGCAGTATCCGCTGCCACCGCCAAACGGCCGAAAGCTCGGGCCCCGTGACAGGCTCTTGTCTCGCATAAACCGGCCAGCATCGAAGTCTGCCGCCCCTGGCCCCCAGACGTCGCGGCTTAGATGCATCTGGCGGTAGGGCATGAGAAGCTTGCGCCCCGGGCGAAGCGTCTTCCTCCCAATGCCGGTCTGGTTTACCACCAAGCGCACGCCCATCGCGTTGTTTGTGTACCGCAGGATCTCGTCGTAAGTCGAATTGAGCAGTGGGAAGTCCTCAAGTAGATGTGCAATGTTTGGGCTCCTGTAGGCGTCACCTTGGTTCAAGAATGCCTGGTCGATGTCGGTTCTGATTCTCTTGAGGAGGCTCTGGTCGTGAAGAATTTGAGCCAATAGCCAGAAGCAGCTCTTGTAAGCATTACCGTTGATCTTATAATGATGGTTATTCAGAGATATTGACCCTTACGCGCAATAACATTTCAAAAAAAGAAAGAGGTGGGGGGGGGGGGGGGGGGGAATCATTTGCACATCCCGCCGATAACGTACACTTCAATATTGATGAATAGCAGAGCAGCTAACTGTGCATTATCACAGATGCCCATATTCATAAAGTCCCGCTCAACTTTGGCAACCATCCAGCAAGCATCTCTTCTTTCCACCTCTGGACGCTCTAACCATCGGCGCAGGGCAGATACGCAGTTCTCTTTCGTTGTAGCAGCTGCTTTTGGGGACTTGGCCTTGAGACGCCAGTAATCCTCGTCGAAACTCAAATGATCGGCAACAAATTTAGAGGAGAGCCGAAGAAACGAGGGGCCGAAAAATGCCTGCATCGAGGTTTCGACGAGCACATGAGCGCACCACTTCCACAGGCTCACTTTCTTCGACGCTTCACCGGGAGAATCCAAGGCTATCGGCGCGACAATGTGGTCCCACTGCACCGCTCGGTCAATTTGCTCCACGATGGCCTCGTCCAAAGCATGACCGCGGCCCCCAGGATGCATCTGCTCACCATACACGTCGTGTTGGCGATCCACCCAACTCCCACCGCCAGACAACTGGGCATCAAACAGCTTGTCGAGCGTGTCTTTTGAGATGCCGAACTCGCGCAACAAGGTCCGCAATGACGGCGTCGAAGTCCAGGTTTTTGGTGTCCTTGTAGATGGAATTCACATCGTCTGCTGATGCTGCGATGTACAGTTCTTCCCCCATCACAGTCACACTGAAGATGTCGCGGGATCCAAGTTTTTTGCTTCAGGGGCCTCCAGTCAGCATTATTTTGTTTTTGTGACGTCTGGAGTGCGTCTTGTCCCAGGTCGATATGGGAAAGGACACCTTTGGACATACCTACGAGGGGGAGGTTTTTTTTTTGTCAATATCGCATCAGTATGTTAATGGAATAGTGACATAGTAGTGATATGCCATCAAGATTTTAATATGCTTTTTTATATGTATCTTGCATAACTTATATGTTGTTAATATATAGTTATTTCTAATATATTACAATATGCTATGATATAATGTTAACTCTTAATACAAGGGGTAAAAAAAACCTCTTTTTTTTATTATCCTTAACTTAATTACTTATTTTCTCTTTATTAACTTAATTATTTACTATAAAAGGATTTATAAATCTATAGAAATATTTAAAAATAATAATTAAATTAAAGTTAATAAAGTTTAAATTAATGGGTTAAATATTAAAAAAGGCTAACGTTAGCTAATATAAAGTTAATATTAATATTAAATTAATGTTAATATAATTTAAAACCTTAATATATTTTATTTTTAATAGTCTTTTAATAGTCTTTTAATAGTCTTTTAATAGTCTTTTAATAGTCTTTTAATAGTCTTTTAATAGTCTTTTAATAGTCTTTTAATAGTCTTTTAATAGTCTTTTAATAGTCTTTTAATAGTCTTTTAATAGTCTTTTATTAGCATTCTACTATAATTTCAAAATTTTAATTAAATGTTATAACATAATTATATTGCGTGACCCAGTCCGAAACCCCCCTTCCCCCAGGTAGGTACATTCCATCTGCAATCACTCGCTGCGGATTTGTCATCATGCCCCTTAAATGTCCCAAATCTGTTCCATCCATGTCAGATATCCTGTGCCAGCCTTTTCCCTGCACAAAAATATAAGCTTACACTGTAGCGTGTATGGCAGTGAACTTGGACACTGAGAATATACAGCCGAGCCGAGGTGAAACCTCCATAACCTCCAGACCAACCACAACAGCGGAATTGCCGCTATGGTGGTGAAAGCCGCTTCGGGCGCATTGCTGGGGAGGTGAACTTGTGATAGTAACTTGTCGAGATAACGAATGATAGACTATGAAGGATTCCTTTTTTTTAGTAGACAGACCTATCAAATTAGCCCTCAATGGCTGATGCTCACCGTGGACCCTACGAGGTTATTGGCAGAGAATACAGAGTTTCGGCCTGCAGAAAGCGTTGCCTTTATAGAGTGTCGGAACGGGGCATGGGCCCCACTTAAGTCCCATGAGCCCTGCAGCAGTACGTGGAGATTATAGAGACATTTAGATTTGGCCTCATGTTTTAGTCATGTCCACCAGAATCGTGTAATATGGTCTGTATTCCTTCCTATTTGGCGCGCTTTGAGTTGAAGGTCATCAAGCTCAAGAGCACCACTTTTGAGACTTTCAGATGAGGTTTGTGAAGCCAGACTATCTTTAGAGCCTAAAACACATTTGCAGTCGTTTAGTCTAAACATGTATATATATCTACTGATGTCAGATCACAGCTCGAACCCCATTCGACTGTGGCCTCTCAACGATGCTGTAGTGCGTTTTGAAGTTTCCCTCAGTTCAACCTGCAAGTTTCACATAAGCCATACCGTACTCCTGCACCGAAACGTCATAAATTTATTTACAGGCATTTTGGTAACGTCCCCGGCCCTGTTTCCAATCACCCCCTGATCCCGATCGCCCTACATCCGCGTACGCGTATAAACGCGTTTATACCCATTATATAAACATTCCTTAATATCTTTATAAGGAATTTTTTTTTAGTTATTAAACTTCTTTTAAATATTAACCTCCTTATTATAAAGCTGTATTTTAAAGATAATATTATTAACGCCCTTATTGCTATTAAGGATGGGATATTAATTTAATAAGCTATTAAGATTTAGCATATCCTCTTTATTATATTATATAATTACCTTAATGGCATTTAAAGCTATTATATTATTGCCAACCCTTAAAGGCTTTTTTTTAATTATTAAAAGGCTTTATTAGCTTTATTTATAATTAATCAAAATAGCTTAGGGCTAGTATTAATATAATTTAAAATAAGGGCTTTAAAAGCTTAATTAGCCTTCTTAAATAAAAATTATCCTTCTCTTAAAAGAAATTAACTAAGGGCCTTCTTTTCTTATTATTTTATTCTTTAAAGCTAAAAGAATTAATATATAAAGGCTATTTATTTTTAATTAATAATTAAAAAGAATATTGCCTCTTAATTTAACCTCCTTTAACTACTTATTATTAAGTTTATTTAATTAGCTTATTAATAAAATGTTGATAAGGGAGGGTTAATAAAGGGTTACTTAAAGAATACCTTTATTTTTAGCTATTTAAAAGATAATTCTCTTTTTTAAAAGAACTTTAATTCTTAAATATAGATTTCCTTTATAAAGTATATTAATGCCTTAAGTAAAGTCTTTAAACTTTTTATTATTTTTAAGGAAAGGAGTATGCAATAATAGTAGTTTTTAATTGCCCTTAAGGATTACTTTAGCTAGCAATTTATAGTTATTAAAAAAAGGTAAATGAAGGAAAGAATAGCCATTAAATAACTAAGAAAAGTTTTCATTCTTAGTATTATCCCTAGTAATCCTTTTAAATGGCGTTTGCTTGTAATTAATAGGCATTATATGCATATAATTATTAACTTTATATAGAAGTGCTATTTAAATTATATATATATAGTCTTTTTATTTATATATATATTGCATATGCTTTAGCCCCTTAATATAATAGTTTTTTTACTTTTAAAAAATGCCTTTAGGAAGCATCTTTATTAACTTAGGCAATATAATTTATTAATGGTTATAGTAAAGAAAAGATTTCTTTATTGCTATTATAAGGTATAAAAGAAGGTATTTATAGAATTAAATATTTAATTAGGGTAAAGGGTAATAAGTCTTTAGCCGGTATTTAAGTATAAAGCACTTAAAAGTTATTATATTCTTAAGAACTGCTAAATTTAGCATAAATTATTAAAATTTAATAATATAAGGAGCTTTATTAAGTAATTTTTTATATTAAAGGTTCTTTTTTAATAGCTAAAGCCTATTTTTAAGACTTTTAAGCAATTATAAGAGGTATATTAATTAATTACCTATTAATATTATAATAAATACTTAAGCCTTATATTATAAGTATTCTTTAAAAAGCTTCTTAAAGTATATAATAAGAAAGAAATTTAATTAATAATAACTTTATAAAAAAATTAATAGCTTAAAGCTTAAATTAAAGCTAATTAAAGGATTATAAAGAAAAGGGTTTAAATTAACCTAAATGTAGCTTTTGCTAATATTAAGGCTATTTATAGGGCTTAAATAAAGGTAGGGAGGGTATTGAAAGAAAGCAATGCCTTTGGAGAATTAGAAATATTAACGAAAGAGGGATTATGCATCGTGATGGCGGGCAATTAAGGGTGATAATAAGGGAGTGTGTGGGTGCCAAGGTGATCGGGATCAGGGGGTGATCGAAAACGGGGCCGGGGACGTTAAGCAGCCCAGTCTTCCCCCTTCCCCTTTTAGGAGCAGAATCCTCACATCTGGTATTATGAGGACGCTGCCATGAGAAACAGCTCCTTTTCAATCGTGGCCAGAGGATCAGTTGCTTTCATGAGCTTGCTCAACTCCACACTTCTAATCTTGTAGCCGGGGTTCTTCAAGACCTCGTCAACACCCTGCGCAACTTGTTCGGGAGTAGGATGGCCCGTCTTCAAGTTGAACCCTACTCCAGCCCACTCAGCCCTCGCCGCAATCTCGGGTTTATCTTCCGTGTCACCCCCTAGAACCGCTGGCACAGCGTTGACCAATCCGTGCTGAAAGCCGCCATAGCTGCCAGCCTGCACGAAGACGTCTGCATACGGCAGCACGGCGTCGTACGGCAAGTAGTCGGCGACGCGCGCATTGGGGGGCAGATCCGCCTCGAGCCGCGCTCCCTTCTTGCCGAGTATGGCGACGGTGAGGAATTCAGGGCGCGCCCCGAGGCCCTGGATTGTGGGCAGGATCAGGTCGCTGTAGTCGTTCGCGAATGTACCCTGCGCCACCACGACAAGCTTCTTACGCTGGTCCGTGGGCAACTCCGAGTTGGTCACGATGTCGCTCCACCACGGCGGGTACTCGTAGTTTGCCGGAATGGGCTTGCGTGGTAGCCCGCCTACGAACTGAATGTGCTCCGGCAGGTCGGACCGCGGGAACTCGACCTCGGGGAGGCACATCTGGAAGACCTTGTCGTACACGCGCGGGTCATAGGTGATGTTGAAACCCAGCTCGCCTGGCCCGGGGATGTGTTCAGGCTCGGCGCCGGCTTCGATGAGATATTTTCGCAGGGCTTTGAGGGCCCCCTTGAGCGCAAAGTTGCGGACGAGGCCGTGGAGGACTATGTTCCGGGCGCGGCCGGACGGCGTAGAGTCCGGTGGCAGTCCCGTCCCGAATGGGCCAACGTCGATGCTCTCCCATGTCAGGGGGACAACGTTCAACCCAAGGACTGGGGGCACCTTGCAGCGCTTCTCATCAGAGACAAGCCTGAGTGGGACGATGCCCAGCATCGAATTCTCGGCCAGGATCACGACCTTGCGCGCCGGATCACGGAGCTGAGTCTGCTCGAGGGCACGTGAGATTGAGCGGGCTTGTGACGGGATGTAAGGCATGAAGACGTGCTCCAGGTCGAAGGCAAGAGTCTCGAGCCCCGGCGAGAGGGTCAAGCGCTCGGGGAAACGCCCATTAGGGCTGCCCTTCAGCGCGATGTCGTACTGGCAGAAGTCACACTCCTCATCGAGTGGGATGAACGTCGCCCCAATAGACTCGATCGAGTCCTTGAAGTATGATGCTTGAAGTATGCTGACATCGTATCCCTTAGACACGAGGTGCTGACAGATCTGAAGGGCAGGAACAAAGTGCCCTACCGCGGCTCCGGCAATGGCCAATATCAGAGGCTTTGGCTCAGTGCTACCCATCGTGCTATCCGTTTACCACGGGACAAGGCAATCTGGATGATTGCTCGCCTTGAACGCCGAAACAGCCTTCCCATTGAGCATTATTTAGACCTAGTCAGTACAGAACGCGACTTTATCCGACGGTATCTGCCAATGCTACCTAGGTACTTTTGTGTCTGTATACATTATGCTCATCCCTTTGTTCGTGGTGGATGCCGTGCTGCCCGCGGCGGTGAATAAACTTTATTTTGACTTCGTGGCTTGACTCGTAGAAAACCTCCATCTATCCGTACGAGTCAGTCTATCTTCCGATCCATGCCACAGAGAAACCTAATTCTCTTCTCAGATGTATAGCAGAGCGTCCTGCATGGATACTGATTTGTGAAAGACCGGCAAGCCGGACACTATCAAGACACAATTTCTCAATACGATCCTTGTTAAATGCATGACCCACCACCCAAGTCGCAGTGATATGTAACATGCGCATAATGTGCAATGCAATGTGAAACAAGACCGGTGTTCACAGCACCATCTCGGCATCATTTACTAGCTTTCACTATGAAGGTGCCGTATTTATTCATACCGAAATATTCAATTATATAAATCCCTCATTATTTATAATATTAATTCATACTTTAAAAAAAAATTATACTTAATTTTACTTTGTAAACCTTTTAATTAAAAATTATTTATTTAGTTTATTTAATAAAGAAAAACATTATTTAAAGAATATTTAATATTTAAAAGTCTTTATAAAAAATAATATATCAAAAATTAAGAAGTATTTAATTCATCGCTTTTCCATTCCTTTCATGTATAAATAGAGTGTAGAGTTATCATTCCATATCGCTATAACGCAGCTTTCTCTAATCGCAAATCTGCCACTACTGTCCATAGTCGTATAAATCTTGTAGTTCAACAAGGTTGGTGATCTGAATGAAGACTGTTGCTGCAAACAGTATCACTGAACAAGGACCAAGCCCAAAATCGTCACAGTCATGGCCTCACTTCAACTTGTCCCACTGATAGGAGGGCTACCATTATGGCTCGTCGTTGCTGCTGTAGCTGGACTTGTACTTTATTACATTCGCCTGGCACTGTTGCCCAAACCCATACCAGGCATCCCGTGTAATGATGGCGCGGACAAATCGATTTTTGGCGACATGCTTGACTTTGCGCGACACGTCGCGACAACCAGCGAGCCGATGGACTGGTTCCGCAGGCAGACCGAGAAGCACCGGACGCCACTTCTGCAGGTCTTCCCACGGCCGTTCGGGAAACCATTCGTGTTGCTTTCCGACTTTGGCGAGGTACAAGCCATGATGCTCAGCCGCAAGAACGTCTTCGACCGCTCCAGCCTATTCCGTGACATACTCGGCGGTGCCGGCGAGCATCACCACATCCTGAAGAAGTCTGGCAAGGAGTGGCAGACCCAGCGCAGCCTGCTTGCAGACCTCATGGTTCCCGCTTTCCTTCACAATGTTGCGGCTCCGCACATTTACACGGCCGTCCACAACATCATCGATCTTTGGGAGGCGAAAACTCGCATCGCTGAGGGCCGTCCTTTCCGAATTGACCTGGATGTTGACTATCTGGCCCTGGACGCCGTGTTAGCCTTCACATATGGCGACAGCTACCCTGAGAGAGCCGTGGTCTCGCAAATTGATGCGCTTGAGGCTTTCTCCGACAAAGATATCCTGAGTTTACGCAAAAAAGCACAAAAGCTTGGCGACGACGCCCCAATGGACTTCCCGCCGGCACCGATTCACGAGGACATGACAGCCATCTTGACAATGGTGCATATGGCGGAGACTCTGCAGTCGAGTGTGTTCCCTGCGTTCACGTGGTGGTGGTTGAGCAAGACATCAAAAATTCGCAATGCATGGGCCAGGCGTGATGGTTTAGTCGCCAGCCAGATCGGAAAAGCCTTGGATCGGCTCCGTGAGAACGGTGAAGACGACACCTGGCTTCGAAATGCAGTCGACCTGATCGTCAATCGAGTGAGGAGTTTTGCGAAAAGGGAGGGCAGAGAACCAAGCTACATCAACCCCATGACTCTTGAAGAAGTAAGACGATTTACATTATCCGTGCACAAAAGAAGGCGATACTGAAACTCAAATAGGTCTTTGGATTCACGATGGCTGGCCAAGAAAGCAGCTCGAGCACGCTCATTTGGGCCCTGAAGTACCTCACGAACCATCAGGACGTGCAGAAGAAACTCCGCTCTGTGCTACATGCGAGCCACAAGCAGGCCTTCGCCGAAAAGCGTGAGCCGTCGGTCAGCGAGATCACCCACACGCAGATCCCGTACCTAGACGCCGTGATGAACGAGTGTCTGCGACTCGGCACGCCAATCCCCTTCCTGGCGCGCGATGCCGAGGTCGACACCGAGATCCTCGGCGTGCACATCCCCAAGGGCACGACCGTCTTCGCCCACACGCTCGGCCCCAGCCTCATGACCCCGACACTGGAAATCGACCCAAAGCTGCGCTACCAGACCCCGCAGGGCTCGCGGACGGGAGAGTGGGACGACGAGGACAAACCCAGGTTCCGGCCCGAGCGCTGGCTGGTCGAGAGCCGCGACCCGAAGACCGGCGAGGCGACCGTGGCGTATGATCCTAATGCAGGCCCCTTCTTGGCCTTTGGCATAGGTCAGCGTGCCTGTTTCGGTCGGCGCATGGGCTTGTTCGAGTTCCGTAACTCGCTGACTCTGTTGATATGGCACTTTGAGTTCTTGCCGGTGCCAGAGGCACTGGCCAGCTATGATGCCCGAGATGGGCTTACTAGGAGACCAAAGGCCCCATATGTACGCACCAGGAGGGTGGTGTACTAGGCAACCAATCATACGGGATTTCTCAAAATACCTCTAGAAGTACAATGTGATATGAAAGTCTCTTAACGGTGAAACGATACACAGTCGCAAGGTTGTATAGTATTTACAATTGAACAATAAGCGCATCACTAGTATTTATCATCTCTGCAGAATGAACTTGGGTGATGGACAAGTCTCATTTAGTCTATCTCAACCGAAGACCTCGGTGCAGTGTTCCAAGGAACAAACACAGTAGTTACACGAACATAGTGTAGCCTAGGCGGTATCATCCACCGACTTAAGACGCACGTAGCAGAAGTCGGGCCGATTAGTGAGCATATCGTGCGCCTTGTAAGACGATAGCTTTTCACCACAGGGAAGAAGCTCAAAGTTCCACATGATGAGCGTCGTCAGGATCTTGAGCGTGACGTATGCCAACCGCCGGCCAAAACAGCCCCTTGGACCCAGGCTGAAAGCCATCATGGGGCCTGCAGTCTGGTCGAACACGAAACCATCAAAGGTGGCTTCCGGCTGCACCGAGCCGTCCGCAGGCGCTGGTACCAGCCACCGCTCCGGCCTGAAGTCGGCCATGTGGCCGTCTTCCGGCCAGGCGCGGACCCTCGATTTAGCCTCGAGGCACTGCGCTGTTCGCAGTGAATCGTCGATCGGGAAGGCCGGGCTGAAGAAGCCGGGACCGTTGACAGGCATGAAGACCTCGGTACCCTTGGGTATATGGCGGCCGAGGATCTGGGTGTCCACGGTGGCTTGGCGGACGAGTCCAGGAACCGGCTGTGCCAGCCGAAGCATTTCCTCCACCAGGGCGTCTAGATATGGCATAGGGGTGCGAAGGATCTCACGCTCATTTGGCCAGCGTTTCTCGGCTCGGGCTTCGTGAAGAGACGTGAACAACTGACGCCTAATCTTTTCTTGCGCGTATGGGTTGTCTGCTAGGTGCTTGATGCCCCAGCATAGCGTTGTTGAGCTTGTGTCATGCCCAGCTGAGATAAAGGTGATAAGCTACGAGGCCAAATCAGTATTTAAAATGGACATCTTGCGGATGTGGCATGTGGACAACTCACCTCGTCGTATATCGTCCGGCGGTGGAAGTCTGGCTTGCGCTCCTCTTTAGAAGCAATAGTAGCTTCCCGAAACAGCATGTGGTCCATGGCTGACTTGACCCGTGATTCGTTCTTTCCACCATCCAGCCGCTGTATTCCCTCCTCGATTTCCCGGTGAAATACAGATTCCTTCACTTCAACGGCGTGACGGACTCTAGGCCGTCGCAAGATAAAAACCCACTGCAGCCTGGGCCACATGGAAGCTAGGACCTCTTCGTACACAAGCGCGAGCTCACGGAATGCCTCTACGAATTCATCCACAATGGGAGATTTGGGGAAGATGACTGCTTCATCTGTGCCAGTGGGCAGTTGGATTTTGTCGGTAGACATGGATTGATAGAGGCTGACACGTGACTTGGTGGCATTGTGGGTAAAGTTATCACTAAAAGTGAAAGAGGTGACAGCGTCGAAAGCGCTGTAGTAGATATCGTCGATCGCCTCAAAGGGATGACCTTGTGCCAGGCGGGATTTGGCATTCCACAAGGCGATGTGCTTGCAGAGATTCGTATAAAGTGAGGGTGCGGCAACGTTCTGCAGGAATGCAGGGCTCATCAGATCCCCAATCACCTTGCGGTGTAGCTTAAAGTTGTCGTCTGTCTTGAACAGAATATGGGCATCAGGAGTGAGTGGTCCCATAGTATCTCTGAAGAAATCGGCGCGGTCGAATTCCTTGTGCCGGTGCACTAGGATATCGTGCGCCTCCCGATAGTCGGTGACGATGACATAGGGCTTGCCCAGGGGCCGGAGGAAGACCTGAGCAATTGGGGCCTGCAGCCGCTCCGCCAGCTGTGTGAGCCAAATCCAGAAGAGACGTGTCTCCTTTTGGAACTTGGCCACCTCAGGCAAATCGCCCAGTATGCTCCGAGCCGCATTTTTGTTGTAAGGTATCCCGGGAAGTGGCTTGGGCAAAGCAAGTTTGTAAAGAACTGCCGCGGACACGGACAAGACAATTACTATTGCCGCCGTCTCTGGAGTCGTCAGTAGCGGGAGCCACATGACAGATTGCAATGTTATTCGATGATGACTTAGAATTTGAAGATGGTCTTGGAAATGTATGAGCCATTAACTGGCCGATTTTCACGAAATGTTGGCCTATCTACAACAAGCAGTCGAGACGATCAGGAAGCGAATCGAAGGCCTTACCATTGAAAGGATATATCGCGTTTCTAGCATATGCATTTAGTGAGACAATATTACGAGTCATGAATATGGAACTCGCCAGATGCGCTTACAACGATGCAGCACTAGCCTGCACACGAAGGCACCATAATGTGGTGCTGAATGGTCGTATCATGTGCCGAATTGGGTATAGTAATCATGCGGTGTATTGTGAATTGAGTTTTGCCTTTGCTAAAATCTTCATCCCGGATAACGAAGTTGAAACGTGATATAGTGGGTCAAAACCTGCGAATGGGAGTTAGCACATCAATTTGATGTCTTGTTTGCTGGCGCTGGCGGTCTGGCGAGCGCGCGCCACCTCAGTGGGGCCCAACGATGTAACTTCAGCAGCACTGCCTTCGGATGTAACGTCTGGACAGAGCTTTTAGAGTTCTGCAAGTAAATCGCGCCGGCTAGGGCCGCGGGAACCCGTGGTGAGGAGACAAGACTGTCTCAAAGGCGGTGACAAGGGCGTGTAGAGTAGACTTGAAGAGACTTGTGATACTTTCTAGCTATCATCAGAATGCTGTCTTTGCTTGTGTGTGGCAATAGCAGATTGGATTTGTGTCTCCGTGCCAGTCTTTTTTTTTTCCAAGTTACGAATAGTCCTTGAATACGTGGAACGATATGGAGGCATTGTCATCGAATCAACTGAACTTCCCATTAGCTTGGATTGTAGTCTCGCTGGCTATCACAGGATCGCTCTTCTATCTCTACGCGCTGAAGAACAGCCATGGCAGGGGAGAGAATGGAAACGTCAAGCTGGAAGCTATTCCCGGCCCTAAACGTGAGACTTGGCACCATTTGCGCTTTTAATAAATATGGGCACTGACGAAAATCTGGTGAAAGCACTTCCCATCCTAGGAAATGCTCTTCAATTGGATATCAACGCGCTCGTGGGTTCCGTCATATCTTTAGCATGGCAATACCGGCCCCTATTTTCTCTATCGGTCTTGGGAGATCGATTCATCGTCGTTGGAACCCCGGAGCTCTGTCGTGAGCTTTGTGACGAGACCAAGTTTTACAAATTTGTCGCAATGGGCCTCGAGAGACTGCGTCCTGTTACTGGAGATGGTCTTTTCACGGCGTTTCACGGCAACGAGGCCTGGGGCGTGGCTCATCGGCTTCTGCTTCCTCTATTCGGGACGTTCAGGATCCGAGATATGTTCGATGATATGAGAGACGTTGCAGATCAATTATGTCTCAAATGGCAAGTTCAATACATTCGTGCTCGATGGACGGGCCCTGCTGACTTTCGTGGTTACCCAGGGCGCGGTCTCCAGAAGGCTCGCGACTAGATCCGGGGTCAGACTTCACTAGGTTGACTTTGGACACTGTAGCTCTAACGTGTCTGGACTTCCGATTCAACAGCTTCTATCGCAATGATAGTCTTCACCCATTTGTTCAGAACGTGGATGCTGTCCTGGCAGAGGCAGCTAAGCGATCAACTTTGCCGGAATTCGCTCGATATTTCCGGTTTCGAGCGGACCAAAAATTCAAAAAGTCAACCAAATACTTGTTTCAAGTCTGTCAGGACATGATCGACGAGCGCAGACGGCAAGGCGAAGCTGAATCCCGCAAAGACGTCTTGGCAGCACTTGTATTTGGGCGTGACCCCAAAACCGGGGCCCAGCTGAGCGATGAGCAGATCATTCACAACATGCTGACCTTTCTGTCAGCGGGCCATGAGACCACCTCGGCCATGTTGACGACGATCTGCTATTATCTCTGTCACTACCCCGACAAGCTGGCAAAGGCACAACAAGAGATCGATGATGTGGTCGGCTCTGAGGCTCTTGACATAGATCACATTCAGAAGCTGCCGTATCTAGAAGCAGTGATGCGTGAGTCGCTTCGCCTCGTCCCTACCGCTCCGACTTTCTTTGTCACGCCCTACAGTGACGGAATCTTGGGAGGCAAGTACCAGTACCGCAAAAGCGACGTATTAGCTCCGGCGCTCGAGGTTATTCAGCGAGACACCGGCCATTATGGGCCTGATTCTCATGAATTCAAACCTGAGCGTATGCTTCGGGCTGAGTTTGCCAAGCTAAATGAATTCGCCTTCAAACCTTTTGGCAACGGACTTCGTGGCTGTATTGGGCGCACGTTTGTGTGGCAAGAGTCCTTAATTGTGAGTCTACGGCAACCGAGGGGATTGCACCAGCATCATTGTCATTAACATTCCTCGGCTACAGATCCTAGCCAAGCTGCTGCAAAAGTTCGATTTGAGAAAGGACGATCCTTCATATGAACTCAAGCTTCGATCAGACCTTTCTGTGAAGCCGGATGGGTTTTACATGCAAGTGAAGCTCCGCCACGGGCTTAAGGCAACTCATCTCAGTGCCACGGCTGAGACCGATCGAGGAACTTCTACATCGACACGAGACACTCAAATGCAATCCTTCAAGCCTCCGCAAACCATGTACGGAGCCCCCAAGGGTCAGCCCATCATGATCCTTCATGGCTCAAATACAGGCACCTGTGAAGCGTTAGCCTCTGTACTGGCCTCTACATGTGTCGCTAAAGGCTTCGCGCCCCATGTGGTGGATACAGTGGACTCGGGAATTGGCCAATTGTCTGCGGAAACCCCCGTAATCATGATTGCGGCGTCATACAATGGATCACCAGCCTCGAACTCCGCCGAGATGGTAGCCTGGTTGGAAAAGATGGCAGCGCAATCTGCACCTCTGGCAGACCTGAGATATGCAATTTTTGGTTGCGGCCACTCAGATTGGAAGGATACCTACCAGAAAGTCCCTATCCTCCTGCACCAGCTGATGAAAACCTCTGGTGCCAAGCCCTTGGTGTCGATGGGAGCTTCTGATGCGGCCATAGGCGATGTGTTCTCAAATTTTGCAGACTGGTACCAAGAGCTATTATTTCCTGCTCTATATCGGGAGTACAACATGAAAGCTGGTGCTGGCGAGGGGGAAACCACGCCTTGCAGCGGCCTCTCCATCTCAATGAGCCACCCTGCCCGCGTTCAAGCGAGACCTGGATATTTCCCTGCGGTTGTAACCGCGCAAAAACGGCTCTCGCACATAACCACTGATACGGCTATTCCTACCAAGCATCATCTTGAGTTTCGCTTCCTGGCGGATGCAAACATTGACTATGCGCCCGGTGATCATCTGTTGGTACTGCCTCGCAACGACCCACAGTTTGTGAATACGCTCTTGGACCGGCTTGGAATGGCCTGGGATACTCAGGTAACCATAGGCTCAGGACGTGCTCTAGGTGTCCCAGATGGTACAAGACTCAGCGTTGCGGAGCTACTCGGGGCCTACGTGGAACTGCCGACTACATTGACGTCCAAACACCTACGGATCCTCGCAGCCGCAACCAGAGACGACGAGTTCAAATCTCAGCTCCCCAAGCTGATGGCTGATGGCGCGCCGAGCCTCGGCTTACCAGGTCTACTTGAGCTCCTCCCTGCTTTCACTCTTACACTCCCCACGATTCTGCAAATTGCAGCTCCCATGCGGCCTCGCACATACTCCATGTCATCCGCACCCGCCGCCAAAGACGGCCATGGGACACTCACAATCTCAACAGTGCCAGGCGGGATGGCATCGAATTATCTGGCCAACATCGGGGAAGGGCATGTCATCTACGTCAAGGTCAACAGCAATCCCGCTTTACGAGTGACAAGTCTACCAAGTCAGGAAACTCCTCCACTCATCATGATTGCAGTGGGCTCCGGACTAGCACCTTTCCGTGCCATGGTCCAGGAACTAGCCATGCGAGCCGGCAGGGAAGGAAATAATGCAGTGGAACGTTCTGATACCTCTCAATTCCCAGCCTACCTCTTTTACGGCTGCAGAGGTCGCGGTATAGACGAGATGTACGTCGACGAGTTAGAGGAGGCCGAGAGGATGGGGGTGGTTGCGGTGCGGCGAGCTTACAGCCGCGCAGGCACAGGAAAGTCGCCTAAGTATGTGACAGATGCAGTGGAAGGTCAGACTGATCTCATACTGGATCTATGGAAGACCCGAGGGGCTGTCATACGGGTTTGTGCTGGAAAGAAGTTGGCAGACGAGCTGTGGCAGCTTCTCGGGCCTCTACTTCGGGCCGCAGGTGCGACGGCTGAGCCGCCAGAACAGGAGAGAAATATGGATGGTGTGATGGGCCTGGCAGAATGGAGGCAGAAGCTAGCACCAAACAGTGGATCGCGGTGGGAGGGCAGGTACGTGGAGGAGGTGTTTTCTTGAAGTGCACTTCATTGTTCACTCGAAAGGGGCAGACTACTATTCACGGTCAAATGGCACTCTCTGGAAACCCGCATTTCGATCGATTGCCTCACTAATTGGTTTGACCCCCCTTTGGTAGGCGCGCCTGGAAGATAAGAATCGTTCCAACAATCTCCCATTTGACGTCGTGGAATTCAGTGCGTAAAGCGCCGACGAAAGCTAGAACATCGTCTCTTCGATTATCGAACATGCCAAGGGCGTTATGCCAGAACATGATGAAACGCCCCAGGAGATTGTGCCGCACGCCGTCACCCAAGATGGTCGCCCCGGCTAGCACTCCGGACTGCGGCTCTATAAACCTCGCGAGAGATGCTAGTGCCGCGGCCTTGCGCTGAGGCGGACCAGGTACACAATGAAGTAGCATGGAAGTTAAGATAATGTCGAAGCGGTCTGGTTGTTGCTGGCAGCCGAGCAGTTTCTGGTGAATTGAATTGGGGTCATCGGCCGGGGAAAGGAAATCACCGCACACCGTCCTGACCTCGAGACCTGGAAGCCCGGCATGTGATTGTTGACATCTCAATGATGCCGCCTCGAGACACGCAGGGTTCAGGTCGAATAGGGTGATCGAGGTGCTTTCGGGCAATGGCGTTGAGGCCAAGAAGTAACCTGTGCCCACCCCGACATCGAGGATTCTCCTACTAACGGCCGGGGTGTCTGAACCACCCGACGAAGCAGAATCTGTCGCGGAGCTCTGAAATTCTCCAACGAGAGTGTTGTATAAATTTTGCAAGATGTTGGCTGGACAGCGCCATACGTAGGTGCAGTACAGCCCCAGCACAAGTCTGTCATAGACCAGGCTTAGAAACAATGGGTTGTAAACAGCGGCTCCGGCGGTGGTGGGCCGCTTGTCAGTTTTCGCCAATTGATGCGCAATCGAAGCGCGAAGTAATGAAAATACGGAGAGAATTGTGCCCATGTTGTTGGCTGGCCTTGCTCCAGAGTGGTCTGGGCCCTGATGCGTTGATTCTAGACAGGAAAAAGAAATTGAAAGAAAGAAAACCTGTAAAGCTCGAAAAATCGCCTCTTAGCTGGGAAGAATTCAGCAGCTAACTCAGATGCAGCAGACATACGATTTGGTGATACTCGGTGACTTCCTCGGCCGAACTTGGTTCAATCACACCAAGAAGGTTTCCCTAAGACAATAGCTCCCTAGGTGGAGTTGTTAATTACTCAGTCTGAGACCTGGGCAAAAGACCCATTCCCTCGCGGCAAGTCGCACACTCGGCCAATCCGTTCAAGGAAACCAGGTGGAAGCCCCTCCCGGGGCCCTGGGAGCTATTCGTCTGGATAGGCAAGACTATAGTAGCAAAAAACATAAGGGGGGGGCCCACCTGCTTCGCAGGCCCTCCCCCTCGCGCTTCGCGCTCACCCCCCGCCTCCCACTACTGTTTGGGCTAGAGATAGGGTCTAGTTTAAGTCAATTAGCATTTAAGCTTTGAGTTTAATTTGGCAGTTATATTGCTTGGCCAATTAGCTATTAAGTTTTAAGCTTGGTCTGCCATTGCTTAGCAGATTGCTTAGTCAATTAGCTGTCGAATTTTAAGTTCGGTCTGGCATGTCAAATTTTCCGTTCACAGACTATTCTAGATGAATAGAATAGCATAGACCAATCGGGTTTACAGACACAGACCAAGTACTGTCAGCCGAACTTTAGACTTCACACGGGATCCACTGCGTGGTTCACACCGCATCTGAGGTCGATATAGCTCCACAATGGCAGATATGCAATTCGACGAACCAAAATATTTCTCAAATGAAGCACTCCCAAGGGGTCCACTTGCAAAAAACGGAGTTCTTACTAGACGGGACTCTATGACTATTTACTTTATTCTTTATGACATTATGCACACCGATATATACCCGCCTGGGCGGAAAGAGACAGTGGCTTATCCGCGAGTTGTAAGAGCAGGCTCGACTTTGCCCCGTCTTTTCATTCTATCCCAGAAGCGGTCTACGCCCGCGGTGATCTGCCAATCGTACATGGAGGAAGATAATTGTGCGAATGTCCCAGGTTTCATCAGTGCTTGCCACACACACAGAGACCGTCAACCTGTTCCTCGGTACCTTTCCCTCCCTCAAGGTCCCATCTCGATCCACCTCATTTGCCAGAGTGTAGCACACGGCTCTTAACCACACATCACTCAATTTTTGCTATGCAAACTGAAAGGGATCCGATGGAGGCGCTGGCCATAATTGGCCTGAGTGTCAAATTCCCACAAGATGCCACTACCCCAGAGGCATTCTGGGAAATGCTACGGGATGGCCGCTCAGCTGCATCCAGGGTCCCAGCTGATCGTTTTAATGTGGACGGTGAGCAGCTCGACATACATTGCACAAGCTACAGACTGACACGAACTTAGCCTTCTATCATCCAGATCCGAATCGGCTGGACAGCGTTAGTCCCTGAATTCACGCTTGAAGTCATATGGATGCCATACTGACATCGGCATTGTACAGTTTCGTGTCACTGATGCCCACTTTATGGCAGAAGATCCACGCGCTTTTGACGCTTCGTTCTTTAATATGTCCGCTGCGGAGGCGTCTGTATTAGACCCTCAGCAGCGTGGACTTCTAGAGAGCTCATATCACTGCTTCGAGAACGCGGGCATCACTCTGCCATCACTAGTTGGCTCCAACACGGCTGTCTTTGTTGCATGTTTCGGAAAAGACTATGACGCATTTATAGCGCGGGATATCGAGGCCATGAGTCGTTATCATGCTACCGGCTCAGGAAGTAGTAGTGAGTCTGATTCCACAAACAACCAGGAAATTTCCCGCAAACCGCAAAATCTAGAGCTGACCAGAATTCTTCCAGTGCTGGCAAACCGCATCAGCCATGCATATGATCTAAGAGGTCCAAGCATCACTGTTGATACGGCGTGCTCTGCAGGTCTTTCGGCCTTCCACCTTGCCTGCCAGAGTGTTTTACACGGCGAGAGCGAGATGTCGCTGGTGGCGGCAGGCAACACGTATCTCACACCGGAGTCTCTGACTATCCCACTAGACGACGCGGGATTTCTCAGCCCAGACGGCCGATGTTATAGCTTTGACGCCAAGGCCAATGGCTATGCCCGGGGCGAGGGGTTCGGTGCTGTCCTAGTGAAACCGTTACGCACTGCGCTTAGAGACGGCAATGTGATTCGCGCAGTTGTACGGGCGACGGGCGTGAACCAGGACGGACGCACGCCTAGTATTACGCAGCCGAGCTCCGAGGCACAAATCAGGCTGATACGTGGTACATATGCCACAGCAGGACTCGATCTCACTTCGACCGACTATGTCGAGGCCCACGGTACCGGAACCCCTACCGGTGATCCAATCGAAGCCACATCCATAGGAGAAGCCTTTAGCCATCATCGAGATAGCCGGCGGCCCCTTTATGTTGGGTCCGTCAAGGTGAGCATTAAACCTCCCGGTGCACGCAAGAAAAGTAACTTGACTGATCGTCCACCTTACAGAGCAACATAGGTCACCTGGAAGGTGCAAGTGGACTCGCAGGTATCATTAAGACTATCCTAGCGCTGGAAAAGGCAGTGATACCTCCAATTTGCAACTTTGAGAAGGCCAATCCAGCCATCGATCACGAGAAATTGCACTTGGCATTCCCAGCGAAGGCATTGCCTTGGCCATCGACTGGGTTGCGAAGGGCTTCAGTCAGCTCTTTTGGCTATGGAGGATCCAACGGCCACGTAATCTTAGACGATGCTTGCAATTACTTGCGCCTCCACGGGCTGGTGGGTCTTCACAAGTCGGTGGATCTCTCAGAAAGCGACCTAAATCACGGACGCATCCATCACCTCGAACAAACGCAGGAAGAAGCTTCGCTGCAAGATCAGACGTCAACAGCCACTTCATCCTCGGGAACACCAGATGACAGCCACGAGGCGACCCGGTCATCTTCACCCTTGACAACAGAAGTCTTATCCTCGCCAGCCTCGAGCCTCTCATTGGATGGCCACGACGTGGACAAAATGGCAAGGAAAGGCATACTGCCACTCTCGGCCGCCGATGAAGATGGCCCAGTCCGGGTTGCAAAAGCCCTTTCTGTTTACCTGAAAACAGATTTGGGCCGCACCCACGACCTACGAGACATATTGCACACGCTATCAGCGAACCGCACGCATCATCCGTGGCGTACGTTTGGCGTGGTCGATCAGGCTCGTGTGTCTGACCTGGTTGTGGGCGAGACTCTATCACCTTCTGTGCGCGCTGGCCACATTGCGCCTTTGCTACATTTCCTGTTCACGGGGCAAGGAGCACAGTGGCCTCGCATGGGCTTAGACCTGCTCCAGTTCGAGCCCTTCCGCGGTGCACTGGAACAAGCAGATACGTATCTGCGCCAAGAACTTGGGTGTGAATGGAGCTTGATGCACCAGATGGAGCTGACCGCGGACGCGGGCAGCAAGATTGGGCAGCCTGCCCTTGCTCAGCCCCTGACGACTGCCCTTCAGGTTGCTCTGGTTGACCTCATGAGGAGTTGGGGCATTGTTCCCGCAAGGGTTACGGGCCACTCGAGCGGCGAGATTGCCGCGGCATACTGTGCCGGCGTACTGAGTCGCGAGGAGGCCTGGACTATCGCCTACTTCCGTGGTGTTGTCTCAGAGAAACTGGCGTCGAATACGCAACGTCCAAAGAGTGGTATGATGTCAGTTGGTCTCGGTGCCGAGACTGCACAGAAGTACCTTGATGAAGAGGGGGTAGCCGACCGTGTTACTGTCGCTTGTGTGAACAGTCCCATCAATGTCACTATCAGCGGCCAGGCTGATGCTCTTGATATAATCTACCACCGCCTTGAGAAGGATGAGCTGTTTGTGCGGAGGCTAGACGTTCAGGTTGCTTACCACAATTCCAGCATCATGTCCGAGGTAGCGGATGAGTATGGGCGGATGCTCTCCAAGGCCCTCGACGGGCCCAGCCCGTCCAAAGATCACGATACCCCGGACTCCTTTTTCTCCTCCGTCACGGCTGGTCTGTCGACCGATATGGAAGAGCTCAGAAAACCCTCATACTGGGTTCGCAATCTTGTCAGTACTGTCCGCTTCGCCGATGCGATAGGAAGTGCCGTGCAAGAGTCTGCTGCCGTGAAAACCGCCCGCAACAGTTCCCACGTCTTCGTCGAAATCGGCCCTCAAGCGGCACTGAGACGCCCTGTGCAAGACACGCTAAAGGTTTTCAGCAAAGACAAGTATCAATACATCAATACCTTGGACGCGAAGAAAGACAGCGTTTCATGTCTTCTAGGTGCCATCGGCCAGCTCTGGTGCACAGGAATGGACATCGACTTGGCAAGGGTGAACACAAATCTTGTTTCGTCACTTCCACGGCGCTTGAGGGCAAGGTTTCAAGCCCTGAGCCAAAAGTGATAGCTGATTTGCCTTCGTATCCCTTCAGCCGTGCCAGGTTGGACTGGGCCGAAAGTCGCCTCTCGTCGGGCTTTGCATTCCGCCCACATCGACGACATGCGCTCCTCGGCCTGCCTGCGCGGGATTGGAACCCCAATGAGGCGAGCTGGCGGCATATCATCCGCCATGCCGAGAACCCCTGGATTCTGGACCACACGGTCAACGGGTCTTCCGTCTATCCAGGCGCAGGCATCATTGTCATGGCTATAGAAGCCGCTCGCCAGATGGCTGAGAGTCAGCAGCATAACGAGAACCAGAACAAGCAACAACGCATCGTTGGCTACCGTGTAGCTGATGTCCGTTTCCTTCGATCCATCGCCGTGGACGCAGGCGAGCGTGGCAATGAAGCACAGCTTCACATGCGGCAGCGCCGCGACAACATCAACAATACCTTGCAGAAATGGTATGACTGGCGCGTCTTCACCATTGGTTCCGCAGACGAGTGGCTGGAGGCCGCACATGGAAGTATCAAAGTTGAGGTGGAGGCCGTCGGCTCAGCTGACGAGGCTTCCCATCGGCGCCAGCAGCGTGAAGCTGATAGGCTTCGCGCGGAGCACGACCGAATCATTGATTCTTGCAAGTTCAAAACGTACCCTGATCAGATGTACGGCAATATCCGCGCACATGGTATGGATTACGGGCCTTACTTCGCGCGACTAAGCGACATCTCTTACGACAACCATGGGCGAGCGGCCGCTTCAGTAACAACGAGGGATTACGCTGAAAAGATGGAATACGCAAACGAGGACCCCTGTGTCATCCACCCCACCACTCTGGACGCCTTGTGCCATCTTCAGATGGTTTCCGTCTCAGCAGGTGGTCTTCGCTCCATGCCCGCCATGATGTTTACGCACTGCCGCGAGATGTGGATCTCAAACAAACTCTTCGAGCTGCCAGGAAATCTGAAGCTCCAGGCGGCTACCACCGAGACCATGCGTGGGTTCCGGGAGTGCGAGTGCGATACGGTAGCACTTCTTGCCGAGACACGCGAACCCATGGTCATTATTCGTGGCGAGCGTGGCACGGCCATCACGAGTCTGGACCACGACGCTTCAGAAGCAGAGCCAGTTGCAGCATGCTACCAGCTTGCATACCAGGCTGATCTCTCCTTGATGTCCAACGATGAGTCGTACAAGTTCCTCATGAACAACACTTTCAGGGACTTTTCTCTGCCTGACAAGAATTGCCTCGACCGAGTTGATGCATTAGTCCGCTATTTCGTGGGAAAGACCCTCGAACGATTCGAAAAGGAGGGCTTCGCATATCCCACTGACCACTTGGCGCAGTATGTCAAGTGGATGAAACGCCTCCGCCAACAAACGGACAAAAATAGCCATGAGTCCTGCGGCAGCGCGGATCTTGACGTGGAAGCATTGCTATTGACAGAGGCTGCGGAGCCTACTGAGCAGCTTGTCCGGAGGGTGGGTCAAAATTTGCACGACATTCTTACGGGACAAGCAAACGCGTTGCAGATCCTTTTCGAGGGTACACTGATGCAGGGTAAGTGGTTCTTGGCTGAATAGCCCTGGTTGAATCTCATGTACTGACATGTTATTTTCTCTGACCAGAATACTATTCCGCCGAGGTATTCCAGATTCACTGTGACCGGGTTGGCGCGTATGTTGAGATCTTGGCTCACGCCAATCCATACCTGCGGATTCTCGAGGTCGGTGCCGGAACTGGCAGCTCAGCAGCTGGGGTCTTGCCATACCTGACTTACTACCAAGGAGACGGCAAAAAGACACCGCGGTAAGTTGTGCCCCTCTATATTGGTCCAGTTTCCCCTTGTTCTAATGCCACATAAATTCAGGATCGCTGAGTACATGTATACGGACATCTCGCCTGGCTTCTTTGAAAAGGCCCAGGAACGCTTCGCCGACTACGCCTCTGTGATGAATACAAGAAGCTGGACCTAGAGGAAGACCCGATACCTCAAGGGTTCGAGGAAGGCTCCTACGACGTCGTCATTGCTGGCAACGTTCTGCACGCGACCAGCGACCTGGCCCAGTCGCTTCGTTCCGTGCGGCGCCTGCTGAAGCCGGGTGGAAAGTTCATCATGGTCGAGATCACTAACCCTCAAAGTGCGCGCGAGAATTTCATATTCGGGCTGCTTTCAGGCTGGTGGCTGCGTGCCTTGAGCGGCTCCTCGGACTGGGTCTACCCCAACCAGGGCCCGCTCCTCACCGATGGGCAATGGAATGAGGCCTTGAAAGAGGCCGGCTTCTCAGGAACTGACTTACAACTCAAGGACCATGATAAGCTACCTTACCATCGTCTGTCCACTTTGGTCGCCACAGCGGTCAAACCTGTGTCAGTAGGGGAAGAAGGTCCCCGCAGAACGACTCATATTATCAAAAAGGACGGCTCAGAACTGCAGACGAAATTGGCAGAAGCTATCAAGAACCAACTGACAGACCACTCCGCGACTGTCACCAATCTCAGTCAAATGAACGGAGTTGATCTGACTGGCGTCAATACGATCTCGGTCTTGGAAGCCAACGACAGCATCCTGCATGATCCCTCGGAGGACCAAATGTCAGCCATCAAGCATTGTGCCATGCACTCGCGAAGGATGATCTGGGTCACCAGTGGAGGCGGGCCGCAAGCCCGACGCCCCGAGGCCGACATCTCGCTGGGTTTTGCGAGAACCGTCTGCACTGAGCGCGGAGACCAAGGTGTCATTGTCATGAGCCTTGAGTCGCCCGAGGATGCGAGTCACAGCGCTAGCCTCATCACGGCTGTCTTACAACGTGCCGCTGAAGATGAGGAGGGGTTATGGAGTGAATCAGAACTTGCCGAAGTGGACGGTGTCCTTCAGATCCCCAGAGTGGCGCCCAACGGTCGACTGAACGATGTCATCACATCGCGAACTCAGACCCCCAAGATGCAGACCTGCGCAATCGGCCCTGAGGTTCAGCAGCACATCAGCCTGTCCATCAAGAACCCCGGTCTCCTCGACACCCTGTACTTCAAAGAAGTGGCTGGCGCCGGAGCGGCCCTCGGGGACGGCGAGGTTGAGATCCAAGTCATGGCGTCCAGCATGAATTTCAAGGACGTCATGATCGCCCTGGGCCAGATCCCATCTCACGGGTTCGGCTATGATGGCGCCGGCATCATCACTCGCACAGGCCCCAACTGCAGATACACGAAGCCTGGAGACCGTGTCATGTTTGTTTCGATGACCGGGGCCTTCAGCACATTCGTGCGTGTGTCTGAGCAGCTTACCCAGTCGATGCTGGACGGCATGTCCTATACAATTGCTGCGTCGATCCCTGTGATCTACAGCACAGTGGTCTTCTCTCTCGATCACATCGCCCGTATTCGGCCCGGCGAATCCATTCTGATCCACTCCGCAGCTGGAGGTGTAGGCCAAGTTGCCATCATGGTTGCTAAAAAGCGCGGCGTGGAGGACATCTACGTCACAGTGAGCAGCGAGACGAAGCGCAAGCTCCTGGTGGATATGTATGGCATCCGGCCGGAGAACATATTCTACAGTCGCGACACCTCATTTGTCGATGACGTTATGGACGCCACCGGCGGCCGCGGCGTGGACGTTGTCCTCAACTCCCTGGGAGGGGAGCTCTTGCAACAGAGCTGGAGGTGCATCAAGACGTTCGGGCGCTTCGTCGAAATCGGCAAGGCCGATATTCTCCAGAAGACAGGCCTTACCATGGAGCCGTTCGAGCGGAACGCCACCTTCTCGGCTGTAGACATGTACGTGGTTGTGGAGAATGCCCAGGAGACCATGAAGCAGGTCATGACAGACGTGATGGACCTCTGGTCCAAATATCCCGACGAGGTCCATGAGCCGCGGCCGCTGCACGTCTACCCAGCAGCCAAGTTTGAGGACGCCATGCGGTACCTTCAGAGCGGTAAGAACATCGGCAAGACGGTTATCGACTGGTCTCAGCCCGCTCAAGTACCCTACCGGCCAATGCTGCAGCCCGCCTACAGATTCAGGGCCGACGCATCTTATGTTCTTGCTGGCGGCCTTGGCGGCCTCTCACGAGAGATAGTGCACTGGATGATGAGCCGTGGAGCTAGAAATTTCATATGTCTCTCACGCTCTGGTGTGGGAGGCAACCGAGAGGCCCAGAAGTTTATCCAGGAGGTCGAAAAGGCCGGTGCTACCATTCTCGCTCCAGCCTGCAATATTGCCCATCGAGATGCTGTGGAGAAAACATTGCGGGATTGTTCGAGCAAGGTTCCCCCAATCAAAGGATGCATACAAGGTGCTATGGTCCTACATGTAAGTCAAGCACACCGCTTCTACTTCCCACCCATATATTCCCCAAGGCTGACTGTTCTCGTCTACTTTGTAGGACGAACTCATGGACAACATGACAGCCAAGGTATGGAAAGAGCCACTGGAGCCAAAGTACCACGGTTCCTTGAACCTCCACGAGCTCCTCCCGCAAGACCTCGACTTCTGCATCTTCCTATCCTCCTTCGCCGGCGTCAACGGCAACGGCGGCCAGAGCAACTACGCAGCAGGGAACACATACCAGGGCTCCCTGGCCCGGCACCGGGTCCAGAGGGGCCTGCGCGGCATCACCGTGGACCTGGGCCTGATCCTCGAGGCCGGCCTCGCCAACTCGAACCACTTCTTCGTCCAGTCGGCGCTGCGGGCCGGCTTCACGGGCGTGACGCAGGACCAGTTCCTGGGCCTGCTGGACGCCGTCTGCGACCGGGCCTACGACTACAGCCGGCCCGGCGCCGCCGAGGTCATCCACGTCGTCGACAGCCCCAAGCAGCTGTGGGAGAAGGGCGACCAGAGCACCGTGGCCTGGATGTCAAAGCCGCTGTTCCGCAACCTGCATCGTCTCGGCGCCACCTATGACAGTTCGGCTGACGCGGCTGGCGGCAACGGGCTGACAAGAGAGGACGAGGTGGATTACCTCTCTCAAGTCCGCGCTGCGGCGTCGGAAGAGGAGGCGGCGGAGATCATCACCCGGGGTCTGATACAGAAGCTGTCCAAGTCGCTGTCTCTCCCCGAAGCAGATCTGGACCCCAGTAAGCCGGCTTTCCGGCTCGGCGTGGACTCGCTTATTGCCGTCGAGGTCAGATATTGGTTCATGAAGCAGCTTCGGGTCGAGGTGTCCGTGCTGAATATTCTCAAGGACCAGAGTCTGTCTGAGCTTTGTTATTCCGTAGTTGGAGAGATCCTCAAATAGCCTCCTCTGGATATGGGATATTCTTTTGTTATAGTCAAAGCTTAGCCTGAAGGACTGTTATGGAGTAATTACACTAGGTTCCCTAGGTAGAGAATGTTCTTTCAACACTTTGCGCCAATTTATCCCGCATCGTTAAATAGGCAAGACTCCATCGCACATGGAACCAAATGGTATGGACACTTGTTAGATAGATGACAGTACCAAGTCGTAGAAATGGGTTGTTCAATTGCTAAAATTTACAATTATTATTACATTGGTGCTCAGACACGGCCCCAGATAGTGGTGGCCATGTGCTAGCCTCCCTCTCCAAGCAACACCAATATCACCCCGGCGTGGACGGGAAAGCCGAACCATGACACTAGTGGCCGCCACCACCTGCTGGATCGACGTTCGTTGGGCAGGTGACGCGGTCAGATTTCGACGGGCCCCGGCCGCGAGGGGCACAACACTATAAAAGAGAGATTTTCCATCAGCAAAAAAGCTGGTGGGCGCAGGAAAATTCCCGAAGGACAAAACCGCGAGTGTAAAGCTCAGAAAGTCGTAACGTTTTTTTCACCATCGCCGGATGGGCTCAGTCGGTGGAAGTGGTTGTCATCATCGCTGGTGATTGAGAGAGATTGGGGGAGGGGGAGGTGGGTGAAGACGAGACGAGGGAGAGGGGTTATCCCACCTTTGACCCTGTCTATGATGAGAAAGACTGCCATCCACCACACCAGCTTCGCGAGTTCCGTGGCGGTGTACTGCCCGGAGCAGCTTGCTGCGTGGGATGGAGTCGAAACTGAGACAAATGAAGACCTCGGAGCAAGTGCTCTGAAATGGGGCATTTGTCATGGTTGACAACGTGAGGGCAAGCCCTAGATGGGGATTAAGAAAGGCGAGTCGTGAAGAGGAATTGATTGTGGCTCTGATGCACTGGTACGGTAGGTTGGTGTCGATGTAGTGCTGTGCTGTGTTGTTGCCTGCGGCAGAAGCATCCAGGCAAATTCTGGGGAAAACATGAGAATCATGGCCCCATACATTGATACTGTAACCATATGCTAGTCTAGATGGAGTCACAATCCAGTGGATCAAAGATCATTCGCGCCCACTCACTGTGTCGTTCAACCGAGGACTTGGATGATTGGGTGTTCTGAGCACAATTTTAACCCGGCTCTTCTCTGGCTTTTGGTCAATGATTTTCTCGTTCCAATGCAATCCTTTGCAGAATTTGTCGTCACACTGGAATCTAAGCACTATGACATGGAAAGCGCGGATGACTTCCTGTCTTTTGGGGATGTTTTGGGGGAAAGGCCAGCCAAGGGCCATTTCAGTGTCCCGGGTCTAGAGCGTTTGCATGAATTCATGGTGTTGCCTACCTTGGATGCTCAGAATGATAGTGAGTTCGGGATGGAAGGAGCGCAAGTTCACCGCGCCGCCGTCTCCTTCAACTTTTCCTACCCACTCCAGGCCCTGCGATGATCCTGGGAAGAACAAACCCGCTACATAGATTCCCTCGCAATTTTTGTCCAGGTCTTGAAACATGTACTCAGGAACATAAGTTTATTCGCAGAGGTCCGTGTCTGCTGTTCGAGTCAGAATTGTTCGTCGACTGGAGACATGGCCAGTCCGATACCAAGTATCCGGCTGGAGGGTCGAGGTGTCATTGCTCACACCAACATTCCTAGCTTCTATGTCACGTCCTCGTCCAGAACGGCAGTCATAGCCAAAATCTTGATCTTTGCCCCATGGCATGGGCTGCAATCAATCACGACGTGGAAGTGCGCCTATTATCAACGCGGCAAGGACTAATGTCACGTAACCTAACAAATAAGTACTAAATATTATAATCGCAAGTAAACCATCTTCTTGTAACAAAGAGAGCCAATATTTCATCATAGCCTCAATTGGCCTCCCTTGCAACATTTACCGCACGCCCGCTGGCGAGCCCTGCTGAGCAGCAACGATGGCCGCGCTCTGGGACGCCTGCGCGGCCACGTTGGCTGCGCTCAGTTCAGCCACCGCATCCGCATTCTGCTGCGCCTGGTTTCCCGCAGCATTTCCATTCCCATTTCCATTCCCACCGCCGTTTCCATTGCCAGCAGCCCCCGCAGCACCGGTCTGCTGGGCGGCCGCAGCCCCAGTCGCCTGCGCATTTCCGGCCCCCTGGTTCCCGGCGGCACCCGTTGCCTTGGCCTCTCCCGACTTGCCCGACGCACCGGCCTGGGCGCCGCCGGCGCCAGCCTGTCCTTGGCCCTGTCCCTGTCCCTGCCCCCCGGCCGCGGCTGTGGCCTGGGCGCCGCCTGCGGTTGCTGTCGCCGTGTTGAGCGTGATGCCCAGGGAGGCCTCGAGCTCTGCGAGGACGGACTGTGCTTGCGCACCAGTAGTTATGGCGCCGGCTTTTGTTCAGATTTCTGTTAGCATTGGTTTGTATCTTACAAGCGGAATTTGTATGGGTGAACGTACCTATGCCGGCGTCCTCCAGAGCCTTGGCCAACTCGGCTTTTTGGGCGGCTAGAACACCCTTTCCATTGCGTATCAGTACGATAGAGAAGGTATGGATTTTCGGGGGGGGGGGGTTTAATTACCTTCGCTCCGTCATTTGCAGCCGGGTTGGCCTGCCTCTTGACCACGCCAGCTCGGCCAGCTGGTGTCGCTGCCACAAGTGAGCTGGACGCTGCAAGGAAAAACAGGGCGATGTTGGTGTACTGCATGTTTATAATATAGGCCTTGAACTCGTGTCTCTTTGAATTATAAAAGTTGTAAATGAAGAGCGCAGCTAGCAGAACCATTAGTTACTTTGACAATGACCAGGCTGAGGATTGTGTAGGAGACGCCCGCTAACACTCACCTCTTTTGACAAGGTAATCAAGCGAATGAAAGTAGATGAGCCAAGATCCACGATTATGCTCACAGCCAAGAGATCTTGCCAAGACTGGGGAAATGGTAGCTTCATATATCCCCATTCACAGACATCTTGACTTGATCTCGCAGCCTGGGGTTGGCCCTGGGAGGGCTGCCTCTTGGCTTGATGCCTGCACCCGTAACAGAAACCGAGTTTGATCTCCAACTGGAGTTTTGAAATGTTTGCTCTAGTGCGGTCAGAATGTCGGCCGTAGTGTCAGCAGGCTGTGTGGAGCTCAGTGAACCAACAGTTTCTTGGTGTCAACTGATGTGGCCGCCGTCTGGGCCTCTGGACCGTCCTCAGACCCAATCAGCCCCGGGTCCGGCAGCAGTGCTCTAACTCGGGCGAAACGCTGCAGAGCTCAGCTTCGGTTCATCCCCAAATCTTTCGGGGCTGACTGGGAGATCTGCGACTCCGGCGGCTGCGCTACGAAGCCGGCGAGTACACCCGCATGTGACCACTCATTTGAGGGTGAAAACAATGGACTTATATTTACCAGACTGCACGGCGATCGGCCCCATTCTATCCAGTCTTTCGTTTTTGGTCATGATAATATCGTTAAATCAAACCGCCAGGAAGTATTTTCCTGACAATTAATTTGTTGTTCCTTCAAGTTGCTTCTTAGGCGACCGAACCCTGACTGAGCCACGAAATACAAAATCACTATCCAGTGCGATAAGCGCTCCAGACTTTGGAATCATCATGAAATTCACCCGCAGATCTTTCTCATTCCGAGGCGGACTGGATGGTTATGAGAAGGTGCAAGGGAGCTCAGGATGGTTCCCAGTTCCGTGGAGAGGCCGCAGGCTTTCAGCGGAGCCGAAAGCACGACCGTTTCGGAACCGACGCGCATCGAAGTCAACGGAGTCAGTTGTGAAACTGATATGATCTAGGCGACATTGCTCGCGAGAGTGATCTTGTCCGACGTGGATATGTGAAAGGAGCACGACCTGGCGGCTTGTCACACACAAGTTGGTATGCTGCTGTAGGGCAGTATGAACCGGCCGCATTAGAGATGTCCGCCTCCCGCCTTTGATCAAGTGACACGCTGGTTTTCTTTTGGTAGCTTGAAGACACTGGCGTCTTTCAGAATGAACGACATGGAGGGAGCCATTCTGAAGTCGCCGTTGTGGACGTTGGACGATCTTGTAACGTGGGCTGGGTCCCAGCAAAGCTACTCCGCGGATTTCTGCACCATCGAAAAGCCTCATGCACGTTGCTGTGATTATTTTGGACTCATGAGAATATGGGGCCAGTGGTTCTGCCTGGTACAGAGAAGAAAAATCGGGGAAAGCGACTATACATGAATTCAATGCAGATGGCGTTAGGGGGAAAATGTCAAAAAGAAAAAATAGCCAATTTTCTTACATTGAACAACCCACCAAACATTTATATCTGTGACTCCTACTCCTTGCGAAATTATGAAAATCCAATATCCAACTTATAATGCCGCCTCACTCTTCCTCGCCCTCAGCCTCAGCGTCATCTCCGGACACGGCAGGGGGATTCTCCTCCAGATACTTCAGCACACTTTCCCTCTGCTGCATCACCGAGACCAGCGACCCAAGAGTCTTGTGGAGCGCCCTTATGGCCGCACCATCGTCACGCACACCGCCATCATCCCCCTCCCCCTGGCCGTCTTTGCGCAGGTGCAGCACCACGGTTGCGATGAGAAGGGCCTCCATGCCGTCCTTCTTCATCAATGGGATGAGGCATCTGGACCTCTCGCCGTTCTTTAAAAGGTGCTGACGCAGAAAGGACTTGACAAGGTCGTTTGTCGCAGCTGACTCCTCCTCATGGTCTGGTGTGGAGGCTCTTCCGTCTTGTTCGGATTGTGTCTTTTCGTCAGAGGACGGGCTTGGTGATGTTGATCGCAAAGGCTCAATGTGAAATGCGAGGTTGTCATCTTTGTCTTGGTAGAAAATGCTGCCAGAGTCACGCTGAAGTTTCAGCTGGATGCGCGTCTGGGTCGTCATGTTGAAGTGGGTCTCGAGCACCAGTCGTTCGATAAGTAGTACGTTGACTGAGACAGCAGAAATTGGGTTGGTTGGGTGGTTCTAGGAGTTGCAGCACAAGATGAAATGGATGATTCGCTGGAGACGAGTGGGCCGAGACGACAAATTTGAGAGCTTGGACTGATAGGCGTGATTTAAATGTAAGGGTTGTAGCCCCCACTATCACAAATTATATTGTACCCGATGCAGGACAAAGGAAATTCACAATGGCTTGAAGGGCTTTGTGTCGCCGTCATACAGCTCGTATCAAATGAAACATTGACAACAATAGAGAAACCCCTTGGCACCTTACAATTATAACTCTCAGCCTGCTGAACTGTCATCCACATGCTGCCTATTACAAGTGTACCAAATGCCGACCGTAATACTGGTAAGCACGAGAGTCACAGTAGCATAAAGCCAAATGTAAGGAGACATCATACTCTGACCTCTGTCTGGACTCCAGTTGAAAAACGTCATAGAGAACAAGGTCTGTGTTAAAACGATCCCACTTTTAGCATGAGGCGTCTCATCGGAAGAAGAGAAAAACTTACTGCAACCGAAGTGGCTGGCAGGAAAATCATGGTCAGCAAAGCGATAGACCTCATTTGTTTCCCGTCATTTCTTGTGGCGTTTGCAATATCGAGGTTTGTGAGCGTGTCTCCCCTGCCGATCTCATTCCATTCCTGACCCCATGTCAGAGTTTTATGACAATAGAAGGAAGTAACCAACGTCAACTTAGAAGGCTTCACTGGGAGAATATTTCTCACCATTTGTGTTGCCAGTATCATACCATCAACAATTGTACCGCAACTCCTAATCTTCTCATCATATTCCTCCCTAATCTCCTCCAATCGTGTCCTAATTCGAAGCACCGGCTCCCCCGTTTCACCACCCTCCTCATCCAACAGCAGGTTCTTAAACTTGTCAAAGCCGTCCGGGATGAGCAGCTGTGTGGTGACAGGCGTGGATTGTGAAGATGGTCTTGAGTTCTGATCATCCGGCATGAGATTCCCGCGGGAAAATGACTCTGCATGGGGAATGATCTTATCCAACTGCTTTCTCCAGCTCTCTAGCCCGTTCTTCAGGTGGCTCATCTCCAGCCACAACCTCAAAGTGCCGTCAGTATCGGCCGCGGTTGATTGAGTCCCGTTTCCACCGCAGTTTCCGCCTGGCTCATGTCGATTACTGGAAATATTCAGTGCCCGCGTCAGAAGCTTATTGCGTAGACTGTCCGTCATCCTGAAATGACGTCTGCGCTCGATCTCTGCGAAGAGAAGCGGAAGCACAAGTGGGTGATAAGTCGACATGTCACATTTCTGGAGTGTCGTCATAACTAAAACGCGATTCTGCTCACTACAGCCGTATACCACGCAGTATGTGTAGTTTCTGCTTGGGTAAAACGTTGAAGAGAGTGCTATGTCATCAGACCAGGACGAGGCTGACCTGCAGTTATAGACTGCGTAGAAAGTGATCAGCAACGGCGGCAAATCCGTGATGGGAGGGACAATCTGGAAGGAATACTGAATATATGTAGTCATGAGACAGAAGCACGACGGCAAACTGTTCTCACCTCTCTGAAGGTCTTGTGTGTGCATGTCTCTCGTGGTTGTGGAAGACATGAGAGCTGTGGTGTTTCTGTTGATCACCCTAGATATGGACCGGTGGATGTGAAAAGTGCCGACAAGATTTTGAAATATCTCCCGACAGACTGGCAATTCTGAGACTATGTTTCCAGGCCAGAGGCCAGCCTCTGCTCTAGCGCCAAAGCTGCTATTATGTCAGTAAATAAGTCTCAGTTTGCAATGCTCCAGGGTATATACTCACAGGATTGCAACCCCATTCTGTCGCGATGAGTCAGGTATCGAATGCCACTGTTGACCATTGCGTCTCAGCGACATTTGGAAGCTTTCATTCTGAGCATGACTGACCTCACGAAGCCATGAATCCCATTGGCTCTTCGTCTTCAGCTTCGGGTAACATTGCGGTTCGCAAGCCTGTCCTGAACACTATGATTAAGCCGTGTGAGTGCATGCAAAACTTTGAAAAGAGTTTTGGATCGAATGAAAGGTTGCTCACCTCAATCTGATATCGATACTCAACTACCATACTTTCCCTTGGCTCAAATGAGAAAACACCAAAGTCATCCTCACAGAAGGACGAGTCGTTGCGAACCCAATGCATCGGGTGTTGGGGAACATGTCCGGTTCGGAAAGGCTACAGAAAGGAGATTTGGTTAGTCACATGAGTAAATAGTCAGGGGGAAATGGCCGGCTTGATTTCCAGGAGCCCGACTTAAGTATACTTCATCATGGGACAGCCCTGCACTTTGGATACACCAGCATGGCGTGCGCTTTACAGGTGGTTGACCATGCTCCTCATCCATGTCGACAGCCTGATGTACTACACACCGACCGAGGGCTCCCAGTGGTGATAATGCATAGCTTAAAATAGGTACGGGCGGCCAATCGTGAGTGCAGTCTCTGGGAGTGCAATCACATCCCGCCCGCAGTTTGAACATTGCCTTGCAGTGATGCATATTGACGACATGTGAGATGGGGGGTAGTTGGTGCCAAGGGTCTACAAATGCTACCCTCAGTCGCCCGATTATTGTCTACCCAGAAAATCTCTCCCAGTTAATTCGCTCGTGTTTGTCGTTGCCTGAGAGCCTGCTTCGGTACTTTGCAGCAGTGCCAGAGAAGGCCCATGCAGTGAATCAAAGCGTGCATATAAAGTGTTACAAGGTTGACTCGAAGATCCGCCCAGAGAAACATGGAAGACTGGCAGGACGCGGTATTCGCACTACCACAGTGAAGCTCTTCCCGATGAGGATAAGTGGCTGTGATCCGAGATGAAGTATAAAAAACCGTGAAATACCTACGCTTGCTGAATTATTTAAATACGCTTCTCAACTTCCTTGGCCGTTGCCTACTCTTGCGCTCCTGTAGGTCATATAAGCACCTCTGACACCACACGGCGCTTTGGACCATCTTCCTACCGCAAACTTGGCTTTTCACGCCCAGGATCTCTCTTCCAAGTACATCAATATCCCATTACCCATTAGAGCTGCATATACCTCATACAGGATGCCTACCGAGAATGCCAGGCCAATGTACAAGCAGACCGTGAATATCAGATACAAAGCTGCGAGGCAGCTAGAAGTCGAGTTGAACAAAGTCCTCGGACAAGGAAATTGGTCTGCTGAGCAAGTGAGTACAGGTCCCGGGAGATATAAATCGTTCCAGTTGCTGAGAGTGCGCTTCTTTAGGATGTGCTCATGGATGGCTATGTCTTGAGCGTACCTAGGTACTTGACCGAGGTCAGTAGTTCCCCCCCCCTCCAATTCCCTACCTCAAGTTATGGAGTTGTTTCTACTCTCTGCCTGCAAAACTGATGAACTCTTGCTTTGGGGCTGTGGGTTCTTCATTCTGAAAAAATTAATAGAATGAGATTGAGACAATCAACAACAACCTTCGCGTACACTACGGTGGTTAGTGGTAGCAGTTGAGAGAGGTCTGTGGTACAGCTGATTCTAGGTTGTCCATAGACGGTCTATTGTCACACTCGTTTAACCAGCTGTCAATCCTTCGGCATGCTTTTGATCAGTCTGAGTTGGAATTTGTCCATCTCTTGTAGAATCTGTAATGGGTCTTTTGATTACTAGAAACTGTCAATTGTTATTGCGCATTTTCGTGAATTACTCTTTTCATTTCCTAAGTCATAAAGAAGAGCTACTCCTACACTCCTGGAACTCAAGCGACGGCACTTGTGGTGTATTTTTCTCAGTTGATGTGCGGATCTCTGAAGCAGTATTCCGGGGATTGTGTGCAAGTCTGCAGCATTAAGTGAAGCTTGTCCTTGACCTCGCCGCATTTATGGCGGTCTGATGCGATGACCTGAATCATGTGACCCTTGATATACTCCAGGAATTCTGAGGAATATCGGCTGTGACTAGGCTGCGCCAACAGATGGTCAATCCACTGGAGCTGTCAGCTGCTTTAATCTTGTCTCGGAAAAAGAAGGGTGGCACATGTTGAAGGACCTGCCTTATTAACCGACACTTTCACCAGCACACGCTCCTTCCGGAGCGGCTTGAGAATCTTGAATCCATCCTTGTATGTGCCATAGAAATTGTCGAGCGTGAAGTTGCCCCTGGAATCTCGGTCTGCCTTGCGATTGCTCCTGAATCTTTCTACACCCTCGGAACCCAAAAGAGCCCAAGTGATAAACTCCATGAAGATACAGCCAAGGGACCAGATATCGTAGGGCCTCGAAACTTGTGTTCCCAATTCGTACTCTGGAGCCGCGTAGCTCTGGGTAATACCTCTGACCCTTTCAGGGAGAACCTTTGTTGTGAGTTCACTGTGAAACATCGTCACTCCGAAATCTGAGATTTTCAGAACTCCGTGTCCATGCATATTGTTCTCTTGTTTGAACCAGAGAATATTCTGCGGCTTGATATCCCCATGACGACCATAGTCTTTGTCGTCGTTCTTTTCCCCGGGGCTGGACTTTGTGAAGTCAGATGGCACTGCCAGTTCTGACTTGTGCATGGACGCGTCATGGATGTGACTCAAGCCCTCAGCAAGGCCGTAGCATTGTTCCGCCAACCAAGTCATCCAACCCATGTCAATAGAAGGCTGTGGATCATGTTTTTCCCACAATTCTTGCAAATTTCCCCCTTCTGCCCAGGGAAAAAGGAGGTGATACTCCCCCTTGAAGTGAAAGGTTGCAAGCAATGTAACAAGATGGGGATTTGGCCTGATCTTTTTCAAGGCTTTTACCTCCAAATTGAATTCTTCACGTTTCTTCTCGGATTTGAGAGTCTTCAGTGCGAACAGATTGCTTCCCTTCTCCTCGTTATAGATAGGTCAGCAACATTCCCTTAGGCACGCCAAACGCTGCGCAACAAAACTATGCTCACCTTTGGCTGAAGGCGATGCTGTGCAGGATGTATCCCCACGCGCCTGACTTCAGAATTATTTGATGAATGTATCTTCTCTCCATAGCTTGTCCAGGGGAGACGGCTGCGATCACTCAATTCGTAGTGCAATGGCCGCGAATTATCGTCTTGAGCAAAGAACGGAGGCTTCATCTGCCGCTGGTATTTGTCAAACTGCTCGATATCTCTGTCCTCCCATCCACTGAAGCATCCAAGGACGGGATCATCAGTGTTCTTCTTCTTGAGCTTGAACGTGGATCCGACTTCGCAGGTTTTGGCAAGCGGAAGGTCTTCGTCGTGTATACCTTCGTCATGTAGCATGGCAACGGCATCGGCCTTGTTGGCGAGGATCAAAGACGCAAAGAGTCGTTTCCCTGTATGGAGCTCCTCTGATCCATCACGATTCCCACAGATGTAGGTAGTGAGTTCTTGGAGTTGACTGGAGATTCTTGGCTGGTCCATAGACGAGAGGTACAATTGTACCGTCTCGTGGCATATGATTGTGTCCAGGCCATCGATAGGCATGAAGTATGTGTCCTCGTCGCCACGACAAGGCTCCAGTGCATGACGGAGTCTCCGGTCAACAGAAGCGTTGGTCGGAAGCATGTCAGTCCCAGACAGGATGCCGTGGTGAAGTTGATCGCCTTGACGTTTTTTCATCCTCTCGAGAAGTAGCAGGCCATCATCTTTGACCACGTCACTCGATCCCGATAGGTCAGGGGTGAGATCCACGTGTATCGCCGGCACTGTGAAGTCTGATGGTCCACCGAGCCTGGCGATGTCAGCATCTAATGACTGTTGACGATGCTGCTTATCTTCATATTCTGTAGGTACCGTGGAGGCCTGCTGAGGATCAGCTCATTTGATTTTCAATAGCCAAACATATACTATCGGTGTGCCATCGGATTCGAAGGTGTTCGAATTTTAAATCGTTCATCTCACCATTGTGTAGTACTTGATACGCTGAGCGTCGGTAAACGTGTGCAATCGACAAAAATGGTTCGAGTTTGGGCAGAACAAGGTTGTCAATGATTCCGGTCTGGCAACTAGGGAAGGACAGTACTGATATGTGATTCATCCTGAGACACCTCCATACGACTGGGGTGCCGCCTTGAACCTTGAGCATTGAACCACACTTTCGTAAAAATGAGAAACTCGAAGAGCCTCATCTCGGAAAATGAGGGAGGGTCGCGTAAGCAACGGCAGATCTCGGTGAGGATTTTGCCCAGCGAGTGAGGACCTGTGTTCCATCCAGGAAGCCGGTCGTGGACAGTGTCGTGCACCATCAACGACTGAATGAGGAAGGAGAAGCAAGGTATGGAGGGTTGTCTTTAGAAACGAATGGAAACTGATAGGCCAGTAGAGAGAGCATGTACCTTGACATTCTCGCCTGCAGGCCCGAGTATCACGTCAAGGGCTGTGCTGGGCGACCGGGGCCAGACCACTCTCCGAGAGATACTCGCAGATGCGTAAAAGGTCCGATGCCCCCATGGGAGTTTCGAACGCAGTTCTCAGAAACTTCACACCTTCCAGTTCCTAATATTCCAAGCACAAGTCGAACTCGAGAAACACTGTTACTCAAGTCTTCACGAGAACAAAGGAAAAGATGTTCCTCGGGTATACACTCGATACCCCAGAATGAGGAATGGGAAAAAGGACAATCCTAATTCGTTCTTTGCAGACGCCGTACCAAATCCTTTCGTCGGCCGAGAAGCTCCGAGTCTGAACAGGAATGCGTATCGACGGTAATTCCAGGGCGGGATATCGACCGCGCAACGCTCCAGCGGGTATTGGACAAGAAATTTGGTCGGAATTACCACGTGTCGTTGGACTACGACCAGTTCACAGTTTTTGCACCCGAAGTGCTTTCCAGAGCGGATTATATCAACCAGACATAAGAGCTGTGATTTCCGACGTGGGACAGCTGGATGCTCGGGATTAGGAGACCTGGTGGTGTAGGGCCGCAGGATATCACATCTACCAGGTGATGCGGAGGGGAGAGCAAATTGTTGACTGCTGGATACTCGTAGTAAGAGAAAGAATAAATTGATTGACAATTCATGATTCTGTTTTCTGCCGGCAGAGAAAATGGAAAGGAAGAGGAATGAAAAAGGTGGGCGGGCACCAAGTCCCTGAAAGATCACAGTAGTCGGTCACTCATGCTTTTTTAATCACTGCTGCACAACCATACCGGAATTCCAGCAGTATTGCATATTGTATGGCGGTGTCGGGGCCAAGGAGAATCTTGGGCGCTGATGCACCGCATGAAGGCCTAATACGCAACCCATGTGCAACAGGCCAGCCAATCATCCTCACAAAGTTTACACACCCTCCCCTAACATCTAATCAGCATGTAGTTAAAGGTGTACAAGTGATTAGGGTGTACGAGTGGTAGGGTTGCCATAGTAACCTTAATCTAGGCTCCTGCTGTAACTTTCACAAGGCCACAAATCAAGTGACCATGGTTCACGCCTGTTCTGTCCGGTTCCCGTATATGGGTGCAGTTTTTGCCGAGGAAATAGAGGGCACAGTAATCTCTCTGTGATGTAGTATACATCATTAAATTTTCCACCGTGTAAACCTGCATTGATACTACAGGGCTGCACGCGGGGAAATCAGATGAGCTGATCTTCGCGTCGTACGTATTTCTCACACCGGGACTCACAATGCATTGCTGATATCAACTAACATGTAGTGCCATCCATAAATAGTTGCACCGCTGTGATTATCAACCGGCTTGAGAAACCTAGCATATGCAGGCTTTGCAAATATCTTATTGGCTTGAGTTTACTTGCAATGAATGATTGCAGAAGTTCACAATACGTCTCAGGTTTACTCCATTTACAGGCACTGCTTTGGAGTAAACCGACTTTGTGTTGCCGTCCCACAGCCTGTGTCAAAAAGAACATCAACGACAATAGACAAGGCCCTGGGCACCTCCTGCCATAGAAATTCAGCACGAGCTGTCAATGTTGCCTTACTAAGTGAACAAAGAAAATTGCAAGATGGACTAAATGGTTTGAGATTCAATAGTATCTTCGATCAATGCTATATCTCTATATGCAAACGCCATACTTGCATGCAAGACTCGCAACAGTGGTATCCAAATTCACCCCGCCATTATAATGCATTAACACCCGTCACCCGTGTGCGATATGACACCAATGCAGAAACAGATCGCCTGCTGATGCACTCATAAATCAAACCAGGTCCAACCCATAACAGACCGCTGGCCCTCTTGAGACACCATGACATTAGATCAGGGCCAACAGCACGACCATAGCCACGGCAAGCGCCGCCGGCGAACATCGCCTCAGGCCCGCCGCCGAAGTGGTCGAGCCGGTGTTCCCCCCGGAGGCTGCCGGGATCTCTGTCGTTGCCGGCTCGGTCCCTCCTCCCGAGGATGATGACGAGCCCGTGCCGGTGGCGGGGGTGCTGGAGTCTGTCGGGGAGGGTTCTGACGCCGAGCCCGTGCCCGGGACCATGGTGCGCGGGGAGGAGCATTTGCCTTCGAGGGTGGTGAGGTCTGCCGCGCTGGCGATGGCGGCGGGGGTGGAGCCGCAGTTTGTGTACTGCTGCATGTGGATGGCGTTGGTCTCGAGGTCGAAGACGGCTGTTATACTAAAGTCAGTATCGGTTATGTTGAGCGGTTGAGGATGGAGAGGAAAGAAGGCATACCGTAGGCAGACCGCATGAAGGTATCCCCCAGCAAGGTGAAGGATTCACTGGGCGTGATGCCCAGAACGCAGCTCTCCTGCCCGAACGAGCCGCTTGACGAGCGGATGAACTCGTTGTACGGCACCTTGATCTCGACGCCGTTGAAGTCGAAGTCGATCGTGCCGGGGAGGTCGGCCAGGTTGCAGTCCACAGGGTAGAAGCCGCTCTCGTCCAGGCCGGATGAGCCAAAGTCCGCGCCGAGCTGGTCGCAGATGGCCTGCGGCAGGAGGGTGAGGGTCGACCCGGTGTCGAGGAAGACGTCCATGGAGCTGTTGGGGTACATCTTCCTGTTGCCGCTCGGCGGCGTGATCGACATGTTGTTCATGGAAATCCAGTAACGCGGGACGCCGTCCGGGCTGTCGGCCGCCGGGACGATGGGCAGGGTGGCCAGACGACCTGCGAACTTTGACGTATCCACGCCGCCAAATACGATGACGCCCTCTCCCTCATCCTTACTACCCAGCGCTACGCTGTATGCCTTCACCTTGGTCTGGTTCTGAGTGGCCAGCTCGTCAACGAAGTTGGGGTACCTGGTCGTGAGACCCAACCCATATCCGATGCCCAGGATGCCGGAGAACTGGGACCTGCTCGATGTGGCCACGCCGAATTGCACGCCGCTCATCGCAGTCGCGGCGCCGGGAAGTGCTATACTGTCCTTGAAATAGGTGATGTTGGCGGAGCCTATGCCATAGTTCAACGTCTTGGTGTTTTGCAGGTTGACGGCGGTGGAGGACTTTGTCGCGTCGTAAAACCCCACGGCGTTGCAGAATTCCTGGTCTGACGCGTCCAAAGTCGAACATGTTGGATTGACCCATAGCTCAAATGACCCCGTGTCCAGCTGGACGTAAACCGGTTGGGCTGGTGATCCTATGTTGAGTTGCGCATAATAGGCGACATCGGAACGGTTGGATAGTTGGACCTCGACTGCTCGTTTTGAGAAGATTTTTGAGTTTGTCGAGTGAACAACCGGAAGATGCACACATGATTCCTCCTCTGCACACTGAGCCCAGGCGCCGTAGAAGAAGCTACTTGCCAGAAGCAAAAGCTGTAGTGTGAAGGAGGGTGCCATGGACGGCACCGGATAATAACAGAGACGCTACCTCGACAGCGACGGCATGGGTACGATGTACTCTGAGGCGCTGATGAATCCCAGGGTCGAGGAGAAAGCTGTACCGGCGGCTGGCGACGTCAATGAATGATTGAATCAAGTCAATGGATGATTGATTGAAGTTCCGGTTGAATGAGGCCTTCAGAATGGAAAATGGCCTTCGAATTGCCGGCAGCCCAGAATGCGACCCCTTTCTGCCTGCGTGCTGTGCTCCTCCAATCCGGTCTCAGGGCGGGTGGCTGCCTCAATAAGGGTTCATGCGATCGTCACGGGCCCCTGCAAGGAAAAAGAAAAGGAAAAAGATGCGGCCTCCAGGGTCAAGAATCAAATGCCGTCGATAGGGGCGTAATGAATACAGCCGCAAAGCAATGAGAGAATCAGAATAATGAGAATTCAGAATGGAATAACAAACCAGCTGTTCGGGCGAAAAGAACGTTGAGGGATGGGAACCTGGCAGGGACTGGCCTGGATCCGAGACGAAACAACGAGACGAAAGTCGAGACCTGAGCGGTCGCGGTGCAGGATGACCGAGGCGGCTCTGCGAAGCTCGACGTTAAGGCTTCACATGACTGTGGGGGGCTGAACGGCGCCGATCACCGCCGATCCGGGCTCCCAGGACTGGGTACTGCTATAACAGTGGATGGACTGGGGCGTGCCAATGCTCCTAACGTCTCACATCTGCGCCCACCCCTGACTGCGCCGAGAGACCGGAAGCACCCAGCGCCTTGTAGAGGGACGGTCCCAGCACAGAGGAGAGCGAACACGGTCAGCGAGCGAGTTAACGAGCGACCTGACTGAGCCCGCCACTCACACCTCGGCGAGCGGATGAACTCAATTGCTGCGAGGTGTGGCCAGCAGCCAAAATAGTATCATCCAGTGTTCGTCCATTTGCTCGCAAGTTCCGAATCGATTTCAAGAGTCATCTCTGGGCCCACACACACACACAACTCCCGACAGCCAGAATCGTGCCTGCAACTGCAACATGCGACGGTATCTAGTGTTCCGATCCCCCCCAGACAGCAAAGTAAAGCAAAGACACGCAAGGCGCGCTGCGGCCAACCTCGGCACCCAGCACGTCCTCGTTTTAAGTGACATCGCATGCAGTCCAGCTGCCCATGAATATCACCATCGCATCGGCTGATCATGGACGAGCGAGGCCCCCATTCTGGCCTTCCACTGCCCCGAAATCTCTTGTGCCTCAGAAAGACTGCAGCCAAGGGCCAAGCCAAGAGCCAAGCTACAAGGGGGCTGACGCACGTCTCTTGCTCAGCAGCTACTGCCGAGCGCTAGCCCACCCCCCCTGCCCCCGTGCCCCCTCCCAACCTGGCAGCCCTGCTAGCCTGCCAGTGGATCTTTTTCGGGCGACGACAGACTCTCGGTCCCTGCCGACTGTGGGCTGTTTCAGAATGAGCAGGGGGGCCGGGTCGCCTCCAAGAAAAGCCCAAGAAGAGAGGAGACCCCCGGGATGGCACACTCTTCCACATCCGAGCCGCCCGTCGGCCAACGGCGGATAAATAGTCCAGACGGCGTGGCGGGATCAAGCGGCTGTCAAGGAGAACCGGATGAGAAAAAAGCACGGCTTTAAACGGACTAGTAAGGAGTGTGGGAAGCGTGCTGACGCCTTGAATGTCCAAGCACAGATCCCATCTCGGGACGCTACTTTCCGGCTGAGGGTTCGGGTCACCTGTGCAGGCCGCACGAGTCAGGGGTAGTAGACAGGCTCGATGTGACATGCGCAGCCGCAATCACTCACTATACTACACTTCATATACTGCCTTTGAGCCTCAACAAGAGCTTTGTCAAACTTCTTGGGATTTCTTGCAGTTTCAGCCTTATTCCATCATATATGCCTTGTCATATAATCTAACAGCCTTCCTTCCCACAATATAACATTGTGCCGTCGGCCGTCGACGACAAGCGCATGTGAATACGGTTATATGGAGATCCTGGCACACATGCATAATATTACTGGAACAATACCGCCATGCTTCAAAGGGCCGAGAGGGAAACAGAATAAAAAAAGGTGGCGCCGAGCCCGTCCCCATTGACTTGCTTGCCCGTCGGATGATATACTCTGTTCAACGAGTTATAAAGCTCAGACCCTTGGGAAAATAGGAAACTCAGTCGCCAAGGTGATTCCACTGATTGGATGGAAATCACACCGTTGAGGCTTGGACATGCTCGCAGCCCTTCTCACTAGTAGTTCCGGCCGAAGATATTGACCCGCTCTCCACATCATGGTGTTTTGACCTGGCCATCCTTCGGTTGTAGAAGAGCCAGGCACCCCAAGTCAGAAGAGTCAGAGCAATGGTTATGACCGCGTAGACCCAAAACCAAGGAGACATCACCTCCTGGTCCTGTTCAGGACTCCAGTTGAATAGAGTCATGGAGAAAACGGTCTATGATTTCTGCGTTAGCCAAAATGTGTTGCTTAAATCCATTCATCAGGCTGAGGTCTGAGACTTACTGCAACGAACGTGGCTGGTAGGAACACCATCGTGAGCGTAGATATTGACCGCATTCGTTTGGAGTCCGCCTGAGTGGCCTCAGCAATCGCATTGTTGGTACGGGAGATGATGAGGTTGGTCTGCGTATCATTCTGTCCGATAGTGTTCCATTCCTATAACTTCCATGGTTAGCTCCGAAATTTGACTTCTATGATGAACATGATGAAAGGAAAGATGGTGGATGAAGGCAGCCACGAACAAGTTGTGCCACCAGCACCATGCCGTCTATGATGTCGGCACATTGCCTGATCTTCTCATCGTACTCGCACTTCAGCTCAACGAGTCGCTCTTTGATTCGCTTCCCAGCATCCATATATTGGCGCGCGTCGAGATCCTCGGGGTCTTCAGATGCTCGTCGCGATTGACCCGTTCCAAGACTCTCACAGTGTAAGATAAGATTCTCGAGCTGCTACTTCCAAGTCTCCAGGCCTCTTTTGAGATCGCTCACTTGAAGCCACAATGTCATGAGATCTTCGGGCTCTTCATTAGGCCCTGATGAATGAGATGAGGCTGCAGTGTTGCTACATGCGAGCTTCGAGGAATGACCGGCAGGATTCTGGGGGTTGGAAATATTGACTGCTTTGTGAACAAACTTTTTGATCACTGGGTCGAGAAGTTCGAATTGACGCTTCCGTTCAATGTCACAGAATAGTGTTGGGATTGCGAGAGGGTGGTGCACGACGTAGTTGCACCTCTTCAGCCGCTCAATCATCTCTTCGCGAATCAGTTCAGAACAGCCATACAGAACTGCTTTGGTCGACCTGTCCCTGTGTGAATATGTCACCGACAAGGCCATATCGTCCTTCCATTCAGCAGATGAGCGACAGTTGTAAACTGTGATGTTAGTGATCAGACGGCCCATGGTAGCGTTCTTAGCTGCTCACTTTGCACTGCTTCGTCATTGCCAGGATTCTGTGCAGAAGTCGCGCAGCAGGTTGCGGTAGTGTTGCGGTTTATCACCCTGGAGATGGACCGGTGGATTTGGAAAGCATGCACAACACGCTCGGTGAGTGCTTCATGGAAAGGCAAGTAGGAGACTTCGTTGCCTGAAATCTTGCAAGTTGTCCTGCCACCGAAGCTACAGTGATTCCGTAACGTCAGTCTCAAAGACCAGGCTGTAGAAACTGGCTCTCAGAGGCAAAAGAGTTTCATAAAATAGTGTCTCCGTGATTTCTTTTGAATCGCGTATAACTTACAGTATGGTCACCCCTTTCTGCGGCCCTGTCTCACTTGACTTGAAAGCGTCAACTAATTTTGGCTAGATATCTTGGTGAGCTTGTATATGAGATACATGCTGAAGCTCACCTCTTCCAATGAATGCAAACATTCTTGCCATTTTTCAAGAGAGTCAAGGTCATCGTAGACCCTTGGTAAGCAATTGCCCTGCAATCGAGTAAGGAAGTATCTTATACAAACGTCTATTAGATGATATGAAATTGTCATGAAACTTACATCGCAGCTGTCAGAGATTCTAAGAATTTCGCTCCTCTTCGGCTGGTGGGAGAACCGTAAAACACCTAGGTCATCTCTTCCAAGAAGAAAATCGTCTTGAATCCATTCCATGGTGGGTAACTAAACAGAGTTAGGATACAGGACTTGTGCCACCATTTAGACCTCATCCGATGCAAGATCTTCCCATGCCGAAAAAAAGATGTGACGGAGGGACTCAAATACATGATTCTTGTCCCAAAGAGCTCTTGACCATTCGCCAGCCAAAATGCCTCGCCTCTCGGAGTCGAATGAGGGAGATGGCAGTGCTGAGAGGTGCAGGTTAACACACACCACGTTGTGAAACCCAAGCCCACTTGGGACTTGGCAACCAAACGAGGCTGCGTTGGTTCAACATACATCTGCACGATAGCACCGTCATCCCACCCTGGGGCAGAGTCACAGCATTGCACCATGGAAGTGGAGAAAGTATAAGAATGGCGGTCAAATGATGCAAGCCTTCGGACGGTTGTGGTGCAAAAAACCCTTGTGGCACTCACCATGAGCTTCAACACATGCACACCAGAGGTGATACCATCTTGTCAGATTCCTTTCCGTAGGCGTGATAAACCCCCACTCACATGTTGACTCACAGCCCCAATGATTATCTCAGGGGTTTATCTACATAAGCAGTGATGCGGCTCTGCTCACCGGCAATTCTCAGCTGGTGTTCGGAGTTTCTGAAATAAAGGCTACAGGTGTATGTGATTCGCACACCATGACCCAAGACAACTCACCCAATACTCCTCCTCCCCTGGTCTCTATGTTTCAATCGTTGTACAAAAGAGTCCAATCACTTTGGAAATCACCCAAGGACTTGAAAATGCCGGAAAACTTTATCAAACAGGTATTGGACTTGCGATATTGTGATGACACGCTGCTGGAGAGAGATCTCAATAGGATCCTTGGAGAAGAAGGATGGAAGGAAGCAAGTGTTCGTTTACCCCGACACTCCGAAGATGGAGTCAATGAAACCACCTCATTTGATATTACTCCAAGTCAAGACATGGGTGCTGACTTGAGAAGGTCGTACATGGTCAGCGAACAGTCATGGTCACAAGGCTACTCACCCCGGTAAGCATGCTTGAAAACCATTGATGTCGGCATTGGACCAGATGCGATGAGCTAAATGATTTCAATTTTAGACTGAAATAGCTGAGATCAACGCCAATGCGAGGAATCGTTATCAAAACTCTCCAGAGGCAAGGGCTGCAAGGGGTTCGGCATAGGTGAATGAATCAGCTACAACACATACAGGAAGTGCAAACACCATCCGAGAATGGCCGGAGGTGAATAAATTTCTCCCCAAGTAAACTTGACTTTTCGTACAGTGTTTTTGTACAACCTTTGGCATCTGCAATCAATTGTTTCGACGAACTCTCCACTGGGCCCTTTCTCACGTTTTTCCTTCCGATGACCAGCAAGCCAGGTCCTGTTCCACGAAGCTATTTGACACGGCATGCAGCGGAAGATCCTTAGCTGTGCCCTAGCAGAAACAGATGTAAAAGGCCTCTCTCCAGCGAGAGGCTTTGGGCTGTATTCGGGTTGAAGCGTACTCCGGATCTCGCTTGCATGCGGTAAACATCTTGGACAGTTTCTCTCGGACCATGGCGCTGTTTTCTCTGCTTTCCTTGTCCACTAGCATCTTCTGCTGGATATAATCAAGAAATTCATGAAAGAATTGGCTGCAGTCCTTATGGTCTCTCAACTTGTTTATCCACTGTGGCGAAAGCATCAGTTTTCGGAACTTCGACTTCTACTTCATTCAAACAGACCACTTACGCTAATCACACTGTTCTTGGCAGTGGAGTACTCTGCTGAGCGGAATAGGGAACGATCACTTTTGTGAATAGAGTAGAAAGTGTCCTCGTCGAACTTCTTTCGGATCCCTTTCTCCGCCTTTCTGTCTTTAGCGAATTTCTCAACCTCTTCGTATCCCAGAAGGATCCATGTTATGAACTCGAGATAGACACATCCGAGTGACCACATATCAAATGGCCGTGATACAAAACCTTCGAAGTTTGGTTCAAAGACCTCAATTTCCGGTGCTGCGTATGTCCTGGTGAATTGCACGTATTTCGCCGGTACCTTTGTTGTTCGGGCGCTGTGGAAGGCAGTGATACCAAAATCTGTGATTTTCAAAACACCACGTCCGTAATCGTTGACATGGTCACTGAACCAAAGAATGTTCTGTGGTTTAATGTCGCCATGTCTTCCGTGGATCTGGTTCTCTTCCTCCACCGCCGCGCCTGTCTGTGGCTGGGACGAGTCTTGGGGAGTAGTGTCATTTTCGAGTTCTTCCAATGATATTGAGGCGTTGTGGATCCCGTCCAGTCCGTCCGCAAGACCGTGGCATTGTTGAGCAAACCAGCAAATGGAATCGTGGGACAAGTCACGGGTTGGGTCTTGTGACTTCCAGAAGTCGGCTAGGTTGCCGCCTTCCGCCCATTTGAAAATGAGGTGGTACTTGTCCTGGTATTTGAAAGCCGTCACTGCATTGACAAGATGCGGCTTAGGCTTGATCTTTATCAATGCCTTCACCTCGAGTGCAAAGGCGTCCGCATCTTCCGCCTTGAGCACTTTCAGGGCGAAAAGTGATTTCCTATTAAAAGGTGAAGTCTTGGACAAATTAGTATCTAGACTGATGTTCAGGGCAGAATTTACTAATCAAGAAAGCATCCAGATGTGGTCATACCCTTGGGCCGTCATGCAACCGATGATGAGCGTGATGAATCTCCACACGATCAACCCTGGAGTTTCCATTATGGATTGTTGTGCATTTAGTGAAAGGCAAGACACTCTGATCAGACAGTTCAGTGACTTGCAGGTTGATTGGCCATTTTTCGAGCACTTCAGCCTTCACCTGTCGTTGGCGCTCGTCAAAAAACAGTCGCTGGGCGGCTGTCCATTCTGTGAAACACCCGACAGGCGTAGTTGGACTTGACTTCTTCGCCAGTTGGAAGTCTAGTATGGTCTCTAACTCAATGCGAGAAAGGGGTAAATCATTGTCGGAGACTTCATCCCGAATGAGGCCAAGGAGCAATTGAGGCTCATCGATCAAGACAATGATAACAAAGACGAAATGAGCCTTGAATTGACCACAGACATACTTCACCACATTAGAGCACTGCTGTTGAAGTCGTGTGTCTGGGAGCCCTTCCCAATATTCTCGAACACTTCGGTGGTCGATGAGGTCGTTGACGGCACTGACAGGAAGGAAAGCCTTTTGTTTGGTGTCTAGGGAGTCACAGCTAGTCAGCGCTGGGTGCTCGGGAAAAACAGCCTTTATAGCACATCATTTAACCAGTTCTGCTAGAAAGTCGAAGATAACATGGTTGGCGAATCCGATTCACATACCGTATTCCGAGCGAAGAAAAGCCCTTTCCAATTGAGATTTCAGGGACAGGCCGCAATCGCCGACTCTGGAGGGACCGATTATTTGGTTTGTGGGGCTGTTTGGAGAGGTTTCGACCGGGGAATCTGTAAACGGATTGCAGCCTGGGATTGTGTTGTCAATGGGTGGCGAGCGCTGGCGACCATGGTATCGGTCATCGTCAGTGTTGCTTCCCGATTGTGGTGGCGTCATATTCGTCTTAAGTAGACCAAAGAATAGAGAGCCTATTGTGCTGGCACAGGCAAATGTGGTTTTCAAAGTTGCGGCAACTTGATCTTCAAGAATAGGCTGCAATATATCACGCGAGAGACACCTTGATTTATATAATAGAAATGGCATCTCAGATATCCTCGTGAGGCTGTGCGTACAAAACAAGTTGTTCCATGCTACTTTTGGACGTCCCACTCGGCCTGCTCGGCTAGTATCATTACGCAAATCCCTCATTGAATTTTGACCGTGCTTGTTGTGTCTTCTTTGAAAACGAGGAGACCCACATGAATCTTCGGCTTGCACCAGCGTGTAGTTACCTTGGCTTATTCCCAACTAAGCACACCAACTTCTCGGTCACCGGTATGTGAAGGAGGCGCCACCATCATTGAGATAATATGAGACAAGCAATGAAAAGTTCAGATATGATATAATTATGGTGCTCGCGTAATCTCCTTTAGTCTTGTGGACATCTACGGCAAGCCCTTACTTAAGAATAGAAAATGTGGGCTTCTCGGCGTTGACGATTGCGCGCCAATGCATTTAGTTGAGAGGAATCGTCTGTGTGCACTTTCGGAGAAGCCTATTTTTTTTTCTTAGCATGAGGATAGTGACCATCCTTCAGGATTATAGTGCTGCGATTTCTCCAGCCTCGACAACTGGATAGTTTTCAGTTTGTAATACTCAAATCCATCCGAAGAAAAGGCCTCGAACCAGTTCGCTTCAACCTCGTGATATGATAACCATGTGATGTTGCTTTTGGTGCTCACTGGTTGGTTACACAGCATGTAGCCACCGTACGGGCGGCCGAATCTGCACATGTGTTTGATCCAAATTTCACGCCCCTTTCCTGACTAAATTTGGAGTAAGCACAAGCTTAGAAGAAGTTGATTAGGGGTTAACAAGCATGGAACACTTACCGTTAGCAAAAGGCCCAAGATGCCCGAACTCCTCCATAGCTATGAATCACAATGTCGCAAATGTTCACCGTTCTCCATAGATTCAGACAAACTCGCCGCCAGATACCATCGAGATCAATATTATTGTGACGGATCTATATGGGGTCTTATCTGTTAGTGATCCCGTGTGTCTATCGAACGATATGTGCTAAATAGCGTTCACAGGCCCATCTTGCACACCTCCGGCTGGTCCCTGTCGTACCATTCCAGTCGACGGAATCAGGAGACTACAGTCATTCCCACGAAGAGAATAAACCCTTCGAAGCTCGAAGATATGCTTGAGGATATATTCAGAGGCTCGTATGTCGTTGAGCTTAGGCACGACACATTCACAGTGGTCGCAGAGAGGCGTCTATCGCAGGAGGAGATCGAGAGTTGCGCTTGGTGATCAAGGGGTTTGACAAGGTTTATCAAACCGGATTTCGGACCGAATTGGTTAGCTAGTGTGATGTGATCATATTCCATAAGCTACTTTTTGAAATTACTTCCTTCATTCATCGTTTGGTGCTTTACAATATTCCCAAGTCTGCTGCGACCGAAACTGAGGCTATGAGATGTTCAGAGAATGACTCAGGTGCGATGTTATAATCGTGTAACCATTCCCTTGATGATTCCGCCGGGCGAAGCCCACCACCTGAAGTCCATATAACCGGAATTTCGTAAGCAAAATATGACAGAATACCACAGCCACCGATCCTTTGAGAATTTATGGTGTGGGTTGAGGATTGATGCACTTTGTCAACTTCCTGCCCTTCTTTCTACAGTGGCCGCAGCTATTCGTTTCACCCTGCGCCATCGTGCTCATGCGAGGAGAACATTAGCATCCACTAATGCCATGCGGCTTGGAAGAGGCGTAGTTCCCCAGCCTGCGTGAGGATCTGCAGGTGAAATCGCCTGAGATCTTGCTGAACATGATAATCTCGAGCACCACACCGATGGCTTCCTCGAGAGTACTTATGAGTGAAGACAAGCATTCCCGGTCGTCGGTGGAAGCGAGAACCTCTGCATGGCACCCTCAAATATTGCCCAATGGCGAATGATCTGATCAGTCGTACAACATCATTAGGCGTTCTCTGCCACAATTCTCTGTTCTCGTCCGGCATTTCTTTCATTGGCAAGCTGAAACGAGTGGCTTGGTTAGTGAGCGCCCGGCGGGCGTACAGCCTGCCTTCACCTAGCCTGCGCATCCGCCCCGGATTGCAGATGGCGCGGACCTGTAGACTCGCGGCCGCGGCCATCACACCCCGCGGCCGCGCGATGTGATCTCACAGAGAACGTAGGTGGTGGTCAGACACCGGAGGAAAGAAGGTTCGGCCATCGAGATTCAACCAGGAGAATGGAAGACGATCTCGGGGCCGGGGCCACAGCCTCGCCGCGAAACAAGCTTGCGTCTTCCACTCGTGGTGGTACAGTCATGATCTTTTTCTGTTTGGAACTCGTTTCTGGTCCCTGATGGATGAGACTGGAAATTCGGACAAGGGCAGACGACCCCGAGCGGATGTTCTGGAAAATAATTTTAGATGATAGCCAGTCTTTTTTCCATTTCCAGAGCCACGAAGACGTGCTCAGTCTGCCTTAGTTGCCTTCATTTCGTTTGTCTCTCAAGGTTTCGTGAAATGGTGTGGATTGCACTGACCCCATCCCCTGAGGATTTAGAGATTGTCCACATATAGTTACTACTACTATCCGGGCGTCCAAAGGGAACTGGGGGGGGGGGGTGGATTCTCGAGCGCGGTCAAAATCGCCTTTCATTGTGAGAAATTTTCCAAATAGATGAGCCACCGATGGGTAGAAGGGTGTTGTAGATCTTGCATATGGATTTTAAGTAATACCGCTCGCAATGTAGCCATGGAGAAGATCAGAGGCGCTTCAAGCCTCGTAAATTACCATTTTACCCTTTCTCGGCGTCGCAAGAATCTTCATGCCAACGCCATGACGGACAGTCATAGTATTGCTTCGGCCGCTTTTAGTCGCCAAGTTTGATTCATCCTCTGTAATCATGGCTACTGATAGGCCTGTCAAAGTGCTCAGACATTCCGCATCTTCTTTGCCTGGAACGTAGCAATAGATGTCAAAGACGATGAGAGCGATGACTACGTGTAGAAACGATTTCGACGGAATTATACACAGACAGGCGGAAGCGCCTTCCGTTCTGCATAGAGCTACAGCTTCGACGAAGATGCGCCTGAATCCGGCCGTCCATAGACGATCGCAGAGTTCCTGGCCAATCTGTCCTCGCTATTGCTCTGCGGTGCAATCGAGCCCGTACGGCCAGCCCCGGAGGCCAGCCTCCAGCGGGATAATATATCCAACGCCGTTTGACTGCCATCGCTCTGGGCATCCGCGTAGAGCAAAACCTCAATGAGGCTCTCAGCTACATCCCACAGGATGCTTCGTGCGTCTCCGACGAGATCGGCCTGTGACTCTCGGGCAAGCGTCTCCTTCAACGCTTCCCATCGGCCCGTCGGGGGCGGTCCGCTTGCCTTGCCGTCCACCTGCCCAGGCGAGACTTTGGTCTTCTTGCCAAGAAGTACATCCAGGGCATCTATCGACTCCTGACCTCCCTTGGGATGCTTGAGGGCCCTCAAGAAGTCCGTGGCGAGAACGTCCGTGGTGCCCTCCCAGATGGACAGCACGCAGCAGTCGCGGTACAGCCTCGCGATGTTGAGGTTCTGGGCCTCCTCGTTCTCGAGGTAGCCCACGCCGCCCAGCGCCTCCATGCATTCGTACACGAGGTGGATCGCATTCTTGCAGACGTAGCCCTTGCAGAGAGGTGTCAAGACACGCAGAAGCGGCGCTATGTGTTGCTGTTCCGGCGTGATGGCGGCTAGCGGTGGGGATAGCCCTGACCTTCCCGCCTGGGGATGTTCATCCAGACCTAGAATGTACGACGTGAAGAAGGTGAGCAGCATCAGCCCGTGGTACTTGCCAGTCATGTCCGCCAGCGTCTGCATGTGCAGTGGACTCTGGGTAAGCAGGGCCCGCTGGCCGCGCCCGGCGCTGACCTGCCTGACCTTGGCAAATGCCCTAGCGATACCGAGAGCGCGACCGACGTATCCCACGGCGGCGACGGACGAGTGGATCCGCGTGAGGGTGAGGACGGTGCTAATCTCCTTGACTCCCTGCCCTTGCCGGCCCAGCAGCCAGCCCCGCATATCCTCCAGCTCGAGCTCCGCCGTGGGCAGGGACTTGGTCCCAAACTTGTTCTTGAGCCGCTGGATCCGCAACCCGTTGAGCTCCGTACCGGCGGCTCCCATGGGCCGGCCGGCCAGCGTGACCGCCGAGGGGTCGTGCCGCCTCATGGGGGCGAAGAAGGCGCTGACTCCGTTCTGTGTGCGTGCCAGCAAGATTGTCATGTTCGAGTCAGTCGCGCTTGAGAACCACTTGAACCCTGATATGGACCAAGGGCCCAGAGGAATGTTCTCGTGGGCGTCGGCTAGGCCTGGCTTTGGTGAGGGCTTGTACTGGGCGACGGTCTCTGTGAGGGAGACATCGCTCCCGCCGGTCCGCTCAGTCATCCACTGGCCGCTAGTCCAAGCCTTAGCCGGATCTGTAGAGAGGAGGTGCTCCAGCGCCCTCCCGAGCACGCGGCGCTGCTCCGGCTCAAGGTCACTGCCAGCCAGCTGGAGCTGCAGCAGTCGCGCCGCGCCGTCCTGCATCGCTGATGGGCAAGGGACGTTGGCGGCGGAGCCCTCCCACAGGTGTAGCCTCAGGAACTGCACGACGCGGGCCGATGCCCCAAGTGACGTGTCATATCCGGTGGCGACGATCCCTTTCTCAATACCGAGTGCCTGCAGGGTGCGCCATCCTTCGCCGACGACGAGCTTGGACGTTAATTTGCCGAAGATGTCCCGGCCGTGGCCCGCTAGGTAGGGAGAGTTCTTCTCGGCGTCGGTGACCCAGGCAAACACCTTGTCGGACACGACGTCCTCGCCCAGCTGTGCGACTTCGCCCCGGACTTGGCTGGCCACATGACGTGGTAGGAAGACTGCGCATCACTTCAGTATTGACTCTAGCAAGGTGGGATGGGCTGGGTGGTGGTGTCTGTGCGGCTTACGCCTCAGCGACCTCTGGAAACTGGCGTCATCGTAGAACTGGTTCGGCAGCGACGGCCGCTCCTGGAAGAAGCCGGAGGTGGAACTGGACGGCTTCATGGTCGTTTGGCGCGCGACTGCCTGTCCTGGGAACGGAAGGTACGAAGCTGTGGGGCTGATCAATATAAGATAAGATCCTGCAGGCCCAGAGATGGAGACGAGAGACAGCTGAGATGGAGTGGCTTGGTTGTTCTAATGAATCGTGTCTTGGTTGAATATAGGGAGGGGTTGGACCAGCTGTGGGGATTCGAGGTTGACAGGCCAGCATTGCAGTGCTAATGCAGTACTAAGACCAGGGGAAGACCAGGTAAACGCACGAACCACGGCGACTTGGCAGGGGGGCATCTTCACCTCAGCGGCCCCAACCGTATGCAACCACAACAAAAGTTTCTCAAAAAAGCACCTTTGAATGCTCCATCTATCTGGTACCCCTATGCTCTTGGCATGTGAACTTGGCAAGACAAGCATGGTGATAGCTAGCCGAGTTCGACACCGCTGGTCGAGGCCAACTTCCGCACTTTGACTTTCCATATTTGGCTTTGTGCCAAGACACAACGACAGGAACAAGAAGGTTGATTTGAAAGACAATCTGTGCAACACAGGGGCAAACGGCGATACCGGATCACGCAAAGACTGATCGGTCCACTTATTGTTTATCAAGCTGAAATAAACATCAGTCATCCGCGTATAGGTAACTCCGTATAAGTCCGTATTGCTGTGTGGCATGTAGTATTTAAGTCCCCAGCCGGAGTACAGACTTCTCAGCGAGGGAATAATCCTCATCCGCTCTTTGTGCTGTGTTCCTTCAGTTTATCGACGTGACTACATCGATATTGACCATGTCGCTCTTTCGTCAGTCCAGGTCCCAGCCTCGCTGGACAGGCATCACGTTCTCTGCTCTGCTTGCCGCGAGCTCTGTCACCAATGCCTTCGTTATCCCCCGCCAGATCCAGCCATCCCAGCTGCTGAAGAGTTATGACTATGTCGTCGTGGGAGGTGGTACCGCAGGTCTGACTGTGGCAGATCGTCTCACTGAGGACCCCGATGTCAACGTCCTGGTCCTCGAGGCCGGTGGATGGGGTGACATGGATTTCAACCTCAAGGTCAACTTTGCGACCAGAGAGGGGGACGCCTCAGCCACGTACTGGCCTGGCCTTCAGTCTGTGCCACAACCTGGCCTGGATGGCAAGCCTGGCACCGTCCTCATTGCGAGACAAGTCGGAGGCGGCTCGTCCGTGAACGCGATGGTAAACATGCGTGGCTCTGCCGAGGATTACGACCGATGGCAAACATTGTTCGGGTCTGAGGCTCAGGAAGGCACAGCTGACTGGAGCTGGGACGGCATCCTGCCGTACTTCAAGAAGGTGGGACCCGCCCTGCTCTCATAATTGAAACCGTTGCGCTGACTCTGTTTGTCTCATAATAGGGTCTGCACTTTACCGAGCCACCGCCAGAGCTCACTGAGAACTTTGACACTGTCAAGTATGATCCCTCTTACTGGGGTGACTCCTCGGAGATCTACGCAGGCTGGCCCAGGTTCTACTACCCAGGTGTGAAACCCCTGGTGGAAGCATTCAAGGAGCTTGACGGCATTGAGTTCCCACCAGACAGCGGTGCCGGAAAGGCTGGCGTGTTCTGGTTCCCTACCCTCCAGGATCCCCGAACTGTCACTCGCTCCTACGCTGGCACAGGTCACCATCTGAACGTTAACGCCACCCGACCAAACTACCATCTTTTGATCAACACCCTGGCCAGCAGACTCATTGTGGACGACGACCTGTCTGCTACTGGAGTCGAGTTCAAGTCGGGTAACAGCACCCTTGTGACCGTCAAGGCAGACAAGGAAGTCATTGTGTCTGCTGGTACAGTCCATACCCCCCAGCTGTTGCAGCTGAGCGGTATCGGGCCCAGGAACATTCTCGAGGAGGGCGGTATTGACGTGCTTGTGGATCTCCCCGGTGTTGGTCAGAACTTCCAGGACCACAGCAGTCTGGCTACCATGAACATCACACGTAAGTGCTCCGCCAGGCTCGGATGAATGTGGCTCCTCTGGTGAATACGTGTGATCTGACCCATTCATAGTCTCCAAGATCACGGATATCCACCCCAACCCCAGCGACCTTGTGGATGGCAACGAGTTCAAGGACTGGGCCGAGGAAGTGTGGGCCGCCAACAAGACCGGCCCCTACACCATCGCCCTCAGCAACCTGGCCGGCTGGCTCCCCCTGACCGCCGTGTCTGACAAGGCCGAGGAGCTCGCCACCAAGCTGGAGCAGCAGGACTTCGCCAGCCTCCTGCCCGCCGACGCCGACACCACCGTCGTCGCCGGCTACGAGGCGCAGATGAAGCTCCTGGCCGCGCAGATGCGCTCCAAGGACACGGCCTTCACCCGCGTCATGCTGCAGCCCGAGCAGGGCTCCCAGGGCCCCGTGGCGATGCAGTCCTTCAGCCGCGGCAGCATCAACATCAACACGACCGACCCCTGGAACACGGAGCCCGTCATCGACTACCGCGCCCTGACCAACCCCGTCGAGGTCGACTTCTTCGTCGAGGGCATCAAGTTCGTCCGCCGCTACAACTTCGAGACCTCCCTCGCCGACAAGTTCGCCCCCGTCGAGTACAGCCCGGGTTCCAACGTCACCTCGGACGCGGACCTCAAGGCCTACGTCGCCAGCACCCTGTCGCCGACCGACTACCACCCCGTCGGCACGTCCGCGATGATGCCGCTGGAGCTGGGCGGTGTCGTCGACCAGACGCTTCGCGTGTACGGTGTCAAGAACCTGCGGGTTGTTGACGCCAGCGTCATGCCCATGGTTCCCAGCGCCAACACTTGCCAGCCTACCTACGCCCTGGCCGAGAAGGTGAGTCACCGATTATTCAACCCACTATCCCTGCCTTTTATCTGTATTAGCATATACTAACAACATCTTGCGATTCGTAGGCTGCGGAGATCATCAAGCAAGGCATCTAAGACGCTTCAACATAGCTTTAGCACTAGAAGCGCTCTTTGTTACTTCATGGATTTCATTCTGACACGTATATATCATGATAATACATAGAAGGGAGTTATGGAAATGAGTTAATTGAGTATCGAATTGAATGTTTGATCTACCACCCGGGCAGCCAGAGCTTCCCCCTGAACCTGAGTTGCCAGCTTTTTCGTCCATGCCTATCGGTGAACCCATTGAAATCCCAAAGACTTACCACTAATTACTCAAGCTATCCGCTCCAAAGCAGCTTCCCGGTCACTGTCACCCAAGGTGCTGCCACTGTCGGCCCAAATAAGTCGTGGATTAGCCGCATTGTCATGCGTCTCGGGACTGATATTGACAACTGACACATGCCCTGTGGATCTATCGATACTCACCTGTGCCAAATGCCACGGCCCAGCCACTCCATGCGCGCAGAGGGCACCTTGCTCAGAAATATGGTACAAGGGCACACACGCGTCTTCGGGCTCGGGGTCATACCCGACGGGTAGTGTTTCTGGCGGGCCGGCGGGCGCGTACTGGAGAACGTCAATCAACGGCTTAAGGTCGGGGAGGTGGTCCATGGGCTGGCTGGCGAGATTTAAGAGGACGGTGTACACAACAGCGTCCAGGTACCGCCACAGCACGTCTCTGTCTCGATCGTCAACCTTCGGCCCGGCGTACAACCACTTGTCCAAGTCTTGGGAGAGGTGATCCACGTCGTCCGTGTACCTGTTCATGCAATCAGTCAAGGCGCCGCGCTCTGCCGCGCCAAAGTCGGCGATGTAGAAGTCCGGGCGCCCGCCCAGCGCGGCGTTGTGGTGGATCAAGATGTTACCGTCGTGGAGGTCCGCGTGGAGCACGCCGCACGTGCCGGTGAAGTAGAGCGCGCAGACGACCTGCTTCAGCAGCCTGAGGATCAGGGAGCTGGGCATCCCCTGGCCGCTTTCCTCGTAAGCCTCGTGCAGCTGGCACACGTCGCCGCCGTTGTAATACTTCATGTACGCCACCCGGGACCATTTCCCCTTGCCCATTCCTTGAGCTGCGGGCACGTCGTGAGCTGAGAACAGATGTGCTATGGGAGGCTGGACTCCCAGCTTGGCTGCCTGCTCTTGGAGGTAGAAGAGGACTTTCTCCCTGTCCTCCTTTTTCTTTTCTTCTTCGTCAAGATGCCGGCGACTCACCTTCCTCACGCGCAATTCCCCAGTCTGCAAGTGTAGAACAAGCTGCGCCTGCGAGTATGCCCCTGAACCTAAGTTCTTCACGAACAAGTATTGGTCTTCTCCGTCCAGGAATAGGTGGCAGAAGCTAGTAGCATGAGCTGTTTCAGACATTCTTGCAAGGTCGTGCTGGGCGTCAAGTTGTGTGCGTGATGGCCAACTGGTGTCAGTCAAAATGGACGGCAGCTTGAGTGCTGGACCTTGGAAATTATTGTGAGACCAGCTTGAGTTGCATAGCCAAGTTTCTGCACCTGGACCGCTCAACGTTGAACTTATAGTACATGCAGTCTCCGTGACAAAGGATTGAACCAACAATGCTCTTGAAGATAATGCTCGACCCCGTTTCGAGTTTTTGAAACTCAATCGGGACAAAGCAAACGCGGGAACCAGACCAATGAAGTCCCGGAGTCTTTGAATCGAGGCCATCACAATGCTTATTGTCCGAACCCTTTCAAACGAGCGAGACTTCGGCAGCCTCCGCAGTGAGTATGGCTGATCGCTGGGGACGCTGCCCGAGATGTTGACTTCGACTGCAAGGCGGCGCCACTGGCACCCAGAAGGTTCAATACGAGGAACTGCCGGTGTTTGCTGTTGTGCTCCTATACTGTAGTGTAGCCTTCTAGCATTGATTCTCATGATTACTGTAGTGTTGTCAAATATGGAAGAATGGCGGTTCAGTGTTTCGGGCTTTGGAGCGGAGCCAACATTTCCAAAGATGACGGTCAGGATACCACGGAGCACTTGCATGGCCTCGCCGCGCGACCTTACTCGACCTTGCTGAAGGTCTTTCATTTTAGGATTAGCATCTTGCAGAATCCTACAGGACGGAAGATAAGATCACACGACATGGCAACGGGACGGTCGAATCTCCCTTGATCCAATGTCACTTGCCTATCCTGATCCACAGGTTGGCACGTTAGTTGCTAGCACAACGTACAGGACCGATTCGAGTAGCAAATCTTTTCTTGGCATGGCCTGCTGGTGTCGTTGGCCAAACGCCTTTCCGTTACCTGCATAAACACAGGGAGAAGCTAGCCATAACTTACCTAATGCTCTCACTACGACAGGCTACCAGTCCAAATCCTCGCATGAGGGCAAGATGAATCTCATGAACATCATCAGAGATTCTGGCAGGGTCAGCACCCAAGCTTGACTTCCAAGAATGCTGGGCCGACGGGGTATTGAAGAAGCTGGCTGATGGTGATTACGGTAGGTACTTGACCACTGTATCTATGTGTGGAACAAATGCAGCTCTACTATGGTATGATTGGTGTTAAAGGGTGTATTGCAGCGCGTACCTGACTAGGCTGCCGTTTAACATGCACGGAACCATGGTGCTCCTGTTGGCACTAATGAACTTATACAATAGACCACGGCCAATGAAAACAGAAGACCCTGCCGATTAATTGCATGGTTCGGTGGACATAAACAACATTTGAGCCACTGGCAAGGCCTTTGTGCAAACGTAGGCAGACTCTTCTCACCAACATCGTCATCATCTCACGCAATGCCCAAGAAGACATCCATGCTCTGGGTTTTCTCCTCCGCAACTTTTGTTCACTTCTTTCTTCTCACCCTCGGTACCTTCAAATCGCGTCCAACAAGCAACACTGCTCAGACCATGGCCACTGCCGGGCTGGCCGACCCAGAAGAAAAGGTTCGAGAGCAGCAAGGTCCGTTCTACATCCCCGGCGACAACAAGCCGTGGCGGGTGTCATTTGGTGATGGACCGGGCGCATCTGTGCGCGGATGGCCATCAAAAGGTGGCCTTTACACCTCATACCCCTGCTTCACCGTCGAATTGGACTTTCTCGGGTTGGATCGTCTCAAAGAAGCAGACCGTCCACAGAACTCCACATCTGCTCACGCAGACGAAGAGGCACACTGCAAGCGAATGCGCCAGCTGGGCGCAAAGTGGTGGCCCAGCGCTGATGACGAGGCAATGTGGTGGTTCATGAACCCCGGAGGAGTCTTGGAAACTGACCAAACCCGTGACCTGTTTTGGCTGGCCGGCCCAGGGCGGCGTTTGGGTCTTGAACACGACTATTATCGGCGCCAGCCAGATGGGTGCGGGGAGGATTCACATTGCGATCACTATGGACGAGCGGTGCAAAATTATGGAGGATCTTGGTGCTGTATACTATGCGAAACCTGAAGATTGTCCGCTTCTTGATCTGTCGGATAAACCGGTTCCTGATACTTAAGGAATGCTCGTATACCATTATGAGGGTCCCAGCTAGAGTGGGGAAATCAATTCTGCTGGGCCAGAAAGACCATCTCTCGGCACGCCTGTATACCAGTACTCGCTGTTGGACCTCCCCTTCTCGAGCATGCCTCGTATGGAATCGAAGAGTTCTCTTGATCCTGCACGGCCCTGAGACCGGGGTACGTTGATTGATGGGACTGATACCACAAGCAATCGCGTCCTCACGATAGTAAGAAGGTCGCCGATAGCTGTTGCATGTGTTCCGCTGCATTCCGGATCCTTTGCGATGTGGTCCATGTATGCCCGGACATTGGGGTGGACTTGGGCCCAACGACGTGTCCCGTCCTCTTCCATCACCCAGTATGGGCTATGGCTGTTGGAGCTCCCATTTATACCACGAATGAAAGACTCTAGCTCGTTGGTGCCGTAAACTAGCCAGATGAGGAGCTCCAGAATTATGCAGCCGAAAGACCACATATCATAACGCCGAGACCGTGCAGAGTCGGGGTCCGAAGTCGCTTCTGGTGGACCGTATGAAAGCCTGTTGAGGGTGGAGTCTCCTTGTGGGTGATGACTCTCCCATCCTATGTCACATAGTTTCATGACGCCCACTCTCGAGCCATCCTCATATCTCCATATGTCCTCAGGCTCCAGATTCCCATGTCGATACAAGCTTCTCCGGTTGGCGTCCATGTCATGCAACGTGCGGAGTGCATCGACCAATCCAGCCAGCTGTTGTGCCATTGCACAGACGAAGCCGGCCTCGAGCGTCGGCCGCGGATCGCTGGCGTAGAAGTCGCGGAGGTTACCACCGTCAGGCCACTTGTACATAAGGTATTTGCCCCGACCAGCCCAGGTGATGATCGCCTCCATGTCTACGATGTGTAAGTGATAGAGCTTTCTTACGTTTAGAAACTCCTCTTCTTGTTTCCACCTCTCATTGGTTTCTACTTCCACATAACTCGCCTCGTTCTCGCATGTTTTGATTGCTGCGGTTGCAAGACTGTTATCATACTGGAGAAAGGCCGGTCAGCAAGTACCAGGGGGAACGCATCCGCTGGCGACACACCTTTCTCATGGGTTCCTCCTGATGAGCCTCGTGGACTGTGACCTCCCACAGGTTGTGAGATCTGCCTTCCAGTCTCTCGTTTGAGGCCAGCGCCAATGGAAGAATGTGATGAGGCTCAAGATTCACATTCAACATGCCCCGGCGGAAGATGGGGACAAGAAATATCCATTGTCGCTGGCGGAATTTGTGGGCGACGAGCCCTGGCCACTGCAGTTGAGACCATGGAGGCTCGCCTGAGTCGGTGAACTTGACAGGTAAGTTGCCGTCGTCGAAGTCAGTTGATCTGAATATTTTCATAGCTTCGTGAAGTGCTCCTGCCTCGACGTCGCAGATCAGGCTAAGAGCGAACACCTTTTTTGCCGACTTGAGAATGTACTCGACCAGGCCTTCGTCAACGTGCGTGTCGATTTGTTCCTCGGAGCTCAGACTGAACATCCCAGCGAGCTCTCCGATAATGGATTGTTCCGTGATCAGTTGATCAAGATGTCCTTCAGGCATGTATACCTGGTGTGAACCCGGCGGAAACGTGCTGACCACAAGTCCCTCCATTATCTGATCCCCTAAGGACTGAGGAGTGATTGAAACGAGGCTGCGATTGGTAGTACCGCCAGTGACGGCACTTGAGCTGGCGTCTTGGTTCTGTCCTAGGCGTGGGAGGGAGAAGAGAGCGATACGTTGTAAATGCTGGCCGAGGTGCCGTCGGAACTCATCCAACGTGACAACCAGAGCCCCAGTGTCGCTCACTTCACCCTTTGCCCACTCTTCGTCGCAAATGGGGCATTCATTGGGGTCGATGAATTTTACCGGTCTCCTCGACTGCTCAACCACCAATGGAAGCTGTTGAGGTGAGATTTGATCGGCATGTTGTGTCTTCAAATGGGTTTGCAACATGTCGGCCGTGCCCGCTCTTTCGCCACATTGAAAACAGGGCCATGTACCACGATGGATTAGAACTTCGTGGTCAAACCAAGCATGCTGTGACTGGTAGGTATCAAGACTGCAGCCAGGATACGTACACACGTATGGCTCGAGGTCGCTGAGAACATGTTTCCTGACAAGGCTCAGCACCTTTGTGTCAATCTTGTATCCCATGCGAGATTCTTACCTCCAATATTTTTCCTTGTCTTGTGGGTTTAATTTGACGACCTTTTGGCAGTAAGGACACAAGAACATTGAGTTGTTGTGAGCATCAGATGGTAGAGGGGGAAATGCAGTGTCAGCATCAGTGGATCTGTCTATTGTAGTGGCAAATGAAACCAAAGAGGGCGTTGGATCTGTTTGGAGGAATCTAGGCAGTTCGCTAGACGCCAAATTGTCTGCGAGCAAGTCGGTGGCCTCTGTTGTCGTTAGGAAACTCCGCTCCCTGTGACCAGCAGTTGTCACAACTTCCTGCCTGGATTTTTGGCCAGAAACATGATTGTCGACCTCTTTTTGATGTTTTGTGGAATCACTGGTGGACAATCGATCGTTGTGTGCTCGGCAATACGTGAAGTATTGCCGGCGGTGAGCGTTTGCTAACCCGAGCCGGACAATTAGGTCACCCCTACCCTTTCTTTCAACTGCTGGATAGCGGTCTCTTATGTACATCTCATCGGTCTGGCTGTTGTAGCTGTCTGTCTTCTCGGCGGCCCTCTGGCGTCTTTCTTTCGGGGCGAATCTGCGTATGAAAACTGAGGTTTTGAATAGGCCATTGATGCTGCCTCTGATTGCCGATGTCAGCTCCTCGATCTCAGAAGCCGAGGACACGGCTGGGTATTCCTCGCCAGAAGAAGACAGGTTTGATGATTCCGATCCACTGGACACTTCGAATTCGGCAAGGTCGGTTTCTAGGTCGATCAGTGGCAAGGCTGTCCTGTTCTCCTGCTTGCCAGAAACGATATCCAGGGCGCTACGCGCAGAATCACGGAGATCAGCGAGGAGCTGCAGGATTGCATCCCGAATGAGAGGGGTATTTCGGAGACGATATTCCAGCGAAAGTCTTGATTCCGGGTCTTGAAAGGATCCAAGATTGCCAGCCCACTGATCAAATCGTTGTTGATGATTCTCAACCTCTCGAAGGTCGACGATGGCTGATCTCGGTTGAGATTTGCCCTCAGCGACGAGTGCAAGGAGTGCTTCTTGGCAAGCAATAGACCTCACTTTTATAGTCTCAGTGCCCATAGCAGCTGTAGTCATTGTGGATGGATTTGGAGGGGTCTTTGGCCATGTATTATGCAAAGGAGTGTCGACTTCGGGAGAAAACGGCGGTAGAGCATTCAAGGGTATTTGAGGGGAACTCGAGCGGGGCATAATGGATGAATTGTGCACACGCAGAATAGCGTATGCTCCAGGGTCATTGTGAGGTTTGGGGGCGGGTTGCTTGTCACACCTCATCTGCAACATTATGGAGCTTCGTCTTATCACACAGATGCAGTCACCAATCATCACGTTCAATGCAGGAAACATTGATGACTTGAAAAGCCTGGTTGGGAGCAGACCCCGCTCGTATGTCAGCTGAGCCGCCCAGAGCCTGCATATATCAGGGTGAGAAACGGCCCGGGTAGTTTCTTGCCTAAATATAAGGGTTATCCAGGGCGTAATCTTTCTTACCCGCAACGACTCCTGCATCTACAACGCTTTGCGATCTCATTAATGGAAAGTAAGGAGTGCTTCAACCAGACACAGCGTCTATGTCAGGCATCGAGCTTGTGGGTCTCGTCCTTGGAGCCTTCCCCATCATTCTTAATGGCCTTGAATCCTACCGCAAAGGCTTTGAGCCTCTCGACGAATGGTGGCAATTCCGCACACACTTCATTGCCTTTACCGACGACATCAGGCATCAGATGATGAAGTACAATGAGAATATGATCAGGCTCTTGGATCCCATAACCATATGCACTGACGGCGACCAATTGGCGGCGTTGTTGATGATCCCGGATCAGAACAGCCCAGAAGCTGATCTAGAAAAGATCCTTAGAGGACGCCTGGCCAGCGAGCTAGACAGGTTTCTGAGGATTGTGCAACGCATGCATGAGCTTATACTAGCCTTGAACAAGCTGTTGCAGATCGAAGATGGAAAGGCAAGATACACTTTCAATCGCTTCGAGCCAGACTGTGCTGGTTAACACTGGATTAGATATCATGGCTCGGTACGAATCAGCAAAGACCATGGCAGTGGCACCTCAAACGAATCCAGATAAGTTTTTCTAAAGGAAAACACAGGAAGGTCAACAAGCTTGCCGAGCATAACAAGGAACTCGAGGATATTCTTGGCTACAGCGAACGTATTATCCCCATTGCCGACAAAAGGAAGACGTCTGAGCCTGTTACGCGTTTCGAACATCTGCGACAACACGCATACGCTATCCACCGCACTTTGGCGAAACATTGGAGGTGCCAACGGAGTTGTCAGATCCACGCTGCTCACCTCAGCTTACGCGCCGAGGAGGCTGCAATCAGCTCGAATGTCATATTCAGGACTGGGTATCTGCCGCAGTCACTAGATGCGGGTCGAATACAGGAGGTTCTCATTAGACCAAACGAGTTTGTGAGCCCCCCAAGCTCAATAGATGTGAGCCATGTACGCCAGGCAGACTCAATCACGGCAGTCCAGAAGACCATAATGCAGCAAGAAGCTGTATCTCGGGCCACTCCGGGCCTCAAAGATCGGATGTGGAGGAGGTTGCAAGACAGAATGTCCGCAATGAGGTTTTCCTCGGTCAGGCACAAAAGATCGCCATCTGGGCCCATCAGAAACAAGCTAGGATTTGGCATCGCTACACCAAAGACTTCATCCACTTCATCCACCATGTTCGAACACCTGGAAAAATTCTTTGGAGAAAGTATCAACTCCTCTCGGAAAGGTCGTCGAGGTTGGACATGCTACAAGTACCGTTCGAGAAAACGCGATGGAACTCGAGCCTGTCGGTGATCTCTGCACGTTTTTGACCGAACAGAATCGGGCAGCTGGTACACTCGACGAAGATTCCCAGCGGACCTTTACTTTCTCCAAAATCTCAAACGAAAGGCAGAAGCAAGCGACGGTAAAAGCAAAACTGCACTCGTTCTCCGAACTTTTGGACTCGCACCATCAAATGAAGATCAACATTTCAAGGCGAGGTCGCTTCGAAATAGCAACGCACCTAGCTTCCGCTTTGTTACAGACTCATCTTTCCCCCTGGCTGTCACCAAAATGGACCAAAAATGACTTCCACTTCTTTGTCGACACGGAATCTTACTCAGTCTCCAGCATATATCCCTCAGTCTGCCGCGAATTCGCCGCTAGACCGGACACCGCCATCCCAAACTACGAAGACACAGGCCACGACGCAACAGCACAGCAGGACAACGAGGAGGAAACACGCACGCGCCTATTCACACTGGGCGTCATGATCCTTGAGCTCATATTCGGGCACACCATCGAGGCGTGCCAGTTCCGCCGCGAGTACCTCGGCGCCGACGGGCGGCCCAACGACCAGACGGACGTGAGCACGGCGCGGCGCTGGTCGCGCAGGGTGCTGGGCGAGAGCGGGCCCGACATGTCGGATGTCGTGCGGCGGTGCCTCGACTGCTCGTTCGGGCCGCAGCCGAGCTTCGCCGACGGGCGGTTCCGCGAGGCTGTCTACGTGGGCGTCATCCTGCCGCTTTCTAACTACACCAAGCTGTGGCCGGAGGTGATGCCTTGATAGTTTTGATAGCATTTGTGACACGTTGGCTTAAACTTTGAATTCGTCGCAGTGACTCTTACCGATGCATGTGGTGTGCCTCTGAGTTGAGCCGGACTGTACATATGCACTGCATTCCAATTCCCTTCATCTCATCCGCATGTTTACAGAGATCTTGTTGTACCAAGAGCATGGTTCACTGTGACCACTCGAATGTCAAAACACTAGGAATAGCAATTTTCCTCTACTCCTGACACTTGAGCACAGCCACCTACCATCGCAACCCTGCAATCTGCACAAGATTTTCAATGTCCGAGAAGAAATTCACTGCTATCTCTTTCTCCAGAGTCGAGTAAATTGCGCTCTTCTACATCTTACACCACGTTTTATCCAGCTGACTGAAACCTCGACAAGCATCAGAAACACTCATCGAGAATCCTTCATGACGTCCTGGATTTCGTATCAAATCCAACACCTAGGCTACTGATTCTGACCACCCTATCGTAAGTAGCCTACCCCTTCTCATCGTCGGTCATGTCTGCTCGTCTTCCTCAAGTCGACGCCGTCGACGCCGTTGCCTCGCCTCTGCCTCTTCCTCTTCCTCTTCCTGAGTTGGAGTCGCTCCCTCGCTTGGTCGCTGGCGGCGACGGGCCCCTTGCGTCCCACGGGGTTGGATTTCCGGTGGTGGGTCATCAGTAGCCATGTAGGTCCTGCCAGTCTGCCTTACCGCTTCGGCGTAATTGTAAGGTAGTAGGCGGGACCTGATTTCGTTGGACTCGGGTATGTACTCGTCATCGCATTCGACCAATACCCCACGATTTGCCACAACCCTTGCGAACCCTGATCGTGCTGGATTTATTTCTGGAGCTTCCCACTCTGTGTTCACGCGGATCCCCTCGTACCCGAGTTCAAGTGCTCGTGCATTTCTGAGCAAGAAATGGCGAATCACCATCAGCATCCAAACAGCATTATGAATAAATGCCCTCCGTCGCGGTAGAGATTCGCCCAACGTCAGCGCGTGATCGAAAGCCAGTGTCAAATGTAAGCGATTCCGTGGGCCTATGTTGAAAAGGCCGATGGTCCAAGGAAATGTGGGATTGCCAAACCGATTTTCCACTTGTCGTGGATCCTGAGAAGTGTTAGTATATGTTTGAATGGATTTTAGATTAACGTTGGGAGGTTTTGATAATTGATGGAGAATATTCGTCCACTCACAGTTATTCGAAATTCGTACCACAAAGGCGCGACGCCGTCGAAGTGTAGGTGTAAATGCCAGAAAGGCATTTCTCTCAGCCTGTCTGCCAAAAAAGGTAAGCGGTCTAGACCATTCGTCCAGTTAAGCCTGGGGCTCTGTCCATATTCCCTCATGGTCACCTCTCGCCCAGCGTAGTCCAGTCGGTCGTCGCGCAGGTCGGGGTGCTGTAACATCCGTAGATCAATTTCAATATCTGAGAGTCGATCGCGGGTCGCATCTGTACGATCGGTGAGGAAGGCCTCCAGGGCCAGAATACCAAAATAGGTGCCATTATCGTCTCGTATAATCTCTCTTGGGTTGGTGAACGAGAATCTTTGTCTATAGAACAGTCCGCCCGCTTCTTGGTTCATTGCTCTGGAGACGCGAAGCAGAGCAAGTCTTTCGACTGGTAAGCTTTGGAGCGCATCGTCCGGGGCGGCAGGCTCGTAGGTAATGGCCGCCACCTCCCTCTCCCAAGGGGCAAGATCCTCCGGCCTCCAAGCGGGTGCGCCCTCGGGCGGTTCCCACATGATATGACGCTGAGGCGGATCCGTCGGATAGTTTCGCGAAAGCCTGGTCGGAAGGATATCTTCAGTCATACGGGTTCGGACGGCCGAAATTCCAGTCAGAACATTCAAGTCGGCGAGCCAGAGCGCGTAGATCTCGTTGCGTATCTCTATTGGAAGGCTGAAAAACCCCAATGGCTCGCGGCGCACGCTCACATCCACATCTTCGGGCTCCTCGACCGGAGATGGAGCTCGAGGCCGATCTGCACAGTTGCAGGCGTCACCCTGTGCCGCCTCTACAGCAATAGGAGTCAGCTATCAAAGTACTAAGCGAGGAATTTCCTTCGAAAAAAGAGAAAAGGGGAGGAACAGGCCACAGTATGCCCAAACCCAGTCTCAAAGTGTGCCGACTGGGAGGCCTTTGATTAAGAGGGTTAAAAGTGTATCTTAGAAGCTGCTTACGGATCTGGCGGGCGTGCCTCACGAGGCGATCGAGCGCTTGCTGCAGGCCTTGGTCGGTCAAATCACGTCCAAGATATCGGGCGTTGCACGGCACGTCATCAGACGGGCACATGCAGGGGTCGCAAGCGCAATTTGGGTCTCGTTCAAGACCCCCTTCACCGGAGCCAGGTGATCGCATACTATCCCTGAGGTCTCCCAGGCTTTGATTGATGCTTTCCATGGTGGCTCGAGCTGCCCTGCGGCCGCAGCATGTCCCTGCCATGATGCCGGAATCACAAAAGGGAGGTTTGCTATGTGTTGTGTGTGAAAAGGTATCAAGCGAGGTCAAATGTGGGAAGCAGCATTGGGAGACGACTCGGAGCTCTCCGTTTGGAAATTCGTTCACGAAATTGGCAGGTCTGTATGTGGCAAATGTGATTTAAGCATTGAAGCGGTCACCGGTTGCGGTCGTCATGGCTGATGAGGCAAACAAAGAATGGATTGTGATGGCTGCCCTACGACTGAAAGCAAATATGCAACAATTGTTCCGGTCAAAGCGGTCTTTATCTTAGAAAGAATAGCTTACTCCAATTCCACACAGACATGGAAGCTTACACTACCTAATAGAGATTCTTACTTACTGTGTTCGATGAGAGTCCAATCTTCAGGCGGTGAAGTGATATCTACCCATTCCTCATCGGAGCCGCTGTCTGCGTCGTCGGGTGACGCTGGAGTCGGCCGGTGGTACGTGGAAGGGCTAAGCTTGACGATATTCAGCCTGCCACAGGAAGGGTCGATACTTACCTGAGCTACGTGCCACGGTCCATGAATGCTACGTGCTTTTTGAGCCTCTTCCCACGTGTCGTAAAGGAGTGGAGAGGGTGAGGTATGAGATTCGCGGGTGAGCATAAAAGGGCGCATGTCCGGTGGAGTGGCAGCCGGCGCAGCTGCAAGGAGCTTGAGTAGGGGGGCCAGGTTAGGTAGGAGAGAAGCTGGGCCATGGGCCAGCCGGCGGAGCTCTGGCTCGATTACAGCCTCGAGATACTGCCTCAGGGCGCTCTGGGAGGAGCTGGCCTTGGCTCCAATGTCGAGTAACTCTCGGGTATGCATCCAAAGCTGGAATATGTCTACGGATAGACCGTATCTATTGCCTGCTCTTATTGTGCCGCATGTCGACCATCCGAAATCGCCCAAGAAGAATTCAGGTCCTTCAGATACGTTCTGGCCCCAGTGCAAGAAGATATTATCAATGTGTGCGTCTCCATGGATGATATAAGGTTTCATCGTATACATGAAGTTCAAAGCGTGGACCACTTGTTGAATCATCTTGCGGATCATAGACGGCGGAGGCGCAAGACTTCTGATTTGGCAGGCATCGCGAAGGTCGCCAAGGTTGCCGCCGTTGTAAAATTTGAAGTATTTGACACGGTGATGGAGCAATTTCTTACCCCCACGCCTCTGTGGTGCTGGTACATCGTCTGCCGAGAGCAGATGGGCAGTGTTAGGCTGGACACCGCGTAAGCGAGCCTGTGACTGCACCAAAAACAGAATTCTCTCAGGGTCTTGCTTTTCCTTCTCCCGCGTGTCCAAGAGACGCTTGTCGACTTTGCGGACGACTAACTCACCAGTTTGCACATGGACAACAAGCTGGGCGCTCGCTTCCATGCCGATTCCTAGGACCCTGACAAACAGATACTGATCTTCTCCGTCGACGAATAGGTGGCCATATTTGGTCTCAAGCGACTCCATGATTGACCGTATTTGCTGCGAAACTCTGTGCTCGGACTCGGTGTGGCCAATGAATAATGGACTGCTGGTAGCCAATTGACTTGAACCCAAAACCAATGGGAAGCAGGTTGTACCCAGTTGTTAGTTTCGGGTCCCACGGCAAGATCACCAAAACTGAGAGAGTATATAGGCATTCCATTTAGCAGCTTCACTACAAAGCAGCTTCCTCGCAAAGGAAAGCGAATAGGTATTGCAATAGAATAGCAACACAAGAAGACAAGGTCACAAGGCCATTGTGTGAGCTGGAAAGACAAGGCATCTGATTCATGAACAAAGATCTATTTGCAGAGAAGGAATGTGCGTCCACAATGATGATGGCAACTTCAATGATAAGTAAAGCCCATGCTAAGGCTAGTGTCGTGTGCTGATAGAAGCTGAACTGTGCAAGAAGCCTAAATATACTACACAGCAAACAAGGGACATGCCATGGGATGTGACAGATTTTGCTGAAGCTCATGGCTGAAATGTTCTCGAAATTTATGTGGGTATCTTCAACATTAAGTTCTAGCTCTGTACAGCTCAAGTGATCATATCTCAGTATTCAAAGCGAAGAAGCTTGAGATTGCTCTCCCATCCCGGCAAAAAGACACCCATCATCCTCGTCATAGTCCCACCGAAAATTGGCGGATGCTCTTCCATAAAGTCACGCCAGTGTAGGGACCCCTTCATTCTCAACTTTGGGTGTACGGGCTCGATTTCCTTCTTTGGGTCGCCCACGCCCCACTGAAACCTCGACCCGCTCGTGCGCAGGAACTTGATGGAGCTTGAGAGCCGTGCAACCATAGGACTCACGTGGTCCGTTATGATCTGGCCGCGGCTGAAGTAGTTGACTATGTCGTGGAGAATTTGCTTCCCCTCGGTGGCTGTGAGGAAGGGGAACAAGCCTTCTGCCACCACCAGTGTTGTTCTGTCGTTGGGGAGGTCTTTTAGCCAGCCTGGTACCGTGACCTGGAGCGCCCGGAGAGTGTAATCTCCGGGTGGCTGTGGGAGCAGGGAATTCCGTGCCTCGACAACACGGGGCTGGTCGACGTCAATCCACCGGACGTTGGTGCTTGTCCTCATACGCAGGTATCTACAGTCCAGGCCACAGCCTAGATGTAAGACCGTGATAGGCTCGTCAAAATGTAGATTGAGGAACTCCTGAAATTAGATAAGGAGTCAGCTTTCTTCTTTAGAGGCTTGATTGGGGTCCATTAGGAGGTTGCGTCATACCTGGCACCAAATATCTAAGTGTTTGGTCCGATTCATAACGTACTCGATGAAGTGATCATCTCTGATGAAGTGACCTGCCTTCAAGTCGACGTCGCATCTGTCCAAGATCCCCTGTGAATACGGATCACCGAGGATAGGCTCTGGTAATTGAGCATCCATGGACCTGAAGAAAACCATTGGGATCAGGGTTTGCTCAGGGCCGGTAAGTCTCAATTTCACTTTCGACGACCCGTTGGTGTCTTCGGACCATTTGAAAGATTCCCTGTCTGGCCCTCTTGTTCCCAGAGAACTTCGCCCAGCGCTTGACATCCGAACTGTCCTATCGCAATCATTGAAAATATTGAAAAGCACAAAAGAAAGGTCTCAAAACATACACAAAGTCAAAAGAACAGTTCCGCATGGCTCAAATGGGTAGTCAACGGCTCTTTTGTGAGGTGGCGCGGAGCGATTGGATGCACCGAGGATCTGCTGTGGAGCACGCACTTGTTCGGTGTACCCGTGGACGTTTGGCATACGTACCCCGGCTCGCGCGTGGTTGTTTCACCGCCAAAGAAACGAACTTATTTCGAGATTCGTGCAGACACTTAGGACGTCCCTATTCCTATTTCGCAGAATTCTCCCGATTTGGGAAGCTTGCTCGTCAGAAGGAGCTGGTCCTTGGGGCAAAGTGCTTGTCAGACCCGGTTTTTCTGTCATATATCTCAACGTACAGATCACATTCAATGATTGTCGAGTAGCTGTGCGGTAGCCTAGATCGGCCCGGTCCGCTGCCCTTTCTCAGCAAATCTGGCGCGGTAGCCGAGTGGCCGACTTTCTCAGCAGGATCTTCAAAATGGAGCCCACACCGCTATCATGCATCCAAATATGCATTACGTTTCTTGGCTTACCCGCCAGGAAACCATGTTCACCTCCGTGGTTAATTGGCAACCTAGTCACAAGTCCGAGTTGTTCATTCTCAACGCGCGATGTTTCTTTGCCGGATCGTCATTGACCAAGCCACAGTTGGCGTGCAACATCTACGTTTAGTGAGCGACAGTGCATGTGCGAATGCTTAATTCATGCATATCAAAATATCCACGAACAGCCATAGCTGATCGATGACCGAATTCGTTTTCATAGCAGCCAAATGCTAAGACAACCCACGACTGCATTGTCTCCGTCCTTCATTCAAATTGAATACTGAGCCTCGGAAAACCACTCCTCGTATCACTTTGAAAACACCTGCAAGAACCAAACCTCTAATCATTTACGACCTCAACGACCGAGTAATTAATAGACAGGGACATTGACGGATTGCTTCCCTCACTCCACCTTTTCCGGGGGCCAATTCGCCACCATGCACCAGGTACGAACTCCCTCTTTATCTTTCTCGCTCAATGCACCTTCTGCCTTCATTCTATCTGTCGGAAAACATCTCAGAACTTTTACAACCCGAAAGCCAAAGTATCCATAAACATCCCTCGCCCTCTCATTCCCTGCCACCAGCCACAGCGGGGCTCCATCCCGTCGCGCCTTGGCTACAAACGGCTCGATGACGGCCCTGACAGCCCCCTTGTCAGCTCGGTCGGGATCCCTCGCCATCAGGCTCAGCACCCAGAATTTCCTTAGGTCCCCAAAGAGTTCGCGCCTCGTTTCCTCGTATTCTTTCAAGAATTTCGCAAAGATGGGTCTGTGGCGAGAAATCTCCTGGATGGCCTCCTCGGTGCGGTCGGGCGCGATGCTCTCCGGCGGCTCCCAGCACGCGACGGATGCGAAGCCCGCGGCCTCGACGATAAATGAGCCCGCGGCGATTTTGGTCCTGGTGCGTGTTATGCAGCCCTCGTACAGCTGAGACGCGGTGACCGGTACCGCCATCCCGGTCTTCTCGCGCTGGAACAGGATGTTTAACGGGTCATGGAGGACAGCACGCGCGGAGATCTCTGCGATGCGGTGTTGGTATTCAGGAGAAGTGCTTATCGTTGTAGGCACATGGTTGCTCGACGACGATCGTCCGGGGACAGATATGCTCGGGCCATTGAGGGTGGTTGCTTCCATGTCAATCGCGGTCTGACAAGACTGTATGGCAGTTACGCAAGTACAATACTTGAAGAGCAGCAGAGGCTTTCACCTCTCAGAGCAGAGGGACGGGGTCATTCATTATCTACCGGAGATAATTGAGTAAGCATGAGCTCTTGAATCCTTGACCCCTGGATCCTCCGCATAACGCAATCGCGTGGTAGGGATGACTCACTAATTATCCGCGATCTATGGGAGCTATACCCAAACCGGGGGCATTCTTTACAAGGGTCTAGGGTGCATTTCACTTGCTTCTTCCACGAACACCCGGCATTGACAGCGGCAGATGCCGGATGATCAAAAGCAAGCACCAGTATCCCGCTGAGCGTACTCAAGTCGTTTAGACAAGGCTGAAGTGTGCGCGAACGAACGCTGGGCCACTTATTGGCCTTAGACGTATCGATTGTATAACAAAGCCAGTCGCAACTGTGATGAATTGAGTGACCGGCCCGTTTATGAAGAATACGGATGTCGGATTGACCACTAAAAGCCGGAACAATCACTCTGGTACAATATTTGTCTCATCCACTGCTCAAATATCTCTACAAACTTGACGGATAGGTTGGATGGCCACGATAGAACCCGCATGCTGTTGATCAGAACGATAGATGGACCATTAAAAACCGTGAAAAACGTCTTGTGCCAGTGTGGGGGCTGGGTATTGTTCTGAAGCGACGTGGTTGGCGAGCAGTGCGGCAAAGACATTGACTTGGGCCTTGTCTTCCATTACACTTGGACCGACGGGTTGGGTATTATCCATGGGTCTGGCGATGCTGAATAAAAGCCCAAACATGATCTCGCCGTCGAGATTCCCAGCCGCATTGAAAGGAATAATGAGGCCAACTCGACTATGATATCTCCGGCATGATCTCGCATATCACACCAGTTCAACCCACTTAAATAGCACGTTATCAATGCGTTGGTCACGCTCTCGAACTTCTCACCATTGGGAGAAAGCTTTTATCAGAGCAGGGTGTGCGAAGTCACATACGCTTACCTCACGTCAGCCGTAGTGCGCTCGGCGCAGTACGCGAAGAAACGTTGGGCCTTTCCGTGGCCCTAAATAGTGAGACGGTCCCAACCAAGACTTCTGATGGCGGTGCTCATTTTGTCAAAGTAGGCAAACCCGCCGACATCTTCCCATGTCGTCGTAGCGCTGAACGGCTCTGCGCTAAATAATATGGTGCCGCTGGTAGTGAAGCTTTCATGTCTGCTTGTGAGCCGGCTCAAGATCCAATCGTATGGGTACAAGACGGCGTGAAATGGTTGCAGAAACGGTCCACAAGGGCCGGCCATGACAACATCTTCGCGCGTTGCAGCACGCCTGCGCGAATACCTGCAGTAGGTCTAGCCAGAGCGTTGGGGTTGAGTTGGCGCCCGAGCGTTGAGATGCTCGGGTGGTGATTGAGATTGTGTGAGTAAATAAAACCCCTCCAGGTATCTATCATCATCCTTTGCAGATCGCGTTCGACCCTCCTCTCTCATTAATTCCTATTCTTCGTACTACGTGCTTCGCTTGCTCAGATTTCTTCCACTGTAGCAATTAATCACACCCATTTGTCCATGCAGTGTTTGGGTGTCAAGCTGAATAGTGATGCAAAATACCAAACCTGTGTTTCATTCGGCAGTGTATGCATTGTTGAGTATCGCTGGGATCATATTCCAAAATGACATCGCCGCTGAAGCACGTTTCGTCTGGATACGCATGCAAGAGAGGGACTGCGCCTGTGTTAGTAGTTAGCAGTCATCTTCATCGTGGTGATGACAATGCTTTCCCCGCCAGGGTACAGTTCCATCTTCACAAATATCAGGGGAAAGGCAGGGCAGAAGAGCGCCTCAGGCATACCGCGGAAGATATGGCAGATATTTTCCACTACAGCAGACTTTAACGGGCCTGGACCATTCAGAATTAAATCAAAGCTCCGTGACTCGGCGATTCATCTGTAGTCCTCTTTGTATGTATAATGAATTCCACTGACGGAGAATGGTAGTTACTCCACGACATGAAATAGTGGCTAGCTATGAATCCTGGCTACCAGTACAGTCTGCTCAGTGCAAAGTCGGCAGAAGATTTTGTAAACAGACACTTCTCCGACAACCCTCGATTCTTCAAGACTACCACACACTCCAGAACCCAGGTATGAAGACAGACTTTCTCCGGTACTTGGTCATATTGGCAGAAGGCGGGGTTTATTCGGACCTCGACACGTGGGCGCTCAAGCCCGTCGACGACTGGGTCCCCCAATACCTGAGAGGCTCCGTCCGGGCTGTGGTTGGCATCGAGTTCGACCAGCTCGACGGTGATTTCCCGCCTGGATTCGGCGATGGGCCGTCATACTCTGCCAATGGACACTCGCCGCGGTACCTGGACACCCAATCTACCGCACCATGGTAGACGAGACTGTGCGGGCCGTACGGAGGCTGGCTGCCGCGAAGGAGACGACGGTGGCAAACCTCCGCCCGAGCGGCTATGCAGTCATCACCACCACGGGCCCGGCTGCGTGGACAGACGTTGTCTTTCGGCAGCTGCAGACGGCGGATCCAAACCTGGTGATCCTGCGGCAGCTGTCAAATATGACGCAGCCAAAGCTTATTGGGGATGTGTTGGTCTTGACGATTGACGGGTTCGGTATGGGGCAGGAGCACTCACACAGCACGAACGATGGTTCAGTTCCTGACGCTGCATTGCTAAAGCACAACTTCCGACACTCCTGGTTACCGCAGTACCCTTGATCACCATAAATAAATAGAAGGCACAAGTCGCACGGAATGTCGGTTTTAGAGACAAAACATCCATTGAAGAGCTCCAACCTTTTGACTTCCATAGGTCAAGGTCCGTACGCGGCCCTCGTCTTCGTTGGCAGAGCTGCCGTGGGTCCAAAGACTGTATTGGAGATGGAAAGGCAGGGTGGTTTGTATCGGGAAGATATCAGTGGCTCGTCCGGGAATGTCCGAGAGGCGCTGGTGGCGACCTGGGTGTGCTCGTCGTCTTGCCCGAGACCCAAACAAACCATGTCATAGGAGCTGAACACCGGATTCAAAGGGGACTCGATCTAAGCCAATCCTTCAATCACGCACGCCTACGTTGCACGGTGGTCCAGATCCTAGGGCTACTCGCAAATTGGTTGAAGCCCAGGATTTGGTCGTTAGGACTGTTTCAAAGCCACGCTTTTGTAGATCGGCGTGTTCCTATTGTTCGAACATTTGTCCAGGACAGAATCAGTGAAGCTGAAAAGGATCATCACGCGCGCGAACCGGATCTCCGCCACGGATGCATCTTTGCGCACAGTAAATCTAGCGGCTTCGAACTTGTTGCTTTACTAATTGGAACATTGTAACCGGTAAGTTAGTGTTTAATGGCAGCGTTTGTTCCGAGAAATGGATTGGCGTCACTGAAGTTCCCGAACTTTTAGTCATGGGAGCCGTTGCGAGTGAACCGCTAGTATAGCCAAACTGTTTTGAAAAGGCATTGGGCTGTGATCATTTTTTTTACGGTGTCAAACGCCAATGGTCAGGTCTCTTGCAAGACACTCGAGGCTCGCCTATATTTAAATCTCGATTTCCTGTTGATGGTACACCCAACCATCTCTTAGCTTCGGGAGAATAGAGAGAATGGAGGCGTTCTCTCATCCTCCTATCGGAACAACTGCAGGATTCTTGTACAACGACGAGGGATGAAACGAGACAAGATCGGGCTCGGGTATGAATCCGGTCACGTCGTACAAATTGGTCATAGAACATACCGTGGACGAATGGCGTTCCAATAGTACTCAGCCTCGCCCAACGAAGGATGCATCAGTTTTCAACTTAGGCCAAGGCCCCTTGCCATCCCTAGGTCCATGACCGTTCTCATCACTCCATGAACGATCGTGACTTCCGCTCTGGATGTTTTTTGAAGATCAGTAGCTCTGTGATGGCCACTAGGAAGGCATCCGAGGCCAAAGCCTTGTAGCACACATCTAGTGGTGGCTTGATGGCGCGACTCCTTGGTATCTTGAGTTGGAGGGACGAGTGGAAGTCCACGAAGTTGAATTGAGCAAACGTCGTCAAGACGTGAAAAGAGAACCATCTAGGCTAGTGTGGCATGGCAGTTTGGAGCGAAAAGTAGAGGCAGTTCTGATTATAAAAGGCCATCATTTCCGCTGTGATCTCCTTCAGATTGTCCATCGGCATCACCTTCGCATCTCTCGGCCGGCTTCTAAGGACTCCAATATTCTACATACCAATACTTATCTGCAACTCTCTCCAAGAGTCAGTATGCGCTTCTCAACCATCCAAGCTACTACATTGGCCCTTGTGGGCCTGACAAAGGCACAGACCTGCGGCATAAGCGTGGTTGATGTGAGTCTGGCCAGACTCCGCCCCCGTCTTATTCAAAAGCCATGTGTTTAACTATTTCCTTCGTAGTTTGAGGACCTGACGAATGTTCCGGCCCTGGGAGTTGGCCTAGGAGGTACTCCCATCCCTAATGGCTACTCTGGTCTGAACTGGGCCAACTCATACGGCGTCACGCCCTCCCTCGCTGCGGGATTTCTCCTCCCACAGGGAAAAATGCACGTCTATCCAGTCTCCCTGACCCATCCCCTCTCAAGCTAGATCCTATTGACACCTCACGTCTTCCAGCTTGGCAATCTCCGGCAACTCACCGACGACCAACCCGGTCGCCATCTCCGCGACCCAAGGGCGAACGTTCAACCCAGAAGCCATCTTCATCGGCACATTTGTGAAGAACGGGTTCACCGGCGCCGCAGCCCTGACGAGCGCCAGCACCGTCACCGTCACCGCGACGTTCAAGGATGCGACCACTGCCCAGACCACGTTCAACTTCGATCCCCCAAACACCGTCTTTGGCGTCGCCATCAACGCCGAGGCGATGCAGTACTTCCAGTTCCCATGCGAGTGGTCTAAGGTCGTGAGCCTGAGCTTCGTGCCGCAGGCCGAGAACGGGGTGAACGTCGTGCTGGGGCTGGCTATTGACAACTTCCAGTATATTGACGATACTTCTGCCTAGGCACCCTTCTCGCGGGAGATCCAGTTGAGGGCATCAGAATGGGTTGTGGCAAGAGCGAAGGCATTTCTGGCTTTCTTCTTCATTGCTGTCGTGTTATCTGAGCTAGGCCTTGGGTTCGGTGTTGTTTTCGGGGCCTGTTCCATTCTTTGCTACCTTTTCATGACAGTGAGAGAACACTCATTTCTCCCATGCGACAGTTGCCGGGATCCCAACTTATCAAAAGGAAAGCTGATTTGATGCAATATATTTGGTTTTTCTTCAGGCTATTTGTGGGTAATTCACCTCAAATGTCAACACATATACGGGAATTTGTCTAAATGCTTATGACTCAATGTTTATTTCTTTCGTGGTCACATCTAGGCTTTTTTACTCAGTTCCAAATATGAAAACTGGAGACTCTGTTGAAGAATTGACTCCAATAATGCATTCTCGGAAAAGAAAAAAAAGTAGAAGAAGAAACAATCAAGCTAGTGGTGGACTTCGTCGTAGGAAAATGCCGGCTGGTCTGCCGTGATGCCGACTGACATCTTAGAAGCATCAGCTGGCAGAAAAGTCGAACGTGTGACACCACAATGTTTCTGCGTCTCCCAGACCTTGCGGAGAACTGCTCACGTTTTCGTACAGTTGCTGTTGCATTCGCTCTATCCAAACAATAAATGCATGCTAGCTGTGGTGTTATCAAGACCAAGAACAGGCGGTGAGAGGCATCATTGCCTGCTGCTCGCGCTTGTCCAACTGATGCATATTACATTTCAATTATTGATTCTCCCTTAGAAATTGTCTCGTGAGACCAATATGCTCTGGTTTTTTGGTCATTACCTTGACGATGATGTTTGGTGTTCAGCAGGTCTCAAAACCTGACTACGCGGCATTACTCAAGGCGCCGGCCTAACCGCGGCTGGTCTTCACCCGGCCGTTTTAAAGATTCTGCCTGGCAGTCAGCCACAGTGGCATTGCTCATTGGCACCACGCCACGCTCTTCATCCCTTCAGTCTCACAGTCATACCGGCCACACATTATTTCAACTCTATCACCACATACCGGACCTCTGAAAATAATCACCAGAAGCGTCTCGGAACATTCACACCCAGACCAGCCGGCCCAAAATGGCCCCCTCGCCACCTCCCCCAGCAGACTTCACATTGGACCCGTCCCTAGCGGACTACAACATCCTCATCCACGACTATCTCTCCAAGCTGAACGAGACCGCCAACCCTAAGCTGGAAGGCCTAGCCACCGGCGCCGTCATCTTCAGTGTCCATCACCCAGCAGCTCAACCAGACCGGGTCCTCCTGGTCCAGCGCGCATCACACGACTCCATGCCGAATAGATGGGAAATCCCCGGCGGCGCCGTCGACGACGACGAGACCGTGCTAGGCGGGGTGGTGCGCGAGGTGTGGGAGGAGAGCGGCCTCAAGGTCAGGCGCTTCACCGCCTCCATCGAGGGCTTGGCCGCGGGCGCCGTCTTCCGCACCAGGCGCGGCAGGTTCGTCTTCAAGCTGACGTTCGTGGTCGAGGTGGAGGACTCGGCCGCCGTGACGCTTGACCCGGACGAGCACCAGGACCACGTGTGGGCTACGGAGGAGGAGTGCCGGTCGGAAATGGTCGATAGGTCTGCGGAGGGGAAGGCGCCGACTGAGTTGGTTTTCACGACTGCGGCGCAGGAGGAGGCTATCTTGCGGGCTTTCGAGACGCGGAGGAAGGGCCGCGGAGAATAGACGGCGTTCATAGAGGTGCTGCTTTACATGGATGGAGTGGAACATTGGCCCGGAGGCCATGATTGATTGGTGATGGTGCGTTCACATATGGGATATCAATTGCGACATAATATAGGTTCTAGGTAAAAAGATGAGAAATTCGCAAAAGCTTGTGACAAGGTCTGCGAATTCATATCGCACGGATTCAATGCCCAAAAATGCAGCTTCAGTGACTGAATCAGCACAGGCAAGCAGCCAATGCTTCATGATCCTCATGCGAACAGTCTGGCTCAAACGAGCCTAGTAAATTTCCCACTGGGTACTTTTCGTTATTTGCTGATTTTTCTGCAGGAAAGCCAGGGAATTGAGGTATACTGCGGATTATCAAGGCCTTCCTGTGCTGCCGGAGCGAGACTGGTCCCCCGCCTGTGTCAGTACTGGACATCGAGGTCAAAACTCACAGGCCCCTCACGTGAATGGACAACAGACTGACATAAAACGATTGTCGACAACGTGGATTGTTGGCACAGAACCTTTGAGCAGTGACACCAACACTACAGAGGAACGAAGTAAGCTTTTTTAACAGCGCTTTACAACGGCTCATAACAACCCTCGGTACCGAACATGGCTATGCACTATGATCCTGGGCTGACTTGGCGGCGTTCGCTGTCAAATACGAGCCTCACTGCATGGAAGGCCGTTTCGGGGGGCGGTCAATTCATGGGATACGACAGCGAAGCACGTGGTGGATTCCGACTTTCTGCTCTCTCAGGAATGTCAAGGTATTGACGGTACAACATCGACTTAGATTCGAACAATTATGAAGCATATTTTCAATTAATTTCATCAGATCATGGCCTCCAGCTGTGGTCGTTGTGGCCCGTTGTCTCACGGTGCCGAGCTCGCCGAGGTGAGTGCAAGCAAGGGGGTTTTGTTTACGACGAGAAGCCGGCTCGGTGATCTCCCCCGAATTGAACCCCTTCCACATGCCTTAAAATAGAATAACCTTAACCAAGCATCATGCCAGGTGGATCCATGTTACTTGAGCAGACGTAAATACGAGCACGGAGGGCCCGCAGTGCGATCATTGAGGCTCTGTCGAGAGGGCACTGCCAGGGCTGCCAAGTGTGATCCTTGCTGCAGACCCGTCCAGTCCCACAGAATAGATGAAAGCTTGGCTGCCGGGAGCGGTGATGAGGATCCGAGAAAATGGTATAAAGGGGAACAGCGAACATTCCATTCGACGTTCTTCTGGTTCTTGATCAGCCAGCCAACTAGACCAACTCGAATCAACAGACAACGTCCAGCCCGCTAGTCTCACGAACCATTCAAGATGCAAATCGCCACCTTCACTAGCATCCTGGCCCTCGCGGTCTCTGCCAGCGCCACCACCGTCTACGGCACGCTCCAGATGTGGTACGACGCAAATGCCACCTGCACGCAGGACACGATCCTCTACCCAGAGGGCCAAAGCCTCGCATTGGGCACTCTCGACTCCTGTGACGCGGTCACTCCCGGCGTCGAAGGTGCTGAGTTCCAACTGTTCGAAGGCATCCCTCTCACTCCCCTGTTCGGCTGTGAGTCTCCCAACCAAAATGCATACACCTGCTTCCTCATAGCAAGGTCCCTTCTCCAGCCCACAAGGTGCGTCGTTAGGTCGCTAACTGACATTCCCGCCCGAATAGTCCAACTATACTCCGATGCTGAATGCAAGGAGCTGGTGACGGACGAGTCGCAAAAGTGTGTCACGGGCGTCAAGTCATACAAGATTGTGCGCCTGTAAAGGGATCAAGAGTAGCATGGTGAACAACGAGCGCTCATTCTGCCACAAGTCATCACTGCGAGCGAGCTAGCGAGAATATCGCGAATGAAGAGGGAAGACCTGCATGCTCGTACACATGGCACGGGAGCACCGGAAGGAAGGTTGTGTGGTTTCCGGTATTCAGGCAGTCGTGACAGTTAATACGAATGGGCGCCTGCCTGTGTTCGATCACTCAAGGCGAAAAGGACAAAAGGCTCCTGCCATAATAATGGTTGGCTGATGCACTTAGAACTAATAGCTGCCCTCAAGTAAAATGAGGTGGGATTGCAGTTCAGGTCACAGTGAGAAGTCATGGGAAAGATCACTCTGTGAGTGAGGTCTATGGACAGAAGGAAGGAATGAAGGATGCATTCAGCTACAGTAGCTTTGCCCCTGAAGCTGTGACGTCTTGCCGCCCGTTGGTGCTGACTAAGGGCGCTGCCTGCAGACAAAGACGCGGTTGAGGGGCATGTTTAGTTTAGCGAGACGCGACTTGAAGGAGCCCCCATTATTCCACACCCGCCTTGAGCAGATCCAAATCGTTGCTCAGCCAATCCCTACCCAACCCATGCCTTTGCACGGGTAAAGACTCCAATTCGACGTGACCAAGGTGATGGACTCGCCTCCAGCATCCTCAGACCATGGCGACGAGGCCTTCGACCACTCCCACCCCTTCGCAGGCGTCGTCGTCTGCTGCACCAGCATCCCCACCGACCTTCGTGTAAGTCCTGCTGTGCAGTGCTTAGCCTTGTTGACTCTACCTTGACGAACGAAGCTGACCATGTCCACCTTGGCCACCCTCAGTCGACAATAGCAAAGAAGACGGACGAGCTCGGCGGCATCCACAAGTACGACCTGACCCCGGACGTTACCCACCTCATCGTCGGCGAGTACGACACCCCCAAGTACAGACATGTCGCCAAGGAACGCGAGGATATCAAGGCCATGGCCGTGGGCTGGGTCGATGCCGTGCGAAATCTCTGGGTTCGGGACGAGCAGATCGACTTCCGAGCCTTGGAGAAGGAGTGGACTTTAAAAGCATTCGAGACTGGCGGCGGTGCAATAGACGAGAATCAAGAGGTTGGCCCCAAGACTACGCTGAGCTGCTGCTTGACGGGTTTCGACGAGCGTACGTTCCTCCTACGGCTGGCCTGGCAACTCTAGCTGGCAAATCAGAGGCTAACTCATGTCCCCAGCACACATGCGCCAGGAAATAATCGACAAGATCAAATCCCATGGCGGCAGCTACACAGGCGACCTCAGCAGACAGGTCAGCCACCTGATTGTGTACAAGCCCGAGGGAAAGAAGTACCTGGCCGCCAGGAACTGGGGGCTGCACGTCGTAGGGCTTAAATGGGTGTACGACTGTGTGGAGCGAGGCATGATCCTCGACGAAAAAGCCTACGACCCCCTGCTTTCCGAGGAAGAAATCGGCTGGGGAGCATGGAACAGAAAAGCGAGTGCGAACCGTCGGATATCGCTTGGCAAGCGACAGAGAGAGGCGGCGGCGAAACAGGAGCAAGGGCGGCGCAAGCTGAGGAAGACGGCGAGCATGAAGCTGAACAGCCAGAGGGACAACATGTGGGGCGAGATCCTGGGCCAGCCGTCCGTCGACCAGTCCGCCTCTCACCATGCCGAGGAGCCCACCCAGCCGTTGCCGAGCGATTCGGTCCTGCGGTCCAATGCGTCTATATCACGGGTCAGTGAGTCGGTTGACACCGGCCGCTCGCGTTCCCCGTTCGTTGGCGCAGAGAACAGAGGCGACAACATCTTTGCTTCGTGCTGTCTGTACGCTTTTGGTTTTCCTCCACAGCAGACCGATGTTCTTGTCAATACGGTCTCATCCCTGGGAGGTCTTGTGGTCGGGTCCCTGGCAGACATCACAACCTCAGAGGGGATGATCCGTCGCTTTGTAATAGTACCTCAAAGCGCCGACCAGAAGTCACTTCCACTCCTGCCAGATGGTGTGGATCTCATTACCGAATGCTTCATCGAGAGATGTTTACACAGAAAGGCCTTGCTGGATCCAAAGGACCACGTTATTGGTAGACCGTTCCCAGTTTTTCCCATCGAGGGCTTTGAAAAGCTCTCGATATGCACTGCCGGCTTCACCGACGTCGATCTTCTGCAGGTGGATAAATCCATCCGCCAGCTAGGAGCGCGCTTTGAGGAACGTTTCAACGCCGAAAGTTCACTGCTGCTGTGCGCCTCCCTGAGTGCCGTTCGGAAACAGAAGCTCGACCTGGCATTACTCTGGAACGTCCCCGTCATCAAGGCGGAATGGCTTTGGGCGTGCATATCACAGGGCAAAAGGCTGTCAACCAAGCCATTCCTGTTCCCCGAGCTCAAAGCAAGGACCACCGCGGAGAAGAGCGCGACAACAAAACCATTAAACAGATCCAAATCGACGTCCGACATGTCCAAGAAGTTGACGCCAAAGTCACTGCCAGAGCGCACCGAGAAGCCAGGTAGGGCCAGCCTCCCGGGCCCAGACATGTCGGCCTTTGACCCAACGCCGCTGGTGTCCACTGAGCCTCCACTATCTCAGGCCAGGACATCAACCAGGAATGACTCCAACGCCGCCACCGAGTTTGAGACCGCCCTGACACATCAGTCCAGGGAGAAGCCACCATCACAGCGACCCGAGGCACGGCCCAGTTCGAGAAACGACTCTCATCCACTCGGTGAAAAGTCAGCCAACGAGCTGAACAAAACCTCGGCCAAAGAAACACCCCAATCTCCGCGACGCAAGCCGCTCACACGCGTGCGAAGCGAAGTCTGCGACTCAGAAGCAGGCGACGACGACGACGGCCTCGACGCACCCAACGACGATGACCCAACCCCGCAACCAGCCGCCCGACCAGAGCCAGACCAAGGCCCAGATGCTGCAGCCGGCGCCGCCGCCGAGCTCGAGGAGCGCAGGATTCAACGCGAGAAGGCAGAGAAGGCAGAAGCGGAGCGGCTGGCCCTCTCGTCGAAACTCACCTCCCTCCTCGGTGGCGCACCCGCGAACCCCGCCACCGCCGAGAACAGCCGCAACAACTCCTACAACAGCGACTCCGCAGCCGTAGCAGCCGCGGGGAAGGACGACGCAAGGCCCGCCTCCAGGCGCAAGAGGCGGGACGTGATCGGCCGAGCGGTCAGCAACGCCTCGGTGGCTTCGACGGGGAGCGCGGACTCGTCCGCTGGGCTAGGGAGGTCCGCGGCGGTGATCAACGAGGGGGCCGAGGGCTCGTCGCAGGAGGGTGGCGGCGGGGCGCCGGCGGCCAGCACGCAGGTCGAGTACGATGACCCGGAGGCTAAGATCAGCAAGCAGCGGCTTGTGAGCAAGATGCTCAGAGGGGGAGCAGGAGGGGCCGGCGCAACGGAAACCCACCGCGACGTCGCTTCGGGGACTGGCAATAAGGTGAAACCTGTGCCGGCGGCGTCTGGGCGGGCTTTTGGGGGTCGGAGCATGCGGCCGAGATGATGAAGTAGTGGTGGGTTCTCTTTGCTCATACCCACTGGTGACTGGAATGGTTTGTCGGGTTCCTCTTTGCTTCCACCACTTATTTTCACATGGCTGGTCATGTCGATGATGATAATGTTTCTCGGTTTGTTGGAGCATGTGCATATATGCATCTGCGCATCGCCATGTCCGGAGTCCGGTATGGCTAGGCTAGGCAGCCTGGAAATAGTTTTATGACTCTTTAATCACGACGGCACGGTCGTCTAGATTAAACACATGTGGAGTGTGCGAACAACGTGTTGCCATCGTCCCGTCGTGCTGGTAAAGGTTACCCGCTTCCTACTTGGGGCTTGCTCGGAGGGGTTCCTCTTTAATTTGGCTGAGCTGGAGGAGCCCGCTGGATGTTCATCTGCGGAACCGCCTCGACGCAATAGATGAGGCCTGTTGTCGTGCCTGCTCATCCCTGACGGTCGACCGCCATCGCCGTCAGCCGTCGCCTGTGGCTGTGTCACCCATCCCCTCCCGTCCGTCCCCTGGCCGTCACCTCCTCCATTGAACGCCACTTGAGAGTGAGCCGTGAGCGGACGGCAGAGGCAGATGAAGCCACAACAGTGCGATGGATCCGCGCACAGAAACGGGCTTGCATGTATACCTACGCGGGGACCTTTGAAGGCGTCATGTTCCGAGGTCACGGCCGTTGGCAAGGTGCCAGTGTAACCACCTGTAAAACCATGTCTTGCAGCACCATCGGGAGATAATGTGTCTCTCACAAGGACAGCAGCAGCTTCTGCGGCGAGACTGGCATGAGACAAATCAAATTGGTATGACATACAACGGGGGTATATATGTAAAGAACAGAACCAAGACAGACAGGCAAGACAGATAGATGATCGTGAAACCAGTGGTATCTTCCCTCCCAGTTCTCCGTTCCAATACAAGAAAATCCCGTCTCTTTTCCCAATGTAAACCTTTCTGTGCTGTAATCCATGGTCGCCGTCTTCATTTCTTTAATACATGACTATATCTCACATAATACATCGACTTGTCCTCATCACACAATATCCGTACAAAATCGTCCAGAAATCCGTACAGGCCGGGACAGGCACAGCCTGACTGGCCTCTGCCGCGTTCGTAACATCAAAGTTTACAGCCCAGACGCGGCCTCGGTCAAGACGCCAAGGAGCGACGCCGCGGCGCCGCCGATACCGACGGCCCCGAGCGTCTCGCCCCAGACACGCTTCTTTGCGCGGCGCTTGTCGCGTGCCTCCTCACGCTCGCGCTCGCGGTCGACAGTCCGGTCCCGCGTGGTGTCGCGGTCACGGGGGCGGTAGTGCGAAGACGACGAGTGGTGGTCGCGGTCGCGATGCTGCCTGCTGTCTCGCTCTCTGTCGCGATCCCGCTCGCGCTCTCTGTCGCGGGTGGCGTCGCGGTCTCTATCACGCTCGCGGTCGCGGTCACCGCCGCGGTCGCGGTCACCGCCGCGGTCGCGATGCCCCTCGCGATCTCGGCGGCGGCGGTCGCCGTCTCTCTCCCTCTCTGCTCTCCTCCGTTCCCTGCGCTCCCTGCGTTCTCTTTCCCTCTCCAACTCCCTGGGGTCAACCTCTCTTGGGCCATCCTCGTCGAATCTGACGTGGTTCTCGTTACGATTCTTGAGGATGGGCTTGGGCTGGGTGACGGCTGCGGGTGAGGTCTTCTCAACGATGACCGGGTAGACCCTGTGGCCCTTCCGATCTCCCTTCTCTTCGAGCTCTGGCTCCTCTTGGATGGTGGAGTTGGTCGAAGCTCTCCTGTTACGTCGGCGACGATGCTCCCGGGGAACGTACTTGTCCGTCAAAGCCCCGGACCGATCGCGGGACTCAGAATCAGTTGTATCTGACTCATCCCAGATGATATCCTCGGAATCCGTCTCGCTAGTCGTGTCAGAGTGTGAAGATGCCTCCTTCCGTTGGTATTCCGCTTCTCTTCAGGGTAGTATGCAGTTGATCTGTACTTTGGATCCGAGCAGGCCCTGTCTCGGCCAGCTCTCAAAGCTGCCGATTTCCTTGCATAGTCTGCGATTTGGGCCTTTGTCAACACGCCTAGTACGGCGACAAAATCGGGCCTTGCCTCGTATCGTACACCAGCCTTCGTAAGGACCTCAGTCGATACCAGGCTCCGCTTGATACGAGTCCATTTGGCTTCGAGCGGTATTTCATTGCCAACGCTGTCCGGTGCGAGGCGGGAATAACGCTGGGGTCTGGGTGCCGATGTTGGCGGTGGTGGGAAGCCAGGTGCCGAGGACGGGCGCCGAGGAGGGGAAAGGAATGGGCGCAGCGCCTTGTGAGATGGGAGAGGCATAAGGAGGTGGCGGCGTCAGTGTGGAAGCCGTCGGACTTCCATAGCCGGGGAGAGGTGGGACGTATCGCGGCGCGGCGCCTTGAAGCGCCTGCGACTGTGGCGATGAGCTAAGCGGGTGGTCCGGCGGCAGGGCAGCGACGGGCGGCGGAAGATATCGTGTGCTGGGTGAAGTGCCCGGCGAGACGCCGTAATTTGTGGGCAACAAGGCCGGCGAGAGACCAAGCCCACCCATGCGGGCCGAGAGGTTGTCAGCTTCATTGCGGTCTAGGGCCATGAGATCCTGAGTGGAGATCAGAGCCAGTTGTTGCGAGTCCGTTGAGCCCGAGTCCGAGCATGAATCGGACGAATAGCGCTCGTAGGACGTTTGCATCGGCATGCTTGTTGGTGGTGGAGGGTGGCCACCTTGTTGGCTCTGCGGAATGTAAGGGTTATAACCCGGCTTGGTTGGTGAATGGCTCTCCGCATGGCTGGGCCACTGTTCCGGCTGGCGCCGTTCGAGTTTCACGCTGGGCATGAACTTCTCGTTGTCCATGCTGGGCGAGACCATCTCCTTGGGAGACATGGTCTCGCCATGGGGATTTGATGGGTACGAGGCCGGGGTGATTTCCACTGGCGGTGGCAAGGGTGAGGATCCATACTGCTGCGGTTGGCGAGCACCGAATGCGGGCGTCTCCGGATATGGCGCGTATTGCTGAGCTGCATATGCACCGTTGCGGCGACCCTGCGGCAGCTGTTGGTCTAGAAGGCCACGCACCGACGGCGGTTTGTCATCCAGGTAACCGTTTGAGTCCAGCTCACGGATGTAAGCGCGCAGAACTTCCTGCAGGCCAAAGAGTCAGCAGTCATATACAGGTCAGAGTTTTCCGCGCCCAACGAGCGTGGTGGCACCACACTGCGCATTGGGGCGCTGCTGTGTAACGTTGACACGTCTGAATCGAGGAAGAAAGGAAATGCAATATGAGACACCGCATGTGTGATGGTTCGGCGACATGTTACTCACCTTGTGCTTCCTGAGGACATCACTTGAGAAGCCCTCCTTGACCAGCTCGGCCCAGAACTCCTGCCACATCTGATCCTCGCTCTCCTGGGCGGCATCGCCTGAGGCCGAGGCCCTGGCCCTGCGCTGGAACAGACGCGCAGCCACAACATCAACCTTATCCTTGATCTTGTCCATCTGCTGATCGTCTGCATGTTCCAGGTCGACGGGCTTGTGCTGCCTCGTCGGATTGTGCAGCTGCACCGTGTCTAGGAAGATGTCGATGTTGGTCTTCTGGTTCGCCAGCTTGGTCCTTATCAGAGCGACCATGTCCCTCTCGCGGTCCTCCATGCGTTTGGCACTGGAGTTTGCCCGTTCTCTTCGCCCACTGTCGGGGCTTTCGCCGTCGCTGGGATAAGAGCCATACTTCTCGAGGATTGTGTCCAGCTGCTTGAGCGTGAAGTCGGTGTCCTCGACTATTGGTGTAAGTTGACGGGCGTAGACTGAGGATTCATATCCGTCGCTGTTGAGGAGACTGTCTGGGTCCTCTGCCTCGGCGCGCAGATGCTTGAGAACCGAGTGCAGAGGACGCACACCAGTCGCGATGTCTGCAAATTCAGGGCCTGATGTCTTCGCGCGGCGGTAGAGATTCCGTGCAGTCGCCGCGACAGAGGAGATGTACGAAATCGAGGTGCTATCTACCGGCATGTCGTAGTAGTTGCCACTGCGCGGCGCCGTTCTTGGCAGGCTGCTTGCCTCTGGTGCAGGCACGGTGGCCCTCGCAGTAGGATAATGGCGGTGGTGTTGTTGGTCGAACCGGGCGTGCTGTGGGCTCCTCTCTGTGTTTGGTGTGTGTGCAGTGTGTCGGCGTGGACGTTTGGTCGAGTGGAACAGAGCACCCTGGGTTGTGGACAGGTGAGGATGGACAAACATGCTGACGGCTGTCTAAGCCAGAGGGCGAAGATCCGGGCCAGGTTGGGTGTGGGCGGCTATGTAATGGACGGGCGTGATACTGTCATAGGCTTGCCCCAGAAGGGCGTGGATTGTCGCAGACCAGGCCAGGGCTGGAGGGACCGGGAAAGGAGCTGAGGGTGATGTACCTCAGCCTAAGACGCATGTAGGGGCTGCAATCCGACGGCACGGGTCCAACGTGTCTTAGCCCCGGGGGATGGGATCAGAAGGGGACTAAGGCGGCGGAATTGCGGGTGCTTGGGTGGCAGTTTGGGTGTGTGGTGTGTGTGTCAAGATAACAATCCAGGAACAAGAAAATTGGAACTCGGTCACACAGTCGTCAAGATGAAGTGCGCCGCGTCGAGCGTCGTCGAAGATTCAGACGATGATGCTTGGATGTGAAGACTCAGAGCTCGGCTCGAGGAACGAAGGGAGACAGACAGAAGAGGAGGGGCGAAGACAGGACACGGGACGGGAACAGACTGGCGAGGTGGTAAAAGCACAAACAAGTCGGCATGTGCTCGTATGTATGTATGCGATGTGGGTACGTATGTGTTACTATGTGTGTGGATGGGGAAGGAAGCCGGATGGATGTATATTTTGGTCGTGTTACGAGTCGCGAAGGAAAACAAACACATGCCCCCATGCCATGTGTGTGCCCATGTCACTGTACCTGTAACCCAGGCGAGTTCAGCTGCCAGTTGGGATGGTCCGCATCCTCGGGGCGCATATCCACAGGCAGACCAAGATAGAGATGGTGTGTAGCAGAATGATGATGCCTCAGCGTGCACAGGTCTGTCATGGAGGGCAGTTAATCTTGGAAGATTTTCTCCGGCTCGAAACAGATCGTCTCTCCAGCCTCCAGTCTCCTGGCTCCAAGTCTCTGGACTGATGGGGCTGATGGGGGATGTGGGGAAATGGAGGGCGAGACGGAGCGACTCTCGCTGGATGCGTGGAGGTGATGAATTATCTGTCTCGAGTATATGTACCTCGAGCAGTCAATCATGGTCAAGGCAAGTATTCATGCACACGCCATAGCTGCATTTAAATTGGGAGCGGCATTGGTTGAGCTGCTTTTCCTTGGTGGTTGGTGGTGTTCGTCACAGAGCGCCCTGGCTGGACGTGACTGGACGTGACTGGCCCCAGCTCCCCCAGCCGGACGCAGCAAGGGACCTGTGTGAAATTCTGTGCAGGGAAGCAGCTGCACGTCTGGATGACGTCGCATGATTTCATCGCCCATGGTTGGCACAGGCCACCTCCTTCCCCGGATCCTCTCCAATCAGCCTGGGTGTGTTTCTCTACTAAGGCTGGGTGGTCTGTGCACAGTAGCAGAGGCAGCAGAGAGGCAGTTGGAGGGGGTCGGCACAGAGCCACTCAGGTCCGTCCGGCGAAGACGCGAAGAAGCTCCAAAGCTCCTTCTAGCCTCGAACCTTGGGGCGCCTGCGCCACCGGGCTGTAACGGAGCACTGGCACCACTGAGAAGGCCTGGAGGGCCCTTCACCCATCCATCCACCGATGACCTGCAGGCCTCGACCCGTCCAGGAATCGAAATCGAAATCGACCAGCCGACCTCGACCTCGCGCTCTCCCCACCAACAAGGTCACTAGGTGGTGGGCCACCGGAACCCGAGGCCACAGTTCTTGGCCACACTTCTGCAGTTTTGTTGGGTTTTCAGTCTGCTTTTCCCCCTTGTGATGATAAACAACTACCGTACTGCGACTATCATGCTGACCAGGGCTAGCGGCTGGCCCCGTCCTGGACCAAAAAGGAACCCCGGGCGTCCGCGTCGCAGGTTCATGAGAATCCCGTAATAAGTACAGGGCAGACAGGCAGATCTTATGAACAGCGCATGAAGCACGCCTGTATTTTTGACCCATCTTCCCCACACCAATCCATGGACGACGCAGAAGCAAGAACAAACAGTGGGGACTCTGAGGTTTCGCCGAAGAGATGCCAATACGACGGCATGCCCGGGGACAAAGTTGGTCGGGACTTGTTCGTCTGAACGGCCTGCCTGCACGGGTTATTGCCGTCCACGCCCCGGCGGTTCGGACTTACCTTTGCTCGCCTTGACTTGAACTCCCCGTCTGCAGAGTCCAGACACGGATCCGATGTGGCTTCTGCACATCACGAAGAAGGCTGTGGAAAGAGCCAGCCAGGTCTAGGTCAGTAAGCCAAGGCGCTGCTCCACATCCCTCCTCCCGTATTGGAGCGGAGGAGGGAAGTCAGTACACGTGCAGGTCAGACTTCTGACCACTGAATCAATCCGCTCCAATCCTCCCTCTGATCTTCGCGGGCAAAGACCGGGACGTGAAGAAATTTCTGGCCCGGCATCGCCACCTCGTGATGTTCGATTGCCGTCGACTGTTTTGCCCCGTCGCACAAGGTATCATTGCAGACCACAGCCATCGAAACGAAAAAGACACAATCGTCCAATCGCAGAACCAAACGTCCTTGGCACCTAGATCCCGCCATAAGCCCACGCCAAAGCACGAACAGCTTGGCTTGGCCGCGCCCCGTTTGCGTGCAGCGAAGAGCTGTCAACCGAGTTGGCGTGGAGAAGCCCACGAGCCTGCATGACAGGCAACTTGTCGCCTTGTCCTTGCACGACAACCCCGAATCTTGCAGCACGCCGGCAAACGTGGCGTAGCCGCACGCCAGCACCCAGTACCCACGCTTAAGCCGCTGACCAGCATAGACAAAAAGTGGGTTGCTGCCTTGCTGGCCAAACAACCCTTACCGTGCATAAGCTTGACAATCGTGCATGCGACCCAACAGCTGACGACGAGACAAACAAGGAATGGAGACAGCCGCAGCGGGCTAGCGAACGGACATACAAGTTTGATGAAATGATATGCCAACTCGCCCAAGCAATTCTGCTCCCAAGGCCACCATGCAGATGACTGATAACAAAGTGCACATCTAGGGTGGTGCTCAGCCTGCAAGACGTCGGGCCACACTTTTGATGGCATCCGCTGAACCCAGCCCATCCTAATGAAAACGCCATGCCACTTGTCTCGCGGCAATGCCTGCAGTCAGGCTCATGAGAAAGCCTAGACTATTATTGAAGACTAGCAAAACGACTCGTCTATCTCGCCGGCCGAGTCATCCGGGGCGCGTCGCCCGACTACTTTACAAACAGCATCAGCCGTACGCCACGCCGCCGCATATGCCGACAAGTAGGTCATATTTGTGCATTTTCTAGACTCCCCCAACGAGGAAAAAGACAAGAATTACGTCGTGGCCTACCAAGGTTGTTGTAAGTCCGCTGCTGCCAAGATATATGCACGGAGTGGTCCGGCGGCTCATACCGACCCTCCTTCGAGCCGCAAACTTGAAGTCCGCCAATCGGTATGGCCCTGGTTTATGGGTTGTATCCAAGATATGACACAGCTCCGTTACCGTAGAATGTCCAACACTGTATGAAGCACGACCATTCAATGGCAAATGTCAATGATGATATTCCTCGGGCGTTCTATGATGGAACCCACGTTTGGAATTTCGCTTCCTTGCATCCAATTTTTTGTAGCCTCTCCCACTAGTTGTATACTCTGGCTCCTGAAGTTAAGACAGCATGCCGCAGATGCTCTTCTGAATTTGAAGAGTATACCTGAAAAAGGATGTATCTTGAGGGTCCATGTCCTCAGTCACTCGCCCTGGTAATACAACCTGCACGAAGACAGAAGACATATTGAACCCATTCCTTGCAAATGCTGCAACGTTGCAAACTGCGAAGGATCAAGAGATCAGGCAACGACGTTAGAATCTTTGTCGAATGGTTTCATGACTGTCCACACCTGAATCTGTAGACAGTATCCTAAGCGATTCACAAGGATCTGGCCAGCTGCTTCGATGCATCTAAACGCCACTCAGCAACTGCGAAAACCACACTTTCTCACAACCACATCGACTAACAAAACAGCTCAGCCAGTGGGTATGCTCCCAGCCGAAGGAGATTGTCTCCCGTTCCGTTACAGAGCTAACGCCCTTTATTCAGGCCTCACATACGCACCACGCAAAGCAAGGTGAGTGACCGGTCAACTCCCACAGATGTTATGGCTGCCAACCAACTAGCTGGACTTCACGGCATTGCAATCAAGGTCGTCTTGTACGCCCAGAGGTGTGACGTGCTGCGAGAGGTGCATACGCGATGTGATGAAGTGAGATGTTTGATTGGCTCGTCGTACCAACATGACACAACGATGCCCCTCATCAGGAATGGAATAGACATGAAAATTGAATGGTATACATCACAACATTGTAGATCAGGAATGATTGCATCTCTGATATTTCTCTAGACTCTACCTGAAACGTGTCATTCTTGTCAATATACAGCCTCCAACACAAATCAGCTTCGACAATGAATGCACTTGCTCGTTCGATGCCGCTGGACGGGGGATACGTGGTAAATCTGCACAAAAGACTCTGTTGACGGGGACTCTTACGCCAGAATGAGATCTAATAGGCGCCCAGGCCGCCATGGAGGTCCTACATGCACAACGACGAAAACGACCTACAGAGCTATCGAACTACGCTACACTTCCAAGTGAAAAAGGAAAGTTGCTCATGACACCTGGGCTGAGAGGCGTTGCTAGTACTCAAGGAATGGCGGAGTGGTTACAGCAGTTGGGTCACTCAGTCAGCATACCCCCTCCCCCGGCTTCTGGATCTTGGAAGAAAAGAATCTCTCGGCCAAAAATAAGGGCCCCTGTATTGACCAGTACGCAGCTTGCTGACATTGACAAACTGAACGTCATTCATGTCGCAGGTACCAAAGGCAAGGGAAGCACATGCGCCTGGGCCGAATCGTACCTACGGGCACACGGCAAGAGGACGGGGTTCCCCGATAAGACAGGTCTATACACCTCGCCTCATCTCGTCTGCCCCGAGGAGCGCGTCCGCATAGACTTCGAGCCGCTGTGCAAAGGGGAGTTTGCCAGGTACTTCTTCGAAGTGTGGAGTTGCCTCGTGGAGCGGAACGATGAAAAGATCAATGCGCTGCCCCGGTACCACCAGCTCCTTCTTATTGTAGCCTTGCACGCCTTCATCAGCGAGGGGGTAGAAGCAGCCATCATCGAGACCCACCACGGGGGCGAGTACGACGCCACGAATGTCATCAGCCGCCCCGTCGTGACCGTGATCACCTCCCTCGGCATGGACCACGTCGAGCAGCTCGGCCCGACGATCGAGAACATAGCCTGGCATAAATCTGGCATCTTTAAGAATGGCGCGCATGCGTTCTCCGCCCCTCAGGAGTCAGCCTCCGCCGCCGAGGTCCTGCGCCATCGTGCGGCAGATAATGGGGTGCCCATCCAGTTCGTGAGCGCGGACGAGTCACTGCTTCCGGCAGGGCCGCCCCGATTCCATCCGCCGGTTCAGGTGCTTAATTGCTCGGTCGCCCTGGCTGCTGCGCGCGACTTCTTGAGACAAAGGGCCCCGAGGGTGAGTTCCCAGGGTAGCGACATCCTCAACGAAGATGACATTCAGCGGGCGGTAGAGGGTTTCTCGTGGCCAGGCCGGTTTCAAGTGGTTGTCGAAGAGAACCACGAATGGTTTCTCGACAGCGCGCACAATGAGATGAGCGTCAGCAAGGCATCCGGATGGTTCATTGAAAGTATCTCTGGAGACGCTGGACCGAGCTTGGGAGAGAAACCCAAGCGCGCTCTGATATTCGGCCAGTCGCACAACAACAACAGGGATCCTGTCTCGGTTTTGGACAGTCTAGCCGTCTGTCTCAAGCCGATTCACTTCGACAAAGTTATCTTCACTCTGAGCTATGACAGAGATCAGCTTTACCAGGCGCGCCGCCAAGGTATGTGCATGAGATGCCTCATGTCTCAAGATGCGTATAGCTAAGCTACTGAAAGCAGACACTGGGCCAGAAGATGGTGAGCTTTTGGGAAGCTTCGAGAAAACCTGGCGGAAGCACTATCCCGACTCCGATGTTGTGCAAGTTGGAGACGTGGAGCAGGCTATGACAACGGCCAGGGATTCCTCTGCCGGTGCTGGTGGTCGCACGCAGACGCTCATCACAGGATGTCTACTATTGGTTGGAGAGGCACTTTCTGTTTTGAATGGGGGAACTGTCGTCTAGTTGATGTTTTTGCGAGGTCACCTAGCGAGAGCTCTGTCAGAGACACACGCCAGTCTTGAGATTCCCCTTTTGATCTAGGTCCAGGGTTCGATGACTGCGACGTTCATGAACTCGTACTTCAACGTTGACTTGACGGGAGACAATCCGGCCTCGGCTGGCCCGGAATCGTCATGCAGCCGTCTTGCAAGTGATCCGCCTCCTGCATAATGAGTCACTGCCTGAAATTCCAAGCTTGTCTTGATAAGCATAGTCATTTGGATGGCATGCAGACGTGCCATATACTCCAGGATAAACTTCTGCTCCCCGCCCAAAGGTCGACGGCATCGCGCCGGCCCATCCAAAGGCGCAACTGCAGAAAACGACATGTGAGCCGCATGTAGCCGTGAGCTTAATCGTCGGATGAATAATGGAAGCCTGGGGCAACTTTTGGCCAACAACGATGTCCCCAGGACCTGCCGGGCTGTGACGCTTTTCCCGCTCTGATCGAGTAGCCTCCACCGTTAGAGAAACGCCATTTATCGCTCTTCCGCCCTTCAATATGCCTCTCCCCCGATCGGTTTGCGATGCGGCTCTGTGTGGGCCAAGCCCAAGCGCTGACCCGGATCCGTCAAGCTGGGAGCTCCCGGCTAGCTGGCTTACGCGATGTCAGACCAACAAACACGCACACACCAAGATGCCACACCAAACAACGGATTCACGCTAAGATTGGCCCATGTAAGAGAGGCTTGACAATAGCCCAAGGCAGACACGCCAGGCGCAATTCCGTCAAAACTGCCCGCCATCCGGGGTGGATTCCTCCAGACTACGTGATCGCCTATGTACCTACTCAGCAGTCGAGGCCAAAGTACCCCATGATAACGTGTGACTGCCTCCCGGCAGTGCCGTCGCCGGCGGGTGCCGACTGACTTGTGGGAGGGGAGACAGGCGATGCGGCTCTGCCGTCCACGATCTGGGCAAATTCCCATGCAAAGTGGGAACCCCGAGGTGCGCCTGGAAGCTAAGCCAGCCAGCCAGCCCTTCTTCCCTTCCTTCCGGGACGTTTGTCCAGAGAGAGAACAAGCAATCTGGGCGGAAAAGGCATCCGATGTCGTAATGACCGAGAGACAAGAGGACGACAGCTCACACACTGCGGGCGCAGAAACAGAAGCACCGCCTGCCTGCCTGTCTGTCAGCCCACCTGTTCCCTCCGCCTTGTCCACCGCGTTCTCCGTCCACAGCATAAGGCAAAACCACAAACATCAAGGAAGAAACAGAGCAGAGAAATTCCCCGCGCTGTTTTGAACACGTATCCGTCGCAAGTGACCGCAACCGAGACGAGGTCTCGAACTCCTCACGCAACACACAGCGTCCCACAGGCACGCGCGCGTGTCGAATCGAAGCCTTAAAAGCCTCCGGAGGCCGGCCCCGGCCAACCAGCGAGTGGATTGTTGTTCCCCCCGGAGAGACAACATCAGTCGCTGTCTCACCGGCTCGTGAAGAATTCCTCCGCTCCTCCGCCATAGAAAGCCCTGTGGTTGAGTTGTGAATCATCGGTGATGCATGGGGGAAAGGGCAGGTGTCGTGTCTCCTGGCCTGTCACTGGCGACGGCACGCGACGTCTGTGCTACGTCGGCCTTGTTTTGTCTTGTGGGGTCCCTGCACGCCTGGGTTGGGTGACTGTTCTCATGTCTCTGCCTGTGCTTGTGTAGCTCCGTCGCCTTGTCCGAGTCTCTGCCCTATCCTTGTCGCAGTCGTAGTCCTCCCTGCCGGGGAAACGCGCACATGATGCGCGGGTTATGTTCCGCAAGTAGCACTTGCTGTGGTTCTCTGACGAGGCTGTCTGTGATGAGGGTATTGCTCGAATTACTCGGACCAGACAAGATGGCCTCGTGGCTACTGGGTCCAGACGACCACTTTTGTACACCAAGATCTACCCAGACCGTGATCCCACTGAAACGCCAACTCTTCCCCCGTCTCTTCACTACTCGCATTCGCCTGCGCATCCTTATATGCTGACCCTGTCTCCCGAATACTCCCCGACCCTCTGATTGATCAGGTATGCAATCTCTCTCTTGCTTCTCCTGACGACCTCGCCACCGGAGACGACCTTCTCTGCTGAGATTCTCTCCTTGGCCTTCATGCCAAGCGGTAACATGGCGCCTTCCGCACCGGCTGCCTTGCTGATCCCTTGGCCGTGTAGTTCCACCGCCTTGCCATCTCCGCGCTTGTGCTTCTGCCCGACTTCCGCCTCGGCCTTCTGCACCTGGGCCCCGTACCTGACCGCCTCGGAGAGGATGCCCCGCAGGAACACGGCCTCCTGCACGCCCTCCAGGGCCGCGCTGACCTCCAGCTTCAGCGAGGCCAGGAAGTCCGCCGAGTCCATGTGGTCTCCAGCACCCGCCGCCACGATCGCGTCGTTAATCAGCCAGCCGCCCGGCCCTACCGCGTCGAGGCACCTGCAGAGTAGGTCCGCAAGGAGGCTGATGCTCCCATCTGGCGGCGCCTCGAGGTCGTCGTCTTCGTCCAGGCGCGTCGTGTCCAGGTACCGCGTAGTCCAGCCGTCCTTTACGAGTTCCATGCGTAGCACATAGATAAGCGATAGAATCTCCTCAGGCTTGTAGCTCCGCCGTAGTGTGCGGATTGTGGAATCGCGGGGACAGCTCCCCAGCTTGCCGAAGGCCACACTCAGGCCTCTTGCGCGGATGGTGGATTGGTCGCCTAGGTAGAACTCTGTGACCTCCAGCTCCTGCTCGAGACGGTCCAGCTCGTGGCCAAATGCGCTCTGGTCTGCGTTGAGTGTGCTCTCGTCCGGGTCGGCATCATCTGACTGTTGCGATTCGAAGGTGAGCAGCTTGGGCGCTATCTTCGTGGGGTCTTGCACGAGTTCTAGACTGCGCATGATCAAACGAACTGCTGTAAGGAGCTCAGCGGCCCCCAGCTTCGTTGAGGACAGGTAGGACAGGAGAAGCTCGAAAGGTGGATCTGCTTGTACCAATACTTGAGGCACTTCTTCGCCGAGGATATGGTCCACGTCGTCGACACCTCGGAGCTCATCCTTAAAAGCTGATTTGATGTTGGATATGGTGAGGTGACCTGCATCAACCAGGCAGTTCAGCACGTTGCTCTGTGGCAGCTTGCAGATAAGCCTCGTCTGATCTGAGCCCGATTCTGTTGTGTCCTGCCAGTCGAATATCCTTGTGATCGTGTACAGAACCCATCGACGGTCAGCTGTTGGATACGCAGAGCGTGTGCTTGGCCATATCCATTCTGGCAGTCTCGGCTGTTCGTCTGTCTTGCCGTTGGCCGCGTCAGCTGGTTTCGTCGCGATTCCAAATCTGCTAGCCGTAAGCTCCTCGAATCCACCCAAGTCGCCGGCCTCGAGGAGGGCATCGGCTTTCTGTACATCTGTAGTGAACTCAGACCAATAGTTTCCAGTGACAGTGCCCGGAAGATGTTCAGAGAAACTCGAAGATTCGCCATCCGTTTTCTGCTTCTTGAGAATATCTCTGTGCTGAGCGATACCACGCCCTATCGAGTCTATCAAAAGGCCCTCTGCTCTTCGCTTCTTGCCTCGCGTCCTGGGGGCCTCAAGTTGCACAGCCACCAGGGATGCGCCGTAGATTGCGACTGCAATCTCGAGTCTCGCAAAATATGCCACCAACGACAGGGCCACAGCATTTGAGCCTTTGCCCACGTTGTCCAGATCGATCACAGAAGATGCCTGTAAAGACTGATAAACAGGGTTGTAAACATCCAAGGAGTCGGGCTTGGCTGCAAGGACAGAAGACTTCGATAGCCGCACAAATGACCTCACGTCCGGTACTTGGAGTTTGCTGTCGACTTTGACAACACTCGAGGTCAGATCGTACGTGACAAGACCGTCCTCCTGGAGCTCCATCAGTGACCCTGAGGTGACGTCCAGACGGAGACTTCCAGGCCCACTTGCGACCGAGGAGGGTGACGGGATTGGAGAGGTGTGTATCTGGACCAGCCGACCGCTGGCTTGCGCCTCGGAGTTGGAGACTATGCGAAGTATATGGAGATAACGGGACTCTGCGTCCGTGCCTGCGACCCTCGTGACTAGCAGCAACATGTCCAGGGCGGATGCGTCCTCCTGTTTCGTCTGTAGTAATGAAGCGAAGGCGTCCTCTTTGCCTCCGAATAACCCTCCAATGACGTCGCTTGCCAGCGCGGCTTGGACGAGCTCGACTTGGAGGCGGGTTCCCTTGGGCAGCGCAGGCAGGTCCTGCTTCAGGATTTCTGGAGATGTCTGCCATCGTTTTCGCAGGACGTCACCTCGAAGGCAGATAACAGTCCCATCCTCGGCGACAGCTACCAGGTCCGGAACTGCACCTGACCCGTCGGCGCTTGCAGAGTTGGTTGTTGTAGCCGTGCTGAGGTGCACGAGCTTCGAGGCATGGTCCACCTTCTCGGTCAAGGTGGTCGAGGTGGTCTCGCCTGAAGCTCCAATGACATCTTTGAACAGAGTGATCTCGGGTTTTGGGTTTCGGGTCGAGATATAGGTGTAACGTGTGACGTCTTTGCTCTTTGCGACTCTGGTCCTCGTCGAGCACGGCGAGCAGGTGAAGATCGACTGTGGCGGGACCGGGTAGGAAGTAATCAGCCGTGATGATGGAACCTGAAGGAAGTCAAGTCAGCGGTCGCTCTTGCAGGTGGAGAGTGGACGTGTGCCCATAAACTAACATCGTAAAGGTTCAGTGCCTCGCCGTCAATCCCGACTGCCAGCTCGGATCGCTTCCTCTTCTTGGAGCCTGGCTGCTGGCCCCAGACATCACCGATTTGGTATGCGCTCGCACCTTCTCGCTGGTTCAGAGGTCGAGGCAGGGTGGTGAGCACATATGGCTTCTGGATGTTGAATGTTGCAGCCATGGCGCGCAAGCAATACGGCCTCGACAGACTGAGTGGCAGTTGGATCGTGAAGTTCAAAGTCGCTCCTCGGTAGAAAAAATTCGAGTGAGTAGCAGGGGTTTGCTCTTATCGGGCTTATCTGAACTTCTGCAGTGGGGCTGGCAGCACCTCCCCAATTTTAGCGTGTTCCTGTCCCCAAGCACTACCTAGGTAGGTAGGTACTACCGTAGCGCTCAGTATACCGAGCGCTACGGTAGGTACCTATCGGCATTTGATAGTGTGAGAGAAGTCACCATTCGATATCTTTTTTTCTGCCCGCCCAGTACCATTGGAGCGCCATGACTTGTCTTCAGGTAAACTGTGCATTGTTCTAGAGGGGAGATCCCAAGCTGGGCAGTACAACTTCATACCCCCTGAGGCCAATAAGTATCATTATTAGCATAGTATTATGCCAGTTTTTTCAGTTGGATCTGCCTCATCACGCCATCTCCGAGGCTCGGTCAAACGCGAAACGTGAACGACGAACGTGAACTCAAATACATGCTCTCAATTCTGTAGTAGGCCCCGTTCAATAGTCTAGATGAAAGCGACAAGTGCAGCCACCGCGGAAACAATAGATGCCATAGCAATGGCACCCTTCCTGAAGATAGGTGCGCCCGCACTGCTGCTTTCAACGGTGGAGGACGCTGAACTGGAGCTACCAGAGGTTGAGGAAGGCGTGGCTATGGCGGTACTGTTCAAAGGTGTGCTTGACGATCCGGCGGTCGCTGTACTGGGAGTAGTCTGCAAGGAGGTAGCGGATGCAGTGCCGCTACTGACGACCGTTGTCGTAGCTGTTCCAGTTGTGCCCACTGACAAAGAAGCTGTACCAGAAGAATCGATGCCAAGCCCTTCGATAGTGCCTACTGAATAATTTCCAGCTAGGCCGCCACCTAGTTATACACGCGATGTGTCAGTGTTCGATCAACGTGCAAACAAAAAAATAATCCTCGAAGCTGGCCTGGACAAACTCACAGTTTTCGAGCGCGTAGCCGGGGCAAGCCACATTGCACTGAGACGCGTCTCTTTTCTTATCGTTCGAAGGCAGGGTGTCGAGGCAAGAACAGCGTGGTCCTTGTGCTGCAAAGACAGAATATCCTGCATCCCCACAATGAGAGGCGCACAGATTGAGACTGTTGAATGTCAACGTTATCTCATTGACGGCGTCGATTGCATAGCAATCAACTGCGTCATTAGCCAGAACACCGAGTGTCTGGCTAAGCACCGCCAGAGATAAGAAAGCCGTGAAGCTATGCTTCATTGTGATTGAAATCAGAATCGTCTTGGTTGATTTCCTCCAACTGACTTTGGTTGATGTAAAGATAGAGCCTTGAATAGGAGACGGCAGTGCAGGTCGCATATTTCATATCGTGGTGTTTACGAACTAAGCCTACAGATCCTTGGCCCCCCAGCTGACGACGTTCTAATTTCACCTAGCTCCGAAGGATCGTTGAAGGATGCGACCAACCAGAAAGCGAACCGGAAATGCAGGCATGTCGTTTGTCATATTGCTACTAGCTTCATGCACAACACGGCAGATTCCGTTCAAGAGAAATTCCGTCTCATATGATCTTGTGGAAGCTTTAGACCTGCCAGAAAATCTATGTGATTGAGAGCCACTTTTTGCCAAGCCCCTGAACCTCACCATTTCTGGCCTTACAAGCCCCTGCAGAAAAGATATGGATTTGAGCATGCATACTTGAATAATCAGAAGGAGAAGGAGCTGGAGAGCCAATAACTTCCAAGATCAAACCAGATTAGAGAAAGTAATAAGTCGTGTGATCACATGTCCATCAAGCTCCAGGAATCTTACCGAGCTCATACTTTACATTACAGTGATGCTCACCGAGCGTCTGCCGTGATGTGCAGTGTACATACATGGCCAGACAGCCGATCATATGCTCTCCTGAGCAGATGATGGTATGAATTTGAAAATGATCCACAAAGACGATGGTACAGATTCAAGATATGCCAGGTAAAAATAGTTCTGTCTCAACTCATTCATCCATCACAGAATGCCGGCAATATTTACTTTCTTTCTATCTTCGCCATGCATACCATAGAGTTCCATCAATTGATCAGCTTGATCCAGTGAACCAGCCAGGAACTGCTTTGCTGTTAGGCAGTGGCCCTAATGGCAATGGAGAATACTGCCTACCTGGGGTGTGTGTATGCACAGGCAGCCTATCATCCGCTCGAATTTCAGAAAGTGCATTACACGGCATAAGCCACCAATGGCTCCACCCTGTTTGATAGCTTTGCAGATAAGCTGCATGCGTTGTTGCCTGGCTGTTCTCATGGCCAGCAAAGTTGGGCGTACTTATTTCCCTGGGCAATCCACACTTCATCTGAATGTCTCCCCGCTCCAAGGTGCTTATCCTAAATTGTACATTCACGTTCTGAGCCCGCCTGGTCAATCGATGATCCCTTTCGAGCCATGGCTGATCCCTTGTCCATCTCGGCGGCAGTTGTCCAGTTCTTGCAGGTTACCGTTCAACTTTGCCTAAAACTTCATGGCTTTTGTGCGGACATGCACGATGTGCCGGATAGACTGGGCAGCCTTGAGTCAGACCTCAAGCAACAGATCCGGGTGGCTGAGAATATCCAGAGCCTGGTCTCTGGGACGTCGCCGGCTCTCAACTCATCCTCCATCGATTCTCTACGGGCGATTCTAGATGATTACTCCACAAAGATGGACCATCTTTTACGAATATTGGACTCGGTGAGCAGCAAATCTCATGACGGCTTCTTTAAGAGAAACTGGAACGCGTTGCGGGCCCTGGACAAGAAGAATGCGATGCTCTTATGCTGCGATCAGTTGGCACAGAAGAGAAGCCTCCTTTCTGTATGGTTGGGCAAAGCCAACATGTGAGCAAAAGCGACGTCAACTTTCATTTAGAGGACTTGTTGCTCACATCAGAAGGGACCTGTCTCACCAAGTCAGAGACATTGCCGAGGAAGGCCGAGATCAAATCACAATTTTATCGAGACAAGTGGAGGGGAACTCGACCAAGATAGAGACGCATCAGAACGAATTGTCCAGATCCATCCGTGCAACTGAAGTAAATTCCAACGAGATACGAGTCCTGTCTGCTCGACAGGGCAGTTATAGGCAAGAAATCCTCGCGGCGGTCCACGAAACGAGCAGCGAGATTCACAATCTCGCTGATGCCTGGCAGAGCCTAAGCACAACTGTGAGTCGCACCGCCAAACTTTAGAGCTTGAAGAAAAGCACTCCAAGATTAACACGCAATGTAAGCTACACGAATTCAGAGATATCCTGGAGTCAAATCAGGAGCTTTCTCGCGTAATCCTTCGGGTAGCTTCCACAAGGAGCGCATCATCTACGGGACTCGGACATTGCAGCTCTGCCGACATGTTCAAGATGATAGAACAAGTTTATCTCAGCGATACTCAGAACGATTCCCGAAATTCCAATGGCACTAGAGGCACATCAGTGACGCACTGCACGTGCAGGGCATACAGCCGACTTACTTACCGTGAACCACTGTCGATGCTGCATTTTAAAAGTGTGTTTCGAAAACGACACTACCCCGGCTGCCCAAAATTCAGGAGCTCACTGGCAGATGAGAGTCTCGAGTACACGATAAAGGTCGTTCCCCCCACGTGGCTGCTCTCCCATACGATTCATCTCAGTGTGGTCCTGCGGAATTGGAGCAGCGGCAGAGAATTCTCGATTGCCCCAGTCGTTATTGGCACAAGCAGAATCGTCGATCCCAATACCTCGCCCGGTTTTCAAACGGTGCGGGCGTACGAGGAGCTCCAAGGATTACATCATTTCCAAAACATTACCAAATTCATGGAGTCTTTGGAGAAATCACTACGGGGTGTACTCAGCGCCGGTCAAGGTTCTCCTCTCGACGAAGACCGAGATGGTAATACTCTTCTCTACGTAAGTATCATGGCCATTCACATTTGAATGTATGAATTTGAGTTCTGACAAATACATGATGCCAATAACAGGAGGTCATTCGGCTATACATTGACCATGCGCAGCATAGCAAGAAATATTGGATCACCAAAGCTACTGAGGTCGTTTCTCCCGTACAATTCCTTCTGGATAATGGTGCGAATCCAAATGTCTTTTGCTCCTACAGTTCAAGCCGCTACGGAGCAAGTCGGGGTACGGCTCTGGACCTGTTCGCAGACAACTTAGTGAATCCAGCGCGCAACTTTGCAGCACTAAAAGAAATCGGAAGGTTATTACTTGGGAAGCTGACTGAGGTGGATGCCGAGAGCTCGAAACCACTTCGGACTGCTGCAAGAATCGATCCGGGTCATCTGTCGCAGCATTTCCAGGTTGAGATGGAGGAGTTGCAACTATTGCCCGAACAGATTAAGGGTAAGAGGCTCCCATTGGATTAACAACGAGATGTTCCAGCCTCGGCTGACGAATTCAAAGTATGCGAATACAATGGAATAGTACAGGCTATTATAGAGCGCGACGAGGCTGGGTTTCAAAAGGCGCTCGACAATTGCGACTCTCATCATCAGTCCCCAGCTACCGGCCTCAGCGCCATCCATTTTTCAGTAACTTGGCCTATGGCGCTCACTGCCCTTCTCCGGATCGGTGTGGATGTGAACGTCGAGGATCACTATCATCGCTGTCCAATACACCTTGCCGCATCATTGGGGGAATCTGAAGCCGTCGACATTCTACTGGAGGATGACTGCGCCATTTGGAGTCACTCCTCGCCTTCTTTACTGCGAGAAGCACTGCGGTCAAAAAATGAAGAGAATCGGGCCCGTATTGTGAGCTCGGTCATCACAGCATATATTGACCGACATGCCCGGTTCTTCGACCTGGCTCTATCACTGCTCCCCCAGTCTTCGCCAGCTTTTGCAGAACTCGTTCCCGGAATATTCTGTGAAAACCTCGTTCCTCAAATCCAGCAAGAATTAAATTGCCTTCATTTCCGCATCCCGCCTGCGCTGAAACTGAGTGCGGACGGTTCAAGCGTCTACGAGACGGCCGATATCGATGCCCGTAGTCGCTTGACCGTCCAAATGGCCGTGACACTCTGGGACGGTGGCTTTCGACAGATCCACGAATACTCTAATCGAGGGACGACGCCACTTCTCGCAAGCTGGTACAATGCTGACTTCGAAATGATCAAGTGGTTGATTTCCAAGGGAGCCTCCCCGTTCTCCCGGCACGGGCAGACACAAGGATCAGGTCTGCATCTCTACGCTCACCGCCTCGGATATCCTGGCGCTTACTTCAAGCACGACGCATCAGCTGTCTACTGCAACGAAGTTATAATTTCACAGCTTGAGTCAGATCTTTATTCGAGACGGGACTCGTGTTGCTGCCTCTGTTCGATGGGTGGTTGCCCGCCGGTTGTGGTTTTTCTGAAATCTTATATTAATTTCATATTTTGTGGGAAGGCTATGATTCTCGATCCAGCATACCAACTCTACTTGAAACAGCTCCGTCTCTTCTGGGAGAAGCTGCCGCCGGTGCGTGGCGAAGAGCAGATCTCCGTGGAAGCGGTCTTGAGATTCTTGGTGTTCGAGAAGATGAACTTGAAACATCAGTGCTGTCGCCTAGGTCAAGAGGCTCAGGATCACAGGGTGGAAGAACCCGTGACGGAGGAGAACCCACCAGAATCTGAGTGTGAGATGGAGGCGAGATTGCGTGAGTATCGGGATAAGATGCAGAGTTGCGAGTGCAAACTCCTTGAGAAGCCCTTGTGTGTCGTCCTTCGCGAGCATTGCAAATCACTCTGAAGACATGTAGTTATCCGTAATTATATTCCAATATTAGGGCGGCGAGCTGTTTTGCGAATGATTGTGTGTAGGGAGAAAGATAGACCACACATTGTCTGTCCACGAAGGTCTGGCCTCAGAAAAGCCTTTTGCGGTTCTCGTGTACCAATGATGATACGAAATGTCCACGAATACACAGGTTGACTGCAAAGTCGGAGGAGACGCCTGCCCTTCTCCATTCCCCGCAAGGTCGTAGTGTATCTGTGGATCGATTCGTGATCAAGTCGTTTGCACCTGCTATGGCAACTCGATGTGGATCTCAATTGCTCTTGCCCAGAACACCAGCGTGCATCGTGCCCCAACCGTCGAACATGGGAAGTCGCGGGCTGTGAGATCGTTGCCCTACCCGTTCAGGAAACGACTGCGGGAACAACTCTGGGAAGGAACTTGTCGTCATCAACCCAGGACACTTGAGAGGACACATTCCCTTCGAGTTTCTTACCCCGTTCTCTTCATCTTCTCTCTTCATTTTTCCGTCTTGACACTCCACGCTCCACACTCAATACCACAACGACGGCGACATCCTGATTCTTTACTTCGCTTTTCTTGTCTTCTCCTCTACTTTCTCTTCGGGGCTGGTGCCATATCTCAGGCACTCACTGTACATCTGTTCCGCTGCTTCCCACCAGTACGCTCACCCTGCCGACCATCCATCCGCGCAGCAAGTTCCCCCTCAGCTGCCTCAAGGTCGATCAAAGGTAGGAACCCCCAAGAAACCTTTCCGTGGTGACACCTCTGGTGAGGCACCTGGTCGGGACAGAGCGGCGTTCGATTCGTACGGACCCTTGGGGGTGCTCTTGGGGGTCGGGTTTTTTTTTTCCTTTTTTCTCCGCATCCTACTCAGCCTTCCCAGCTGACAATAAAAACGGACCATGACAGATTCACGAGGCATCAACAGCAATTTCCTTGCAGGCGGTCAGTGTTTCCCTCTCCCTCATGACCAGCGACCTCCTCGGGTGGTATGTGGGCTGGTTCCGTGGACCGTGGAGCCTCACTGACGGGGCTGGGCGGCAGTGCGTCTGCACAGTTTGATGATAATTCGGGGGTGCTTTGTATGGGCGGTCGGACTTCGGGCATTAGCCGTAGATGACGTTCAGGAAGACGGATAATGAATCGCTGCTTTTTTGCCTTGACAACCCTGTCTTCCCTGCCTTTCCCTGTGAGTTGAAGCTCGATCAAATGAAGGCCCTCGTCCAGGTAGACCCCGTTCGTGAAGCCAGGGCCACCACTGTCGTCCTCGGCTGCGCTTCGAGCGGCTCTGTCAGCACGTATATTTCCCTCCACGCCCGAGTGGGAAGGGACCCAACGGAGCTCAATTGAGATCCCGATTCTGCTGAAGTATTGTGACCTTGTAATCAGCTTGCGTAGAACCGAGTTGAGTTCACAACGGAGCCACTCTTCGCTGAGCGTGCGTTGACGTAGCTCACTAACGCGGCTTAAGGCTTCCTGGCAGTCGGAAAATACAACCACCTTGGTGGTTTCTGCTGGTCTTGTCAAAGTCTGTGACAGAGCGACTGCCAGCCCCTCGGCAACAGCGGCCATCTCGGCGGTGAATGCGTCGGACTCGCGCGGCAAGGGAAAGACACGTTCCTGCCAGCTTTGGCCGTCGTCAGCTTGGAATACCACGGCAGCACCTGCGGATCCTTTTGCGTTCCGCTTCCCTCTTTTGTAAAGTGAAGAGCCGTCGACATAGAAAACAAGCTCCTTCTCTGTGCATTTGTTAGGTCTCGGTCGAGATTCCTCCGTCGCTGCAAGAATTGCATCGTCTCTGGACTGGATGATGACATCTCCTAGGAAGCGGAGCTCGGCAGTACAGCGCAACAGGGCACGTTCTCTGCGGGCGTTGGCCTTCCTGTTTGTCTCGGCGATGGTTGAGATGTGTTGTCGGACAGACGCGGCGACGGCCCTGTCGCTTCGCCTCGGACGGCGCTCCTTCTTTTTCCGAGCCCTGGCCGGTGAATTTAGTGGTGTCTGGGCGTCTCTTGGGGACTTAGCCATGGCAGCAGTGATATGTGGTAGTCAGTATTCCAAGGTTAGCTTGCGAATCTGGGATGAAGGAAGAGCTGAGAAGGGCGTTCTCTTCCATGGGCCCGTCCACGGCCATTGAGGTACCTGATTGGCAGTGGTGTGCTGCTATGAACTTCTTATGGAACGAAACAACCCAATTCTGGAATGTGCTAGTTGCCTCCGTTCCTTGGTAGTGTAGCGACCGTGACCCATTAGCTCGTCTTTGGTCACCGTTACTCAACCAAGCTGGACCCCAATCCTTAAACGACAGTCAATAAACCGTCCATCCTTTCCCAAGGTCGTTTATGCCGTGTGATTGCGTCTGGAATCCGGTTTGGGAAGAAACTCAATCATGGCTGAATGAACATCAAAGAAGTGGCTCACAACAGGAAATCCTGAACGTTTGGTGCCACGGCAGAAAGTGTTACAGTACGCTATATAGGTGATAGCCACGGTAATGCTCTCGGCATTATAACGTCCCTCTTTTGTCAGGGTGTCTGGCGCAATAGGCTTTCTAGTGCCGTGACAGAAAGATACCCCCGTCACAGCGCTACTTACAGTCTGTGGCTTGCCGCACCAATCTTTTTATGGAAATTATGAATGCAATAATTTGAGAAAAAAAAAAGGACATTTTATATGAAAATTCCGATATGCTATTCCATGGTTGGTCGATTCTCTTGAGGTAGTGTCTCTGCTATAGTGACTATACCAGGCCCCTCGCAAAATAGGACTTATTTAACAGAATCGCCTGTGGGATGTATCTCACCAAGCTGATTTGCTTTAAATACGAAATCCCACACAAAATTCTCAGAACGCCTTCTACAGAGATCACACCTGCTGCGCCGTCCCCCTCTTCTCTTGAGAACCTGTCTCGGAGCTTGTGTCCTGAAGCTTCTTCGCGACATTGTGGCTGAGGAACTTTTCCATATCCGGCACCAGGAACGCGCTCAGCAGCAAGATGACAGAGAACGGGATGGTCGTGTAAAACACGACCCTGAACGAGCTAGTGTACGCCGTCTTGAGCGCGCTGCCCACCGCAGCAATGATCTCGGGGCTGATGCCCGGGACCTCGGTGAAATCGCCGGCCGTGATGGCGGCAAAGAGGGATTCCACCGACGACTCCGGGAGACCAGCGCCCGTGGCAGCCGGCACGACGTACTTGGGCAGGTTCTTGTCCACCTCGTTTGCCAGGACGGACGAGTACAGGGCCGTTGCGATGGCGCCCCCCATGCTGCGTATGGATCCCAGGACGCCGGTTGCGAGGCCAATGTCTTGTGGCTCCCAGACGAGCGTGACGCCGGGTAAGGAGATGTTCTCGATGAAGCCGGCGGCTGCGAAACGTCAGTGTGAGGGGAGACTAAGGAGGACCAAGTGATATACGGCGGTCTGGAACTCACAGATGACAAGCAGTATCCCCAAGGCTATGGTTGCTGCCCATCGGTCCGGGGAGATAGTCGTTAGGGACGCCGAGAATGCAAGGGCCGTGGCTGCCGCGAAGATGCACTGCCACTTCACCTTGGGCACGTACGAGATGCAGAATCCCGCTATCGTCTGCCCGAGGAGCATGCCGCCCCCGACCACGGAGCTCTGCCAGCCAATTTGCATTGAGTCACTCGTGTAGATGGTGCCGATGATTGTCGGCCAGAGGACGGTGAGCGAGAAATATACCATGGACCCGATGGTTGCGACGGCGACAATGGCCGCGTAGCCGACGTTCCTGAACATTCTTGGGTGCATCAGGGGTTGTACCTTACAGAAGAACCCCTCTGTGCCAAGTCAGCGCGATACGTCGTAGCAGCTAGGTGAAGCACTGACCGTAGACAGCAAATGCGGCCAAATTTGCGACGCCGATGAGCAGTGTGCAGAGAACTTCGGCGCTCGCCCACGGGTATGCGGATCCTCCCCACGAAAGGCCAATCAGAAAGAGCACGCAGCCGGCGACATACAGAAACACTCCGAAATAGTCCAAGTCTTTGGTCATTTGCCATCTGGTCTTCCCGTGGACGTGGAGCTGGTCGTAGGACGGGGGACTGTAAAAGAACCAGTACAGCACCAGGCAAATGACGCCCAGGATATCTCCCATGTAGTAGCTCCACCGCCACCTCGAGACCGTGTTGTTGAAGAGGGACCGGGCAATGACCGGGCCAAAGACGGCAAAGGGGAGAGACGAGAGGAGGAGGACGGAGCAGACCGGCCCCCTCCACTTGTTCGGCACGAGCTCCCCCATGACGATGTTGAACGACAGCTGGCCGGCGGCCGCCACGCCGTTGCAGGTGTTTGCCACGATGAGCACCTCGACGCTCTGGGCACATGAACCAATGACGCAGCCGACCAGTCCGAGGACCGAGGTTCCGAGAACCATCCACTTGCGGCCGTAGAGGTCAGAGAGTCGGCCGACGAGGAGGAAGCCAATCGAGGAGCCCAGTGTATACATGGTAGCTACCCAGGTGATGTTAGGGGAGGGGCCCAGGTCTGCGTTGATGAGACTTCTGCGATGAGGGTTAGTATATTCACCGGATAGAAGCCAGCATCATAATACTGACAGCGTGTTTGAGGGCAGGACCCAGGCCACATAAGCGCAGATGCTGGCGAGACATTGAGCCTGGCTTCCCATTAGTCAGGGTCCAGGTCTCGATCGAGGTCCACTTCCTCACCGTCAGGGTGCCGAGAAACTGTGGGCTGCGGAAGTATCCTCGACGCATCATGGCATAGTCGCCGCCAACCGCCTTGATATCGATGTAGTCGACGGCCCCGTCCGCGTGGGTGACCTTGGTGACATTGCCATCTTGGAACTGGACGTCAGAGGTGACCTTGTTCTCGATTTCAGAATGACGTGGCTGCGGCTCCTTTGCCTCGATACCGTACTGGGTGTCTGACGCGGACATTGTTGCTGGCTGTGACGACGAAGATGGATGCTGAATTGTTTGTTATACAAGTCTGTGGAGGGGGAACTTGTCCGCTGCTCGCACCACAGGTCCGGGACGACGGGTGGCGAGCGTTACACAAGGAGGTCTCAGTAGCCCTCGACCAACTACTTCTTCTAATCTTGCGGGGGGTGGGGGGCGGCACATGCTACCCTGGGAGGTAACCGGAAGTGGCTCTTCTTATCCTATTCATACGACAGAAAGGCCATCCTCATAAGAAAGAGAGTAAGGCCATAAGACAAGAACTCAAACATGGATATGTATGATGATGAGGGGCCTGGGCTCCTGGGCGTTGTGAGACGTGTTCTATGTAGACTTCAGAGGCGGGCGATGCTTATCGTTCTCGCATTCTTCACTATGTGCACTTGCATGCAGGGAAGCCCAATAAGATCAGCAGTAGCAGACTGCCGGCATTCACATTCTGCTCCATTAGGCAATACACTACTGCACGTAACAATAATACCACTGTAAGGCTTACCTCAGCACTAAAGATCTCCGTTAAGCCCCCAGAAGATCGCCTCTGACAAAGGAAGGCCATGATCTTTACCCATCGAACTCATTTCCACCATCAAGACTGCATATTTCCACCAACCGCTATCTACACATGACCGAGGCCAGCTGCTGGACCCTCTGAGGCTGATTGAACATGAAGCTTCTTGTTTGAATAACAAAGTACGGTAACAGTGAATAAGGTCAGGATTGGAGAAAACAAACTGAATATGGAAAGCTAAAACATTGCAACTAGAAACTTGAGAAATTCCCAAAGAGTGTGGATGGGATAGGCAAGCCGATACCTGACGCCAGGGGAGGATAAATTTGCACAGTGCATATTCGACATTGCCATCATATTAATCCTATGCCGTCCCCGAAACTGTCATATAGCGACGATTTCAAAAGCCTTGGTATTACGTAGATATGACAGGCTTGTACAAAATCATCTGCAACTACCTTTAATGACGAGGATCAACTTTGGATGAATCAAGTGGTATGCTGAGCGCCACTTCGGCACCCGGGTCATTACAGCCAAACAATGCCAAACCTCAGGGTCAAATGGTCGTCAAGATGCATCGTGAAATAGCGAACGTCTAATTTTCATCTTGTATTGATCAAGTTTAGAGGAACCCAATCAGGCCTCTTTAATAGGTCCTTTAAAGTAATGTCTTGCCCGCAAAGCGTACCAAATCAAACTACCCAGGACGACAGTGCCGAAAACCAGAACACTCCAGTTCACAGTATCGAGGGTTGGGTGGTTTTGCTGAGGCCAAAATGACCAGAAAAGCAGGAAGAGGTTCCATACGCAAGCAAACCCATTATTGATGGTTCCAAAAGGCTCGCGAAGTCTCCAGGGCCCCCATTCGGGACCTCCATGAATGCCACCGGATCCCGGCTCGTATGGCCGGATCCCGCCAGTGCAGCGGCGCCATAGGAGTAGGGTGCATGACATGAGATATGTGGTGGAGGTGGCTGCCACGAAAAGTGAGACAATGGCCGCCAGCGCAACATCTGATGCCAGGACAATCAGAGACAGGATGACGGTAATGAACATGCTGGTGATGATCGTGTTTGTCGGTAGGTTGTTTCCCGTTATCTGACCAGTCAATTAGCCAACCGACGACCCGTTGCTCAGCGGGCCTGTTCTCTTACCCTCACTAAGTATCTGCTGCCGGGCATTCCCCTATCTCGAGCGAAGGACCACATGGAACGCGAAGCACAGGCGTACGTGCCCACAGTACTCATCACCTGCAGTACGAAGACAATACCCGCCATGAGGCAGGCGCCGGTTGTCGAGTTGACACCAGACTGGAAAATCTGCAGCCAAGGATAGAACATGGTTTTCTGGGCCGCTACCGCGGCGTCTAGATCTGTGATGCAGAACAGAAGGGCGACTATCGTGGCGAACGCCAGTGAACCGTTGATGTAAATGGTATACATCATCGACCGTGGCACTACGATGGCGGCTGCTTGTATCTCCTCCGCCATGTGTACGGCACAGTCGGCCCCTACGAGTGAAGCCGTGACGGGAGGGAGTCCTACGAGGAATGCTAACCCCATGTTAGGCCATCCTCCGTTGTTGTAAAAGGTGTTGAATACGAAGTCGGCACTGTTGTGAGGCGCGAGGTAGACTAATGGTGTCAGGACGCCGAAAAACCCTACGAGGTGGAGCACGAGGGTCACTGCTTCGAATCTTGCTATCAGGCGGCCCGTGGTCAGGTTGATCGAGGTGGCGAACAGCGCCCAACCCCACATGATCAGAATCGTATGCCATGCCATCGGCACATACGACGGTCGTGCGAGGACGATGATGCCTTGGAGAACTGTCGCGGATCCATAGGCACTGGCGATAGAGAGAGCTTGCCAATTGAGTGCTGTCATCCATGCTGCCATATAACTTAGGAAGCTGACGTATCGCTTAGGACAGAGCATGGCAATCCAATGGTCTGCAGAATAACACAATCAGCGAGGAATTTGGGCTGGAGTTCAAGCTTCACCTTACACTGTCCGCCGGCGGTAGGTGCCATTGATGACATCTCACCCAGGGTTGCTGTGACTGAAATTGTTCCGATCCAACCAATGATAAAGGACCAGACCACAGCCCCTGGGCCGCCTTCGAGAAGAGCGGGGACGGAAGTGTTGAGAATTGCCTCCCATGAGGAGAGCGCGGAGCAAGACAATCCAAGAATGGACATGAATCCAAAGCTGCGAGTGAGCAGTGGTCGTTTACCCAGTCGCCTCAGTGTGACATCGTCGTTGGCGAACCGAATCCCATGAGGCTTCGTGACAGTGCGCACGACGGTAGTAGTTTCGTCGGCGGTCTTGAGCTCAATGTCGCCGTGGCTGGAAGCCATAGTTCCGCGGTCGATGGCCTCGCCGTTAAGCATCGCACCGGGCGGCTCCATGGTATTTCGATTGCCCTTGAGACGTCGAGAACGGATGGGGAAATTCGTCTTGTAGCAGCGGCAAGTGAAGAAAGGGGATCACTAGCAGGTTGGTGAGACGTCGCTTGGGCCTCACGGCACGGAGGCTCGAAATGTGCACCAAATTATGTGCACTTCAAGAGTAGACTGGCCCAAGGAAGCAAAGGAAGGAAGGAAGGAAGGAAGGCTCTGGAGGTGCCCCCCTGGGCTGCAGCTGTAAGGCAGGAGGTGCTCATTGATAAGGAGGCGCGTGCAGGGGGGTGTGTGTGTGCACGGGCCCAACTGACCTGCCCACTGCCGAGCGCCAGCCTTGACTGTTGGCCTGGGAATATCGATGGCTCAAAAGTGGGAGAGACGGGGAAATTCGAGCGGAAGACAATCGAATCGGTGCTGGCTACACCATTCATGCATGTCAGACGGATTGAGGGGAGGGGGGCTCTCAGGTGGCGAGGATCTCTACCAGGCTCCCAGTTCACCGAGAACTCGGGTGCAGTAGCAGAGAAAGCTGCTCACTTGGGTAGGCCGTGAGTCGTGAGATACCAAACTTTAACCTGCATCCGGTGTCACTGCAGCTCCCAGCCTTGCTCCCGTGGGGCTTGCAGGGATGGTCTCTAAATAATTTGCCAGCTATCATGCACTCGTAGCTGGACAATGAAATCTTATGGCACGTTCTGCTACCCTGGGGTACTTTTGAATTAAGGAAGGTGCGATGTCTCGGACCCGATTGATTTGGGGAGTGGGGACCCCGGGCCGTACCGCAGGACGCCTAACCCCCTTTACCTCAAGGTGGGGAGGAAAGACGGCGATCCCTCTTGGAACACATTTGAGGTAAAGATTTCATTTGTGCAGGAAAATGAGGAGGTAGTCGAAAATGCGACAGTGCCCGTCACACTACATGTCCACGAAGCGGGCGCAGGGCATGCTGTCAGACAGCTGTCAGACGAGACGCGTCCTGCCGCAGGATGGTTTTGACCACTCATTTTCACGGACCCCGAAAATTGGTGATGCAGCATCAACCTGCAATTCACCGGCGCAAAAGGACCTGTATACCGCAAAGACTGGTATGGTGGTGCTAGGCCACCCGATTGGGCCCCCCAAACCTTGACAGAATTTGTGCCGCGACTCCAGGCCGAATACCATGGCCCCGATCAAACGCAATACGGTCGCAACCGAAAGCAAAATACACCGACGAGTCAGCAGCAAGGCTGGCTGGCACTGACCAGATATACTATTACTAACCGCCAGGAAAGTTTCAAAAACGCGTGTTTTCATCACCCCTACTAGACGCAACACCAGGGCAGGCAATTTTACTTTCGCATCTCCCCACGATTTCGTTCCGCTAGACTTATACATAGACGTCTCGCTGCCATGCCGTGCTCTGATCCGCATTCTCCCCGTGGAGCTTAGGTCCTCCTCGATTCTTGACAATGTCGCCCACTGCTGGAGTGTCCGATGGTGATCCTAGTGGCTCGGCATCGAATAGGATCACCATTACTGAATCCAACCTCAATCCTGTGTTACAGATATTAACATGGCTACTTCTTGCCTTCACCACGCTGGTGCTTTCTTTCCGGCTCTTCACAAATATCATCGTGAAAGGGAGAATGCCCGTTTCGCTGGAGGATCTGCTCTTTCTATCTGCATTCGTATGTTACGTGGCGTTTTCCCCCCTCTTCTCGACAATTAGAAGTCTGATCGTCTCGGCTTAGATTTTCTCGGTCGCTGAGTCTGTTACGGTGGTGATACCAGCAAGCAATGTTCTAGGGAAAGATATCAGCGAGATAAATAGAAGCGATCTAGTTGGGGGCCTGAAGGTATGGTATAATTGAAAACTTTCGCTATCATCTGTCCTATTTCAAGATGACTGACCTCTTCCGCGAAGGCTGAATATGCAAGAGATATTCTCTTCGTCCTATCTCTAGCCATGGCCAAGCTCTCCGCTTGCCAGAACATCTTTATCCTATCGCCAAATGACACGCCGAGACTCCTCGCGCGCATCATTGCTTGGATCACCGGATCATGGATGGTTGTCTGCGTTCTTGCAACAGCCTTCCAATGCGGCACCCAGGGGCCGTGGACGCAGGAAGACAGCCACTGTCTTAACCAGGTACTGTCATTCTAAGTCTAGAGCAGACGTGATACTCACACTTCTAGCATGCTCTATACACGTTTATGTGCGTCATGAGCATTATCACCGACGCGGCCATGGTAGCTTTGCCCATAAGGATAATATTTCCCCTGAACATGGGGTTGAAAGAGCGCTTACATGTAATATTATTCTATTGTGCTCGAATACTGTTAGTATCGCCCACAGACTTTGTAGGTTCTTTGTGCTGACACGGGAAAGAATTATCCCCGCAACGATTTGCCAAATCGTGTACATCCAGCGGCGTCCGGATCCTAACTACACGCTTCACGCGTTCCCTTATTCCATCTGCGTCCAGGTCGTCCAGTTCCTCAGCTTCTTCGCGGTGTGCGTTGTCTACTTCTGGCCCTTCATAAAATCTTTGCAAAGCGGCCTGGAACGATTCAGCGACGCCAACATGATTTCGGAGTATGTCCTGACGCATAGGTCCCGGTCGACCCGGGCGAAAAGGGCGTCCTTGTCGATACCGTCTAGCAATCAGAGGGGAAACAGATCAAATTATATCGAGCTCACGCCAAACAGCGCGGGAAGTGAAACGCAGCGAACGGGTGCGTCTAACACAGGTTCAGGTATTTCATAGAGTTGACCCAGACAGTGGGACATCGTTGATCCTGGTTTGATATTCGGCGACATCTAATCTGAATTAGTAAGGTAAATCAATAGTAAACAATGTATACAATTTAAAAGTGACAACTGGTATGACTTCTTGTAGGGAGAAGATGGTTAACTAATTGCATACCCAGGTAAATATAGCTGCTATTCAAACTTCTCGAGATACTTTGTCCGCGTCGACGGTGCCATTATTCAAGCTGCGTCTTGTCTTCCTAGGTTATGTCCAAATGGGCCCCTCAAGTCCGGCATCACTGGTTGTTCTTCGTCAGCCACTAAGCCGGGGTCGCGAAACACATCACGATGGTTTGCCTCGATGTGGTGCCTCAGCTCCGCCCTGGTCCCAAAGGAGAGCTTGCATATCCTGAGAGGACAGTCGAAGAGCGTGCAGTACGCGAACCTCTGCCATCTGTCCTGGTCCTCGAAGCGTGCCCTTCGCTTCTGCACAAGAAACTCGGCTGCCTCTCTGATCTCGCCGCTCTTGTGTTCCATGTACTTGCTGATGCCACTCTCCATCTTGGTAAAGGCCTCTCGCTTGCAGTTATCCAGTCCCAAGGCGCCGACTTCCTCCCCGCCATCCCACTTGAAGTACTTGAACCCTCGCCTTTCCGCGCGTTCTCTCATCCTTTTGGCTACGCCCATTGCGTTGATCGCCCCCTCTTTCACCACACGTCTGTATATCTTAATTAGGCGTTCGACTACTCTCTGTTCTTTTATGAGGGCTTTCCCGGTGCCCACAAGCCCTTTGGCCTTTTGTTTCAAGGTTGGCTCAGTTCCGGTTCCTAATGTGAGGATCAGGGCGATTGGCATTTGGTCTCGGGAATCGCAGCCAATACGCATAAGAACGTCTCTATAAACTTCTTCAGTAGGGTCATTGTAGCCGACACCGCCATCATAATACGTGTGGCCGCCAATCTTGATGGGCTCGAAGTAGTTTGGCGCCGCAGACGTTGCTCGGCCGGCTTCCCATATTAGACAAGTATCTGCTGGTCCCGGATTGTGGGGGTGGCGATCATTCTCAACCGTGGCATAAGAACGAAATAGATGCGGCCCGTCCAGCTTGTGATCCTTCTTGGCTAGTACGACACTAGACACATGTCAGCTATTATTCTCTACACCCCATGAATGGGTTTGTTTGTTTTGAAGTATGCAGAGAACGCACGTCTTGCAAAGATCCTCCGGACTCGCCAACTGAAGACATTCTTTGGCCTGTCCTTCCTCTGGCAAACGCTCAAGGACGATGTCCTCTATCACGTTTTGGAGGTTCGTGGCATCGTATCTGTCTCGGACGAGTCCTCCCAGCGCCATGAGCTTCTTGTTGCCAAATATGCTTTCAGCCATCTCAGGATATCTGTCAATGCACTCATCGGCACTCATGCGAAGGCGCCCAAGCATGAGAGCCGCGAGACTAGGGGTACGTCAGTCATCCAGGCCTGTAAAGCTCTTTTTGGCATCATTAGAGCAAACAGTGTTTTTGAGGGCAAGATAACTGACCCGCCCGTACTCGTACCACCGATGTAATCAAAATAGTGGCACGGTAGGTATTTGGACGTCTCAAGAAGGAGTTCTTGGCGAGTTTCCCTTCTTCGAGTAACTCTGCTCGTTCTGTCTGGTGGCTGAGTTGACCTCCTCGATATCGGCTCGAGTGCTGCACTTCTTGATACCAGTCTACTGTCTCCAACGCTTGGGCCGAAGCTGGAATGATGGGGCTCGAAGGCGTGCCCATCGTCCAGAGAGGCTTCACTACCGCTCTCGATCCGAGCGATTTCGTCCATTAGCCTTTGCAGCATGAGAAGACTGGCGTAGCCTCGAGTGCCTCCGCCATCTGGGCATGCGAGGTAGTCAGATCCACACGTGTCGATAATGTCTCTCAAAACCAGGGCAAGGAGAATGAAACAAAGCAACCGACCTAAAGCAAGCACGAGAATGTCTTTCCATGCGTCAATGGCAAAATTGTTATCTGCCATTCTGTTTCCTGGCTTTGAAGCAAAGCGATTCGAGAGGCAGCCGGGCACTGCAGATGAGGAGCAAATTGATCAGGAAACGAAATTTGCGAGTAGTCGCCGATTTCGAGGAGGGTGATGAAATTGTGCTGGTGGCATCAAAGAACCTCACTCTCTCCAAGTCAGGTATATGGTCATCGGTAGCCACGATCAGACCGCTGTTCTGCACCCCCTGCTGACAGGATAGCTTTCGTGTCGGACGAGCCTCCCATCAGTACGTTTGCCAAACCGCAGGGCCATGGCCGCCATTTTGCGCAGCAGTGCGAATCATCTTGAGAGTTCTTTGTTGAAGTTGGTGCAGCAGCTGGAATAATTACGATGTGCAACATCTCACTTTGCAGCCATCAGGAAATGATGGGAAGATATAGAAATATGTACGGAGTCTCTTCAAATATATTGATGTGGAGGGGTTTATGAAAGAGATCTGCCCAGCCGCATCAGCCGTGGCTTGCTCAAATATCCTGACACGACGAAATGCATCGCGGGTTCATCATTTCTCACTGACCGAAAATCAGCGTTTGTATGCTCAGGTGATTTGAACTTGCACATGATTGGAAGGCAACAGCGGCTGAAACTGAGACACTCGTCCTCACCGGTCTTTCGTTGTAGTGTTACAAGTCGTTTTCGTGAAAGAATGAACGTAGGCATCATTGGTTTCAGAAGCCGCAGTATGCCACACACGTTTGGTCCTTCTGGACACCAACCCTGGAGTTTTCGGAGCTGGCTCTTCAACGTCGACATCTCTCTATTCGCTGAATGTGTCACTCTCTTACAGCCCCGACGTCATGCTCCAAATTTGACCCTGAGGATTCCTTCACGCCTGAGCTATTTCAGACCCTTCCACTCCCGATCAGAATATGTCCCCTAATCCTTCAGAGCTCTCGCCAAATATCCTCTCCACGTCGGTCACTCCACTGAGAACATTGCAGTCCTGCTCGCTTATGCTGATCATTCCAGAATTGCTCTCTGGTTCGTACGATTCAGGAATCTGATTTTCAATAATGCCCGCAGAGTCGCGATCATGGGTCGAGGCTGTAGACGTTGATCGACTTCGTGACGAACCCGAGAAACTACGCCGAGTGGTGGAGGACCTGAAGCGTGAACTCTTGCAGAGCTACAATGAACTTGACGCAGTACGCAAGGCGCAACGTGTTGCAAAGTCAACAGACCCTCCGCCTACCTCAGACTCAGCGTCACGTTGGCCGGGTCGTTCATGGGTCCCAGCCGAGACGAGTTACCCAAGCGATGATGTTGGCAGAATGTCATGCCTTCATGAGACACACGTCGAAGTACTTGTGTACGATTGTAAGGCCAAGAGGGTGGAAGTACTTACGGGCTTGAGAGAACTCTACAGTTAGTCGACTGCCATTATAATAGGCTAAACAACTGACATCTATCACAGGCAAGAAAGCGCTCTTCGCAAAACTCCCTTCCAGACTTGCTGGAGAATTGAGAGTGTGCATCGAGCAGATTCCTCCGACAGCAGCGAGGAGCACACCGAGATATCGAATTACGGAGAAGCAGGTCCCCAAAGACATGGCCATCCGTCATTCAGTTAGTCTGAGCGATGTCTCATCATTGACTAGGTGCAAGATTCTGCTGGGTCGTATCAAATGGATCTTCATTCTGAACGCTGGAGCGCTCTCAGACTCAACTGATGAGAGCTGGGGTAAGGGTAAAACCATGGTGTGACTCAATCCACCGTCAATGTATTCAGCCTTTTTCATAGTCGAGACATTTTCTTTTCGGGAGGCTTGGTATTCCTGTTTTTGCAGCGATCTGCTATGATACATCCTGACATTTAGGTCAGCGGCGAGGGCATTCTGATGATCCGGAGTCATTTCAGGCACCAAATTGGAGACCCATCAATTACAGTATGGTTGAGAAATATATTGCTTTGAAGATTTGCATATTCATCTCAGCCTAAACGATGGATGGAGTGGAGTTGGGAAGTGTGTTTTGGTATTACTCTCTACTCAACATCGCCCTGAGACAGTAAATTGTGCTCAATCTGAGCTCCCATCTGCATTTGGACTGTCAAAAAGTCTGATTTTATTTCGCAAGATAGATACATAGAAAGAACACACGACAGCCAGGCGATATCCCTATAGCCTTGCCTTTCCGCGGAAGTCAATCCAAGCACTATGTGGTTGAGTGCTTTTGCTGGGAAGCACCTCGTTGATAACGCTCTGAAGTTGCAGTACGGCCTCATCGCAAATCTGGTGATGGAACATTATTCTCTTGCCATCTAGACAAATGCCACGTCTTTTGCCCGCCGCATTCCATTCCTTCTCCTCGATCCCCAACGCTTTGAGGTCTACCCAGACCACATTCGTCTCAACACTTCGGAGTAGACGCCCACCCCCTTCGGTCCAAAGCTGTCCAATCGACCTGGCAATTTCGTTACTTCTCGCCAGTGTGCCAACAGAATCAACTCCACTGAGTCCGAAGTTCTCGACGACTGCCTGGCGGGCCGCAGCGGCTAGCACACCAGCCTGCCGCATCCCGCCGCCTAGGCCTTTGCGTGTTCGTTTCAGTCTTTGGATCGCATTTGTGGTCCCGAGAACCATGGCTCCCATCGGCGCGCCGAGGTTCTTGCTGAAGTCGAGCGTGACTAGATCGGCACATTGCGCAAAGCCACGCAGCGAGGTCCCGCTGGCACAGACGGCATCGAACAGCCGTGCACCGTCCATATGGATCGAGACTTGGTTTCTCCTCGCCCCTTTAGTGTCTGCGGTCAGTAGCTGAATGCCGTGATACAGATTCAAATCATGTCAAGGGCGTCTCCACGTCTGGTCCGGCCTGATGAAAAAATTTTGTAAAATTAAATTGGCTTCCAAAAATTCGAAACCCGGAAGAACTCACAGCTATGAAGACGTTGCAGCTCCGCGAGTGGGATAATTGTTCCCGAGTTTGTGTTCTCGATGCTGATCACGCGCGTTGGCGCCTTGTGCACATCGTAGGCTAGCACGGCGTGCTTCTCCGCGTCCATCGCCGTCAAGTACCTGCCATTCAGCGGGCGAATGGCCTGGACCATAGCTCCATTGATAAATGCCGCGCCACCCGCCTCCCAGTGGACGATGTCTGCACGATTAACCCGTCAGATGTTGAGCAAGACCAGACGCTTATTTTCATTCTATCACAATCAAGCATCGTCCTGAGGGGACCAGTTGGTACGGCTGCTGCCACTTACGAGACTGAGCGTCCGTCATGATGGCATATGGAGGTGCCTCGTTCAGGAGAGTGCGCAACGCGAGCTGATTGGCCATGGTGCCGGTGATCACGAAGGCGGCCGCCTCCTTACCGCAAATGGCAGCCATCTCACGCTCGAAAGCGGAGGTGGTTTGGTCCTCTCCGTAAACATCATCATTCAGAGTGGTTCGTCTGATAGCATCGAGCATGCCGACGGAGGGTGTAGTTATCACATCACCTGTGAGGTTGGTCAAATTTGGTCGTCCCAGCCACCCCTCTCCTTCTCAACCTCCCTGATCGTGCTTGTTTCTCGGATACAACGTCAAGGGTGTGGTATTCTTGATAAGAAGCTTGACCACTTACTTCTGAAATCATAGGCGGCGCCTGTTAGCTCAGGTTGACCCCAAAATCCGGATGAGGTGCTGTTATCTTTTACCATGTTGATTCTCACCGCGACGGCCTGCAACAGACACGGACTGATGCGCCGACCCAAAGTGTTTCGATGTCGAGAAATCAAGCCGAGCAAACCAATCGGGTAGGACTGAAGAGTGGAGGTATACCTAAGATATTTATCAGAGCTTTACGGCCGATGATATCCAGCACTTGCCCAAAAGAGACGCTGCTCAAGCCGGTCAGCTGAATACGCTGAAGCTAGCCGTCTTCGTTTTGAGACCTGCATACACGCCATCTGCTACCAATCACACTTCTGTACAATCCGTATGTGACTACTGTGACATACAATTAGGTAGAGCCTTGGCTCAAGCATGAGCGTAATTCGCAATTCCGGCTGGCCCAGGAACATCAATCGCCCTGGGCCCAGCTGTGAAGGAACCCGAAGCCACAAAACCAAGCATGCCGTGGCAGATCTCAAGCGGTCAGGCGGAATATTTTTCTGAGCACAACACGAAGCACGCTTCCCATGAGGCCCACCCGCCTGTGTTCAGCCGGAAGCTCCGGCGTTTCTACCGGGGTATCGAATCTGACAAGAGACCAGGCATTTTCGCAGGTTTCGCGGGAGTCAGCTTTTGTGCTAGGATACGCAGGACCCAACAGGCTATGAATGCAAGATGTAATTTCAAATCGAATGTGTCACAGAAGCAAACGGACTCGAAGACAAAGTCTTCGTTGGGATGGCATACGCAAATATCCGAATGCCAACATCCCACGGATCACAAAGATGGAGTTGCCAAAAACTTCGGCTCGAAGTTCCAACACGCTTCCAGTCTTCTTCCTTCCCGCGTTCCAGTAGCTCCAGTAGTGAGGACATCCCATGCCCCACTGCCACCGTAGTGGAGGTTGACGCACAGTTCAGCTGAATGTCACGGGCCAGTAATCAAGGCTTCATCAGACTTCTCGAAGCAGCTCGAACTCCGGATCGACACCACGAAGGATTCACGCAGCTGTAGTCCTACTAATGAAGGGTGCAGCGGAGCTGCGGAAGCCAACCAGTCCGTTCCAGCTCGTCGTTCCCTGTGTGGTGTTTGATACTAGATGTGCATTGCACTTTTTCGCGTGAGAATGTTGTGCCACCACTGATTCCGATTGGATCCTCGTGGCCAGGATTGCGTTCCTTCCCCTTGTGACAGGCCTAGTACTGTGTGAACTCAGTACACCCTTCTCGCATATGCGGATTGCATGCCAAGCTGGGAGTCCGAACTGTTCGTGCTTCTTTCGGATTCTTCGGTATACCCGTGAATGGACACGGAGGACCATGAAATTATGAAATTGCGAGAACAGGTACGTGTTTGAAATTTCGTCACATGTACCCCAGACGAGTTAGTGACTTAATAAGGCCCAGCGGTGTACAGGATGGATGTCAGCACGAACTCGTTCGCCACTCTGGTGTAAGTCCTGCCGTCGGACTAGGTAAGTGCCGAACTAGGCTCGGAGTCTGGACCTTTAGCAAGGTTTATGTGGACAAATAAGAGCAGGCAATTCGGTAGTGCCCGGTGCCAAAATATTACTGTAAATATCATCCCTCGCAAAGCATTATTGAACTGCATATGTGGACCAATCCAATGACCCTAAATCCATGAGAGATGGTCGCATTGCTGAGAAGGGACACTGCAGGACGACGATCAGATCAAACACACTTGCAGACCTCGGCGAGCCAGCCGAGTTTGGGTCTGCCAATGGAGCCAGGCAGCGATGAGTTGTGTAGTCCAGTACATCTGTCTATTTGAATCAGATAAGCATATATGCCCCTGAGTGACTGATTTTGACTGTCAGGCCTGTATGAATACAAATTCATTACTTGTGAGGAACCCAATGTTACGCTAGGGATACCTAGGTAGTCCCGCTTCCTGCCGTCCTGCCAACAGCACCATGGTTGCTAAACTGGATGTCCCTGGCAGCATTCCCATTGTTGTCAGTGCAGCCACAGTCCTTGACGATGGTGCAATTCTTGCTCCTTATGGACTCGAGAGAGACTCCGGCGGGGTCATCAGTTGGGCTCCATGTAGTCCATTCCACCCTCGATACTGGCCAGTTGGTCGAAAGGTCTATGATACGGCCCTGATCATTCTGCTGGAGCTTTACACGTGAGTTCCTTGGACTTCACGTGATCAACTCTCCTGATTTCCATACTGACCACGACATGTATCAGGACTGTCATCAGTACCACTGGAGTAAGTCCAACCCACTGTGATGTTTCTTGAGATCCCACCCAGTGGTTACTGTGCAGCGAGTTATGTTGCAATAGATCCCGTCATTGACCGACCTAGGCAGCGGTTGCTGATGTTGCGGGACCAGAGTATGGCATGAGTAGGATCACAGCACTGGTTGCTTTCACCTTCATGTGAGTGCCATCGATTTCTAGCGCCTTGCCCTCCTGATGCCACCACGATCAAGAATTTCGTCGTGCTGGCCATATTACCTGGCATCACTCGATCTCTGAGCGCCTCTCCATAGGTACCAGCTGGGTCAGGCATTAGGAGGCTACCTCATCCCTCCCCTGTCTGAACTTGCGGGCCGGAGATACCCATATCTCGTCTCGTCGGCCGTCTTCAGCATCTTCTGCGCGGTAATACCACTCGGGAGCACATCGACGCCCGCGGCCATCTTTGTCGGCCGCTTGCTCACCGGTATCGCGTCCGCCGTGCCCTCAGTTGTCATCGCAGGTAGTGTCGAGGATCTGTTCGATACCCGCGCCCGCGTGTGGGTGGTCGTGCTCTGGAATGCGGCAACCACGATTGCTCTCTGCATCGGACCTATTTATGCATCGTACATCATCGCCTCTCCGGCTGGTTGGAGATGGGTTTACTACAGCGCCTCCATCGTTACCGGTGTGCTGACCGTGGCGCTCCTGGGAGTGAGGGAAAGCCGGCCTAGTGTCTTGCTTGGCCGCAGGGTGGCTAAGCTTGCACGGGAGCAGAGCGACAGCATTGACGATTTCAGATGGAAAAATGCTGACCCAAGGTCCGGGGGCTGGAAGACGTTCGCAAACATAGTGGTTGTCAGGCCGGCGTACATTCTTCTCACGGAGCCGCTTGTGATCCTCATTGCCTTCATCTCGGGCATCTCGTGGGGTATGATTTACCTCTTCACAGAGTCCACGAGAGGGATCTACCAGTCCATGGGCTTCAACAAGAAAACGGCCTCGCTGCCGTTCGTGGCGCTTGCGTGCGGGGTATGCTTGACGTTCCTCCCTCGTCTCTGGGACATGAAAGTTGTCTCTCGTCGTCATGCTGCCAAAGAGCCAGTCGAGCCGTAAGTCCACGCCACACTTCACAAACGCACCGTCAAACTGCATGCAAGAAGGAGCTAAATGGAATCTAACTTCCCACAGCGAAGACAAAATCATGGGCTTTGCCTTCGCGGCCCCGGCCCTGACCATCGGCCTCTTCTGGTTCGCATGGACAGTCCCGCCAGCAGCGCCGGGCCTGCCCTGGATCGTCCCCACGCTCGCGCTGGTCCCCATCGGCTTCGCCGTCAACGAGATTGCCTACACGCTCAGCGGCTTCCTGGCCGACTCGTATCTGCTGTACAGCGCCTCGGCATTCTCCGGCCTCGCCTTCGTCAGGGCAATCGCCTCCGGCCTCATGACGCTCCTGGCGCAGCCGATGTACGGCAACCTCAGCGCCAACACCGCGGGCTCCATCTTGGCGGGCGTGTCGGTCTTATTTTGCGTCACGCCGTGGGTCTTCTTCCGGTACAGCAAGAAGTTGAGGCTGGCGAGCCCGTTTGCGCGGTATAGCGTGGAGATGGACCGGACGACGCAGGCCCCTGAGGAAGTGTGATCGGCGGAGCATATTGTCGGGGCAAGTAAACGACAGTTCGTTCCATGAAAGCCACAGCATATAAAGGAGTTTTCTTGTACCAGCGCTCCAGGAGACTGCTTGTCTCACTCTGGATCCGATGATGTCCAAAAACAACAAAAACATGGGGAAAACGATGTATCATATGGGCCACAGGTGAAGGGAGGTCAACATGCTGTGCTCCATGGGCGCTTGTTACTTGAATGGGAGTTCGGTGATGTCCAGTCCCGGGAGACGCTTGCTCACTTACCTGGCATCTTTCACTGCGTGAACATATTCCGTGATAAGCCGCCTAGCCTAACTGAGAATCAAGATGAGTTTGGATAGATTGTTCGAGTCTCATGTTTTTCATTTATTTTCTTGAGGTGCCTGAGTCACACTCGCCATACACGAAAGCTTGAGGTCGCCCATGCTCTCCCAAGCTAAGTCAGGCCCCGATTCCGTAGAGCCAGAGGTATGAGGTTCACGAGAATGATGAACAGCGTCACCTTGGGGGAATTTTGGGGTGCTTATTTTACCAAAGGGAATATTGCCATGAAGCTCAGGTAGGTTTGTCTGCCGTGACAAGCAAGTCCAGACGGTAAACTCAAGCAGGGGTTGGGGTCTAGAGCTGATCCTCGCAGGAGGTGGGGCAGCTGTTGCCTCTGCTGCTTGTGATTGGACTGAACTGGACAGGGCGTCATAAGGAAGTCGCGCCGCACCCATTGAGTGAGACGCGCTTTCTGAACGCGCCTCTACCACCGAAACCGAGGCCTTTCTCAACCCAGCTCACTGTCCTAACTTTCACGGCCCGTCGTTCGGAGTGGGTTTTCTGTACTTCTTCATAGACTGTCTGCGTACAAGCGTGGACTTGGAGTCTCTTCCCTCACTTTTATGTGATCTGATCTTTTAACTGCACCCCGATCTCTGCGTCCGTCAGCAACCAGTCCCCAGCATGCTCTCGCTTTGCTGCTTATCCTAGGCGCATGCAATGCTGCAGCACGGCTCGGTGCGCACTGGAACTCTTCTGTCACACATGTCTTGACGCTGACGATCCAAGGTGATCGTTTCAACTCTACAGATTCGATGGGCTCTGTCGCCGTCGAAGCCATGGCAAGCAGCACACTTGCCGCAGAGCCCAAAAAGCTCCACCCCTTCTTCACCGCGCCCAGAGCTCTGCAGCAAGATGCGACTGCCACGGACCCAGATCCAGCCTCTGCCCCCACCAACTCTGCCAATTCTCGCGAAGCGAACGATTCCCTCGAAAAGGACAGCGACACAGAATCCCCAGAGAGCAAGACCCGTCAACGCAAACGCCGCAAGCCCGCAGAGGACGCTGACGAGGATGGGGCGGACAACAAGAAACCTCGGCGTGGCAGGAAGAAGGCCAACCCCCAGAGCGCATCCATAATGAACCATTTCTCCCGAATAGACGGCGAGGACCACGCGACCACGTCCAACCAAACCGCTACGCCCAAGAACGACACCCCTTCACCCACGAACGCGACCAACCCACCAAACGAACCCCCTTCAAGTGCCGTGAGCGACGCAGTCACGAGACAGGCGAGACCGGATACAGAGTCCAAAGGAAATGAGCTCAGTATTCTGCCGAAGAAAGTCTTGCGATTCAATCCCGCTACGGGCACCCTTGGATCACCGCCAAAACCCAAGGAACCAAAGCTAGCCACACAGCAGGAACAAAGTGAAAGGGCAGTTGAAGAGAAGAAGGGCTCAACACCAAGGGGCAGCAGACGCTCAACCAGAATTGTCAAAGTCAGCTATGGGACCGATGACGAGTCTAGGAAGCAGATTGGTACCAAAATTGACGAAATCCTGAGCAGTGCGGTCTCTCCCACCCCAAAGCTGAAGAAACGAACAGTCCTTAGGGAAGCGAAGCGAGTGTCGCGGGCCAGTACAGAGGCAAAGAGCGAGTCCTCCCAGAAAGAGACACACCCATTTTTCTCAGGAAAGACCCAGAAGGCGGCAACAACTTCCGGGGCAACAACTAATACTGGGGCGGTGACGGAAACGAAACCTCCGCCCTCACCAAAGCGCCCAAGAATCTTCTCTTCTACGCCTTGCTCCCCAAAGAAGCAACGAGCTCCAGGACCTAGCAAGCCGCTGCCCCAATTCGGTGTCAGGTCTTTGGGTCTGAAGACTCCAGGAGCACGCGCGCCAGCATGGCCTTGGAAAGACATGCTTCATGTTAGGGGAGACGATTCCGCCTTCAGTCGCCATGATCGGGCCTTTTCTTCTGGGCCGTTACCTGCTCGGAAGTCCAAAGGCAATACAATTCACATTCCTCCGCATGAGATGGCACTGGAAAACTTCGCAGCTAGGCTCTGCATTCCTGAAATCATCGATGATATAAAGAATATCGACACAGAAAGCTTCCTCCCGCCGCCACGCGAACTTCGACTTCCACAGAAACACTTCGAAAGCGGACTCAAGCTTCAGAAGCGCATTCTGCCCGAGCTGAAGAACGTCAAACACGACGCCCTGGCAGGACTTCGCGCATCACTGGCTACATCCCTTTCAGCCTTTGACAAATACCAGTGTGAGTCGATGAGTTGGGCCCAGAAATATGCACCCAAAGCTGCCGTTGAAGTTTTGCAGCATGGGAGGGAGGTCTTGTTGTTGCGGGAATGGTTAGAGGCCCTCAAAGTCCAAGCAGTAGACACTGGAGATCTGAAATCAAAGCCGGCGAAAAGCGGACCGCCCAAAAAGAAACGGAAGAAGAACAAGTCCGACGGTTTCATTGTTGACAGCGACGAGGAAGCGAACGAAATGGACGAAGTCTCCGACCCCGAAGAGGAAGACTGGTCTCCCGATAGACGGGGAGCCAAGAGGACAGTGATTCGCGCCGGTGATGCCCAAGCGAAAGATTCCAAGGGCGCATCGCGTTTGACGAACACGGTCGTCATCAGCGGCCCACATGGTTGTGGCAAGACAGCTGCGGTGTATGCGATCGCAAAGGAGCTGGACTTTGAAGTTTTCGAGATCAACCCAGGCAGCCGCAGAAGCGGCAAAGACGTTCTGGACAAGATCGGAGACATGACCCGGAACCACTTAGTCCAGCATCAGCAGACCGAAGCTGCAGGTGGATCCATTATCAACGATGAAGAAGTCGCGGAAGACATCAAGTCAGGGAAACAAGCTACGATGGCTTCGTTCTTCAAGCCAAAACAGGCTCCAAAACAACCTCCAAAAATCAAGAAGCCAGCGCCAAAGGTAGAGGCCGAGAAGCCGGAAGCCAAGAAATCGCCTCCCAAGAACCAGAAACAGTCGCTGATCCTCCTGGATGAGATCGACGTTTTGTACGAGGAGGACAAGAATTTCTGGAGCACTGTAATCGGACTCATTGCACAGTCGAAGCGGCCTTTCATTTTGACCTGCAATGACGAAAAGCTTGTCCCATTCCAGACCCTGAGTCTACATGGAATCTTCCGCTTCAGCGAACCACCAACAGATTTGGCTGTCGACCGGTTGCTCATGATAGCCGCCTGCGAAGGTCATGCTTTGCGACGGAGTGCCGTCTCGGCCTTGTTTGAGGCCCGCCAACAGGATCTGCGTGCTTGCTTGACAGAGCTGAACTATTGGTGTCAGATCGCTGTGGGCGACCGACGCAGTGGAGTCGATTGGTATTATCCACGCTACCCACAAGGCTGTGATATTGATGAGGAAGGAAACGTGATTCGAGTTGTTAGCCAGGATACGTATCTCGAGGGCATGGGCTGGCTCGCGCATGACGTCCTGGCTGAGATGGGCCACGCGGCATCGGTCGAAGATGAGCTGCTGCAGGAAGCATGGAACAACTGGCAGATGGACGTGGGCGACTGGCAAGATACACTGGATATGTCGTCTTGGGCCTCGCAGCTGGGAACACCAGCCCAGGGCGAGCGGTTTGCTGCGCTGGCAAGATACGATGATTTCGCCGATGCAATGAGCTTGGCGGACCTGAGTTCTTCTGCCATGGTCCTTGCCGAATCACACGATGAAGTAATCGACTGTGCACTCCCTGAAATCACGACAAAGGCCCGCGAAGACTACATACTTGGCCGTCAACTCCTCGACGCGCCCATTCTGGCGACATACGACCCCCTCGAAACTACACTACCGATAAGCTTGAAAATTCTAGCGCGCAGAAACCTGAGCGCGAGCTATTCATCATCCGGACTCGAAGCACTCGACGAGGCCAGCCTCACCTCCCAAATACGGCGGCATATGTCCCAAGCCGCTACGGCAGAAGTCCTCACGCGCGACGACCTCAGCCTCGCGTTTGACACTCTGGCCGCATCCGACAAGGGTAGTAACTCGTCGACCTCCCTTGAGGCTTCCGTCTTTGATAACACACTGGCGCCCATCGTGGAGGACGTGGCGCCGTACGTGCGCGGGATCGTGGCGTACGACAACGAGCTTCAGAAGCAGCGCCTCAAGATGAGCAACCTGCTCAGCAAGGGCGGCACCAAGAGGATGCGCAACACGCGGGCCTCGCACGCGGCGCTCGAGGGCGGCTCCAGGACGCACACGCGCCCGGAGCGGTGGTTCAAGGCGGACCTTAACGGAGTGCTCGTGATGAGGACGGCGGGCGAGGGGTGGACTGATGCTCTAAGGGAGGTCATGGCGGAGGGCAGCGAAGCGGGAGAATCGACGGCCAGCCGGGCCAAGGAGAGAGGACGAAAGGTCGTCCTTGACGATGATGAGTCGAGTGACGAGCTTGGGGGAAGTCCTGGCGGCGTCTCCAATCCGAGTGCCCTGGGTTGAGGCCTGATTGCTCGAAGTGGTTGACAACATCTTTCGACTTCGACGAGAACGGAGGAAAATATTGGGACTGGCATACGAGCGATGCAACTGGCGCACTTCCATGCGAGTCGCGCCCCGGACTCTGTCTGGGGCCCGTAAAGAGTTGGCCAGCGATGCACGATTCGCATCGGAATATTCGCTCTGGAGAGGTCGGGCTGGCCAGCACGAGCTTACGGAGGCTGGTCTGCCGGGCTGCATTCGACGAGCTGGGCAATGGGGGCGTTTGCTGCATTGCTATTTGGCCAGCATGGGGGGCATATTATCGCATCACAAGAGGGCAACTCTGAAATTTTTGGTAGATGCAGGTGAACATTTAGATGTTTGCTTGCCAGGGCGGGGGTTGAACATAAATCAGAATCCAAGAATTTCTAGAAAGCAGAAAAAGGCCGCTCCGTGTGTTGTTTTGTTTTGCCTTGAAACGCCGACACGCTTGAATCCCCCACATATCTCCAGCCCAGCAGTACAGAATCGCTTTGCCACCACTGTGGTATGTTCATATTTTTTCCAGGTATCGTGTTTGTCCATTCATCGTCACGTACCCCCATAATCCCATCAAAATAAACGCGAAAGGTCAAACCTCCCAGGGAAGAGATTCGTTCACCGGTAGATCCGCCCATCCTTCTCGACAGTCAGCCTCCTCCCCGGCGGCGCCGCCCTGTTGACTACATATTCGGTCTCGCCGCGGGATGGGATCACAATCATGTCCCGGTCGACGTAGTACCGCTCCCGCCCAACATCCACCGGGTCCCGCGGCGCCCTGACCCCGCCCGTCGAGACTATCACGGGCGCCGCGGCGTCGGTCCTCGAGTAGCTGACCACGGACGGCGGTGCCGGCGCCGGCGGGGGCGGGGGAGGCGGCGCGTTGGACGTGTACTGCTGCTCGACGCGGCGCATCGTCGCCGGGTAAGTCTGGGGTGGTGGCGGTGGCGGTGGTTGTTGTTGTTGTTGTGGGACGCCCTCGGCGTAGCGGTCGCGCCACTCGCGCGGGTCGTAGTCGTCGTAGCGATCACGGTCCCGGTCCCGGTCGCGGGGTCCAGGGCCAGGGCCAGGGCCGGGCGGCGGCGGTGGAGTGGCGGCGCGTCGTCCTCGTCCCTCCTTCTCCTCCTCCGGTCCTCCTGGTATGCTGCTCCTGCTGCTGCGGCGGCTGGCAGGGCGAGACGTCGTGGGTCGCTGCGGTCTTTCGCTAGGTTGGGCCGGCCGTAGCGTTCCCTTTCTTCGAGGTAGCGCTCGCGGCGCTCACGGCTCCGGTCGCGGTCGTTGTCCCTGTCGCGTCCTCCCCTGCCACCCGAGCCGCCACCTCGCCCTCCGTCCCGCCTCTCGTCGTCCCTAGCACCGCTCCCACTTCCACTCCCGCTGCCGTTCCCATTCCCACCCCGCTCGTCCCTCCTCGGCTCCCCCGTAATAGCAGCCTTGACGTCCTTGGCCTTATCCTTGACCTTCTCCTTCTTCCCCTTCTCCTTGTCCTCGTGCTCCCAGTCCTCCTTGTCGCCGTACGTGACGCCCTTGGGCCAGAACTTGTGCGCGGCGAGGGTGGCGGCCCCGATGGCGCCCAGCATGACCAGCGACGTCTTGGCGATGTTCTCGGCCTTCTCGGACTTGGTGCTCGCCGACGTGTCGAGGATGTGCGACAGCGGGCCTCCCCCGCCTCCCCCTCCCCGGCGCCGCGACGACGTGGTGGTGCTGGCGTCCGTGCGGCGGGAGCGCGTCGACCGCGTGGGCGAGCGGGAGTATGACCTGGACCTGGACCGGGACCGGGATGAGTACGAGGTGGTGCTGTATACCGTCTGAGTAGGTGCTCCGGCTGCGCGAGTACGACGAGCGCGCCCTGGAGGGTGTCCTGCCCCGCGAGGGCGAGCGGGACGGGGACGGGGTGCGGGAGGGAGAGCGGTAGCGAGGCATGTTGGGCTGGGGATGATTGAAACTGGAGAAAGAACGGAATTGAGGGGATCGTCAGAAACGGTCCAAGAAGCGGTGTGCTGGTCCCGCCGTCCGGGGATGAGATGTGTCTCAGCCTTATGAGAAGGTGGACTCTAGCTGAAGCAATCCGGATGGGGGAATAGAAGACCCGGGAGGGGTCATGACATGGCTGACAAGAGACAAAGCACGTAAGGGGGCCTGAAGCAGGGAGGGAGAAAATGGAAAAAAGCAAAAGTTGGAAAGATAAGTGCGAGATAGGTAGGTGGCAGTCGGTAGACAGATTGGGGGTTGTTGGAAACACCAGCTGTTTTGCTGCTGGCCCGGCCCAATGCTGCAAGGCACTCCCTGCGACGCGACAGGCCGTCGAGGCAAGCTTTCCCTAGCTGCCGTCCTGCCGAGACAAATTCGTGCGCGGCGGGCCGTGGCGATGGACAGACAGACAGCAGGCACGCACGTCGAATCAATCAGGACCCAACCTTGGGACGGTCAGACAAGAGGTGGAGAACAGAAAGCTTGTGGCCAGAAGAATGAGGGGGACAAAATGGAAAAAAGGCTGATGATGATGACATCGGGACATGAAGATGGCCAACCTACCTTGAGCTGCCTCTCACCTGTGGCCGTTGTGGAATAACAAGCCAACAACAGCCACGCCACACCTCATTTTACTCTCTTTCAGTCTCCTTGAATCCTGCGGAAAGTGGCTTAATGCGGTGCGGTGCGGTGCGGTGAGTGGTGAGTGGTGAGATGGGATCGGCCTGGGCTTGAAACGAAACAGGGATGTGGGATGACGACGGCCATGAGGTCACCTCCCCCAGCCAAAGCCCAGCTCTTGCTCCAAAGATCTGGGGCCGGCGGGCCGAATACTGGACCGACAGGGGGGCTAGGTGTCTCTTGTCTCTCGACTTGGACGACATCTAACCCAGCACACCTCTCTGTCATGCAGATATACTCTAATCATTTCAAGCAAAGAATACATCAACGTCTCAGTGGACAGCCTCGGACCGTCCAGAAATAAATATGACGCAGATCCCTCATGCACAATTCCGAAAGCCTCGGGAACTTATGCTGCGGCCACCACACACACCACCCCTGAGGATCCTGCAGCCACTCAGCTGCACAACAAGCCCAGACAACCCATCGGAGGCCGCAGCTGACCAGGCCAGCCCGTCAGCGCCAGTCCAGCCAGGCCCTGCTCAGCTGCAGCACACAAGCATTTGCTGCAGTACTTGGCACCCAGACTTTCTACCGCCTGCTGAGATGGCCGTAGCTTCTGTCTGGCATGTCGAGTAACACGCCCTGCACAACATGTGGCTGACAGAACAGAGGCATGGAATTGTAAACGATATACTTCCATCCCTTTGATCCCAGACACGGCCGAAGATCGTATTTTATAGAATGATTTGGGCCCAGTAGTCGGACTCTGACATAGCCATTTAGTGGCACAGCAATTAGAAGATCCTTGGAAAAGGTTGCTTGGATTCCCGAGGTTACGCAGGCAAATTCAAGCACATGGCTATTTGCTTGCCCGCGCCCCAGACTGATTCCAGCCGGCAGGGGCATGCTTATGTTAATTATTGCCAAGTTTGGTTGAGACATTGGTGATATACAAGATGAAAACCACACTCTCCAACATTGCATCAAACTTTGCCCATGTCTAAGCCTCCGCCGACGACACAGCTGCACTTTTCCATTGATATTTCTGCCACTGGAAAGGTCCGAAACTTCTGTTATGGGTCAAGATTCCTGGGCGCAAGAGCAGGCCAAGCGCTTCTTTGAGGACCGCATATCGCCGTCACAGGTGCAACGTGACAAACTTGCGCTGTCCATATCTGGCCCGGCAAGGGTAAGCCCCGTGGACAATCCAGGCTCATTGAGCTATACTGTCGTCTGCAACGACTGCCCCGGGCCACGCAAGGACCTCATCGTATCATTCAGAGAACCGGGCGGATGGGATTGGCCAAGGAGATCCATGGTGACCTTGTTCCGGAGTCGGTGTGGCAGGGGAATGTTGAGGGATCCAACCCGCCGCTGCCCATCTATTCTATGCCTTACCTGCGAGGCTCTGCCTTGGTTGAGGTCCAGTTTGTAGAGTTCGAGATGAGTCGTGACGAGGAGGAGAAGCAAGAAAACCTCATTAGGCACCTGGCTCGGTAAAATTCAATACGATCCAAGAAGTGTCGACTGCTTCAATACTGACCATCATTAAGTTACTTTGCACGGTGTTGGTCAAACCCGCGGTCGGCTGATTCCCAAATACAAATAACGCAGCGCGACAGGATCCATAATCAATTCATTAAGCTTGTGGAACAATCGTCAATGTTCACCCTGTCGAGATCAATATTGTCTAGCCTCATCGACAGCCTCACCTCACTCTTCGACCAAAACCACCCACAAGTCCTCACTCACGGCGACTTCTCAATAACGAACATCCTAGTCGACGACGAAACCTTCGAAATCACGGGCATCGTCGACTGGTCCCTAGCAGCTATCGCGCCGTTCGGGATGGATCTGGACATCCTCTTCCTGACCACTGGGTTCATGACACTCGAGGGCTGGAACGACTATGCGTGTAAACTACGACTAAAAGACATCTTCTGGGAGGAGTTCTGGGCTGCTTCAGGCATTGAAGGGGCGGGCCGCCGGGAGACACTTCGGCCATCGGCCGAAGCTGCGGGCAAGATTTGGGCGGTCCTCCGGATGGCATTCCGGCGCAACGCTGATGGGTCACCGTCTGAGGAGGTCCTTGTGTCTGAAAGCAATCTGAAGCAGCTGAGGGCCTGGCTTGGTGAATAGTAGCTGAATTTTGCTCAAGACGATCTCGTTTGATCCCGCTTTTAGAAAATATCCACGTCGTTAACAGCAGGTCATCATCGAAATATCGGTGATTGTTCCTGTCACACTTTCAACAACCCAAGACCAAGCCTTCCAAAATCGAGTGCCTCACATGGACTTCAGTACAGGACCAAGGCTTCTCATGTAGGCGAATTTTCCTCCAGTTTCATACACATGACATAGTTGAGCTCGAATCCAGGCGTCTCCTGCTGTCTTACTAATACAGACGGTGGTGGGATAAATTTCGCTCATCTCGCCGATAGCCACTACCAAGTGCCCCAGGTCGTGCACCGCTCTCGTTTCAGAGCTGAATAATCGCGGGTGAAGGACTGTGTTTCGATTTATACACCTCGCACGTGAAGAAAGACACATAGTTAATCCCATCAAGATACATCCTGAGCCTCCAGTGTGCATTTTCACAGCCACCACATCAGAAGAACAGACCACAATTGAGAGAATGAGTATAGAAAGAACGCCCCAACCCCTCCCCAAAAGCAATGCTTAATCATTATTCGTGAGCAATCCAAGAGGGCTCCATACTCATCCATGGGGCTCCATACTCCTCCATTTCTAGCCTCTGCACGGAAATCCCAGACAACTCCGAAATCAGGTCCCTGCATCCGATGTGCCCGTTCTCACGAGCAAAGTTCATAGCCCTCAAACACTGTCGTTTCGAGAAGCCATCCGGGAATTCGCCCCCAGCGACCGCCCTGACGTTCAACTCCCATAGATAGCGGATCACATCAAGCCGCCCATTCGCAGCAGCCCCTTCTAGGGGCCACATGCCGTCGATCTTGGATGGCAGGGCGTCGAGCTTCGCGCCGTGATCTAGCAGGCATGCCACCATGTTGCAATTTCCTGACATGGCGGCAAACTGGAGCGCCGTTGCCCCGCCGTGGAAGGGTGCATCGCCGTTAACGTCCGCACCGCGGCTGAGAAGCAGGCGTACCATGTCCATGTTGCCGAGCTCTGCGGCATATTGGAGGGCGGTGCGCGTAGTGCGTATGCGTGGCCGGGCGTTCACGTCGGCGCCGTATTCCAGCAACATGTTGACGGCGTCCTCCCGGCCCGTTTCGACGGCGACCATGAGTGCAGTCATCAAAGGGGAGCCTTTAGTCCAATGCTCATTTTGTTTTGAAATCCCATTAGGATCGGCGCCGGCCTCGAGGAATTTCTTCATGGCGACCATGTTCGTACCAAATTTATCCGGTAGGCCTTGTATGGCCAGTCCTAGGGGTGTGAACTCCATCAACCAGATCTCGGGTGGAAGCTGAGAGTCCACTTGTCTGTCAGGGTGGTATAGCATCTCCAATCTCGCGAGATTTATAGCTTCCGTCCTTATCAACTCGTCTAGAGCCTCAGCATTCCCTGCCCCGTTGCCCATGACAGTCACCAAAATACTCGCCCCGATGCACTTCGGCATGGTCTGTCGCAGCCTCTCTTTCTGGAATAGAAGTCGCAGTATATCCGGTTGGTCAGGAATCACGGCCCGAAGAACATCGTTATTGAACGGGTTGGCGCCCATATCTATGAGGTATTCGATCAGATCAGCGTAGCCAAATTTGACTGCCGTTTTGAGGCAATCGTCAAGCCCAGTCCTGTCAAAATTCACGTTCGGTGAAATCCCTTTGAAGAAGTCCACTGTGCCCAGTTCGATGCAGACACGAACAACAGACTGTAGAAAATGTCGGTTGACTATCAAGCCAGGAAACTCGTGAACCAAGTCATAGACTATTGAGCAGTCTGCCGTTGCAAAGATGGCCTCTGATTCTTCATATGATAATTCAATCCTTGATATTGAGGCTCCGGCAGTGATAAGATCACGCACCATCTGCGCTTTGCTGAGTCTCAAGGCCTGGAGCACAAGGTCAAACTTAGCTGCCTCCTCTGAGAATGTTGAGGCACCTGCTTCGAGAAGCATTTGCAAGATGTCTCGATGCCCCCCATGAATTGCCGAATACAACACATCTCCCCATATTCGGTCTGCCTGCTTTGAAGTGACTGCATAAGTGAGTAGCTTCCGCATATAGACAGTATTTCCTACTTCAGCAGCTGCTTTGACCAGAGCTTCAAAACGGCCCCCTTCAAAAAGTTGACCAAGACAGCCTCCTGCTTCTAATCTTCGAATAAGATCCTCATTGCCGTACCTCACGGCCTCGGCGATTGGTGTGGACTTGTCGCCACGCATTTGATACTCAAAACTGAGAGCTGGCGGGTCAAGCTCGGGCGCCTTGCTGAGAATGAAGTCGATCAGAGTCTGATTTTGGGACTTGATCGCGGCTGTCAAGATCTCGGGTAGTTCAGGTTCCAAGTCAGCTTTGTCAAGGAGGAGCCGGACAAGCTCAATTTTACCAGTCTTCGCCGCAGAAAGTACGGTCCTTCTCACAGGGCCACCAAAACCAACAAGACATTCGTTGCAACTGGCTTTATGACATAGGCTCATCACAGTTCGAACCAATATTGCGGCACTGCGTTCATCGAACACATCCGCGAGTCTTCCAAATTCCTTATTGATAAAGCCCCGATGACTCTCAGAGGGGACATTCTGAGAGATAAGGAGATCAAAGTCCGCCGTTCGACCAAATTCATCCCAAATCATCAATTTCGGATGGACTCGGCCGCCGGCAGCGACGAGTATATTGAAAGCTTCGACTGACTCCGGTGGTATTGTTGACGGAGAACTATTAGCTAGATGGACATGAATTCCACGTGTGAGTGAGTACAGTGCGCCGCAATATGAGAAAAGTTCGTTGACATGACGCTTGTTGACGTCGGCGCCTGCCTCGATGAGTGCTTTCATGAGTCTCAATGATCTCAGCTCGCTTGCTCGTTGAATTGGGGTCCACTTTCCCTGTTCGTGAAAGCACACAGTTTCATTGGCGTCAACAAGTTTGCGGCCGAGTAATAGTTTCACAACAGTGGTATCAGTAGCCTCAATGGCGGCCCGGAAAATGTTGTCTGCAAGGGTCCTCGACACATGCCGCGGGCATTGCTCCAAGATGTCGAGAAGTAGCTTATTGACGACGAAACGGTTGAGAAACCTTAGAATATTCTCCATGGGCACGCCATCGAGACCGGCGAACCCGTTGAGCATGGAGAAAAGCAGCACACGGGCGAACTTGGTCTCGAATGCCTGATCGTTGGTGATGAGAACTGAACTCTCCCCGGGAACCTGGGAGCCAAGCTTGCGCAGGAAGTGCTGTAGATTCGGAGGTTTTCGAACCAAGGACTGGTCTATCGATGATAGGATGCCGGCAATCAATCTGGGCGCGAATCCACCAAAGATGGTATGTGCGGCTGCCTCGTCCAGGACGATCCCCTTGGATCGTAAATTGTGTTCGAGTTGTGCGGATGGCAATTCCCGCTTGAAAACGGTATCTTTCAGCATGCTGAAGAAGAGCAAGTTGCTCTCTGCCGGTATTCCCAAAGATGTAAACACGGGCCCAATAGAACAGTCTTGCCCGAGGAACGGGGACTGGCAGTTCGTTGCCGCTGGAGATGACAAGACATGGAAAGACGTGGGGTTGAGGTTCAAGGACTGTGCAGGTCCACCCACAGTGTCGAAGAATGTCTGTGAGGATCCCGCATGACGTTCATAAGTGGTGACCATGCTGTTGAATGAAGAGTCCGTGTACACCGGAACACTTCCGAATCCATCCAAGGCGTCGGCCACATTCATGACCAAGTCTTGTATATCTGGTTGCATGCCTCCTTCGAGCGCAAAGGGCCCATCCGAACTCGATGCGGCAATAGGCTGTGCCGCGTTACCAGGCAGTGTTGAACCAGAGGCCTGACAAGTACTTGGTTCCACAAGGCTCCCTGACACCCATCGGCTGGCTCGCTTCTTGCTCGCATTTGACTTGTTCAGAAGGACGGAAGGTAAAGTTGTACCTGATGCATCAATCGAGGCGGGTATAGAATGGTGTTCGTTGTTTGAGAAGTATTGTTGCCATTCTTTCTGGGTTGCATTTTTGCGGATGTTCCAACGTTTCAACTGCATCTCGTATTGCCAAGGGCTGGTTGAGCAGAAGCTTAGCAAGTGAAACGATGGTATTGAAGACCATAAGAAGAGGTAAAGGGACCATCGTACCTGGCGTTGAAGCCGTGTTGGTCGCGCATCTCTGCTCGAACATCTTTGAGGGTCTTGTGGCGGTACAGTTCCACGATGGTGTCCTTGTGGCGGTCCCACTCCGGTGGTGTGATCTTTCTCGCCGTGGAACTCATCTTGAATCGTGGACCCGTTACGTCCAAAGATAATATGCCACCGCGCCAAGTGCACACAAGTAGGAACAACTTATGTCTGCTTGTTCGCTTCGATATTGGGACCAGCCTCAAGCCTTGGGCATCAGCTGAATCCTTCAGGTCTCAATTTCGTCGAGGGAGACCAGGGAGATGGCAGTAGGACCTGAGCCGCTTCAACAGGCTAGGGTTCGCGGATGGAGGCTACCTGCTCTTCTAACACCTGGGACGTGATCGTCAGTGACGGGGTTTACAACTCAGAACGAGCAAACTTACAAATGTCCTTGTAACGAGGGTGAAATTGCGACCCGGCCAATATTTTCTGGGTGGTTGTGCTGGTTCAGAGATCGATCTCGTTGCGGCCTCCAGATCATATCCAAGACCCAGGGCTTTTGACCGCGCCTTGTTAGTATGCAGGCTCTCAATGTATCACAGCATTTGTGACGGGTCTAGTGAGGGGCTGCTTACCATCGGTGGTCAGCAGGCAGGGCCCAGTGCCACGACGCCGACCTCTGAGCGAGCGAAGAATCTCGATCAAAAGAGTTGCAAAAGCAACGAAGAGAGCTAAGAGACTGACGATGGTCTCACTGGAGAGTGCCATCCGAAATTGACCGACCACTGCCGCAATTTCCGTCTGTGGGAGAGGTGGTCTTTCCTCTCAATACACAACATTGGAGCAAAATCTCCGAGGAGAAGTGTTGTCTGGAGCGTTTGTCATGACTTGTGAGAATAAAGAATTGATCAGGCGAGCCTCACTTTTAATACCATCCTTGGGTTCATAATCTGTCAAAGTCGACACAGCACAGTCAAGGTAGGCGAAGCCTGTGAATATCCCTGCTTTGCCGATTCTCCAATGGACACATGCGGTGTTGACCTCGCGCGTGATCCCTGCTGAATCTGTGGCTTGACAGAATCTGCCCAGCTTGACAGAATCTGGCCTACCCCGACAAATTCTGGCGCGTTGCAATCCCATCCTGGACAAAATCCTCTTCCGACTCGGCCTACTGGTAGGCAGTGTCGTAGAGCCAGTTTGGAGCAACCCGGATATTTCAACCAAATATCGAGGGAAGCTGTCCATCCGTTCCGTTGTTATGTCTCAACTCCCTGAAGCCGTCCATCCGGAATCGACTTCCTCGTGACACTTCCTTTCACACATCACGCTCGGACTGGCTGCATGACAAAGGTGACGATGGGCGGGGTAAGACGGGTGGTCCGGCCGTATCATAATATGCAGAGAGAAGACGGGGCAGGGCCACAGTGCCCGCAGTGAATGTGCTCTTTTCGTTGGCGTGGCACTCCTTGCATAATCTTGGACCACCACCTGTCCAGAAGGCTCTGGCACTGTACCCGTGATCAGTACTTACGGCTGGCAGTCGCCACTGTTGTCTGTACGAGTACAACTCACAATGCTTCTTCAGCGTCGCCTGGAAATAAACTGAGACGGCGTTGAAATTTGGGAAAAGAGGGTTTGTTGAATGATAGCTTGGAATGCAATACCGCTTCTATCATCATGAGGAATCACGCATTCTGTTCATGTCATCGCAGCCTCGGCCTCACCCGCCTTTCTGCGACCTCTACACTTCCCATCCTCCTCCTCCACCAGATCCCCCAGTGGCCCATGTTCCAAGACCAGCCAGAATTTATGGTCCCCACCATGCCGAAGCTCATTACCAACTTCAGTGCACTGCTCACCATGATAAAAGTATTTGCCCCGATATCTCGCTGAGTAATATCATGCATATTTCCCTCGGTCTCCGTGTTCACACTACTACTGAAATCATCAAGAATGGAACACCCCGCGGCGGCAGGAAGCCCAGCCGGATTCTCGTCCGACGGGCACCCTGCTGGGGGGACGCCCGAGTGCTGCAGGCAGCTGCTCATGTGGGCGGCTCCCTGGGGCGGAGGGGGGGGGGGATCTTGGCACGGAACACCACCAGCTCTGAGTTGCAGCGCGCCACCGGTGCGGCATGGGACATATCCACATCGTACAAAAGTCCAGGTTCAACAGGCAAGATGGAAGCGCATGATGGTGCAAACGAAGAAAAGCCTCGCCATAAAGGGCCGAGCAGCATGGGTCGGAGGAGGTCGAGCACGCCCAAGGGCCCGGGGGGAGGGTGGCAAACGGTGCAAGCAGCACATAGACACATACAGGCTAGGTTCATTCAGAATAACAGGACATTCCTCTCAGTACGGACGCAACCACAAACAAATGACGACCCAACCAGGCTAGAGACAGTCCTTGGCCAGCGGCAGATGTACGCCTTCAACTACCCTCAATGTAAACACCGCACAAGAACCCAGATCCACCGACCCCGTAGAGAGCATTGCATGACAAACACGCGAGGAACAAGGGGTATAAGCGCAAAACATACACCCGCAAAAAGCAGAAACAATATACAGACAACGTGCTTTTGTTGGATTCAGAATACCTGAGCGAGTCAACCAGACTGAGCCCTCTCCCTCCTATGAACAAGAGACAAAACCACGCACTCCCTCCGGCTCGTAAACCTGGGCATTATCCATTATTCATCTCCAAAAAAAAAAAAGGCAACAAACCAAGTGCAATTCAGTATCTCGGCCGAACAAGAAATATCATCACTCCGAATCAAATACATCCTTCGCCCTCCTCGACCGGCCGCTGGCTCTCGTCGGTGCCTTGGCTGTCGCGGCCGCGGCCGCTGCCCTGCCTCTGGTCGGGAGAGCTGCAGCGGCAGCGGCCTTGCCCTTCGGCGCCTGCTTCTTGGGCGGTTCCGGTTTCGCCTTCGCCGCAGAATTCCTGCCACTGCGTCGGCCGTTCGTGGCAGGAGGCTCTGCTTCCTCTGCCTCTTCTGACTCCACCTCGGCCTCGTCTTCTGCTTCTGGTTCCTCTTCTGGAGCTTCGGACAGCTCGCTGCCATCCTGATCCTCGGCTGCAGGTTCCTGCCCCTGGTCGTCTTCGTCCATGGGCTCTGCTTCGACCTCGACCTCGTCTTCTTCCTCGATCTCATCGTCATCGCTTCCCTCCTCCCCCTCCTCGCCGTCTTCGTAGTCCCACTCGGCGACACCTTCCAGCATCTCCTCGTCATCCTCGTCATCATCTCGCTCCGCGTAATTTGAGCTCTTCCTGGGAACGGCGCGCCCACTACGACGGCGTTCCGACTCGGGGATTTCTGGCGAGGCGCGGACTTTCTTGGGCTTGCTCGACGTCTTCGACTTTGCGGCTGTCTTCTTGAGGGTGGTCTGTTTCTTTGACTTGATAGATCTTGGTTGAGCGGTCTTGCTTTGCGATCTCGCCTTCTTGGCAGGGGGTTGTCCCCCGTCGTCCATCGATTTGCGCTTCTGTTTGGGGTCAGTAAATATTTCAGCCTCATCAGGGTCGGGTGATTGTCGTGCGGAAAATACCTTTTTGCGGTCCATCGACTGCAAAACTTTGTCCAGCCGCTGCTCAATGCCCTCGGGGATAAACTGCTGCTCAGAAAGCTTCTGCGCAGCCTCGTGGTTCGGAAGGGCAAGGAACAAGCCTGTCGGCAGCCCGGTCTTCTTGCTGTAGGCCTCGAATGTCCAGGCGCGCTTCTCCTGCCATTTCCTGATCACAGCCAGCGCCAGGTCACACACCATGTAGAGATTTTCGCTTTTCTCCGGCTCAATGGCATCCTTTGTCTGCTTGACACGCTCTGCATAGCGAGCTAGCAGCCCCAGATTTGATTCATTGGCCACGGTACTGACGTAGTAGACGATGTAGCGGGAGTGGTCAACCAGGTCATCCTCAGCAGGGCCCAGATCTGGATGGTGAGCCAACAGCGACAGCAGCCTGGGCATGATGGCTTCCATAACAGGGGTGCCTGTTGACTCGTAATGATGTACCCTTGATCGGATCCATGTCTCCACCCTGGTCTTGAACTCTGTGACGGGCTCATATGCTGTAATGAAAATGATTGTGTAAAACCTTGTGCGGAGCTTGCCTTGTACCAAGTATTTCTGGAGCTTCTCGATGAATGCTCTTCGAGTCTGCGGGTGGGCGTCCTGTGCAACCAATGCAAGCGCGTTGAAGTCCTCTGGTGGAAGATGGTCGTCAAGCTGCTTCTCCTTGCAGAGCTTGAGAACCAACTGGCCCGCGAGGAGTCGCAAACGCGCCTTGTGGTGACTTGGCGTTTCCTTGTTCTTGGACATCTCACCGTCCTTCGTGATCAGGGTCTTGAGCATCTTGAACACAGGCTTCGCCCTCTCTTTCAGGTCTGCCTCGCCGTCTCCACGATCCTGCTCCTCGGCCCGCAGCCGATTGACAAGGATCTTCAAGGCCAGGCATTTCGCAATGCATTCCTCGTCCATGTCCGCATCGCTGACCCAGTCCGGATCGCTGTCCTTAGCATCGGTGCGTACCTGCTTCAGAATGTCTTGGATCATCTCGAGAATGGCCTGGTCCTTGTCCAACGTGACCTTTGGAGCCAAAATTTCCAGCTGAGAGACTATTGCCAGCTTGTTGAGGAAATGGGGAGCCCCGTATTTCCACTGCTTCATGACTTCTTTGAATAGCCTGGTGGCATTTAGAAGACCGGTCTCGTCCTTCTTTGCCAGAAGAATATTTACTGCGTACTTGGCCGCCTTCCAAGGCGTACCGTAGAGCGCAAAATTGATCATCATTTGCACAAAATTCTTGTCCTTGGGGATTTCCGCTGGATATTTCCGGGCGTATGAAGCGCAAGCCTTGAGTGTTTCAACAACCGAGGGCTCGTTCGCCTGTGTTGCGGTCGGCGCCTTCTCCGCAAGGTCTTTGCAGAGATCTCCGATATGTGATTTGAAAAGGTCTGGTGTGCGCTGGGATATCTCATTCAGAATCTCATGTGCTGTGGCACCAAAGCCATCTCGGTCGGTCCTGGAATAATCCAAGATGGTAGACAAATGGCTGCGGTTGAACATGAAATACCCCGACCTGTAAAGCAGGGGTATCAGGACATCAGCAACGCCAGAGAGTTGTGCGCCTTGCAGGCGCTTGATGAGCTCCTTCAGAGCATTTCGGGCCGTCTTGAAGTCGTGCTCTGGACCAGTGATAAACTTGACCAGCTGGTAATTCCGCGAATTATTCGCCTTTGCGAATTTGAGCAGCTCTGACTTGACCTTTCCATCATCAGGCAAGAACCGGGTGATGTAATCGATCGTGTTCTTCAGGTTCTTCGTCTTGCGTTCCTCGTCCTGCTCCATGACGCCGCCATTGTACGCGTCGCATGCCTTGAGGAAAGTCTGGAGTATGGTGGCAAATTGTGGCTGGCGGGCTTGAATGGCGAAGAAAGCCTTCTTGGCGTTCTGATCGAGTGAACGAACCAGAAGCAGTATCCTCTCGGCCCTGACAGCGTCCTGGTCGTAGCCAGCTACTCCCTGTTGCGATTGCGACTGAGAGCTTCCGTTTGCGGTTTTCGAACTCTTCTTAGGAGGTGGGAAAGACAAGGGAACTAGACACTCGAAGACCACCCTGTCAAGAAGTACGTTCACTTCTAGATCATTTGCGTAGAAGGAGCTGTAGATCTTCGAAGGGGCGGCTGACAGAGCACCGACGACAACTTGATTGCCGGCAAGGATTTCGCCTGTTGATATAGCCCAGAGCTTCCCTAGCAGCGCCATGGCATCAACACGGACCTGTGGCCTCCTGTCGCGGCATCGGTCGGCGAGGCTAGACAGGATCGAGCTCTCCTTCTCCAGGCCACCATCCGATGCTAGCTTGAGAATGAGATCGCGGAAGCTAAAAGACTCAATGGCTTTCACGCCAGCCAAACGGACCTTCTCATCGCTGTCATTGAGCTTTTCTCCCAGACCACGAACGAGAGCTCGCTCATCCTCCCGGTTGAACCCGATCCCTCCAGCGTTTGTGGACAGAATGTAACCCACAGCTGTAGTCCAGGAGGCCCGAATGATGGGGGACTTGTCGTTCTTGCGACTCAAGAAGTTCAGGTAAGCTTGATGGTATGTCTGCGCGAAGGACATTGGAGAAAAGGGAGTTGTTAGGGGATTTGAAGGGGTATCATCTGTGTCGAAATCCGACATCCTGTACAAGGGGTATGCGGCAGGGTCCAGCGCTGGCGGGGGTGGGGGGCCAGCTGCCCCAATGCCTGAGATGACATCTCCTAGGGCTTCTGTCGCAAGCTGTCGCAAACCGATGTTGTCGGCCGACAGCTCCGCATCAAGCTGGGGGATGACATTTTGCAAAGATGCCGGCGCAGCTTTCCAGAGTTCCCGAATGAGCAGGTGCGCCTTCCGGAGCTCCTTGAGGTCATCTTCTGATGGCCCAGCTGGGCCGTCCTCGTCGTCCGAGTCTGCCGCTCGGTGGCCGTTGCTGCCAGCCAAGCCCGAAGCTTCCATGATGACGTCGCTGAAGTACTGTCCCACGAATCTCGCCATCTTCTCCGGATTTTCGACACAAACAGATCTCGCCATCTTGTAGGCAGCGGGTTCTTCCTTGAGAAGGAGTGTTGTTTGGTTCTCATCCCGGCTGGCTTGTTCGTTCTTGTCCTTGCCAGCTCCTGGAGCTGCGGCGCGCAAGAACTGGGCCATGATGATGTCGATGACCTTGGAGGGAATGGTAGTGGCCTCGTCGATCAACATTTCCAATATTTGTGTCATGTAGTGCTCGATATCCTTTCCGACAAGTTCGCCTGTCGGTGCTTTGGTCCCGGAGACCGTGTCGAAGAAGCCGGTGAACAAACGTACAAAAAGCTCATCGTTGTTGGGTATCTCGTCGAGGAGGAGGATGCTCTGGACGTCGGAGAGGGAGATGAGAACGTATCTATGTTGATTGTTCCAAGTAGATGACGGATCTTGTAGGGCGGGTAGAGTCTGGTTGATGAAAAGAGCGAAGATATCCTATCACCTGTGTCAGCGTGCCGTCGCGAGTGACGCCGCGCAAATCGACCTGCTCACCTTGAGCTGTGATGGAGTAAACGGCGCATCGGGTGCACAGATCTTCAGGATGTCCACCATGCAGCAAGCAGCGTACGCCTTGACGCCCTTGTCCTTGTGGCCCAGGATGTTGGCGGAGCAGAGCTCCTTTGCGACCTTTGTCAACGAGTCCTTGTGCTCCCAGTCCTGATCCAGCTCTGCCAATTCCTTGGCCAGCGTGTCGAGTCGCTTGTGCAGCTCTGCTGTAGGTATCGGCCTGCCAGCGCGCCATGACAATGGCTCGTTGAACCGCAGACCCTCGTTGTCGCGCTCCTCCTCCTGCTGCTCCTCCTCCGGCGCGGGCTCGGCCGCTCTTCTGCGGCGGGACGACATGATGCGCTAGGTCTCTCTCTCAATTGCCGCGGCGACGCGATAGGGGCAGAGTCGAATTGCTCGCAATTCTCTGCAGCTCAATGACCGAGGTTGGAGGGCTCGTTTGGGTCAGGTGGTACTGATCGGCCAGCTCGTGGAATCAAAACAACCCACGCCAATCCGTGAGGCGGCTAATGAGCGGCGAGGGCCTGTCGCGAAGGGGCCGCTCTTGAGGTGGAATGGACACAGACACAGTCAGGATGGAGGCCGGAGCTGTGGGCAGCTGGTGCAGAGCTTCGCGGGATGTGGATCGAGATGTGGAAGGCGTCGCCAGCTTGCGGGCCAAAGGAAAGGTGGGTAGTCGGTAGTCGTGGTCGCAGTCCCAAAATCCAACAGACCCGCGCTGCTGCCCAGCCTGAGCCTGTCCTCTCCCGTCCCGTTACGCGACACTCTCAAGCAACGGCAGGCGCGTGCTCCTTCCCCACAGGCAATTAAAAGTGGGTCCAATCGATAGCGCGAACAGAGGGGGGAACGACATCTCTTGCCTCATGCCTGTCTCGGCTCTCCAACTGACAACAGCAGCAGCCAGACTGCTGATTGCCTCGGGACCGCAATCCGTGGATACTGATGGACTTCGATGTACACAGACCTTTTATTCTCAAACACTGGCAGCTCACCAATGCCCATTGCCCTGTAGGATAGCTCGCATGGGTACAATCTCACGGAGGTGGCAGTCTTTCCCTACCTAGGCAGGCACGGCCATCCACCGACAGTCCACTTTCAAGACACATCTCAGCGCTCGTAACGCGTGATTTCTTTCCGGTACATTTCTTTTGAAGACCGTCCGGTTGCTGACCACCAGTCCTGTTGCCTATTATACACCATTTCTTCTATCAGCTCACCACGTGAGTCTGCAGACAAGAAGTCTCTCTAAGACCAACGTCCCGGAGGCCCACATCAAGACCATGGCGCCCATGGTCGAAGCTCTGCGTGACAGCTTTTCCGAAGTGTGAGCTCACGAGGTTCATATATGAGAAGTTTTTTTTTTTTTTTTTTTTTGGTAGCGGTATATCAGCGGTTTCGATTACACAGGGCCACTGTCTTGCTCATGTTCCAGGTATATGTCGTTGGCCTGGGCATTGACCTTGACCTCGAGTACATGCGTCAACGAGTCAATACATGGCATCTGCTTCTCGTGGTCCTCTCCTTTGTTACCATCCAACCTCAATGGTCGGCCTAGGTCAAGTGACCAAGCCCTCTACTCGGCTCCGTTTCAGCCAGTGGGACAAAGGGGAACAGTGGTAAGGGCTCGTGGGAGCCATACTTTTCTAGATTTAGCCATTTCTCCCATGTCTCATTATGTTGCCAACTGCTAGGCAGCTGGTCAGAAGACTGGTGTAATCATTCTGGAGCCGGCTGTGCAGCCGTGAACGGGGTTTATATCATTTAGATTGCTCCTTTCTGTCTTATGCTCGGGGTGTGTCAGTTTATTCTTCTATCGGCCGAAATAGATGGAATGGAGTAACTGATTCCCCCGGATCGGGACGGACGTGCATGTCAGCAGATTTGAAACGTGTACAGCCATGTTGTAGGACAAGACGTGGCGTATGTTTTTATGAGGGCTTTCTTGTATCTGGCGGGCTCCTGAACGGAAGCAGTTGGCTCTACAGGTGCTGCCATTATGGCGGTTGTTTCATCATCTGTCATACAAGTCACCAATATGTTTCCATTCTGTGGTGTGATGTTGGGTGTACATTGCAACACGTCTGCTGCCGTGTATTCCCATACTCTCCAGGGGCAGGTCTGATGGCCTAGAAGAGTGAGCTGCCGTGGGTCAATATGGCACACAACACCAGATCAGGAGAGCAGATACAAGTTCTTACGCTGGTGCTGACAACATAACAGGGCTGCTTGGATTAGACGAGGTATCCAGTCAATTAATGTGAGTTGTACTCTAGAGGGGATTCTTGGATGGGATGTACTGGTGGCAATGGTTCAGTGCTAGCCGGTCCAAGACAATTCAATAATGGGTGGAAGTTGATCAAAGCAACGAGCTATGGGTACTCTTTTGTGCATTCCTGAGCCAGAACAGTTGAAGCGCAAGGGACTGTACGCCAGGTGGCAAGGTCACAGGTACGGAGTTGACCGGCTGGTGGTTTGGAGGAGCTGGAGCAGCGGTGGCCAAGAGAGTGATTCACAAGACTGAGGTGCTTGATTTGTATGAGTTCAAGGTGTCGAGAGCTGCATCCCTGACAACAAACACGTCAACAACATCAACACCTGCAGACCAGAGTAATTGTTCAGATTTCCTTGTCACAGCTACCAACCTTCTCAACTGGAGAGCTCCATCCCCTGTGAGCACCCATCACACGACTACCTCCTTCCCCATCCCACCGACGGCCAACTCTTCAGGCCGTCGACCCGTCGTCTTGTCCTCCACAACTCTTCGTCCACCATCTCGTGTCGAACCTGTGCATCGCCACGTCAATCTCAACAACGCCCACCCCAATTGACCAGGCTCAACTCAAGTATCTCGGTATGTGCCATCCTGTCCATCCAACTACTCACCCACGAGGGTCTCGATTGCCCGCTGCCCCTGGGGTTGATCTTGAGTAACGTTGCTGCAAACACTTCCTCCCCAAACCGCGTCACACAGCATCTCCTGTCTGTCCACCGTCCCCTCGTCCAGGTTGTCCACTCACTTCCATGCACGACACTCTTGTTGCTCCCTTTTTCTTCCCGTTTTGTGCAAATACACGGCCCTTCTTCGATCCTCTTTCCTGCATCTACCTCCCCACACCCTTCTTGAATCTCTCGCTTTCATTTTTGGCGTGTCGATACGCAGTTCAACGAAAGCTTTTGTTTTCCCACCACCCCACGCTCTTTTCCATCAACTCACTACAGCAGCACCACACTCCTTGGTTTCGCCCTCATCATCACACCTCCACCTTCGTTTCTTTCTTTCGTCTCAAGCCTAGCAATCCATCGCAGATCACCATTCTTACGATCTTCTCTTGACACAGTCCCTCGGTAGAGTCAACATCAATCATCAATCATTCATCATGTCTGCCTCTGTTCAGCACGGCGGCAAAGCCTTCGAGAAGTCTGGCGCAGCCCCTCCTGTCGTCATCGCGATGCCTGATGATGAGAGTCATGTTGGCGCCGACGACAAAGTCAAGAAGGAGGCCCGTCTCACCAAGTACGCCAAAGGTCTGAACTACTTCCTCATCGTCAAGTACTTGGTCTTCCTTCTCGCCATGATTGGCATCATCGTCCTGGCCCTCCAGGTCAGCAAGGGTAAGTCACGCTGCCATCCTCACAGACCGATCGATCTTGGCACTAATCCAAATCCATGCTCCTCGAGCAGATCAGGACGCGATCCAGAAGCTCAACCACGAGATGGGCACTGCGCCTCGTGCCCACAATGCTGCTCTTGAGGATCACATTGGCGGTCGCATGTCGTATCTGGAAGGCTTCAGTGGCATGGTTAATGATGACGACACTGCCTTACTTGCTGCCCGCGACGTCATGGTCTCTGGCGACCCTTCAACTGCCACCTCCACTGCCGTCTCTACTTCCATGTCAACGGTCGCGTCCACCATCGCGCCCAGCGTTGGCGAGACTTCTGCTACTGAGACCTGCAGCACCACCACCGACACCGACACCACGGTCAACGTGCTCAAGACCACGACAACCTTCCTCTCTACTCTTAGCAGCACAACTGCCACTGAGGAGGAAACCACAACTTCGTAAGTTCGAACTCCTGCCTCAATGATCCACGCTCAAGACTGAACTGACATTCTGTAGCGACACGACGCAGACCACTCTGCACACCCAGTTGACCACTACCGTCTTTAGTAACGCTACTGGCACCAGTGTCTTCTCGGCTGCCGCCGTAAGTTCCCTCGCCACTGGAACCAGTCTCTTCTCAGTCGACCCTCTCAGTGCCAGCATGGAGTCCTCCATGGCCGCCACCACCACGGTGCCAGCCACTGCTCCCATGACATCTGGTCTTGTGCCAAACAACCCTTCACACTGTCTCGAGTACGGTGATGGTGCCGGCCCATGCAACCGCCCCTACGGTGCGCCCAACACCCCGCCGAGTTCCATCACCCTCAGCGTGGGATCTGCAACAACCTCTTACCCGCCTCCGAGCCTCTCGGTGATCCCCTCCACCTCGCCTTCCATTCCAGGCGGCGTGATCCCTTCTGCGACCACCTCCGACACGACCACCTTGGGCGCGACCACTTCGGACACGGGCGCCATGTCTGGCACGACCACCAGTACCAGCAGCATCATCAGTGTTGTGGACACCAGCACCGTGTCTGGCACGGAAACGACTATCAGCAGCACGATCAGCGATATGGACACCAGCGTCTGCGGCCCTCCCACGACGGTCTACGTCACCCTAAGCTCGTCGGCGGACACTCTCAGCGTGGAGGGCGGCGTGACCATCGCCTCCTTCGGCACCACCACCGCAAGCAGCCCCTCGACCGTGACCAGCACGAGCACCAGTCTGGCGCAAACCATCACGGTGAGCCTGGCGTCCGCGACAGAGACTGTCCACAACTCCAGCGCCACCACGACGTCCCACCTTCTCACCGCATCGGGCATCACCCTGACCCTGACGGCGCACGGTAACGGCACCTACAAGCCGACAACCACTGGCCCTTCGACCGTCGTCACTCTGCCCGCCACCGCTGGTGGCGAAAAGGCCGCCGGAGGAAAGCCGATGGGCGCCAGCGGAAACGGAGGCACGGGCAACGGCATGTACTGCGTCGTCATGCTGGTCACCCTGCTCGCGCTGCTCATCTAGACGTGGGGGACGTCTGGCTGCATTATGCATTCTCACACCTCATGCACCTTGTGTTTCTTGCGACCGCTCCTGAGTGAGCCGTTTTTTCGTTGGCACCGTTTTGAGTCCTTCACTGCCCCAGAGACATGTGCCCTCTTCTTGGACCCGAAACGAATCGAAATACACGTTTCATTCTATTCAATAGCCTGTTTTAATACCACTTTTCCTTTACCCTTCATTCTTCCGCCTTCCTTTTTTCCGGGACTTCTCTCTCAGATTTAAATTTTGAATCTGGACGGCTTTGTGAGGAGCTGGCGGGAAAGGGTCCACCCCGGTTCTTCTCTTTGAGGGTCATCTGGGATGGAATGGCAGGGAATTTCTTCTGGTCTCATGGCGTTTTACGGTTCACTTTTGATCATTTTGATCCTCTTTTCATCCCCCACCCCTCTTCAACCACATCTCATAATGTGCCTTGCAATACAGGCAATCCGACTCTCGACATCATTCTTCTGTGGGTGGGGGACATCCAAGGTCTCTGTCTCTTGTACATTAGTATGGAATCAGGTTTCATTTTACATTCCACTGTTCTGGGCCAGTGTGAAATTCATCAATGAACCAAAATCAAAAATTCTGGGGCTTCGGGGCCTGCTGTATGATAGGGCAGTTGGACCGTTCTGTGGTCCAATTTGAAGGCCAGGTTCTCTGAGTGGCATGGGCATGCTTTCTAGCATTGAACATGCTTCTCCGGCTTGGGGACACATTTGGGCTGGGGGCTTTGACATACTTGGTCAATAGTGCCTTGTCTGTGAGACAGGTTATGAGTACATGATTATTCTGGAATATCTTCCGTCTTCTTTGGTTTGCCCTCTGGTGATATGAAAGTAATAAGTATTGGAAGGTACGAGGGTCGTATACCTATACGTTAGCGCTAGCCTATAAATAGGCTCCTTTTAAGCATTTAATAGCGGGGAGATTTCTCTCCTTAATAATAATAAATAACTATTATTTACTTAATTGCTTTATTAAGTTATAAGCTTAGCATCGCTTAAGATATCTTAAAATGTTAGGAAATATTAATACCCTTATTTTTATAATTATTTTTATACCTAAATTATTAGGATTTTAATATCGCTAGCCTTTACTTATATATTATTATTATACCTTATAATAGCTATTATGGTTAATAATAACTTATAATAATTTAATACTCTTGCCTTATTTAATATTTTAATTACTCACTCCTTTTTATTTATTTACCCATATTAATTAATGCTAATTATTATAAATAAATAAAAATATATAAATATTATTTAAAATACACCTAGAAATATATAAATATTATTTAAAAGATATTAAATGTATTTAACTTTAAGTTTAACTTATTATCTTTCTTAAAGTTAAACTTAAAAGGGGAAAACTTTCTAAATTAAAGGGCGGCATGAAGTTGCGGCTTTTAATTTATTGGCCTTAGTAAATATATTATAAGCGTTAAGGAATAATTAAATAAGAATACGGCCTTTATAAAATAGGAAAAGCTTAATAATTAAGCCTTTATTATACTTTTAAGTTTAATATATTTAAGCCTTATAATATTTATTATATTATATAAAAAAATCTTTTAATGCTTAAAAAATACTAGCTAATTAATTTAATTATAATATTAATAACTTAATTATTTATTTCTTTTATTAATTAATAAACTTATAATATAAAGATAGCTTTAACTTATAAGGCTATTTAAATGCCTTTTAAAACCTTTAAATAAAACTTTATATTAAAACCTTAATATTAAAATAATTAGTTAAAAAGTTAATAAAGTTATTTTTTAAAAGCAATAAGGTTAAAGGCTTTTTCTTCTTAATAATATTATTAAATATTATAAATAATATTATTAATAACTTAAGTAGCTAAAACCTTATAATATTTTTTAAAATTAAACTTAAGATAATAAATATTATTTCTTATGCAAAGGTTAAATAATTTAAAGCTTACTTTATTTTTATTTAAAAGAGGTTAGCATTAAAAGGTATAAAAAAGGTTATAAAGTTTGCATTAATAAGTATTAACTTTATATTAAGCAATAAAAAATATATTTAATATTATATATAAAACTTTATATTTATTAGCTATTTATATATTAATTATGCAAAGCTTATTAAATATAAAGTTAATTAAAAATAAAAAAAGGGTAAGAAATAAGTTATTATAAATTAAGTTATAAATAAAAAAGTTATTAAAATTTTTAATAATAATAAGGAAGATATAATAGCATTATATATTAATATTTTAATATATATAGCAAAGCTATTAATAATTATAAGTACTTTAATATTATAGATTTTTAATTTTAATGCTTTAAAGTATATAATAGGATATATAAAAGACTTTAGCTCCTTATAATTATATTTAGGTATAATTATTATTGCAGGTAGTAATTAACTTATTATGAAAGGTATTAGCTTTATAAAGATCTTTTTATAATTATTAAATGAATTAATTATTAAGAGCATTTTTATTAATATTTTATATAATTATGCGTTAAGGAATATTTATTTATTTAGCTAAATTATAATTTAAAAAAGGTTTTAATTAAATATATAAGGAAACGATATTTTTTTATTATTAAAAGATAATGAATCTTATAGAATATTATAAGCAAAGTTTTAATATAGAAATTTTAAAATTTAAATAGCAAAAAATAACTTTATAATATTTATAATATATAGCGAATTTTATAAAGCTTTTAGCTATAGCAATTTATTAAAACTAATTATTTAATGCTTATATAAAGATAAAGATATTATGTTGAATAAATTAATAGATTTTTATTATAAATTATATTAATTTGCAAAGTTTATTAAGAAATGCTTATATTTATTATTAAAATAATAATTTATATAATTATTTAAGTATATTTAATTTAATATATTAAGTAAATTCTTAATAAAATTATTAAAAGGTTTTTAATACTTTATTTTATTTATTAATAATTATATTTAATTTTATTAGGTTTACTTTATTACTTAAAAGGATAATATTTTAAACGTTATTAAGGAATTCTTAAATATAATTAAAACTTAATTTAATGTAAAAGTTAAGATATTTAGTTTGAATAATAAGGGTAAATATATAAATAAGATAATTATTATAATATTTTAAAGATGCGGAATTATTTATAAGAAATTACCCCCTTATTATTATAAGTTAAACGGCATACTTAAAAGGTTTATATATATTATTATTATTAATACTTATATAATAATTTGCAATAAAGATTATTTATTCTTATAGCTTAAAGTAATTTCTTATATAATGTATTTATGAAATTGGAAATTATACTTAGCCTTATTATGCTAAATAACGCTATTTAAGGTGCTTTATAAATAAAAGCTTAATATTAAATATTTTTAATTATACTTTTGCTTTATATATCTTTATATTCTTATTAAGGCTTATAAGTTGGGAATAAAATTATTAAATAAAGTTAAAAAGGCATATTTTATAAGATTTAAAGCTAAAGGTAAGATTATTTTTTATTTATTTATGCTACTTTAAAAAGTTATTATAATTATAATATTAAGTTATATTACTTAATTTAATTTAGCAATAAAAATTATATAAATAATTAGCTAATTAAATAAAAATATATTATTTAAGATAAAGGTATTATTAGCATCTTAGTTAATGGAACTTATTAATAATATAGGACTTATAAATAAATTCATAAATAAACCGCTTAAATTTATAAAATTTATTAATAAACTACTTAAATTTGCAAGATTTATATAATTATATAGTTTTTAAGGATAATGGATTTAGCCTTTGCGGAAAGCAAAAGAAAATGCAAATATTATTATAAAATATTTTAAAAATTTTAATGACTTAGCATTAATTAATATAAATTTTATACTAAATTTTGCTTAATTAGCATTAATTAATGCTAATTACTTTAATTAAATCTTTGCTTAAGCATTGCTTGCTAGCATAGTAAATATTAATAATATTTTTAATATATATATATAGGTTATAAAAAGCAGTAAAAGGGATATTTAGCAATAAGCTATTAAAAGAAAACTTAAATTACTTTTAAATATAAGTATATGGGTTAAAGTACTTATTATTATAAATTAATATATTATTAACTTTTACTAAGTATATATAAAGAAGTTTAATGCTTTTAGTAAGCTTATTTATTATAAAGCTTAACTTATTACTTGCAAATATATATAAATCTATAGTATAAATTATAATAATATTTATAGCCTTATGGCGCGTTATAATAGTTTAAGATTAATTATTATCATTATCATTATAATAAGTTAGTAGCTTTAATAATTTAATATTAAAATAATATACTTATATAGTTATTTAAAATATAATGTTTATATATAATTATTATAAGGATATTAAACATTATTTAATAATTAATAAGTTATTTTAAAACTTTTTAATGCTTTATATAAACTTAAATAATTAAGCTATAAATAATTTAATATTCTTAAAGAGGAATTAATTAAATATTTAATGAAAACGATATTTAATTCTTGCGTTTTTATTAGAAATTAAATTATTATTACTATTTATATTAACGATATTTTTATTATTAAAAGTTCTTTTTAAGTTAATAAATTTTGCATTAAGCTTATGCAATGTTTTAAGTATAAGGATTTTAATCTTTGTAAATACTTGCTTAAATTGGAAATTATATAAATTAATAATGAAATTTATATTTCTTAAAAGGGATATGCTTAATGGATTTTAAAATGCTTTAATATATTTAATTATAATTAAAGATAAATTTTTATAAATTTAAATTTATTTTTATAATAAAAGGAACTTAATAATATTATAATAAATGTAATAATATATTAATTACTTATTAAATTCATTAATTTTCTTATTATTAAAATAAAACTTAATTTTGCATTTTTATATATAATGCTCTTAATATTTAATGCAAAGCTTATAATTTATTATTTAAACATTATAAAGGAAGTGCTTTAATATATTTAGCATATATT